AAGAAGAAGAAGAAGCAGAAAAAGAGAAGTGCGTAATGAGAGAAGAATATAAGTGGAAACGAAAGTCAAACCAGAGCCTGCTGTCTCACCCAAGAAGAAGAAGAGGAAGACGAAGAAGAAGAAAACTGGAGAGCAAGCAAGTTGCGGGAGCGAATGATGCCTGCTTTTTTTTCTTTTCTTCTTTCCCCTGGCGAAAGTGGCGATGTTGGAGGAGAAGAAAAGGGCGGGCGAGTTAAAGTGGACCGGCACTCGAACTATCTTCTTCTTCGTCTTCTTTTATATAAGGAAGATCGGGTCTTCGTTTTTACATTAAGGAGATATAATCTGGCTTCGATGGCTGCGACTACATATATAAGAAGGTCAAGTTAACATTTCTTACGCTCGCTTCCACCAAACCACCAACCAACCACGCGAATCCCCCAGTCAAGGATGGAGACGTTGACCTACAGAGTACATCGTGTATATGCATGTCCAAGGATGATAATTATATAACTGTAGCGGGATGCAGCCAGGGGTCGCTGGTGGTTGGCGGACGACGCCCGCTGGATGAAACAGGAGAACCTCCAGGATGCAACTAACCGCCCGCCTTGTCTTGTCTTTTGATATACTCTGGATCCCGCTTTAAGATGGGCTCGATGGGTTGGCTGGATGGCTGTCTATCTCCAAGGCCAAGTTCTAGTCCTACGCTTGATCTGGTCTGGCTCGAGATGGATCGCCTATGGCTGTGGCTCTCTCTCGACAAGGGGGAGGGCCAGACGGCCGTTGGAGATACCGAACAGTCGAAGCTGGAGGTCTGTTACTTCTTGTTCATGGGTCATTATTCTTTCTATTGATTATTCTTATGCTGATGTATCGCTCATTAATACACTCCAGTGAAGCTGCTATAACGAAGAGAGGGAAAACTGAACAACCGAACCAAACCGAGAGAGACACGTTAACCATTTCCATACCCATTCCCCATATAACCCAGTCCCAACTCCATTCCCCCAATTTTCGCAGAGAAAACAAGAGTTGACACTTCACGACCTGGCACAGTAGTCTAAACTACTGTGGTCCTGTTGGAGAAGCACCTGGCTGTCCAGCCAGTCCGGGTCATCCGGAAGTAACGGCGGCCACGAGCAGGCCAGACCACCGTACGAATCAAAGAGTAAAGGTGAGTCGGTTGGCGAGAGTGACTGCTGTGAATACATAGAGGGAACAGAGGTCGGGCTTGGGGTAGGGTGGCTGAAGGTATCAGGCGAGCTCTGTCCGGTATTGTTGCTATTGCTAGTGGCAGTGAGAGGGTTCATGAAGGAGAAGTCGATCGGTTCGGCCATGTACTGGGCAAAATTGAGATTTGACGTCGAATTGGGGTCGAGAGGGAGCAAAGAGTTGATGTTATTGAGGGAATTGGGGTCAAATGAGTGTGAAGTCGTTGTCTGCGGCATACACAGGCCGCCAGCGGAGGATGATGATGGTATGGTAGCCGATGTGGCTGCGGCAGAGGTAGGAGTGGTGGTCGGCGGGTCAGCATAATTTATCTGCTGCTGCTGCTGCTGCTGCTGTTGTTGTTGGTGGTGATGATGATGATGATGCTGTGGTCTTGGATCTGAAGCTGCGGCTAACATGAGATCGAATTCGTTCCAGTTGATTGTACCCATGGCCTGCGGATCACTATATCCTTGCCCTATTATCTGATCTATGTCACAGTCGCCAAGAGACGACTGAACCGGGGGGTTCGATGATATACTGTCCGATATAGGTTTCTTCAGGCCTACCATGGCGGCGAGATGCGGTGGCGGCCAGCTGATCCTCGCATTGATACCGCTGGGGACCATGACCTTGCCCAGCGACTTCCTCTCCATCAGTTCCCTTGCAAACTTGCCCGGCGTGACGCCGACGACCTTCTTGAAGACCCGGTGGAAGTGACTGGGCGTCAGGCCGGCCTCTCCAGAGAGATCGGACAGGGTAGGCCGCTGCTTCTCCCCACCGGCCAGCGCGGCCAGCGTCATGGTCTCGCACGCCCGCTGTGCCAGCCGGATATGCGGATCCGTGGGCGCACGCACGTCTTCGGGCTTACACCGCTTGCAGGGACGGTATCCGGCCTTCTCGGCCTGGAGGGGAGTGTCATAGAACTCGACATTGGCACGGCGGGCAAGACGGGCAGGGCAACGCGGTCGGCAATAGATCTTGGTCGTCCGGACGCCGTACACGAAACCCGTGGCAGAGGCATCCCGGGTGACGATTGCGCGCCATCGAGCAGTGGTTGAGGCATATGCCGTCTTGTTATCCGGATCCGTAGCCATGGTTGGGATGTCTCTTGATGGACGACTGATCGGGAAAGGGGGGGGAGGGGGGGAAGAGAACGGCGGTAAGGTTGATATAGGGCGGACTTGGCTTTTGGGGAGAGGGATCGAGATATTGGAAGGGGTGTTTTTTTTTTCTATAAGGACAGTCTTGTGTCTATATCCATCACTCTGTTCTCTCTTTGCCTTCTTTTCTTGCTTTTCTCGTCTTCTCGTATTTCCTCCTTACCAACTACGAAGCGGTCAAATTCAGAGCAGCCAACGAGAGAGAAAAAATAAAAACGAACAGGACGAGCGATTCCCGGGTTTCTTTTCGCCTTTCCCTCCCCTTATGTGCGGAGCCTGCAAGATGTTATATAGCTCTTCGCTCTTTCGGGCGCGAGTTGATGGAAGAGAGCAGAGGGCAAGGGCGCGGTCCCGTGATTGGCCAGTTTGGGAGCAAGACGGGGACGCTAGACCGCTCTTGGACTAGACCTTACCACGTGATGTTTTAAAACACGTGATGATGTCATGGTCACATGATGCCAAGCCGAAGTATGGGCAAGCCGAATCGGGAAGGAACAAGAAGCTGGATAGACGAAGGCGAAGACGTAGATGTAGGTGCAGGTGCAGGTAGATATACGGATATAGGATAAAGAGATATGGGTACAGTCTACTGGTACAGAGTGAATCATGAAGTAGAAGTTTTATTTTATTCTCCCGTACATCATTATGAAAAAAAGACCCACGCCAACCCATTAAATCTAGTCCTTGGTCTTTTGGGTACCGCGCAGCAAACCGGTTCGGCGGGCAGCAATAAGACCGGCTTTTTGACCCTGTACGGCATATCGGGAGATGGTCGAGGCTTTACCAATGTGTTGATGGTTACCACCACCGTGGGGCTGGATGATGTCAGTACATTACATGCATAAATCTGGCCGCTCGGGGAGCCACTTACATGGTCGACTGGGTTCATGGCAACACCACGAGTCTTGGGCCATGAGTTGCGCTTGGCGGCAAACTTGTGCTTAGCACGAGAAGCCTCTGTAAACCAGGGTTAGTCATGACCTCCCTTCACATATAAACATACACGAGTAAACGGGGGTAACGCACTGAGGAGAGGCTTGTCTGTACGGCCACCACCGGCAACGATTCCAACCATTCCTCTGACTTTGCTCTTGACGACCTTCTTGGCTCCGCTGGGCATCTTGATACGGGTCTTTCCCTCCTCGGGGTTGTGCCCAATGACAGTAACGTAGTTACCGGACGTCCTGCCGAGCGCACCTCTGTCGCCGACCTTCTCCTCCACGTTCGTCACAACGGTACCCTCAGGCACGGATCCGAGAGGAAGGATGTTGCCGATGTTAAGGGAGGCGTGCTTTCCAGCATAGATGAACTGGCCGGTGTACATACCCTCGTTGGCAATGAACGTCTCGGTGACCTCCTGGTACTTGTATGGGTGACGGAAGGAAACCTGGGCCAAGGGAGCACCTCGACCGGAGTCGTGGATGATGTTCTTCACGACACCGCGCGTGTAGCCATGGCGTTCAGCGTAGTCGAGGGTTCTGAATTGGGCAGGGGCCTTGTTGAGACGGGTGCGAGCCGCTACACATATCGTATTAGCAATTCATCTTTCTCTGATCCTTTTTCTCATCGTTTTTCTTCGTCTTTATAATTCGCTTCCTCCTCCCTCCCCGTCGAATTCGTCGTTGTTGCTTCGAAGGCAAAAATAAAAGAAAGGGATGCTGAAGGTCAACGTACTGAATATAGATCCACGACCCTTCCTCTGATTGCGGATCACGCGACCCATGATTACTGCAGTGAAACTGTTAGTTAGATGTCTTTTCGGTGCCCCGTCATGCGCCCCTGGCTTCAAGAGAGTGTGGTCGTACCTTTCGCGAAGATGTCGGCTTGGTCGAGGAAAAAGTTGAAGTTCGTGATGCAAAAAATATCGAAGTTGTGTGGTTGCTTCAGTGTGGGAGTCGCTAAGCTAGCCGCGTTTGGTAGGCTGACTAAACTTGCTTATTAAGCTTCAACGTTCAAACTTTCAAACTTCAACTTCAAACTTCGACTCAACGTCGACGACAAGCACGGAGAAGACGAAAAGACGAAAAGACGATGCTATGAAGGAGCCTGCCATATACTGCCCACAGCATGCGACTACATATCAACGGCTAGAGTGACGCCGGTGCCTGAATAGAACCATATGCAGGGCAGAGGATGACGTTGACAGCTTCTATTCAATAAGCCATACTTCTTCTCTCGAGGTAGAGGTACGCTGCTCGACGACTCATCTTTTCATACACTTAGCCTCTGGAGGCTCTATTTCGACTGTATATATGCCCATAATCCTATATATCAGTGTGTAAAGCTATCTTTCTAGTCAATATCCTTCTTGGGTAAAACTATGACATCTACTTTGGGTGAATTTATGACTACGTGATTCTTTCTGGCTAGGATTTACCACTATTGGCTAGTATCTTGCAATCTTGGTCTACAGTGAATATAACCATGGACGTGAATAGAACTATCGAGTGAATGGTTGGAATTCAAGCTTGACTTATTCACTGAATAGGACGTGTTGCTTTTTATACATATATAGTTGGAAGATCAACCCCCTATTTTTTTACTACAGGCAAAGAGTTCTTCTGCGCCCTCTTTGGCCTTTACTACGGTCTATGCTACAAGGAACATATCTACTCTTCCCTTACATCTACATGTCACGCAGCAATTCTACTCTTTTGCAGACTTGCTTTACGCCCTAAACGAGCGCTGTCAGCTGAAGCTTTTTTTGCTTACGAACTAGCTGCCTGGCGGTTTATCTTATCTCTCTCCAGAAAATACGTGCTACCCTCCATAATCCTTCTTATTGAACGAAAAACGCCAACATCATCCTGTCATCTGCAACTCCGCAAGAACCTCGATTCTGCGCGCGCAATTCAACATGACGGATTCCGATTCCTCCTCGTCCTTGTCCTCTATCGTCTCGACGGCTGACGAGTCCATCGCAGAATCCGTCAACCGCAGCGCTGGAATCACCAAATATTTCAAAAAGGCTGAGAAACCGGAGCGACCGCCATCTCCTAAACGGCTTCCGTCGCCTCCTCATGAATACGTTCTGGCCGATAATCCTAATATTGCAGTAAGTAATTTCTCCATCTCTTTTACTCTTTTTGCGCTGTACTCCATACATACATGTATATTTGAAGAGGCGACCATGACGCGCTCCTTATAGTGCTTTGACGCGAAAAACTAGCTAACACTTTTGCTCCCTAGTTCCTAGTGATGTTTCGCTCGAGATTCAGTGACGTCTTTCCCAAATCGCTTCCGCATTACGGCCCGCAGGATATAGAAAAAGGCGTTGTCGAACCCGCGCCGGGTGACCACGTCGAGCGTCTGCTATGTGCATTGCTTAGTCTGGTACTTAACAGGAAGAAAGATGTCGAGTACGACCCTTACACGCCCTTTTCTATTCCACCACGTTCAAACGTATCACACGAATATATTGAATGCGCATTGTCCAGGACAGTCTGCTAATACGAAACTTCTTCTTTTTATCTTTCTTTAGGAGAGGTCACTATCAACGCGCCCTCGAGGAAGCTATACAAACACATCAGTCGCAGTGGCCAAAGGCATGGCAGGGGAAAAGCCCCCTTGCGAATGGAGGAGGATTTATGACGATGACTCCAGAGGAAAGGGTAAGAGACAGACTTCTTTTTCACTCGGGGTCATTGATTAACCTCTTCCACTAGATCCAATTGCTCGCGACTCTGACAATTTGGGCCCTCTCCTCCTCTGAATCTGTGCAGGCGAAGCTCAAGGAATCCTATAAACAATCTAGGCACGATGGAGATAAGAATCAGCCGCTGTCCGTTCAACCGTGGGGGTCAGATACTCTCAAAAGGCGGTACTGGCTTATCGAAGGCCAAGATGATACACACTTTCGACTTTACAGAGAAAGCAATCCAGCCTTGAAGACGAACACATGGTGGAGCGTAGCTGGCTCAATACCAGAACTACGAGCTGTAGCCGAATCTCTAGCAACGGAGAAATCCCGTGCATCCCGGGAGTTAAGTCAGAAGATACTTAACAGTATCCCGCGATTTGAAAGCTCCGAAGAGGTAAGCGGCAGCCTGCAGAGCCTTCTCCAATTTTACTATCAAGTTCTAACCCGTGTTTAGAAACGCAAACGACGGGACTACCGCATTGCGCGGAAAGCTGCATTTGCCCGTCCCGAACCCGGCTTCTCTCTCTATGAAGGCCGAACTCGTGGGAAGCGAATCAAGTATACTTTCTCTGACGACGATGATTTTTCCTCTGGCGCCCTGCCGTCCAGAAGATCCACGCGCAATCAGTCACGCGCCTCGTCTCCAGAAAATGCCGGTCCTACTTTTACTGCATCTGGCCGCCAGGTCAAATCTAGACTAGGTGGCTTTTATGGCCAGTCTATTCTTGGCAAACGGCCCTTTGAAGCTACTGACGATGAGCCTTTGAACAACCCTGCTGGCAGGGAAGGAATGGAGAACGGCAGGTCTCGAAGAAGCAGACGTGAACATATAAATAATGGATGGGAAGACTCAACACCTATTGACGAAGATAATTCAGAAGGAGACGATGAGCATGAAGATGCTTCGAGCGGGAACGAGTGGGACGAAGATGCAGACCTTGCTGCTGACGATGAAGATGAAGACGAAGCGGGACTAAGCGACACAGACTCATTTACGGCAGACCTACACCTGGATAGAAACAGAAGCTTGATCGTTACGCTGAAGTATGGGAAAGGAAACGCAGCAAAAATGCCTCAACCCGACTTCGTTCAGGCAGAGCCGTTGAAACAAGAGCCGATTCACAACGGTAACCTCCCGACAGAAACTCCCACGAATGGCTACAGCATCGCTGTAACTGGCGAGTCAGCAAAGGAACCCCATATAACTGTCGAAATACCACCCAAGCCAGAATTGTCGAACAACAGCTCTCCTTTAAAGCAGACGTATACCCCAACCGCCGGCAAACAGGAGACCCAACCTCCTTTTTATAATGGAGTTATCTGATATGAAGCCATTGTACTACCTGCTTTAAGCCTTGTTTACTTTGATGACCTGGCAAACAGGAGGCATAGGAGGTTCACCCTGTTGTCCGCTATGGTTTGCTGGTTAGAGTTGTCATATCTTTCTATCTAGCAAAAAAGTAGAAGATACTAGCTGGCCGTTGCCTTTGCTATGTATTATCCACGCAATAATATCCGTATTTAAATATATATTATTTATAAGCCATCTAGAAGACTAAGGCGGGCTGTTCCAGCCAATATCTTATCTAATTGTGAAATTGTACTCTTCATGTGGATGATGGCTAATGCCTGATGTTACACTTGATCATTTGTGTTATATTCTATCTATACACAAAATATCCATTGACTTCACAACTCCATAAGGGTGTAAACACTAAATGTGGTATTATCAATGACTCCTAAAAACGCCCAACAACCGTGAATTCACTGCCAAAACCAAAAGGACGGACAGTCAACTGCTCCCAACAGACGCCTTGCATCACAGTCACAACTCCGACACCTTCCAGTTTGTCAATTTGAACCATAATTGGCGTAGAGTCAGGCCTGTTGCCCTTCCGCTAGCTCGGGCTCCACGGGTCCAGTGTCGCCATCCGGAGAGCGCAAGCGTCCATAATGTACCTTGTATAAGAGGTAGTATCATCTAACAAACCAGATAACTTGAATTAGACTCGGTTTTTTTCAACACTAGATCGAATGGTGTGTGTTTATATATACCTGGTCTCTTAGGGTAATCCAAGCAACGTGCTGCCAGCTAGTAGCTGTCCGGATACTGGCAAGATAGCTCTGATGGAATCGCAGGTCTGGTATTGGAGGTAGCGGTGCCCGTCTTGGCCTCTCCTGTTTAATTACTCTGTCTGGATCCACGATGCCTGTCGAAATGCTCGCAGCGTCCGAGTCGATGTCGTCAAGGCCATCGAGATGGTGTTCAGATGTCGGCGGGAAAACATGACTTTGGGAACCGTATATAGACGCAGCCTGGATATTGTCCGCTATTCGTGCAGATGCGTCTTCCATCGTGAGATACACAGCTTATTATATCAGCCTGTAGAAGCAAGGCTGCTGTCTTCTTGTCTCCTCTCGTCTTCTTCGGCGTAAATAAGTTGATGGTACAAAACTTGCATCGGAGTTTCTTTTGGCGTGTTTGACGTGTTTGCATTCCTCTTCAGCCTGCCCATAAACTTCTTCTTTCTCCCCCACCAAATTTATCTACTTTCATACACTCCGAAGAACAAATTCTCCGATAATCACGACAAACAACAGCTTCACTCTCTTCACACAATGGCTGCTGCTCAGGGATACCCGCTTCTCTGTCTGGAGAATCCCCTCTTGGGTTTGTCTGCCACTTAACCTTTCCTCTCAAGCTGTTGCTAACTTGTAATTTACTAGATATCCAGGGAGAGGGGTATGTGTATCTAGAAGGATTGAGCCCTCCTTTCGACCAATTCGTCCCTGTTAACCAGTATATCTTCTTACTAGAGACCAATCGACTCTAGATAAATATGAGGTCAAGGCAAACGATGCAATTCTCGCTGAAGAAAAGCACATGGGCCTCTATGAAGACTTAATGCAGAACCACAAGGCAAAGCTGATACCCGGCGGAGCTGCTCAGAACACTGCTCGTGGAGCTCAGGTATGGAAAGCCTCCAGTGTCCAGGAACAAGTAAGGCTTGTTTAAAGCGAATTATATGGCTGATTCTTTTATTATAGTATATGCTTCCCAAGGACTCCGTCCTCTACATCGGCTGTGTTGGTAAGGACAAGTATGCTGATATCCTCCGAGAGTCCTGTGCAAAGGCTGGTATCCGAGTCGAATACCGAGTAGATGATGTTCAGCCCACTGGTCGTTGCGGCGTCATCATTACAGGCCACAACCGATGCTTGGTGACCCATTTGGCTGCTGCCAATGAATACAAGCTCGACCATCTCAAGCTGCCCCAAATCTGGGACCTTGTCGAGAAGGCCCAGTTTTACTTCGTCGGTGGCTACCATTTGACTGTCTGTGTTCCAGCCATCCTTGCTCTTGCTGAAGAGGCCGCTGCGAAGAACAAGGTATGCCATGCCCGTCGAAGTCCTCCGGGACGGGTATATAAAAAGTCACGGAGCTAACCTGAGGCATAGACCTTCATCCTCTCACTCTCTGCCCCATTCATCCCAGCTTTTTTTAAGGATCAGCTTGCTTCAGTCCTCCCATACACCGACTTTATCGTCGGAAACGAGGCTGAGGCCCTCTCATTCGCTAAATCTCAGGACTGGAAGACCGAGGACATCGCTGAAATTGCCGAAAAAATGGCCAAGCTCCCAAAGACTAACAGCAAGCGTGCAAGAACTGTCATCATCACCCAAGGAACTGAGCCGACCATTTCAGCAGTCTCCAATGCATCTGGTGAAGTGACCGTCACTAAGACTCCTATCCGTAAGATCCTCAAGGAAGAAATCTGTGACACTAACGGAGCTGGGTGAGTTTTGATTCCATTTTCTGTCATAACTGATAAAGAGTAGTATAACTAATACTACGTTCAAAGTGATGCCTTTGCTGGCGGATTCTGCGCCGGTGTTGTTCAAGGGAAGGATGTTCCAGAGTGTGTCGAGATGGGACATTGGCTCGCCAACTTAAGCATCCGAGAATTGGGTCCATCGTAAGTTACTTTATACCTGTCAAGAGATGCTTGAGGGATAATATCAGACTTAATCGATCCTATACTAACCTAGTCGCAAAATAGTTACCCATTCCCACAACAAACCTACACCGAGTAGATTAATAACCCATTCGCATTCGCCTAGGCTCAACCCTGTGCACCGAATAAAGGGGTATCAGGTTTTCTTTACAATATTGTAATTTCATAACTGGGTATCACTAACTTGGATCAACTCCCTCCACATTGCTCCCGTCACAAGCAAACCGAACTATACCCACCGCCTTTCAACCCAATACCGATGACCACCTACATGACTTTAACAGCTACGAGATGGAACCTAACAACCAGGGCCCCTTTGGGGGTATAACCAGGCTTTGATGATAAGCTGAGGACATTTTTATAAGATTTATTATAAGAAAACGGTAGAATAAAATAGTTACAGGCACGTTTTCAACAACGAACGACAATATACATAAGATCAGTTGACTTCGTTAAGTGTTCTCTTGAGGCTGATCATAGGAATTAAAAGCAATTTTCGATCGAAACATGACAAGAAATATTTGAAAAGTAAAAGAGACGGAAAATTGAAGTGTTGTCCGGATGAAGATCGAGTACCACTAATGGAGGCGAGCAGGGGCTTCAGACCGTTTCCAGCTTCGAACCCCTTTTCGGGGTTTGTGTTGATTGCTCAAGAATGCAGCGTAGTCTTTATGGTGAAAATTAAAAGCCTAACCCTGCACGAAGCAGGTCACCTCGTAAATTCCCTTTGGGGGTACTTTCTGATTCAAATACCAACTAGCAATCATGCAAATTTGACCACGGGCTCCTTCATTGGAAGAGGGACGTCATGGAAACCAACAGCCATAGGTGGACGTTGTTCAATGTCCTCTTGATAACTAACCATGAGGTGTATAGGTAGTGCATTATAGGCCAAGCCTAGCAGAAAGAGTACTAAATGGGCTGCATAAAAAGCAAGCCAGGCCCTGAAACCGTCATCCTCCTTGCCCATTAGGTGGTGTTTGCTCGCCGATGGCTCCGGCATAGTTGCGGCTTCCCGGATACTGCATACTTCCAAGGTATGGAGATGAGGTGTACAGCTGAGGAAGTTGGGCCTGACTGTAGCTGGTACTGTACTCCGACGGTTGAACGCCGAAGAAGGATGTTCCATTAATATGGCTGGTGATATTACCGAGACGTGGTGTTTGCATGTATGATAAGCTACTCGAGAAGTCATCCACAGGAGTGGGGACAAAGGAGCTTGAGTGTGCAAAGGCAGACGAACCAAGTGAGCCAAGGAAAGGGGAAACAGTATTTCCACCCGCTGGCAGTATCTGAGGAGAAGCTGAAGGTATGGCTGTAGATGGGCGGCTTGTTGGAGACATAGCTTCGCCAGGTTGAGGTGCGAATGCAGTGTTCATTATGCTTGGAAGTGGTGGTCCCGGAGAATAGGACTGGACATGCGCTGGCCCTTGGGTTCCCGAGATGGTGCCTTCAAACCCTTGACGGACAATGCTCCGCCGGTGAGTCGAATCGAGCGAAGCATAGTATGATGGGTTATTATCGACATCTGCTAAGCTTTCAGCTGGTTCTGACTCGACCAGGTTATCGACCATTCGATGCATTGACACTGAACCCGATATAGACGCTCCATCCTCCAATGCACCCGAAGAAGGGGCTGGCTGTTGTATTTCATCCCGGTCAATGCTGGTGGAAGAAAGGGTGTGGCCATGTCTATGGGCTAGGTTGCGAGGGGTTGAAAATTGTGGGAGTCCCTCCTCTTTGTAAACGAATAATTTGGCATCCTCCTTGTCCACCATCACTATCGGAATCTTTTCATGTACTACGAGATCAAGACCGTCAATCACAAATTCGCGAATTCGAAATAACATATCCGTGTTGTTGGAAGTTGAAGTTTCTGTATGCAATCGCCTGGGTTTCGTTGCTCCAGGAGGCCCGTAACGTCTCATAGTACTCTCATATGCGAAAGGTTTGAACCCAAGGGTATTCTCATCTTCTTCAAGGAGGTATTCAACCTCAGGCAAGTTGGCAACATCGAAGGTGGAGGTGAGTAGGGTCAGCGCATTAGCATAACTCTTCCAGAGCTCTTTGATCTGTATGCATAACGGGCTATCTTTTGTTTCAGGGGCGGAAACCAAGACCGGGCTATTGACGAGCAACCAACTACTATAGTGACGCAAGGCTGGAAGGATCGAGTAGGCAACCGAAGTCACCTTGTCTGCAGAGCATTCAAGCTCAGCGAGGAAAACTTGAAGAAGGGTAAAGAAGAACTTCACGTTCAGCCTTCGTAGAAACACCTCGGCATTTACATCCTTTGCGTTGCTTTCAGAAGCGATATTGATAAGAGCACATTTTTCCAACAGGGGATGTTCAAGAACATTTTCTTTCAAATCAACCGTAACCTGGCGCATAATCTCATTTTCACGTTCCTCATGTTCAGGAGAATCTCCCTGGTAGCATTGGGCGTGGAGGTGTATGAAGGAGTTGACCAAAATTGTTTGAGGGTCGTTTGCGGTTGATTGTTCCCCTTTTTTCTTCAAAGCTAGAATCTTTTTGAATTCCTTGGTCAAGTTTTTGTGAGCGTTAGGATGAGGCTCTTGCGCTGAGAGCGCTCGATATAAGTAGTACACGGCATCTAAGTGCTCCTCTTCAGCAAGTGCAATAACAGCAAACTGATTGAATGGGTTGCCGGAGTTTGGATTCACCAACGAGGCCATCAGGTAATTTTTCGTTGCACGCTCCCAATTCTTCTTTGACTGATCCACCAGCTCGGTCTGATAGTAACGTCCGAGATCTCCAAGTCTGATAAGAGTAGCATGACACGACGAGAGCACTGCGCGTTTTAGCTGGGCATCCAACATTTCGGTAGAGCTCGGGAGTTCCTCCTTTTCAAATAGATATCCTTTCCGCCTTGCAACTTCTTCGAATTCAGGGATGTGATAGGCCTTAAAGTCCTCTAGGAGACGGTATATGTATTCTTCGTAAAATTCCTGACTCGACTTGATGAACTTTGAATAGCGATTTATAAGTTTGCGCTTCTCAACAGGCCGTTTTTTGCCCTTTTTCTCATCTTCCTGGATATTAGATAGCCATTTCCGGAACCGACCATTAATCTCCAAATGCGCATCCCAGAGACCGCCTTCGAGTTTCAGCGCATTCATCGGATTGCAGGCATCCACTCCGTCGAGTCTTCCCGCAGTTCCTCCATTCCTCGGACTCCTTATTCCTTCTCCAAAGATCTGGAAGATAGAAACCTGTCCTGAAACTCGAGTTTCAGCTAATAGACGCTCAACTTCAGCAAATGTTGGTTCTTTCTCCTTCAAAGCGCAAATCAGCTTCGTCTTGCATAGTTCAAACGTTTCCTCTGCGTTCATATGACCGGCTCCATTTTGAATCACAGATGCGGCCATCATTCGACCGCCTGGTTGGACAGAACAAGCGTAGCGGTGCCCCGGGCGCTCAAGAGTTACCCCAGGTCGTCGGACGTAGAATCCGGGTGTGTTAAACCGCGCAGTGCGTTATGGAAGACGACGGAGGGCGTAGTTGGTGGAGCAGCGTTGGTGATGGCGCCCATGGAGTTTTCTTCCAGCTAAATGTCCATCTGAAATCGCAAATTTCCCGGGCTCCTTGGACCACAGACCCGCCAGTCCGTGATACCAAATAGTGAAGGAGATAAAGATTTCCTTCGGCCTGGAAAATGCGATCACTTTTGGCGACATTTTCCGTTTAATTCTCATCACGTGATATGCACCTTTGGGGCGGAAATTCTACGAAGGAGTTGATAAAATAGTATTCTCGTGTATATATTATTGGTTCGTATAAATATAGGCAAAACGGAATTCCTATATATATGTGTGTATGTATGGTGGATATTGCTATATCATTCACCGTTGAATATGCCTCTTACAAACGTCCCTTGAGGGCACCAAATCCGTTGACATTGAGTAGCCGTTCGGCTTCAGCTCTCTGTGCCTTGACCTTAGCCATAGTGGAATCCTTCCTCTGCTTGTTCTCTCGCTTGCCCATTTGCTGGAGGTGAACCTCATCTGGGCCATCTGCAATTCTTAGAGTGCGGATGTTTGCCCACATATTGGCAAGCGGAGTATCTTGACACACTCCCATGGCGCCGTGAGCTTGGACAGCACGGTCAATAACAGCGAGGGCTACTTGTGGTGCAAGGACCTTAGCCTCAGCAATTTCCTTTAGAGCAGCCTTAGCGTCAGCGCCATCTATGCGAGCAGCAGCGTTCAGGACTATCAGACGAGCGGAGTCAATCTCGAGACGTGATCTGGCAATCCATTCAAGGATGACACCATGAGAAGAGAGCGGAGTCCCGAACGGCTTCTTGTTCTCATCATTTGCACGCGCAATCATCCATTCAAGGGCTCGCTCAGCAGCGCCAATGGCACGCATGGCATGGTGGATACGTCCTGGTCCCAGGCGGCCCTGGATGATTTCGAAGCCACGACCTTCACCTAGAACAATGTTGGACACTGGTACGCGCACGTTCTTAAAAGAAACTTGTCCGTGGCCGTGGGGGGCATCATCAAATCCATAGACGTGGAGCATTCTGTGTATGGTGACGCCCGGGATCCCGGCAGGAACTAGAATCACCGACTGCTGCTTGTATGGATCTGGGTTGTTAGGATCCGTCTTGCCCATGACAAGGTACAGCTTGCACCGTGGGTCTCCGACACCGGATGACCACCATTTCTACAGATTAGTTAGTATCTGTAGATATACGGAGAACATTTTTGTAGACTTATTGTATAACGCACCTCTCCATTTAGAACATACTCATTGCCCTCACGACGAATGTTAAGTCGAATATTTGTAGCGTCGCTCGAGGCAATATCTGGCTCAGTCATCAAGAAACCAGAACGAATCTTTCCCTCCAGCAGAGGGTCTAGCCATTCTCTCTTCTGAGCCTCGTTTCCGTACTTGGCCAGAACTTCCATATTGCCGGTGTCAGGCGCAGCATTGTTTGTGGCCTGGACATATAATCTCCGTATTAGCTACTTTGAACTCATTCGAAGACCTGTCAATGGCTTCGTACCTCGCTGGCAACTCTGCTCTTCCCAAGTAGCTCTGCCATTAATCCGTATTCCACGTTGCTGAAGCCGGCGCCCTCCTTGAAATGATTCTTGGGCAAGAACATATTCCATAGACCAAGTTTCCTTGCTTTGGCCTTCAGATCTTCTATGATAGGAGGATGCTTGGTAAATCTGGCTTCGCCTTCGCCTAGCTGGGCCTGGAAGAGGGTGTCTGCCGGGATACATTCTTTCTCAACGAATTCTTCCACCTGAAAACCCACACAAGTTAGCCAGACGGGTTCTTGGTGGCACTGTCGAGTACTTGGAGGTTCCTCACGATGTCTAGTGTCTTTCTCGCGCGCTCGCTCACGAACGGTTGGATGACAGGGGGAATTCTGGTGGAGGCAGCCATTGTCGAGTAGTTCACAACACAACCTGGAGATCAAACGTAACTAGCTAATTGAGCGTGGGGTGATGAGTGTATCGTATTGCGACCTAAGCTAAAGAGTCCTTGGGAATGAGTATTATATAGGAGAAAAGCAAATAATGTTCATGGAGAACTACAGTGCAGGCTCGGTTCGGCAAGATATTCGTTCCCTCGTAAGTTAGGCGGAGTTACCGATAGAGTTTCTTCCACGAGCCGAGGCTCGAACAGAAACTTTGAGTAGCTGGTAGATTCTAATTGTTGACCTAAGGTTGTAAATAAGATGTTTGCAAAGGATTGCTGTATTCAAGAATATGATCTATTACGGTCTTCGTAGAGCCTCAGTAAATGATGCCTCCTTATGGTCTTGTTACATCCGCAGATAAAAAGGAGACCGGGGTAAAAGAGGTGTTACGTATAGATGGCAGCACTGAAGGTAAGACACCTGAGGAAGCAAAAAGTGCAAGTAACCGAAAAATGTTGGCTATCATCAAAAAGAGACGGGAGGAATAGCGCTGAAGGGCAAATCTCCTTCGGCGAAGCATTTGGTCGCATGTATCATAGCAGTCGCAGGCAGTTTGGGACAGCATATGTGAGATCACTTTGAGTTCCAGCACTAAGAGTACTCTGGTAACTCCTCATCCAAATACACACAGAGAGAGCCATCAGAATGCGCAGGTCATCTCTTTGCAACCTTGCATAGGAATATATGAACCGGATGCGCACATATCAAAAAAATGCAGATGGGAGCCATTTGCCGTCAAGTAAAAATCATCTATAAAACTCCCTTTGTACTGATAACCTCGCCTTCCTTCCCAGCAACCTTAGCGGTGGCATCTTTAATAGCTACCGCCAAAGCTTTAAAGGCAGCCTCGGCACGGTGATGGTCGTTTTCTCCCTTCAACACATCGACGTGCAGGGTGACACCTGCCGTATGTGCAAAGCTCTGGAGGCCGTGGGGAATCATCTGGGTAGTAAGGTTACCAATCTTTGCATCCTTGAAGTCAAAGACGCCAGCGAAGAAAGGGCGGGACGAGATATCGATGACTGCCCGCGCAAGTGCCTCATCTAGCGGAGCATAGGCGCTCCCAAATCTCTTGATTCCCTTTCGATCCCCCAAAGCCTTTGACAGGGCCTCTCCGAGGGCAAGGAATGTATCCTCGGTGGTGTGATGGTCGTCAACTACGGTGTAATACGGTCAGCGCGGAAAAAGAGTAGCCAACAACGATACCACTGGAAACAAGCTACTCACTGGCAAGATCACCAACGGTACGAATTCGTAGACTCCAACCACCATGTTTCGCCAATGCATGCAACATATGATCTAGGAATCCAACCCCAGTCCATATCCAGATGTGCTGTGAGGGGGAAAATTGGCATGCATGGTGCTCTTCTTTTTGATCGGGGACACTGGATGACTTGAAGGCTTTGTGGCTATCAGGCAGGACATCTAGCGGGCCTCCGTCTATACAGAGCGATACCTGGGCTTTGGTCTCCTTCGTGAACCTCTCCACATACGAGCTGCGTAGCTCTGCCATGACTCGTAAAATATATTGTATAGAAATGAAGCAACCAATTAACCGGGTGATAGGCTTGCGGAGCCTCCAGTATATGCCAAGCCGTCAACGGCCGCCTTATTTTTCTCCAACTAAATGATCGTGCCCTAGAAACTAGCGTTGCAAGGGGCGTTGCAGCTCCAGTTCTTCGCAGCCTGCTTTGCTCTGCTTCGACTTTTCCTTTCATGCGAGTTGCTCATCTTTCGGGAAACGTAACCACGTGATATAATGACTAATCTTCATAGCAAGCATTTGGCCGTTGGACAGTTATTAGCTGAAGATTCTTTGATATACACTCTAGAAGAGGGTTGTTTCTTATGCAGGAATAGGTATAAGATAGTACTGTGGTTGGGGATCAAAATCTCCTGCAGAACTGAAACTGAGGCGGAAACATATTGTTCTAAAGCAACGGGCAACTTACCCAAGGACAGAGCAATAGTAACATAAGCAGTAAAGAAAAGAAGACATAAAGGTACATTGAGAAATACTGATACAATGGAGTCGTTACGAGTCTGGTGGCGGTCATTAAAAGAAAGGAAAAGGGGAGTGAGCCCGGGTCATAGAAGTCAGACTGGTTCTCCCATCTCAAGCACCATCATCGTCAACAGCATTCTCACTGCTCATCTTGTCGTAAGATTTCTTCCCGAGGGCCTTGGCAAAGAGCATTTGTGGTTTACCAGCACTAGAAAGCAGCCAAAGTCAGAATTCGTCATTTAACTGGGGTATATAATGTGTAGTTCATTGCGGTCATTCTTGGTTGACTTACTTTTTGAACTTCTTGCCTTTTAGGTGGCTTAACTTCTTTGTGCAAGGGCTCATAATTCCATCTGATGGAGAGATAATATGACCAGATTGCCTGCTATGTATGTTAGCACGGTGCTAGAAAGCATCAAATCTCCGCTGGAAATATATGGATACATACTGTGAATCACCCTCTATCTTCTCTTTCAGCACTTGTCTATGGTATTCCATGGATTTCGTAGTAGCAGCCTTAAGGTCTGCTTCGGCCTCTTCGACTAGAGTACTCGACATGGGAAGGTGAGTGTTTGTTGGGCGGTCAGAGAGTGGCTGTTTAGAGGGGGAGCTGATGGATGCCATTATGCGATAACCTGGAAGTATGGCCTCTTGATATGTCTGCGAAGGGAGTACGGGTTTGAGCCGAAGGGATGGTATTTGTAAAGTGTGAGTTCTCCAGTATTCTGGAGAAGGGAAGGTTGTTTATCTCGGAAAATCTCTCCCTTTATATATCGTATTCGTCAGCGATTCTCATGTGTGATCTTCTTTGTTTACACACGCGGGAATTAGGAAAAGTTTTCTCCCCGTTCAAAGTAAAAAGGTAATATCAAATGACAACAGGGTAAGCCTCTGCGGTGTCTTTCGCATGGGACCTTGATCAACTTTGCATGGGTGGAGGCAAGCCGTGGGTAACATTACTACCTGACATTCTAGACATACCTTTTATTATTTCTTCTCTTCTTCTTGATAGTCCTGCGAGTAGTGTATTTATTTGTTCTAGATTTCACCCAATAACTGAGTATGCGATGGCAACGGGAAGAGAATTCATCCGCCTTTGGGAAGTTTTCATGTTGACACTTTGTCGGATAAGGTTGATAAGCGATAGTTTCCATAGCAACAACCATCGTTGCTGACTCATCACGAATATAACTCGTCACTAATTAGGGGCGATTGTAGGTATTGGGTATATAATCATATACGGTACTTAAATTATATGTGCTATATGGAACTATGTATACATGCTCTCTCCTTGACGGATAAAAAAAGTACGATATGGCCCTTCCAATGGTCGTAGATAAGAAAATGCCGTAAATGTCATAATAGTATAAAATGGTTTGAATCATCGATCGTTGCAAGTTTCAATAATTAGGAGAAAGAATGTCCTTCAGCCTGCCCATCATCCGATTCTGACTCGTGTTTTTCCGCTATATCCTTAGCAGCACGTTGCCTCAGGCGAAGGTCCGGATCGCTCAGAGACGCAATGCCACTGGTGGCGGAGGCAGCGAGACCTTCATGTGGCTCAAGAGAGAAGTGGTGCTTCCCAGATCTATCTGGCGTTGTGGTTCTAGATGTTGGTGTGGGTGGGGAGTATGCAAAGGTAGGATTCTCGACTTCATAATCTGTTTGCTCCGAGGGACTGCGGTGATGACGTGAGTGGCTTTGGTGGTGATGACGGACCGTCTCGTCTCTACTTAATATTGATGAGCCCATTCTGCTCATAGGCGGCGGGCTAGGGCTTGCGGAGGGTGCAGGTGAATCATAAGTAGGAGACGAAGAACGAAAGCTCCGAGTGCGGGTAACGATGTTTCGTGGGAATTCAAAGTATGGCGCCCCTGAGCTACGGGAAAATAGTACTAGGCCAAAACAAACGAGGACGAAGATGCTTTGTATCACGGCAACTCGTTTCTGAAACACGAGCTCGTCTGCAAGGACACCCAGTTGGGCAGCAACCGAAAATACTTCTCGATGATACTGTTGGCGTTGTTGTTCAAACTCTATAAAGACGGAATGCCAGAGATGGTCATATTGCTGGCGAAACTCCTTCAATTCCTGCAGCACGGTAGAGTTAAGATTTTCCAGGAATGCAGATGTTTTGGCAAGTTGGCGTTTTTCGACTTTATTAAAGGCATCGCGAAGGATGCGAGATTGCTCTTCTATATATAAAAGAGATAGCGTAGAATTTGATTCTAACATCTGGAGCCGTTTGTTAACTGATTTGAAGAAAGACTCCTGAGTAGATGGGTTAGGGGGTGGCGATGAAGGGGGTGGTGGGTTGGCTGCAGAGTTCATCCTAGTTGGCTCTGTATGCGAGCCATCTGCGGTGACAGCTGATCCTGTAGAACTGCGACGGGTTTCTTCTCTATCTGAAGCCGTCCATACCCGAGTTGAAGGGATGGAGCGTATCTGCTCTAGAGTATTGGCAGAGCTGATGGATCCGCTTGCAGGAGCAGCAGTATCGTCTCTCACATGGGTGGCTATAACGGGTTGTCTTTCCATACGAGCAGCTCGTTCTTGAATAGCACACATCTTACCAGACACCAGTCCAAGTAGGATGCTTTCTGTCTCGTTCCTTTCCACAAAACATCTGAGCTCTGTCAGTTCATGGTTGGATAGGTTGGATAGAGGAACCAACTGGGCGTCCACAGTCGACTCGGGGATAGAAACATTTTCATGCACAACTGCTTCAACTTGTTCCCGTTGTGGTTGCTGTTGTGGTTCTTCTAGCTGCGCATTTGCATCCTCCTCTTCATCTGCTCTTGTAGCTTCACCGTCATTCTTATATTCCTCCATCATAGTAGTACCATGCACCCGAACCAAGCTCACGGGGCAATAGAATTCATTCCCATAATGGGATAAGAACTCAATCTTCAGGTATCTGGCCCAGATAAGCGGGTTTTCCACAGCGAATGCCTGAACCTGTCGGGCATTAGCAGCTTCATAGGTTCCCAGAACGCGCCATTTATCCGCCTTGATCGGATATCGATCAGACACACTGACTCGGAAAGAGCGAAATATGGAGCTGAAAAATTCGTAATTTGCCAGTACTACCGTATCAACAAGGATGTCATCACATAATTCCATGATCAGGAATTTTTCCTTGGCCCTGCATTCACTCAGCATGTAGCTATCCTTATTCTCGTTCAGCACGGCTGAGGAGCCCGTGCATTGGGGATTTGTTTTCAAGACTGTTGCAGCGCAGTCGAAAGATGCATAGTTGAACCGTTCCTTACAAGTTGTTCCTGCATGTTTCCGACGACCAATCCCCTTTCGCGGAATATTCTCAGCATCCTGGCCGTCGAGCTCAAAGGCGGGCTGGGAGAGTTTCTTGCCCTGATCATCACCGCCTGTCGTAGTAGATCCCATATCGGGAGGTATTCCACTTTCTTTCCTGTCCCACGAAGCAACCCCCGACTCATCTGTTGAAAACCCCCCGAATTCAAGATCGATCTCTGACTCCTCGCCCAGGCCGTCAAGGGGATCATGCATCTGAGATGGTCGCGTAGGCCGTCTTCTCACTTGCCCGCCATGCTCACCGCTGCGCCCAGAGCCGGGTCTATGCCGCCGCATATGTTCAGCAGATTGCCCTGCTCGAGCCAGATTCTGATTCTTCCATTCCTCAAACGAGAGGAAATGGGAATTATCCAGCGGTGACTCTATATCAGCATCGTCTTCTTTCCCCTTGATACGTCCAGAATCACCACCACCCCCACCACCCTCCTCTGGCATAGAAGAACCAGTATATCCCGGCACCGTCACCGTCATTTCCCTGGCATCCAAATATATACCGGCAGAACCAATCGTAGCCGTCGTATCGACGCCGGTAGCATGCCGCATCGCCCCTCCAACAGCCCATCTCGTCTCTAAACAGATAGGATGACGTATGTACTCTGCACCTAAATCCCCCGTCATCCGCGCCTGGCAGACGGTATTCGACTTATCCACCGCCATCAACCGAGACTCAATGGGCGCGGTATGAGAGTCCGCAACTGTTTCCGCAGAACAAACCGTGAGAAAGGCCAGGAACGCAGACGTGATACGGTCCGTCCGCGGACGTTTACGCCAGAGTGGCGAAGGCCGATACCAATTCATGATGTGTGTACGTGCAAGGACAGCCCGCTCTTCTTTCCCTATGCTTCCTTATACTTTCTGTCGAACGTGTGTAAAGAGTGTATATAGTTTTCGGTTGTGTGTATGATTCACAGGTACCCGAGATAGCTATCTTTCCCTATGCCTTAAACACCGCCAGTTAGCCCGCGTAATGCATTATTACTTCATCGACCAAAAGGGGGTCCCACATACTTCATTATTATTATTATTTTTCACTCAACTGCATCGTGTTCGCCGTTCACTTGTCCGGCCCTCGAGTAGCAGGGGAATTCGATCCCACGTCCGAACATGGTAGTATCGCAAGACAGAAAAAAAATCCACCCCCCTGTCTAGCTAGCTCTCCTGATCATCCCAGGCCCAGGACATAAGGCGGATTTCCTTATCAGTGGTTCTTATTTGACGGATTTGTCCCTTGATAAGACACGCTGGCTTGAACTGTCGGTGTGAGAAAAGAAATATCTTGCATATCTGGCCTGTTGGTTTTGCGTTGGCTTGGTTGGGCGTGAAGTTATGTAAAATTAAGCTCTGTGAGCCGCGTTTATTATTAGCATCAGCCTTTTTTGGATATAAAGCTGTTACCATAGTAAGTGTTTTCTAGAAGATATATTTCCAGCTATGGAGATTATACTCTGTACACCTGAGTAGAGGGGCCAACTCGAAGGGCCACCTGTAGATGCATACATGTACATGGATAGCTCCAGTGTAAGTGCTACGTATGAAAAGCATAATATTCAACCACGGAAATGTTCTTTCATTTAATCAATTTTATCAACCTTCCCATCCATCCATCCATCCCAATCCCTTTCTTCTCCCCCCACGCCTCAAGCCAATGTAATCAAAACGAGAGAACAGGCCCCTTTCAAAATTCGCCAATTGAACGAGGAACGAAAACAAAACACCACCTTCACTTCCACCTACCAAACTCTCCTTCTTTCGAACAAGTCTAACAAGGCAAGACCAGTAAAAGCAAATGTAAAAGAGATAGTACATTTCCTTTCTTCTTCTTTTCCTTCCGAAAACCAATTTTTGTTTGTGTTTGACATGAGATAGGAAAAAAGAGCAGTATAGATGGGGATAAGGGAAAGTGATTTTTTTTTCATGTTGAAAGGGGTGAAAACATTAGATTAGCGGAGGTAGGAGGGAGAGAGTAGGTATGGAGAAATATAGATAAGAGGAGACACTCGATAAAAAAGACCAAGAGTAAAAAAGAACAATCTGGTAAAAAGTAAGATTTTTTTTCCATGGCTTGCTTCGTTCCTATAACGTAGCCGTAGTCGTTCCCTTCCACCTTTTTCTCCTCTGCGTTGGACATTGGCAGAGAAGAAAAAGGTGGCTGCCAGTACAAGTCGATGCAACTGACACGAAAACTTCGTCTTTTCCATCTCTCCCAGGTAGGCAGATGCTTGCTGCGGGGAGACCCAAAAGAAAATAAAACCATCGTGTCCCTCTCAAGATGAGAACTAGCGTAGCGTAGCGTTGCCTGAGTATGTGGAGTAATAATAATGATAATAATAAAAAAAGAGATAAAACAAGGAAATGAAAAAGTAGTAGCGATGTGGGTGTGTGGCAATGTGAAATGGCAATGTGGAATAGGAGGAGAGAGAATTATATATGAGCAAAAAAGGGAGACAAGGAGAACAAGAAGACAAGGAAAAAGCATGAATGATCTGCAGAAATGGAGAAGAGAAGTTTGTCAACAAACGCCGCAATTTGTGGTATCCCCCTTCGAATTCTTTCAATGTTCAACACCGCTTCGAAATGAAGCTAAGCTCCGTCAGGCCGACCCATATTCTGTTGGTAACAATAACAAGGCAAGTTATATAGTACAGGGTAATGTTTGGCGACGATGGCCCAAGTCAAGTCCGGATCAGTCCATCCTGATCTAGTCCGTAGATGAGGATAGATAGGTAGGTAGATCGGTGATCGCCGTAATGTTTCGGTCTTGCAACGCACGTTGAAGGGGGGTATTCGAGTTGAGGATAAAAAATATGAAAACGCAACCGCAGCGAGCCGATAGGGTGGTAGTAAACAGGTATAAGAAATGCAGACCGGACCGTTTGAGTTATAGATATATCGTTTAAGGTCGAAGATAGAAAAAAAAGCACGCTAAACTCCGATTGGATCCCAAAGAAACTGAAGTGAAACAGAATTGTAATATATTATCAGGCTGAAGAATTGGAGATCGTTGCGTCATCTTGAGAGGGGCGTCAGGTATATGAAGAAGTAAAAAAGGTATTTGCTTATCGTGAGATGGAAAAACGAAGGAAGATAGGGAAAGCGCTAGGCTTTTCGATATAGGATGGGACTACGGGTGTAGGTCCTGCCAACCGCCGACAAAGTCGAATTCGTCATCAATCACCGCCGGGGAATAGATGGGAAGCTGGGGGTAATGTTGGGCTCTCTTTGGTCTGATCGTCTGGTCTTTGTCGCGACGCCAATCCTTGCTCAGCATATAAGGTTGGATGGGTTGTTGCTGGTAATTGTGTCCTCGGCTGTCCTTCGACTGGAACTTCTTCTTGGTCCAGGTGCCGTGATCGTACTGTGGTTCCTTTCGCCAGCTGGGAGTCTTGGTCTTGGGGGTAGAGGCAGCACGAAGATCTTTTTCGGGCGAATGGTTCATGCGCTTCTTGCCCAGAGCAGCCCACTTGTCCATAATTGAGTTCTTAGACGGAGAGTATCGGGATGGCGGGACAGGAGTGTTGCTGCTCTCCCCAAGAATGCTTCGTGGCTTGGATGGCGTGGCTGGAGACACGGCCTTCTTCTTATTCTTCTCGTCCTTGACGATTGGAATTGGCCGGACGTTAAGCACGGAAGATGGATCCTCAATTTCAGAAAGGCCAAGGCCAGTGACATCAGCGGTATTGCTCTCCTTGCTCCAAGTTCGGGAGTTCTGGGCCTGGCGGCTGCGCAGGCGGGCTTCCTCGAGTTCAGACTCCTCCTCATCCCAAAGATCGCTCCAGCTCTTAGACACTTGATCGGAGCTACCCTTTCCAAAGACCAGAGACATGGCCGAAAATGGGCGAGTCGCAGTAGTAGGGAGAGACTCACTGATAGGAGCTGGGCGGGGGGCTTTGCGGAAGGTAGACTGGCGGATCTTCATCGATTTGAACGAGGCACCCAAATTTGAATCCAGAGTAGAACCGATCGATGGGGAGACAGCGTGCGTAGAGTACCAGGAGGCACCATCCACTTCTGAGGCAGGGAAGAGATCCTCGCTGTAGCTCTCGGTATCCGGGATAACCGAGAGACGACGAGCATCCTGCTGAGGGGAGATCTGAAGAGCCTTTGCCCAAGGGAAAGAGTCTCCCTGGTTGACCTGCGGAGTCTGAATGGATGGGGTGCGAAGAGGTTCACGGTAGGCACTGGCAGCAACGACGTCACGGTCTTCGGTGCAAAACTCATCGAGAGACTCATCATCTGTGGTGAAGGTGACGGCACGCACGATGGACTCTCTCATGCCGGCAAGTGATCTCCTCTCGGGGTCCAGAGCAAGAGAGTGTCTGAGCACCTCAAAGGTATCCTGGGACATGTTTGGGAAGATGTCGAAGAGCGACTGTCGGTCACGAGAGTAGTCGGCGAAGAGGATGTCGGATTCAGTGGGAGTGACGAAGGGGTTCTTCGCGAAGAGGATGTTCAAGAGGCAGATGCCGATGGACCAGATGTCGGCTTTGGCAGGCGAGTATCCAGCCGCAGTAGGCTCGTACTGTTCCGGAGCCATGTATCGGTCACTTCCTACACAAGCCTCAAAGGACCAAGGGCTGCTGGTTGCCAGGCCAAAGTCGCCGAGCTTCATGGAGCCATCCTGACAGAGGAAGATGTTCTCTGGTTTGATGTCTCGATGGTAGAGCCCCTTAGAATGCATGAACTCAACGCCGTCGATGAGCTCTAGCATGAATTCCCGTACGTGTTCAGTCTCGAGCGGCCCACGATTAGTCCGGATGGCTTCGTACAAATCACCCATGGAGCAGTATTCGAGAACCAAGAAGACGTGTGATTGGGTCTCGAAGGAGCTCACAAGGTTGACCAAGTTTGGGTGTTGTCCAAGCTTCATGTGGCACTGCATCTCCTCCGAACGGTCATCGACAGATAAGGGAGAGGTGGAATCCGCAGAAGAGGGCTTGGTCAGACACTTGATGGCCACCTGCTCTCCAGTGAAGGTGTCTTTGGCGAGAAAGACCATTCCAAAGGAGCCATGGTTAAGCGGAGCAACTGTCTGGAAACGTCCATCGAGGAGTTTCCCTTGGATAAACTTGTCCCGCAAGCAATCCATGATGGATAATTGGACTTTTGTGGAGACGGGAAAAAGGCCGTTGGTAGGTGGAGCTGCAAGGGAAGCTGGCCCGGTAACCGGCAAGGGAGCAACGGAGAGAAGGAAAAAAGAAGGGAAATCAAAAAAACAAGAGTGGTGTCGTCGATCAGGCTGTCATATAAGAGATTTGGAAAAGAGACGTAAAAAAAAAAGGAGTAAGAGAACAAAAGGAAACAGATTCGCCGTCCGCGGTTGGGAAGTGGATTGCACAAGGCACCTCCGTAATGCTGGAAAGAAGGAAAAAAAGGGAAGGTAATGATCGTTATGACTGCATTTGAGCGTTGTGGCCGAAGAACGAAAGCTGTTTCGTTTTGCCGGTAAACGAGTCGATGTTTGTAACAAGAAAAAAAAGGAAGACTGTTTTGAATGCTGGTTTGGTATGAAATGAATCAAGAAAATAACGCTTCGTGCAAGGTCGTGAGAGAAGATGGGAACAAGAGACGAGAAAGGGGGATATTATCGCTAGAATAGAGTGACTGGGAGCTGAGGTCAAGAAGGCGTTGCCTGCGAGGCGGAAGTTTGGCGGTGGAGGAGGAGGTCTTCAAGGAGAAGAGCAGGCGTTCGACCTTGATGACAAGTCACAAAATTCAGCGATAATAGACGGTTGTTTCCCCAAGGTAAGCCAGCGTGTGTTTATCTGGTGTTGGCCAAGAAGAGTCGACGAGGAGAAACCGTCAGGAGAGGTATGATAGATACCGTGCAACTGGCTCTCTGCGGTGGTTGTCAGGTCGAGATGTTGCTGAGATTGGCGTGTATATATATGTATAGCTTATGGTCGAGTCGAGTCAATGGGGATGACTGTCTGACTCAGAGACGGAGAGAGCTAAGCATGCTACGGCTTGAGTGGCGAGCGTGGCCTTGTACTGTTATCGTAGTATAGTAGCGGCCGTAGTAGTCGTAGTTGGTAGTAGTAGGTGGTCGTTGTGGTAAGTGAGTCAACGGGAGAAGGTCGAGGAAGAGAGTCGAAGGCGAGGACGAAGAGGGAGCGCGAGAGGTGGAGGTGGAGAGTCGAAGGTGAAGGTGAGAGAGACGTGAGAAGACGGGTGAAGAGTCGAGGAGGGAGGAAGAAGAAGAGCAGAAGAAGAAGCAGAAGAGAGAGGAAGATGATGAACAGGAAGACGAAGAAGACGAAAGAAGAAGAAAAGCAAGAAAGCGTGGAAGATCGGAGAAGGGGGAGAGACTGCATGACTAAGCCACAGAAAAAGAAAAGGAAGAAGAAGAAAAAAAAAGGGAGAGAGAGAAAGAGGGACGTGGAGCGAAGGGCGGGGAGGCGGTGAACAACCGCTAGTTCGTGGCCTGCAGGAGATGGGGTGACCGCAGGTACTTCTTCTCTCACTGTATTTACTGGGCAGGAGAAGTACCTGCGGGTACATCGGCCGTGGAGATAAGAAGGTTACGTGTCCTTAGAGGATAGCCTTATGTAAGCGAACAAGGTACTTTCTCATGTCAGGGACGAAAGTATTCTTGATCCACCGGAAGAAGAGAAGAAAAGCTGAGAAGTGGCAGAGTGGAAGATGTGGAGGTGGAGAAGAGTAAAAAGAGATACGTGTTATCACAGAGACGTTGATGGTACACTGTGTACCGCGATATATCAGGATGGCCTACACCAGTATACATACGTCTGTATGTACGAAAAAGCAGTGGAAAGGGCGAGTTCTTCAGTATTGCCACACCAAGCATGGACGGTGCAGCGACTTAGCGCTTCCATGTCGAGAGTTGAACTAGCTAGCATGCGAGGTTTCTCTTCCCCCCCTGCATGAAGGGGAGATTTCGGCCTGTGGCATCAGTTGGAAGTCGACTACCACGACTGGGAAGTCGACTACTACGACTGCTACAGTATAATGATGGCCTGATCTTCAACTCCCCGCACATTTACCGTCGACATCAACCCGCCATAGAACAGGAAGAGGGTTGAAACAGCATGTTCCACCCTTCTCGCCCCTCCTGGCCGAGCTTTCTCCATGTTTCGTCGATATATATAGTTATGTATACATACGTTGGGGGAGGGCGGACGGTACCGCTGATTGCCAGAGGTGTCAACCATGCTCAAAGCCTGAACTAAGAGTCTGAACCAAGTGTCTGAACCAAGAGTCTGAGCCCAAGGGGAAAACCCAAGACAAGGATAGGGAAGAAGAACAAGAAGAGGAAGACATCGTTTAGGGTTCGTTCTTGCATGCATCGTATTCCCTGTCGACAAGGTACTTACAAGTCTTCACCCTCACACACACCTAGAACTTGCATCCATGTCGATGGGGCGAGCATGACGCCAGCAAGGCCCGAACCACGGAAAGGCCCTTTTTCCTTTTTTTTTCCCTTTTTCTTTTTTTCTTTTCTTTCTCCTCTTAAACCCTTGAGAAGTCAAGCCTGTGAGTGGCTGTTGTCAAGCGATCTTCCCAACCCAAGGCATGGAAACACGGCTCATCCCATTTCTCCCCAAAACACCCACACACAAACGCAACTGAAGCTGACTATCGAATGTAGCTAGCCGGGAGAAAGAGAGACAGGTTCGGGCGGCAAGCGTGTGACCTCTCTTTGTCTGTCAATCTGTATTAAATGCCTTACGCATGACGACTGGTTCAACAGTCTCGACATGCCATCGACTCTATGTTGATGCTCTCTCTGGCCTCTCTGCATAACACATTAACATGCACATCAGCGGAGTTCCCCCATACACATAGTCCACACATAGTATATGCACATCCACCACGTATATATATATAAGATGCCACACAGAGCAGGGAAAAACGAATATGCAAAACTTCACCGCCTCATTTTACATAGCACTCTTGCATAAAGGCACTCGACTCGAGCCAATGGCCATGATGTTCCTTTTCGGCCTCTTGTTTATTATTATTCTTTTTTTTGCTGTTTATTTAATTCTCTAGTAACTATTCTTCTTCCGTGAGAGGGGAGAGAAAGGGCAGGTTTTGTTGATGCTGGTTGCCCATCATCTGCCCTTCCGTGCTACGACGGGACAACTCCAGCGCTTACAGTGTATATCAATTCTCTACAACTGGTTTATATTCCCTCTGTGAGACGGACGCCACGTCATGTCCTCTCATCTCTTTCTCTTTCGCTCTCCCTCTCGCACCCGAAACAGACAAGACTATCCATGCCCGAGCGGATGCACCTTTCTCACCATCATTCCATCGATCGTTCCATCGGAAGCAGCCCTGCCCTCCTCCGACTCGCTGCACCAAGAGTACAAATATACTTACGCTACATAGTAGTACACAGTAATAATAACAGACAGACCACCCTTGCCAACGAATTCTATTTCCCCCCAAAGTCCGATTGGAAGATAGTAGTTGTTTAAACTCTTCTTCCCTTTTCCCCCTTGTTGGTTGCTTTTGGTCCGTTTCAGTTCGGCGCAATAAAGAAGAGGAGGACCTTCGAGAGATTTTAAATTTATTAATTATCGCGCAGTGAAATCTTTCTCAGCAAGCGGCAGCAGCAACTAGCAGGAAGGCAACCCATCCATCCCATATAGGCTCAGCTGCAGTATGTTGTCGTTTACACCAGTAATCACCACATGCGTGGCTGTGATAAATCAGATGTACGAATAATCAGTGGACAGGACCAGCCACTCTTCCGTGCAGCCTAATATTCGATCAGGTTATCAGTCAGGCTATTTACTATGGAGCACTATGTATGTACGACGATGACGTTGACCAAGTAGACATCTCCTCTACTCACGGTAGCACTATGTATTTTAGATATGCTTAATTGATGCCGTCCGACGTTGATACAAGCAACTCATGCCATCACACTGTCCCATTGTTGAACATACCAACATGAGCCGATCACAGGAAGCCGTCGACCTCTTCAAGGAGGTCCAGCGTGTCTTCTCCCTCACCACCCTGGGAGATGACAGATGGTACTTTATCCCAGTAAGTCCATAGATAGGATGTTTTGTATTATTAGATCTTCTTCATCATCTCCTTTCTCCTTCCCCAGACAAGGTTCTGGTCAAGAAACGGCTTTTCCTCTCTCCCTTCAGGGATCAACGGCGCTATTCAATGATACGATGTTCTTTTTTTTACCCCAGATCCTACTCCATAACTACTGAATCCCTGGACCACCATGGCGTCAGCCGCCGCATCTCTCACTCATGATGACGATGATGAGGAGGAATGCAACTATTTATTACCCGACTTGGCGATCAATTTGCTTCTTCGTATACCATCGGATGCACGGAGAGTGCCGATTGATTGAAATAACTGCTGGGGGAGGGGGAAAGACAGAGAGGAAAAAGCAAGGCGTATACATGCACAAGACTACTATGCACATACATAGTAGACCACTACGGACGCCCCGCGTGATGCTTTTCTTTATTCGACTGATTTACCGATTTGCACTTGTTGGAAATCTAATTGAGTCCAAAGGGGAACTAACTTGTGGCCGTCACTTTTTACCGTCACTGCTAGATCGCCGCTTTGTCTGGTGCTGGTGAGCCGGAGTACGTCGTCCAGCTGTACTCTCATCTCATAGAGCAGCCAGAGTACGCTACGCCAGAGTCACGGCCGCGGCTAGTCCGTCGTCTGCGTGAGGCGTTGGTCAAGTGCGTGCCCATCATCGGTGTCTGTCGTCCCCTCGAGGCCATCCTGGGTATAGCGAAGGTCGAAAAGGAGGAGGATAAAGATTACTCTTTCTCTAGGTACATACATGCATGCATATACTACACAACCATATATGACTATTTTTACTGCATGGCTAATTATGGTTATGGCAGAGAACATTGGCAGTCCGGGGAACAGAACCATGAGCGAGGAATGTCATGGCTGAGCCGGATCTACCAGAGCAATCTTGACGGCATCCAGCACTCGCTCGCTGCCCACAGGGATTTCTGTACGCTTACACCCCCCCAGCATTCTCCTTACCATGTTCTTGGTACTGACGTAAACGGATAGTCTGGATATCTACCGAGATAACGTACGGGCTCTATCTCTCGGACCACTCTATCCTCAACGATGTCGAGACCGAGCTGGTCGTCCTGTCCGGCATCATGATACAGAATCTCCGACATGAAACCCACTGGCATCTCCGTGGAATGAGACGCATTGGCATCACCAGTCAAGACGTCGAGCTAGTTCATCAGTGCGTACGTTTCCCCTCCCCTCTTCTTATTCTTCTATTTCTTCTTCTTTTCATCTTTTGCCTCCCCCGCATCTTCGACAAGCCCGGCCGTGGAACGGTTGAAAAGGCAAAAGTGACAATCTGGGCTAATCGGCGTCCTTGCTTAGATCGAACTCGTCGCAAAGTTTGCCCAGGTCAAGCTTGACAAGGTTCCGAGGGTCGCTGAGGTCGAGCATGAGGTGTAAGAGGACTTGGATAGTACGAATTTACGCTTTACGGCTTACGGGTTGGGGGGTTACGGCTGGGTCTGGCGGCTGGGCGAGACGCATGTTGGGAGAATGGAGGACATTTAGTCTATGCTTCATTTCTTCTCCATTCTAAATAAGGTAGATCAAGGGAGATGATGTGTACATTCAGCCTTTCTGCCTCAAACTGCCCATTCGTTCTTGTTGTCTGACGGGCTGACAAATGGCTCATCCAGTTGCTTGATAGCATACTCTCCACATAAGATACTACAGCCAAGTTAGAACGATAACGCAATAGATAAAACAGCAGTAGAGTTACTCACCATGCCTCGGCAATCAACCCATCCAACTCCCTGATAATCTTCTCCCTCTTTGCCCCGATGCTGGTCCCCTTGCTCATCTCAGCCTGTAAATCTCTGATATGCTTCTTCTTCCCCGACCCCGCTGCATCCATCACCTTCTTCCCCAGACAGTCACTATGGAACGCATGTTGGCACGGGAAGACGAAAAACTGTCTACTCAGCACAGGTAACGAGCAGATCCAGCACTTCTCTCCCGGCTCGACGATGGCATACCGCGAGCCCAGTGACGCGGTCTCCAGCCGTATCTGTTCCGCTACATGTGCTGAATTATCCATCTCCTGACGGAGGGTATCAATGTGCCGCGAGTAGTCTTCTAGAGCAGTGCAGATTTCATCCTTGAAGTCGTCGATTACCACGAAATCCGGGAAGAAGGGTATCAGATCTTCGATACGTAGGAGTTCACACCGGCGTAGAAACTCAATTGCGTCCTTGATGCCGATTCCGGGCTGGTGAATCTTCTTCTCGGCTACGAGAAGCCAGAGTTTCTTACGGAGCTTATCGTTGCCTTCTGGTCTATCAGCGACGAGAGCGGCAAGTTCGATATCATCGTGCTTCAGGGCCAGGGTGACGCCTTCTTGATACTGGTCCATCATGCTGTAGATGTGCACACATGACTGCACACGCTTATGCTGGATGCATAGGCGTAGGGCAAAGTCGGCGTCATAAGGAGGTGGGGATGACGGCTGGGATTCAAGGTACTGGAGGAGAGCGCCCTCGGATGTCGAAGGGTGGGATGCGTATATAGAAATTAGGGTATTATGTACGGCTGCTGAGGGGTTAGGGTGATTGGCGATGATGAAGTTGAGGTATCTTGTTGCCTGGTTTTGAGGCAGGGTGGCCTTGGTGCCCTTGTTGTAGCTAAGTAGCGCTGGTATGAGCTTTTGAGGATCCAAGTCCGTCTGTCTCATTAGTATATCGACAAATTCGTTCGCAGAGTATGCCATCAGAACGCTGCTGTATTTGTAAAACACTTCGGGGTCAGTCTGCTTCTTCAGCACGTTGAGTGCTTCCGACCACTTCTCCCGTTGAACCCAGTACGAGAGGACGAAGTTGTGATCACTGATCGTAGTCGCAAAGTAGAGCAGCTCCTTTTCGCGCCCATGACTACCGATAATGTCATAGACAGTCCTGGGATCGAGATCGGCCTTGTACTTGTTGACGAAATGCTGGAACTCAGACTGTATACTCTGAATGTCATCTTTGGCATCGTCTGCGTTGCCTCCCTCGACCAGCTCAGCCTTTGTTGCAATGGTATCGTCCAACGAGTTCAGTTTGGACATGAAAATCTCTACCAGCCAGCTCGCTATCATCATTCTCTGCATCGTAGCTGACTTCTTGTAGGTTGACAGTTGGGTAAGGAGGTACTTCCTTAGGGCGTCTTGCTCCCCCTTATCAATGAAGGTGAGGCAGACCTCCTCGAACCGTTTACTGCTTTTGCCCCAAACCGACGCAGCTTCTAGGTACTGTCCTTTGCTTGCAAGATGGTCACCCGAAGCAGTGGCCACGGCGTCCTTTTGGGTGAGTCCATGGGCATATCGGAGCGCAGAGTCAAACTGTTGCTCTTTTAGAAGGATCCTCCACACATCTCTGTCCTCATCGTTGGCGGAGATCTCATATATCTCTTGCCCTGTAAAAAGCCAGTATGTGTTCATCTTTTGGTCTGCAACCAAACCAAGTGAGCTTTCGCCTGGCTCGAGGACTGCCTGATCGTACACAATCTCTCCATTCAAGCGGTTGACTGCGACGATTCTACCCTCGACCAAGGTAAGAATATGCCATTGTGTCATGGCCATTCCCTTGATGGGGTCCTGGATCAGCTTCCGGCCTCCTCTCGCAGATTCGGTGGCTGGTAAGATTGAACGAGGAATCATCTTGGCCTTATCGAATATCCGGCCTCCCATCTCTTGGTTGGGAGAGTTGGGCACGGCACCATGTAAGACACCTAGCGACGAAAGCCAGGCAAAGCGCCTTTCATCATCTGCTCTGCCATCGCTGTGTCCCTCCTCCAGGGGGTCGGGTTGCATGGCAAGCAATGACGGCGCCGAGAGAGTCGCGCTAGAGAGCTCATGGACGACGGGGTTCTCCTTGCGGAACAGGTCACTGTATATCGATCCTCCTCCTCCTTCCTTCCCATGTCTCCCTATCTTGCCCGTGAAGTAGAATATCTTCCCATTCGACGACACTATGATCTGCCGGGAATCCTTCCTCCCACCGACAAAGTCCACCCAGATGCCGGTTACAGACAGGCTGGGCACCTTGTACACCGTGTTGACATATCTCTCATCTCTGCGGTAGAACTCTGAGGCAGATTCGATGTATACTTCGTAGACGTTTCCGTCCGTCGAACCCACGAGTATCTCCCTCGTCGAAGCTGTAGGTACGGCCGGGTTCCACGCGATGCACTCTATCATCACCCCCTTCAGGCGCGAGAGTGGCTTGGGCTGTCGAGACTGTGTATGAAGGTAGAAGTTCTCCCCAAGCGTAGTCGATATGATCAGATGTGAGGCCGAAGGGTCAAGAAACATGCGGCGAATGACGCCTATCTCGGATGACTTCTTAGGCAGGTCGATGTCTATTTACCAGCGTTAGCTATCACTCTCCTTCGTCCAGCAAAATAAAAGAGTACAAAACACACCATCGATGTCTTCTGCATTATTCAAGTCTATCCTCAGGATCCTGCCGGTTGCCAGAGCGAGGATGAGCACATCGTTGGCAACCTGGGCCGCGACGAAATCGGCGGCGATGGAGAACTTGAGCTGGACCTGCTTGACGCTGAATATCGGCAGTGATGACTCGGCCAGCTTAGCCAGGCTGAGGCTGCTGGCAGCTACATAGCCACTGGATCCGTCCAGCGCCATGATGCGCACTGAGTGTTGCTCTCTAGATCATGTTGATGCTGGTGACGTTTGGAGAGCTCGCGATGTGCCATGAAACTATTTAGTCTATCAACGCCAAGCAGATGCAAGATGCATTACTTCTTCTCATCTTCGTCTGATGATGATGTCGATACATTGATATAATCGGGTATTATAACAGGTGTGTATACCAGTTTATACTGCGGTCATGCCCCTCGGCTCTACATGGACGACGTGGTTGCTAACTAACACCGTCTAGCTATGTACCAGATACTCCCAGCAGGACACAGCTATCACCAGGGATCTTATGGGCACCATCAGTTATTTGCTTGACTACGGGGACATCCGGGGGAATATAACCATATATGAACTCGGGATGGCTCAGGGTACATAAGGACTGCAATGTCAGCTTCAACTATTCAAGACTGTTGGCATAGAGAGACCCAACTCTACGTACGGCTGGACAGAGGAGATGGCCATCCACAAGTGAAGGACATCGTATCAGAGACCAGACGAGGCTGTCGACATGTCGCTATCGAATATCCTGCAAAGAAACTGGTGTCCAACATATCTAAATGTCTGTCTCACTATGTTTATACACAGCCATGCGCAGAGCCGGCAGCATCAAAGAGACACCAAGAGATGTCAAGATGGCATCAAGACGGCATCAAAGGAGAGGCCAGCTCCATCAAACGACCTGAAGAAATAGATATGGTATCTTAGTACATCTATATCTGCCATTAGCCAGGCTTCTCTCTTGTATACTGAGTATGTAGACCGTCCTTGACATCCATCACCGTAAATGTATCTAATAGATGACATCCTTAATCTAACAGCATATCTACTATCATCTTCACCTTTAATACTATCATCATCACCATCTTCTTCTTCTTCATCTTTACCATCTATATCATCTCATCTTCTCATCCTCAACTTTGTAACATCACGTGAGATATCAAAAGAAGGAAGTTTTTTGGTTGGAAGAAAAGAAGAAGAAGAAAAAGACGAAGAAACAAAAAAGAAGCCTTCTTCTTGACGTTTTGCTTCTTCATCTTCATCTTCATCCTCTCGCATCACCATCCCTCTCATCCTGTCTCTCCCCCTCCTTGCCTCTGTCTCTACCTCACCTGCGACCGTCTCTGCTCACCTCCAACTTCTGCTGTCTAGATCCCGCGAAAACCAGCCCATGGAGCGTGTCCTCTGAAGGGCCCGTCGTCAGCTCAGCGCAAGCCCGGAAAGGCCTGAATTGGCCCTCCAGCAGCTCTAGCAGCCATGACGGGAGCTCCTCCGTACTCCTCGCGCTCGCCGTCGCAGCAGGCTAGATATCTCTCTTACTCGCCGTCGCGGGACCGCCCCTACGCTGGCTCAGATGCCTCTTCCTACCAGCAGCAACAACAGCAGCAGCAGCAGCAGCATCCGCCTCATACGCCTCCTGGATTCCCCACTGTGAGCAGGAGTCCGCACTACACCCATCCTACCTCTCCCATGAACACCACTTTGCCGCCCTTGAATGGCGCGGAGCCTTCGCCGGCTTACCATGGCTCCAATCAGTCTGGATACTCCCTACCACGTCCATACGGTAGCTCGTTGATGTCGAATCCGGCTCACTCTCCGTCTCCGGGCATGTTCAACCATACACCTTCCCACACGCGTCCAGGTAGCATCGGAGATGGCGTCCTTCGGTCCCCAAAGCGCGAGCCTGATATCTCTCTCGACTCGCGCCCGGTATTCTCTTCTCAGCCTCCTGTCCGTGAGACCAGGGCCACCACCCCAAAGGAACCAGTCAGTTACTTCACATCTCTCATCTTATGCTTTATATAATCTTCTTTACTAACGAACTTTGTAGAAACCGGCAAGAGCTACGGACCCTATGTCGTTTGCCAGCATCTTGTCAGGACCGGCAGAAGAACGCCCTCGAAAGGCCTCTGTTCCGCCAGTCAAGGCCAGTGAACAGCCACCGCAGCCTGTTGCCGCGCCTGCTCCCAAACCAGCGCCCAAACCAGCTCCCAAGCCCGAACCCAGAATGCTAGAGTCTGATAAGCGGCGCCGCCATCTTAACTACGACGCTACATACAGTGAAATTGCGCCAAAACCAGTCGCGAATGGTGCACCAAAGCCAGCTGCTCCCTTGGCTCCTGCGAAACAGTCTCCCCCACAGCTCTTGAGTAGCTCAAACCTCGCCAGCGCCCTGGAACGATTGGATAATATGGACAAAAGCGATGTCGAGGCTCCTGGGTTTGAAGACGAATGGCAACGATACATTGTCAAGGGGAGAAAGCGGGCTAGAGAGGCAGAAGCCCTTGACAACCAGAAGCGAAAGGTGTGTACCTTTATCTTTACAGTCTGTATTATCATGGCTAATTGGATCAGCGTCGTCGAGCGAACTTCTTGGGTAAACTGGCCCGGGTATTCGAAAAACAGGCCATTGCTGGCACGGAACGCTTTGCTCGCCTCCACGAGGCTGAAGTGATAGAAGAAGTCCAGCAAAAGGAAATTATGGATGAAAAGGAACGCAAAAAGGACATGCAGCGGAAACGACGACGTGAGAATACAGTTCGTGCTGAGATGGAGAAGATCCAGGCCGCTCAGAAGAAAGTCAGCAAGATGGAAGATGATGCCGAAAAGGAGAAACTGCAGCGTGAAATTGCCCGATCTCGCAAAAAGATCAAGCACACCAAGCATGTACTCGAGACCGGATCAGCTCCTCAGGAGATTAGCGAGGTTGCTCCTCTGTCTCCAAACCTCGAAGGTGGCACTACAGGTTCATTCCACACTCGTGATAAGGCCTCTCCCAGCAAGAAGAGACCAAGCAAAGGTGGCTCTGCTGCTCGACCAAAGAAGACCAAAGAGCAAAAACAGGCCGAGAAGGATGCCGCAGAAGCTGCCTATGCCGCCCTGGAAGGTGAAGAGCCCCCTGCAACCGCATCCAAGGACGGCTCGAGGAAATCAACCCTGAAAAAGGATACCAAGGCCGCTCGCTCAAAGGAACCCACGCCCACTCCCGTTGCAACATTCGACACCAAGGGCTACACTCAGCTCTACGAACAGATTTGGCGAGACATGGCTCGCAAGGACATTCCAAAGGTTGCCCGCATCAAAGCCTCTTCCCTTAACATCCGCCAGGAGAACTTGCGCAAAACAGCCCAGCTGGCCAGCAAACAGGCAAGGAAATGGCAAGATCGCACCAATCGTAGCACAAAGGACACCCAGGCCCGGGCTAAACGAACTATGCGTGAAATGATGTCTTTCTGGAAGCGAAACGAACGTGAAGAGCGTGATTTGCGCCGAATGGCAGAGAAACAAGAGCTGGAGCTCGCCAGAAAGGCAGACGCAGATCGTGAAGCCAATCGCCAGAAACGCAAACTTAACTTTCTTATATCTCAGACTGAACTGTACTCCCATTTCATTGGCCGCAAGATCAAGACCAGTGAAGCCGAACAGTCTGGCGACACCATCGCTGCCCCAGTCGATGGTGGCGCAAAAGAGCCTGAACACACGTTCAATGTTCCTGAAGATGTGGGCGATCTCAGCGCAAAGGTTACCAACTTTGAGGATCTCGACTTTGATGCTGAGGACGATACTGCGCTAAGGGAGGCGGCCATGGCCAACGCGCAGAATGCCGTTAAACAGGCCCAAGACCGCGCAAAGGCATTCAACGAACAGGATAATAAGATGGCTGCCTTTGACGAAGGCGAAATGAACTTCCAGAACCCTACAAGTCTGGGTGACGTGCAGGTTGCGCAGCCTAAGCTGCTTAACTGCCAGCTCAAAGAATACCAATTGAAGGGCCTCAACTGGCTAGTCAACCTCTACGAGCAGGGCATCAACGGCATCCTTGCCGACGAGATGGGTCTCGGAAAGACTGTCCAGTCCATCTCCGTAATGGCCTACCTCGCTGAAGTCCACAACATCTGGGGGCCGTTCCTCGTCATCGCTCCGGCCTCCACCCTTCATAACTGGCAGCAGGAAATCACAAAATTCGTCCCGGATATCAAAGTACTTCCGTACTGGGGCTCGGCCAAAGATCGAAAGGTGCTGCGTAAATTTTGGGATCGCAAGCATATCACTTACACCAAACAATCTGAGTTCCACGTCCTGGTGACTTCCTATCAGCTAGTGGTGTTGGATGCACAGTATTTCCAAAAGGTCAAATGGCAGTACATGGTTCTAGACGAGGCTCAGGCAATCAAATCCTCACAGAGTTCGCGATGGAAGAACCTGCTTGGTTTCCACTGCAGGAACAGACTGCTGCTCACCGGAACGCCTATCCAAAACAATATGCAGGAACTTTGGGCCCTGCTGCACTTCATAATGCCGACACTCTTTGATTCACATGATGAATTCAGCGAATGGTTCTCCAAGGACATTGAAAGCCATGCTCAGAGTAACACCAAGCTGAATGAAGACCAGCTTAAGCGACTACATATGATTCTCAAGCCTTTCATGCTACGACGTATTAAGAAGCATGTCCAGAAGGAACTTGGTGATAAGGTCGAGAAGGACGTCTTTTGTGATCTAACATACCGACAGCGAGCATACTATGCCAGTCTCCGGAACCGTGTCAGCATAATCGACCTTATTGAAAAAGCTGCCACTGGTGAAGAGGCCGACAGCACAACGCTGATGAACTTGGTCATGCAGTTCCGGAAAGTTTGCAATCATCCAGACTTGTTCGAGCGTGCAGATACCTCCTCGCCCTATTCCATGTGCTACTTCGCTGAATCGGCTTCTTTCGTTAGAGCGCCGTTGTCTGTCTGCTACTCTACTCGCAGCTTGATCGAGTATGATCTACCTAGGATGCTTTGCAATTCTACTGGGCGACTCGACATTCCTGGATCAGACAACAGCAGGGCTGGGTTCGACGACAAATACCTTTCTCATCTGATGAATGTGTGGTCGCCAGATAATATGCGCCATAGTCTAGATAGAGACCAGGCCTTCTCCTGGCTCAGGTTTACCGACATGTCAATGGGTGAGGCATCCGCAGTCTCTCAAAGGGGAGTGTTTGAAAGGACATTGGACCGTCAGGGTATAGAGAATCGTCTGGCACGGCTTTCAGTCGTCTACGATGATGATACAGCGAATAATAACTCAATTCTACCTCACTCTTTATTTAACATTGTCGATCGAAGCAGTCGATCTGAACTTGCGGAAGTTGGCTCTACCGGTTGCTTACGCGAGCTATACAACGTTACTCAGTCTGTGATCGATAACGAAGGGATCCTAGGATTAGAGCCGTGCGGTAAAGCGGATGCTAATGCCCCTCCGATCATGATATCATCGTCTTCATCTGTGCCGAGTTTAGAAGCCAAGCATACCTTCTTCAACGTTCAGGCTCGTCAAGCTTTAATCGGAACAACGACCCCAGGACTTGACCAGGAAATCCTCAATAACAAGGTTGACCCTCTGCCGTACTCGTACGCACCACTGTTGCCGAAACCAGGCTCCACGAAACGAGGATACACCAATATCACCGTGCCGTCAATGAGACGCTTCGTCACTGACTCCGGCAAACTGGCGAAACTGGATGAACTCCTCCGAGAACTAAAGAATGGCGGTCATCGAGTACTGCTTTACTTCCAAATGACTCGTATGATTGACCTGATGGAAGAATACCTCACTTACCGCAACTACAAATACTGCCGACTAGACGGCAGTACTAAGCTAGAGGATCGTCGTGATACAGTTTTAGATTTCCAGCAACGGCCTGAGATATTCATCTTCCTTCTCTCCACCCGTGCCGGTGGTCTAGGTATCAACCTGACAGCAGCCGATACAGTAATCTTCTATGATTCCGACTGGAATCCAACCATCGATTCCCAGGCCATGGACCGAGCCCATCGTCTCGGTCAAACCAGACAAGTTACAGTGTACCGCCTAATCACCCGCGGAACCATCGAAGAACGAATCCGCAAACGAGCCCTGCAAAAGGAAGAAGTGCAGCGCGTAGTTATCTCCGGCGGTGCAGGCGGTGGCGTCGACTTCAACACTCGTAGCCGCGAGAACCGCACTAAGGATATCGCCATGTGGCTTGCGGACGACGACGAGGCGAAGATCCTGGAACAAAAGGAGAAGGAAGCCATGGATAAGGGAGAAGACGCGGCCGCTGCGCCTAAGAAGGGTAGAAAGGCTGCTCCCAAGAAGAAGAAAGATGTCACACTGGACGATATGTATCATGAAGGTATGTATACTCTACATCAATGTCACCAGGCACAGGATAATTTTACTAACTATCCACGATACACAGGCGAAGGCCACTTCGAAGATCTCAGCACCAGACCTTCCGGCACTGCAACCCCCCTATCCGCAGACATCGAAACACCTGCTGCAGGCTCATCAGGTAAAGGAGGTCGCCGCCGTGCACCAGCAAAAGGCACCTCTAAAAGAGCCAAAACCGCCAAAGAACGACTCCAGTTCATCGATGGCGACGATTAATAGACAAAAGAATCACCAAACCCCTCGCGAAGAAACATAAAAGTGGTTTTTCCCTGCTGATTCCATTTTCTTCCTCCCACTCTTTCGTTGTATTTTTTCTCCCCCCAACAACTGCCTTGCCTACTTACGTCTTTCCTCATTTTATCCCCATGTGTTTTTAAAGTATATTTTCTTTTTTGTATTTTTTGTCTGGCTTATGTCCCTTTTCTTAGCTGTTTAAACTAGGTAGTTTTAGTTGGGTTTGTCCTGTGGCCTGATCGAACTCGCGGTGGGAGTTTTCAGGAGGGAGGGTGATATATTAATATATTGGGAGACGATGCTTTCTTTTTGCCTTTTTTTTATCAAGGGGTAGCTATGCACTTTATACGCTGTAACTAAACTGGCTGGAGAAGCTGATGGGGATAAATTCCATAATGTAATAAGGATAAAGGTGAAAGCATTTTTGCTTATTATCGGTAATACTATTCATTTGGCCCTTGCAACCCTGTAGCAAAAGGCAAAGACATAGCTCTATTCTATTAATGCCAGAATAAAGAAGGTATGTAGTCTGGTGGTAGATAACATAACGTATAAAGTACAAGACCCAAAGAAAGACATATAAAAAGTCGTAACAATAACTGCCATGTCCAATCATCATACAGCATCAGGTCCCTTGCGTCCAGATCCAGATGGGGACCCAGACCCGGATCCCTGATCAAGTAATAATTTTGGTTTTATGTATTCATCGTCAAGCTGTTTGAACCATGTAGCATGGTCACGATTACCAGTCAATAAATCACGGAATGCATCTGTGGCAGCCGTGATAGGTTTGGATGAAGATGACGGTTCTCCTTGCGAGTTATTGGTGTATGGTCCATCGCCGGAGTGGGTAGCGTGAGCGGAAGTCGATCTAGATTGTGAGTGTGTGCGAGTACGTTGGGCCTGCGAGGCGGCGGCAGGAGGTAAATCATCGTCAGAGAATGCGGCGTCAACTTCAAGGTCAAAGTCTTCGATGTTCATGCCCATGTCACCTGTGCCTCTTGCGTTTCGTCCGGAGAGACTCCTATCATGACCACTGTCCAAATCGACGCTGCTACCGCTTCCGCTTCCGGCTCGGCCTCCAAGCAATTCCCGCGTCGAAGCTCCGTCTCGGGACCGTGTACGGTCCTTTCTGGAATATGAGGATTTCTTTCTTGAAAGACTGCCAGGATGACTTTCGTTTGCCTGAGGGGTTAGCCGCCCATTACTACCGCTTGAGTAGCCGTGCCCGGTTCTATTGATATCGGTCTCCCTTGCAACCGAGTCCAGTTGGAAGTCGCTTCTACGCGGTGTGTGGCCCATACCAGTCCCCGATCGTTTGTAATATGTGCCGCCATTCGTTACTTCGATGTCAAATTCATCATCGGAATCTATTTCCTCAACGACTCCGGTGCGGATGTCCAGAATTTCTAGCATTCGGGCAGTTGTACCTCCAAATATGATAACCGTCAGGACGACAACGACCAGAACGGTTGCACGTAGAGCGGGAGCATTTGTTCCTTCAAGTCCCGCAGCTAATGCAACACCAACAGCTCCTCGTAAGCCTGCCCAGAAAAGCATGGCTTGATAAGGATAAGGCAGCTCGTCTGCCACATCCCTACCTCGGTTTGCTGCTCGATATCGAATAACCCAGTTGATAGCCTTTGACAACGGAAACACTGATAAGTATCTTGCTACGCATATTCCCGCAACAGACACCATGATAAAGAGGGGTTTGAATTGTAGATTCTCGTCGGTAAACAGATCCAAGCCCAGATAGATGAATATGAAATTCTCTGAAAGCTGTGCCATGGTTTGGAAAATGTACTTTGTCGTGAGCTGAGTTCGACGAGACATGTTGTAATAAGCATAGTGCTTCAACGTCATCCCACAAAACAATAATGATACAATACCTTGATTGGAGCAGTTAGCACGGTCAACCCAGTTTAAGATCAAAGATATACATACCGGACATGTGAATTCCAGTAGAGAAGAAATAGCAGGCATAAGCAATTAAGAGAATAAGGCAGCTTTCAATCTTAGGGTCACGGCGAACATGGGTATATTTGAGACCCAATGCTGTGCCTATGCCAACAACCACACCAATAAGCAGACTGCCAAAGAAAACTATCAAGAATATACCGATAGCCTCAAACAGGCTGAGGACAGTCAGGGAGCCGGCTGCGCTGCCAGGTTTGTATCTCTGGGCTGTCTCGAACAAAACAATAGCAATAGCATCGTTTAGAATAGACTCTCCGAAGATGACAGTGTATAGTTTAGGCTCGACCTTATAAACGTTGAATATTGCAAGAATGGTGACAGGATCGGTGGCCGAAAGTGTGGCTCCGACAGAAAATGCCTCGACGAAGGAGATATCTAGTCCCTCAATGGGAATGCGTGTCCAAAGAAATAAGATGAGTCCTAGGACTAATGCAGAGATGAATGTTCCAGCAAAAGCAAAGGTAAGAATACTCCCAATATTTCGGAAGAAATTGCCCTGCATTTTTCCAAACAGAAGCCGATCAGCAACCCCTCACCTCTGTGGCCTGTACCGTTCCTGAACGCGATGAATCAGGTTCCTGGTAAGCTTACCTGGTGCAACTCGTAACCCGATGCTAATATAATAGGAGGAAGGAGAAGGTTGAAAAAGAACTGATAGTCAAAGCTGACTGATTTCTGAATCAGTGTTCCTGGTGTAAATCTAATAACCAGCCCAACAACCATTCCTAGTAAACCGCACAGGTGTCAGCATTTGACCCCCATAAGACGTTTCGAGGCAGAGATGGGCCACAGCGTACCGCCAAATATAGACAAAACTGTTTCATGTACCGCCTGAATGCGCTTCTGTTTAAGCAAGTAGCTGGTGAACAGTGCCGTAATCAAGAGCATTATAAGGATGAATAGAGCCCAGGAGGTCCAAAACTCCCGTTCTCCCGCTTCCGGAGAGTCTATATCAACCCGTGTCAGAGTAGCTGAATGCCTTTTTGCGGTTTCAACCAGTATAAAAGCTTGAGGATGCTGCTTATCGGGTTGGGTTGGGCTGGTGAGTAGCTCTGTAGATCGACGGCATACCATCTGGATCCTCTTCCTCCTCTCTCTTCCCTGCATAGTGAAATTCACCCGTCAGCTAAGGATCCTCCATAACCTTCCATAAACCCAGAGAGACACAGATAAGTGGTTTACTCACTTAAAACCTTTGATATAATCCCGCCTATAAAATTGGCCGCCATGGTGATGACAACAAAGCCACTAGATTTCAAATGGGAGGGTACGGACGCGACTGGGTAAGTCGATCAGAAAGGCAGGCCGCGATCATAGTCCCCGGGGCGAGTTCTCCGGTGGCTAACAAGACAGCGGCACGATGCTATCAGTTGCAGATGAGCTTCCGATATAGAAGCCCTTTGGTTCGTTGTTTATATCCATCAGTTTTCCCTTACGAAATGAAGTAACTAAATCGGGCCAAGTCGATTCAAGTCACGTGAAGTGCACTTCAACAACGCGCCAAAGTCGCCAACGAGCATCAAAGGATGATATGAGGGTTAATGAAGACTAGATGAACAGAGATGTTTAGGTCTTCGCTTCAAAGGAGAAAACCCATAACCGTACAGCAATCCCTAATGCCACTATATCCGCCTCAGCCTTCACCCGAGCCCTAGCCAGAGCCAGATCCAGATCGAGAATCAGATCCGTCTTATACCCCCAACGAGCTCGCAGAAATCCCCCTTGATTTTTATACCTTTCTTGCCACACTGCACTATGAAAAGCAGACCTCGAGATTCCACTACAAAACTGTACTATATAATATCGAATATCGAATATCTTGCAGCGTTACTGAGCAACAATGCAGGATTATAACCACGTGATATGTTCTGAGTAAGCAAAGGTTGCCCTTTTTCTGGGTCAAATTTGATAACTTTGCTCTGTCTCTCTCTCCAGTCCGCTTCGAAATCGACATCCTCAGAGTGATACACCGATAACTGCACTATGTCAGCAGGCTAACTCCTATGCAATCAAGATGGCTTTATTCCTGTCTTACCCTACGGACCGGTTTGGTTAAAAATCAAAAGCACTATCGACTATACAGGAGAGCTGTGCATCTCTCCGCCCCGACGTTGCTGTGCTACACTACTATGTAGTTTCTGTGCCTGGATGAGGATATTTATCACTTCCTGAGCATTAGAATGCCGGCTATGTACCTAGATGTGACACCCGGTATTAGAGAAATAAAGTCGCACAACATACGGGATTTCGTCGGAGCTATTTCATTTATTTAACTTGCGAAGAACAATATAAATGTACGCCTGGAACACAAATATCTACTATGTATATGCCTGGTGATGCCTTGCTCACGACGGTTCCCTGTCGAGAGAGTGCCAGGCCGCCGTAGGTTGTCCTACATGATTTTAGGCTAGACTTGATATGGACCCTGATCGGGTTACAAGAACTCGACAGATACCAGTCAGCCTGACTATGTCACTGCCATATGACCGTTAGGGTGGCCTCCCGGGGCAAGCAGTAAGTTCTCTTACAGGATATGCTCAATACCAACATCTCGGTCTCTTCTATCCCAAACCTATCAGTCATTGTTGGTTGCCTATCCCCAGCCCTCTCAGGGGGGTGTCAATGGCAGACTTATGACTAGCCTCCTGTAGGTCAATATGGAATAAAAAGAAATGAGATATCAGATGCTCATACCAAAACTTCCTTTACGGTCACTGGGACGTCGTCGACAAGGGACGGCCTGGGCTTCAATTCCGATGATGATAAAGATATAAATCAGAGAACCAGCCCGTTTTCACTCGGTCTAATCTTTGATATTCAACATCAATTACTACAGTTTATATGAGAAACCAGGAAATACCAGTAATCCTCATGAAGCTCATTTACCTAGGCTTATTGACCAATATCCTTAATCCCCCCTCCCTGATTCATGCCGCCAATGTGGCCGTGAGGAAGATGGGCAATAACGCCATCATCGAACGCAACAAAGTTGCATGGCTAGGAGAAGATGGGTTTCAAGATGGGTTTTCATGTCCAGATACTCATGTCCTCAACCCCAGTGCCGATAAGCAGTTTGCTTCCTGTTGTTTGCCAGGCCAAACTCTTAAGGGAACCTCCACAACTGCATTTGACTGTTGTGCTGAAGGCCATGATCTAGCGGGCTCAGAAGCCATTGGTTATACCTGTTGTCCCACCGGCCAAGTTTATGATGGCAGGGTCTGCAAAAACGGCAAGCCCCTCGTGCAGGGCAAATGCGCCTGTTCTGAAGATAAAAACTTAACTGCCGAGGGGTGCTGCGAGCCTGAGGAATGTTCTTCCGGGCTAAAGACCGGTAAGCCCTGGCCTCTTGACAAATAGAGCTGTACGTCATGGATTTAACCTCTCCCATCAATGCTACAGGGAAATGCTATACGTTTCTCGAAAAGAATGGCCAGCTTCTCGGCTACCTTCGTACCGGCGGGCACTACAATGCAGCTCCGGATAGCAGAGACCGCATCTTTGGAAAGTTCCAGCTCTGTAGAGATCGGACATGCAACCCAGGACGCCCTATCAACTCTGGGGACGAGCTTTATATCAAAGACCTTCACGGAACTCCTATGGATGGAGCAGATGCAGGTCAGTGGTTGAATAACGCAGCCGACGGTGCTCATATCGGCAAGACCCCAGATTTCACGAAAGCAGGCAGGTTCGCAATCACCAAATGGCCTTGCGGTAAATACTGCATTACGGGTGCAGAATTCGGTCTCGGACCTGCCTGTCCGGCTGACCAGCCTGCGCTTACATTCTACACGCGGTCTTCTGAGCCGTGTGTGCCGTTTGAACTTACGGAGGTCCCATGCAGGGTAAGGGACATCGAGAACAATTGCATCTGGCACAATGGCAAGGACCAATGTTGTGACAAGATTGACTGCTCGGAGAGAGTGTGTCACAAATAACTAGCCATACGGTAGCTTTAGGGGTTTTTACATTTTTCGGGTATAAGAGCTAATAGTTAATAACTTGCGAAATTCGGGCTTTCTCCGGATGTGTGCTTTCTAGTGACTTATGGCCAGTGAATAAGAAATGTCACTTTTCGAGGCTGTTAGTGACTTACCCTAGATCTATTACTTGCTAGCTGGCTAGTTATAAAAGCCACTCTCTAACTAACATCTCCACTTAACATCTCGCAACCTATTTTTCCTATCCAAGCATAGCTTTGCAATGTTTAAAGTCCCATTTGAAGCCTCTTAGCAGCGAGGACGGGCTCCGCCTCAGCAGGTTCGCGAAGTGTTGGTACTCTCTCCCTTCCTATCGGATGCGCGCTTTATTAAAGAGCTGGATACCTCATTTACAGCGGCTAAATGCCTTGTCAACAGATACTATTTTGGTCTATTTGACAGATAAAAGGGCCGAGTTTAATCGATGCCTAGGGGTGGCTCGAGGCAGATGGATCAGAAACAGAGGTCGTTATCACAATAAAAATTAACCGAAGAAATATCATTAGCCGGTAGGAGCTCAAGCAAACTACTATATAGGTGGTTATGATAATTCTTCTATCAGCAATACCGCCTACTGATAAATTTTTTATGCCTACGAACAAATAGTTATATATTGGGTTTAAACTCTGCCGCTCGAGACAATGAACTGATGCAGGATCAACACCGTCAAGGCCTCAGCGCGGTAACTAGATCTCAGAGCACTCCGTGCTAGCAAAATCCTCTAAGAGGAGAAATCACACTCTCACCCGTTACATATCTCTCGGAGGGCGGGTTGGTGAATATCGACATGCGGTTGATGTATGTTATATGGCTAAATGGACTTTACCTGGCTTTTCCGCAGCATTTATTCTGGAAATACGGTTAAATTTGCATTTATATCTAACTGTCAAATTAGATAACTCATCTCTCTGCCGCCTAATAGCACGAGCTCTCCTTTTTGGCCGAAGGGCAGAACTTTTGATACTGATCCGGGGATGACGGTGTTGATAGCATTTCCTACGCCTTTTGGATGAGAGAAAGTCTGTTAAATAAAGTAGCAGTAACTGTTGATTACCCTGTCCTCTATTTGACTGTATACTCATTCTGGTTGCGGTATTGTGAGCGCTATCAATTTAGAATAACTGACCATATCTGTGTAAAAACACATCCACCAAAATATACCATGCCAAAGTTAAGGAATGTATATAATGAAAAAGTAGCGGGAACAACTTCCCTAAACAGAGCCATCCTCAGTGCTCTCTGGACCACCATCACTCATAGTGCTCGTGAACCATGCAGCTCCCAGGGCGGCGCATCCGCCAAACCGAAGAACCCATCCAACACTATCATCCCAGGGCTCTCCCCGTGGTTTCTGGAGGGCCTTGAAAATAACACTGCTGATCAGGGTCGATACGATCTGCGGGAACGAAATAGAGACATTATGAATTCCCAGGATAACCCCAGCCTGGTCAACTGTTTCATCTTTATCTCCTGCATCATGGTCTACTGCGCTAGTATGAGGGGCCTCGTCGATGTCTCTTTCATGAGTTCCAACGTTAGACTGAAAAGGGCGTGGATGGGAGCCAATAGGATTAGGGGCTGACGCCGTCCGAGGTCGGAGCGAGTGCCTTTGCCGTCTGTGTTCTGCATCGCGCTGTGCAACCTCCGCAGAGATAAGAGCGAAGGGAGCCCAGAGGGTCAGAGCCCAGGATAAACCAACTACCGCAATTACGGCTGTTCCAGCTGCCGGGGAAGACACGAAAAAGGTACTAAACATGCACAGAGCGAACAGAATATGCGAGATGAGCCATAGCCTGCGCAGAGTGAGACCGGGGACCTGGAGTTTAGAAAGGATGGATGACCATCTGCCCCCTTCGTCTAGCCTTCTGGGATCATGGATTGGTTCGATAGCAGTAGGTTCGATAGCAGCACCTGCTGATGCAGTGAAGGAGAGTGTGGATGTCGACGGGCGACTGCTCAAGTACGGTCGATTTGAAGGGGGAGAGACGTCTTCTGAGGTGACGGATGGTCGATATGATGGGACAATCAACAAGGGCAGGATGATGCTTGCAGCAAACGAAGTGATGGCATATATCAGAAGTGCAAAAGTGCCTATCCTAGTTGCTGCCTCCCATGCAGCCTCTATCTGATCCTTGGAGAGGTTGGGATGCTTGTCGAAAATTGGATTGACGTAGAGCTGTCCGATATATGTTGTAGCGTAGAACAGAAACGGGAACCAGCCTACCCATGCACAGAGCTGGACCTCGCAGACCTTTCGAACGCGAGGAGGCAGCCTTCGTATAGACTTGAACACTTGCACGAAAAATGCGACAACTCCCGGGTTCTCAGATTTGGGCGGCCCTTCTAGCCGTGGATCTCGTTCAGTGATATATAAGCAGCTAGCCAGGAGCGTAAGCCCTAGACACATCGATGCAATCACACAGAGGACTTTAAACTGGGTATTCCCTAAGAATGGGAATATCTTTGGGAGTTTCAAGTAGCCTGATATATAGCCAACTATATTTCCAATACCTGTAAGCCTGCTTGCCCATGCGTTTGCTGCCTCTTGTTGATGCGCAGGGGCATTATCGACTATAAAGGCACGAATTGCTGCTTGTACTATGTATGGTTAGTATACTAGCAGGTATCTGGGAGCCAGTGTAAAGGAATACGCACTGGTGTTGATAGCGAAGTCAAGGCAGTACATCAGTAGAGTGGCCACCACGATGATGGTCACTTTGACCCCAGACGATTCAGGAGCAGCTCCGAAGAATGATAGTATCCCACCGACTATCTCGCGTACCCAAGCCAGCGCCAACAAGGAGAAAACCGTAGCAATCCCTCCTCCGATCATGAATGGCTTTCGTTTTCCCCAGCTAATCCGGCAGTTATCACTTCGGATCCCTACATAGGGCTGCACCAAAGTCCCAGTAAGGGGGCCTGCAATCCATACGAATGCAAGTAAAGACTTGTTCATTCCAAGGGACAGTAAATACGGCTATTAGAATACTTTAGCAAATTTATAGCACTGAGATAGGCGAATATTATACATGTGAAAAGTGGTCCAGTATATGGAAGCAAATACGTACAGATCCATTTGATAACTCAACCGACCACACAATTTGTAGTCTGTATACGTATATTAGTCAATATAAGAGATCTCTGACACCTGACGATAAGGCACAAGTACTTACCCCCCAATACTGAGAGCTAACAGAAACAAGTACCAGCTGCTCTTCGATTCTCCTTCTTTCTCTGCCTGCTTGGCCACAGCAGCCGCATCGTCCCATATCTCTCCAGACTGCCTCCCTGGTTCGGCCAGGAGAGGCGATGTACTGTCTCCTCCTCTGTCTGGGTGATACGCCATGAAAAAAAAGGTGCAACTGAGCCGTGTATATCTTCTAAGTGATGGCAAAATTGCACCACGATATAAAAAAAAAAGGGGGTATATCAAACTAGATCGGTTGCAAGGAACGCCCAATGTATAAAAGTACCCTATGGGATTAAAACAGGTAGAAATGCTTGAGATTAACCACAGAGAGAGAGAAAGAGTATCGAGATGACTGAAATTCAAGAGCAAAGCTTTGACTCAAGAACTGCAAGAAAGTATGTGGAATATAAACACAGCCATACATCAAGCCATGAAGACAGACTATTGCAACCCCCTTTTGTTCGCCTACAACGCTGACTTTTCAGAGCAGAGGTCATGAGGCATGAGGCGAGTGTCGTGTGCTCTGGCACAGCGAGATGGTCGTAACCTAGCTAAGGCCTTCCAGCTCCTTGTGCTTTTTTCTTCTTCCAAGAAGCCCAGAAGCCCAGAGAGTTACCAGCCCTGCGTCATCCGTGAAGCCTAAAGGAGGTACAGGTACCTACGGCGGCCCAAGCAAATAACTTGAGGCGAACAACGCTTCTTTTTCTCGACGGCTCCTCCGTAATGGGCAGGATTGGCCTCGAAAGGCTGACGATATGGAGTATTCGCTCGAACATGGAATACGGGATAGCGATGAATCTAGGCCCATAAGCGGCCGCAGATATGGCTACCGGGTCTCGTATATATACAACGGCAGAGAAATTAGAAACTGTTGCGGATTGCCCAGAGAGAAGACGGCCTGTATCTACTCCGTAATAATAATTGAAGGTAAGAGATGATGTTGTGTTTTTAATTTCTCCGGTGGAGTTGAATATGTACTTACGGAGTTATCTGCAGGGATATGCCTGGACTGACGCCGTTGAATCGGCTGAGCTGTGTTATGATAGTAAAATACAGATAGAGTGAGGATTTCGGAGTAATACGTAATTCGTCCCATTCGTCCCTAGGCAGATAGGGGTCTATATTATCAAGTGACTAACGAGCTTAGAGAGAGAGTCGGTATACTTTCCTAGATACCAAAAAAGATGGCTAACAAAGGGAAACAAAACATCAACGCTGGAGGAAAGCATGTAGGAAAGAGGCGAAGGAAAAAGGAGGGCTGAATATCGAAGCAAAAGATATGAAAAATGGATGAGATAGGTCTAAGTTAACAAAAGGTCGAAGAACATAACTGAAAGGCAAAGGAAAGAAGCATATTAAAAGGGAACAGGGCAGGATAATAATTAATATGAGAAACTGAAAAAAAAAACCAGACATGTCCTATATAACTCCCCAGTAGGTCATTGTTCATCTTCCAAAAGGGAGAACAATATTGAGAAAAAGAAACCCGTTTTGCTTGCCTCGTCCCCTTCCCCTTTTTTTGTGTATGTTTCTTTTTAAAAGTGCCAATGCAAAAATCCTCCTAAAGCTGAATAAAACAAACTCTGACGAGATGGTACACAATATCCATCAGACAAGGTAGGATATATATAGGGGGGGAAACACCATAGAGATATGGAAAAGTATGAGAGGATAAAAGACATTATTAAACGGTTAGGTGGAAGAGCCCCCAGTTGTTCAGTCCTGGAACGAGTAGGGGTCCCGGGTAGATAAGACTGTAACATTGAAAAGAGAACGGGGAAGAAAGGAAGAACCAGAGACACGGAACCAAGGCGAACCCAGCAAAATTATACGTTGCAACATAAGATAAGATGATGATGAAATCATGATGGGCTAAAACCATAGAGAGCACCTGTCTCTATAACTGGGGTTGGAAATACCCCGTTGGAGTCTCAAATCGTGTGCAGATAGAGAGTCCGTATAACCCAGTATATATAAGCCGCGGTATATCACGGCGTTCCTAACGGAAAGAGGGAAATATTTCCGTCAGGTTGAAAACCAAAACAAATGCAGAGTGATTCTCCCAAGCGAACAAGAAAGCAGAGGCTGACGGGCGTATTTTCGTAATCTAATGAACTTTATGTAAATGAAATAAAAAAGGAATTGGTTCACATCTGCTGCTGTAGCATCTGTGGTTGAACCATTTGAGGTTGAATCATCTGGGGTGCTACCATGGATGGTAGATTGGAGTGGGTGCCCATTGCGTGCATGGAAGTGACATTAGCCATGTTGACGACAGTGGTGGGGAGGTAGGTCGCATTAGATGTTGGGGCTTGTTGGAGTTGTTGTGGCTGCTGCTCATGTTGACTCACGGCGACGGACTGTTCGCGGTCGTTATCATGCTCGTCTTCTTTGAAGCTTGGGGGCTGAGAGCCGGTGGTTGAGGATTGTTGGGTTTCGTGGACACGGCGATGTCTGGCAAACCAGGTTAGTTAATGAGTACGAAGTATGCTTGGTAGAGGTGGAAAACATACTGTGCAAGGTTATCGGATCGAGAAAAGGCCTTGTTGCAGTAAGGGCAGGTGTATGGTCTTTCTTGTGTATGTGTTCTTACGTGTCTGCAAGCTTGTCAGTCATGTTCAGAATAGAGGTAAAGGTATCGGATAATGCTTACCGCTTTAAATGCTCTAGACGTTTGAAGAGGCGGCCACATGATGGGATGGGGCAGGAATGAGACTTCTGGGGGTATGGACCCAGCTCCATCATTGTAGCGCTTCTAGCACGACGGATGGGGCCAGGCCTCTCACCCTGATGACCGTTCATCAAGTGCATGGCTTCTGTACCATCAAGTGTCTCCATATTCGACAACGCGGACACGGTTGTTTCACCCATTGATATTGGAACAGACACTTGTACAGGATTCTCTTCTAAGCTAGGCAGAGGAGTGGTAGTGCGGGAGTGGTGAACGCTGGGCTGAGAGTACATGGCTCGAGGAGGAGAGTCTTCGTGAGATGGATCGCCCTCAAGTGCGACGGATGTAGACATCGAGCGGCGAAGATCACTGGGTCTGTGAACCGCATGGGGTTGGACGGGAACCTGGGGCTGATGCATGTCCTGGGACTGTGCTTGCGCATGCAGATTGTTGGTAGCTGCTGTTATGGCGCTGGTGACGCTTGGTGGGATTGATGAACGGCGTCTACGCTGCTTGTACGTCGGTGAGCCTTCTATAACGGAATACACGCTGGACGAAGGAAAACTTCTTGAGGCAGTAGAGTAGTGAGGAGCGGCAACGTTGGAGGGAGGTAGTTGCATCATTGGGTTGAAGGAGGCAGATCCGATGTCTGGGATCGCAGTGTAGAGGCCGGTGTCCTCGTTCGCAATGTAGGCTGGTTCGGAGCTGAGATGCATTGCGTGCTGTGGAGGAGTTAGAGGCTCAAAGGAAATACCACGGTTGGCATACTCGTCGTAGTGAGAGGATACGAACGATGGAGCAGGCGAATACTCCATATATGTTGGCATGGAAGTATGGCGCTGATGGACTTTAGAGACCATGCCATTGCGGTCGTATTGAAACTGTTGGTAGTCCGGGTCGGTCTTGACAATATGGCCATTGATAGAATCGCTGCCAACGGAGCCATGGTACATTGCATGGTTGCTCTGTTGATCTTCGTGGACGACAGGCATGGAGGGAGGAGCCATTTGAGGAGGTGGCATGGAATCAGTGGCTCGTGGCATGGGGGAGGTAGAGTGAGACGACGCGAATGCAGATGAGACATGAGCGGCGGAGAAGGATGAAGAGTTTGCCTGTTGAGCCTTTGTCAACTGCTCGTAGAGCGACTGGGACGAATCGAACTCGAATGAGAGGGCTGGTTCATTAACAGCCACAGTGGTGGCCTCCTGGCCCATCTTCTCCCGCTTCAAGTCCCGCTCGAGAGCGTCGAGAAACAAGCGATCATGAGGCACGCTGTACCAGTAAAAGACCTTCTGCTTCTTCTGGGTTCGAATGCAATTATTCTTGTACAAGAAGTCTAAGAATGGGCTCTTTGGCTCCTCGAGCGAGGCATCAGTGCCGGCTTTGAGGTTGCGAAGGTCCGAGAAGATGCCTTCCTCGAATTTCTTCGTATTCCTCACTGGCCGTCCGAAGGCCTGGAAACGAAAGGAGAGACAACGAACGATGTCGGTGCCCGAGATGTGGAAGAGGTTGTTCCTAAGACTAATGTTAATGACTTAGAAGCGCTGGCTCGTTACGGTCGACATACCATAGCACACACGAGACATAATCGCCGGTGGGAAGTAAGAATCGTCTGATTAGTTGGTCTGGCGTCCACGCTCTACTGGAGCAGAGATGAGGAAATATTTCACTGTTCAAATTGTGAGCGTCGACCATAATGTCTGGTGGGAGTTTAGAGCAGTCACATACAATTATCAACCTGCTGTAGAGCGACTTGTACGTCTTGCGGGAGACTCTGCTGGGCCTCATTTGATAGCATGAAGGTCTCTGGCTTCTGAGGAGGCGGCATGGGCGCGCCATGGGGATACATGGTGACTTCTTTTTTGAGGATGGGATAATTAGTATTAAGCGCCCACAGCCTGCTGGCAATCTTACCAGTGCAACCACACCGAAAAGCGTAGCGTGATAAAACGGTTTTGTGTCGACTAACCTGATCAAACACCAGTTGCAGGCAATATCAGGTCGCAAGATAAAGCAGGACGATGGACAAGACTGACGAGACGAAACGTAGAAGTCAAGACCAACGTTGAACACGGCGTAGTGTTGCGTAGCGTACTGTCTAAGGGGGGGGGGGCAGGTTCCGCAGCGGTTTCAGCAGTAAGATAGATGCAGAGAAGGCCCAGCCTTCAGCCTTGCAAGATGAAGAGCTGTCGAGGATGATGAGACGAGAGATGAGACGACGATTATGGGCCAGCCCAAGAAGTGGTCGATATCGATGTGCGTGTGAGAGGGCGAGAGGACCAAGAGAAGGAGGATGAGAGGTGGAGAGAGATAAAGAGACGTAATGCGAGAGAGGGTAAACGCGAGAGGTTCGACAGAGCGAGCGAAGGGTGGTAATGAATGAGGAAGAGAGAAGGGAAAAGAAAAAGAGAGAGAGAGCAATAGATCGCAACTTGGGAGGGAGGGAGAAGATGTATAGATGAAGGGGCAGAGGAGAAGACGGAGGGAGAAGAGGAGCAGCAAGAAGTAAAAAAAAAAAAAAAGACGGTGGGAGGATGGGGAGGTACTTCTGCTTCTGCGGCAAACTGGGCGAAGATGGAAGTATCTATTCCAGCGAGCCGTGCGTACCGCCCGTACTGTCAGCGTTTTACGACTGCACAGGCTCGGAGTCCTCGGTTTTTGCCCCTGAGGGACGTTGTAAGGCTGTATCGATGATACGGCAAGAGTTGCAATAGCAAGATTGCTTGAGCAGGGTGCTTTCGTGGCCTCGAACAAGCGCATCCAGGATGTTCTCTGCTGTGCTCTGCCCAATAGCGATGCGATGGCGATGTGCTGGCTGGCGGTGCGCTGGGTGGGCATATCCAAACTGACGCCAGTGGAACCCCCTAATATAAGACTGGGTGTTTCAGGTTCTCCTGCGGACTTGATGTGCAGGGGGCGACGGGGATGCGATCCTCCTCCACTCACGCTTCTCATCTCGTTTCAAGGCCGTATGACATATAATGCGAGCAGGGATGGCAGGGCTGCAAGTATATGCATGTATGTATATATGTATATACATCCAGGCAAGAGTGGTTGCTTCGAGGGATGGGCTCGACGTTGACCCAGGGGGCTATATTTAGGAATATCACATCTGACATTTTTGCCCATGTTATTGTCCTGCTGAGTTCCGCTGCTGAAGCCGGCATCTGGAAAGGCATCATTGAACGCCGCTGGTACGATGTGCGCATATGCATGAAAGAAAGGGAGCGAAAAAAAAAACAACTGTCGGTCCCATAATTAGAACAGTTCTTATCTTCAAGGCGCGAAGAACAACATTGGCGCCGGCATTCTATCCTCTCCTCTCTCTCTCCTTTCTTTTTTCTTCTCTTTTCTTTTTTTTTTGCCCTTCTTCACTGCCAAAGTAGTGGAGCCATATATATCCCTATCCGATTCCCTCTGCTTTTTTCTAAGCGCTTAAGGCTCGATCGGGCAACGGTTACCACCTTATGGCCCCCTTTTTCTTTTTGACGGAAAGGTTATCCATCTATCGTGCCTGGCGATGGCGACGGAGGCGTTCGTACAAACATAGTACATAGTATTCTCAACGTCAAGTGATAAGCTAGACAACGGAACCCCCCGATGTAAGGTCCTATGGCGTGATGGTAGCGAGGCTAGTTGAATTTGAACGGGTCTCCATCTCCCTCCCACGAACTTCGACTGACAAGGTCCTTCCTTGCATCATGCCCTAAGAGAGAACTCTGGCTCTGGTTCTCGGGAACGCCACAAGGTGGAGAGAGTAGATCGTGATGATTCCATCGAAGGAAAAGAAGAAGATCGAATTTTTTTGCTCTTTCCGGCCCGATAGCTAGTTTGTGACCCTCTTCCTCCCCTACCTTTTTTCTTCAAGGCCAATTGCTGAAAGCATGTTAGATATTAGTACATATCTGCATGCTGAACCCGTTGAACTGACCCAGAGTAAAAGCATGTTCGATATCACATTTACTCATCACACGACCAGGATTTAATGGAGGTTGTTATGAACCGTAATAGACCGTTGGGTCTGGGACTGCAGGGCCGTGTAGAACCTCTATTGCTCTGTCCTATCTGATTAATCACCATGCTTCCCTGCATGCTAATGTCTTCATAGACTACGGATACCAGGTCGAAATAGCTTGGAGGTCTGGAACAGGCGACCCTGAAACACGCAGCCAACTCCGACCATTCGCTCGGAGATACTCAGAAGCAGGCGATGCTTCAGGACAAGCGACTGAGCTAAAAAAACCCGGCCTAGCCAGGGATAGCTAGAGCCCTGAATCCAGAGGCGAATCGTATTCAACTTTTGATGTCAGCCATGGGCATGCATCGATATCCGTGATCGACCCAAACGGTCATCGTACGTGTGCCCAGCAACTAGCAGACTGTTCTTCGGGCGTTCTTTAACCTCCCCACATCTCAATATGGACTATTGCGACTGGCATTGTATTGCCGGCCGAACTATTGCATGCGTTGTTATGGGACTAATGGGCGAGGGATCCAGCATATAATGCCATAAGGGACCATTAGTATACTATGTATACCACCCCATGGCGGCGCCTGGCATCCAAGAAGAGTCGTTCATGTCGATTCCGTATAGACATGATGACCATCGAAGCGAATGATGCGAAGGATGCAACATCTCAAACGTAGCTCTGCTCAGATTCTGGCCCTTTGCTGTTTCTGGATAGCTTCTGGCGTATATACTTGACTGTTTAGGCAAAATCGCCTCCCCAGATCGCCCATTGCCAGCTTAACTAGCTGCAGATGGACGAACGAACCTCCTCCCCCTCTGTCAACTCCATCAACACGAGGGTCTCTCCCAAGCTAAACCTAGCGATTTATGCACCATCCATCGGTCGGCCAGCCAGCCACTGGCTACACCGACTCGTTGGTTGCCAATACACTTTCTTGCTGCCATCCGAACTCCCATGACGATATGATCGCGATACCTGCTTGGCGAACTCGGGCCGTTCAATCGGTTGGATGAACTAGTGATCGTTATCCATCTAACTGAACGTGGCCGGTTGCATCGGAGGTGTTTTCGGAAACGGGTATGGCGTGGGAAAAGGAATATCTAACTAAGATCGTACATACATGCATTGATGAGGCTGACAACTGTTGACCGTCTTCTTTCTCCTCCTTTTTGTTTCCTTGCTTGTTTCCTTGCTGTCCGTGTGAGCTCGTCTCTCGCTAAACTGGGTAAGTTGACGATCGGATAGCAAATTCGTGTATGCGATTATGTTCAGCCACTAACGAGCTGACAGCCCTGTAGCTCCACTGATTGATTGGAAATGGCTTGACAGGTGGGCAAGCAAACAATACCAATACAGAGGGGTGGGCAATGGAGGGGGAGCTATGAATTCTAGCATCTCCATTATATTTGTTCGGCAGTATTATTGCCTTGACTGGTGAATTTCACCTTCACATCCAAGGCAATAGCAGGTCGAGATGACGTTCATGCCGTCCGCCTAATGAGGAACTGGACAATCTCCCTGCCCGGTCCTAGCGGGCCCTCAATTGCTTGTCTGATCTGATTTCACTTTTTGATCTGATCTCACTTTACTCTTCCACAGTGCGCAAACCTGCACTGGACTGCATTTGGCAGTGTATATGGGGTTGCCTAACGTTTCGAGGCATCCTGGAGCCCCCAGGAACAAAATATCGTCAAGGCCTGCTTCAGGTACAGTTTCACCCCTAGCAAGCGTGGTGGTTAGTGTGGGCCATAGCTTTCAAGAGAAGTCAGCCATCAAGATGGAAAGCGGAATTGAAAGGCAGAGAAGATGCGGAAAAAGCGAGGATTGTGTAAGTTCACACTGCAGCAGAAGAACGTGGCCTCCACAACGGGCCTTGGTATGAAACATAGCCCCTGTCCTGCAAATCGTCCAACTTGTTGACAAACTTGGCTTTTTGATAGACATGACAAGCAAAAGATGCTCAAAGAGAAAAGAAGAATATACTTTATTTACCGAGTGCACACGCCGTACTCCATACTCTTTTCTCTCTCTTTCTCCCCTCTCTCCCCTTGCCGTTGGATACGGGATCAGGAGGAACCCAAGGAGGAAGTTCCATCCAATATACTCACTGTGCACCATGCATCAGTATGCACGACGCCAAAAGGAAGACGGATCCTTTATCCAGCATCCCTTTCCTCTTTGTGTGTCTCCCGATCTAGTGGCGTCTCTCCTTTCCCTTTCTAGATGATTTGGCTCCCTTCTTCCTAGTCTTCATCTTCGGGCCTTGAATCGCCATAACATCCTGACGACTGAGTTTCAAAGTTCCGCCAACGAACTTGCCCACCGACGGACCGCCGATACCGCGATCTCGTCTTTTGACAGCTAGCTTAGACTTTGCAAGCGAGGGCCGCTCTAGAATGATTCCATTTTCCTGCGCCTCACGTCGTCGTATCGCTTCTTTCTGTGTAGCTTTTGCGGATATCCCCTTCCGGTGGGACATTGGCATACTTTTTTGGGTGTAGATAGACGTCTTTGCACCCGCGGTTTGCGCACGAAGGTCGATGGCCTTATGTCTGTTGACACCAGTCGGGTTAAGGTCAGATGCAGAGTCGAGAAGGTGAGACTCCTTTAGCAAACGTTGAAGAGCTAGGTCATTCTTCAGGTTCGCTGCATCTGTCGTCTGGTCGTCGGTAGCTTCTTCTCCACCCTTCTTGGTCTGGTTCTTCGTGGGCTTAGTTGAATCAGACAGGAGTGACGGTGGTTTTGAGCTCTGGTTCAACAGGTCAATCAGGTGTTACTGAGAATGTTTGAAAAAGGTGCATAGCTCACCATGTACTTCCTGGCGGTGGCCTTGTCGATTACCTCCGTCCGCTGGATTGGTGCTGTGCTGTAGTCCACCACCTCTGGGGCTGGCTCACAGTCCTCCTCCTTTTCCCCATCCTCAATTCCATCCCAGTCGTCCTCGTCACTGATATCCGTATCAGGCGCATCACTTGATCCATCCTGGACACCCCCTGGATTCGACACGGGTAAATCTAGAGGCTCGAAGCGGGATTCAAAATATTTCCGAAGTCGTTCTTGTGCATCCTGAGATGATATATCGTGCGTAGACTTGTCTTTATCCACCGCTGCTCTATCTCTAGAGGCCACCGTAACGTCTCTTTTCCTCTTCCCTAGCATATTTCCCTGGTTGTTCCAAACGCTCAACGTCTTGAGGTCTTTTTTCCTACGCCAGAAATCTTTCTTTACCTCTTTTTCTTTTTGGAATCGTCACGTGATATATAGCTCCTCCTGATATCAAAATTTAATATTATCAATATTAATAAAATCACAAGAATCGCGGGGTCAGAGAGAAGAAGAAAGCCAGACAACTAAGACAAGGTCGTTTCACATCTACGCCCCCCCTTTCGATATGACTCGGTTTCGTCCTTGTATCGACTTGCACGCGGGCCAGGTCAAGCAGATAGTGGGAGGAACCTTGACTACCAAGCCTGGGGAGCTAAAGACCAACTTCGTCTCCGAGCTCTCTGCGGCCCATTTCGCGAAGCTATACAAAGATAACAGACTAACGGGTGGCCATGTTGTGAAACTCGGGTCGGGAAATGATGAAGCTGCGGTTGAAGCTCTAAAAGCCTGGCCAGGCGGTTTACATGTTGCTGGTGGGATTACGGATAAGAATGCGCAGTATTGGTTGGATGCTGGTGCCGAAAAAGTGAGCAGTGAAACGCATCCTGGACCTTTTCGTTTTTTTTCTTGCTGGCTTTGGCTCTTTTTTGCTCTTGTCTTGTCATGGGGCCGCATGCCATCCGCGTGCTAAACGGTCTTGGGAAGAAAAACCGGTGATCTAAAGAATTGTAGGTAGTTGTTACGTCTTACCTTTTCCCTGACGCTCGATTCTCCATCGACCGACTGCGGTCCATTCTTGCCGCTATAGGAGACGACAGGTCAAAACTGGTCTTGGACTTGAGCTGTCGGAGACGAGAGAACACCTGGTTTGTCGCCATGGACAAGTGGCAGACAATAACCAACATGGAGATAACTCATGGTATGTGTGTGTGATCGACATAGCGAAGTCCCCCTCAAAAGTGATTCTGCTCCGCATAGATACATAGATACGACAAAGCCCGTTCTGACTAGCCTACCTGTCAACTTATAGAGACCATTAGCATGCTCGAGCCTTACTGCTCTGAATTCCTCATCCACGCAGCCGACGTAGAAGGGTTACAGCAGGGGATTGATGAGGAGCTTGTGTCAAGGCTCGCGGAATGGTGCACCATTCCGGTCACGTACGCTGGTGGTGGACGAGGGATATCAGACCTCGAGCGGGTCAAGGAAAGAAGCGGAGGGAGGGTCGATCTCACAATAGGGAGTGCCCTTGATATCTTTGGGGGATCCGGCGTGACCTTTGAGCAGTGTATCGAATGGAACAGGCTAAACGGTAGCTGAAAGAGACGGCTGTCTTTGCTGTAAGTATCTGTAGGAGTAAATCGAGTTACGCTGGAGTAGGCACATATGGATGAAAGACCGGGAGGCCATCTTCCATCGATGTTTCTATTGCTTTGTTGAATTTTGTACGGGCAACTCGAGAGCGAAACCGCAAAAAAAGGTAGCGCTTGGCTTGTGGCTAGAGAAACTTCCCATCACTGACGCAACATCATGAAAACCTGCCATATGACTTTAAACATCAACACCACCGAGCTCACCACCGCGCGGTTCTAGCTAGAGCTATAGATCCTGTCTTCTTCCTCTCTCTCACTACCTTTCCTTATCGTCCGTCGGTCTTTTGCGACCCTTCCAGCAACCATGAAGCCCGTCGTGTCTGCTATGAATGCGTGGACCTGGTAAGAGCTGCCTGGTCCCTTGGAAGCAAAGGGTTCAACCGCTAACTTATGGACTTTTTTCTTGATATGTAGCTGTGTCATATCCATATTCGCAGTTATCATCCTCTCGGTCATCGGATCTCTTTTCAAAGTTCGTTGTCTCCCGCCTTTCTCTACGCGCAACCTGGGTCAATATCGCATCTTCAGCTGATCTAACGTATCTATCAATCTCTCCCAGAGCAACCACCATTCCATGACTGGCTCAAAGAAAGACGCAGAACACCCTGCAGCCGTTGCAGCTTCGATATTTACCGCCGTAGTCATCTATGCTGTAGGTCTCCGCTTCGCTTTTAGCACCTTCTTTACCTCCATACGTCTCATACATATCCGAAAATATCTATCCTTTTTGAAGGCCATATGATGAAATATAGACCTAATATATTCTTTCATTTAGTGCTTTGCCGTTTTCTGTGGTTTCCAGGCATTTCTACACATGCGATCAAGTCAACGGGGAGCGATATCATTGAATTAAATAATCTCCGCAAACATCAACCCATTTATCAATTTTCTTTTTCTTTCAATATCAGCAATATTGCGTTTATATCACAAGGCTGGCTAGCTCAGGGGGGTCATGGTTTTTTTGATATCTTTTGTTTCTATGAAAAGATGAGTTATTCGGTAGCTTTTGTATCGAGGCGATGTCCGGTCTCTCGAACAGGCCCGGGGAAGATGAGCTGCACTGACCATTATCCCCATCATGGGAAATTTTACAGTTAGAGCATGGCTATTTTTGTTCGATGTATATTTGCTATATGTGTTCTAGATTCCTCTAACTAATTTTCCTTTCTCGGTGTACTATTCTCTTCTACGCCCGCAAGCTAGATTTTTTAATTTACATCACCAAATATACTAGGTTTTATAGCTGCACTAAATACAACTAAAATGGTAAAAGTTCTAAGCAGGCTATATTTGTCCTCTATACATGACTTGATACTAGCTGTCATTGTCTAGTTGATAAAAGAAAACGAGCTGTGCGTATCAATATTTAAAGTGCAACATCAAATTCTAATATAAGGGACAGCGGCATTTGAACAGAAACAATGTGGTATATAGAATCCCTAGCCAGTTTGAAAAGGCACTTTTAAATCCAAAATGTACGCCGAATAGCAATAAGCCTCCCTGCACCAGATAACTGCACCGAAAAACCCTCCCTAGACAGAATTCATTCTTATCATAACATTTTTTACCGCCAACTCCTGTAAAGCTGGAAGTAAAGCAGGATACCAGTAGGATGAAAATAAACCATCTATTCACATCCTATTCAGAATCCTGGGTATCGTCAAGAGGATCAAGCATTTTGCTCATATATACTCCGTCAAGGTAATATCCTAGCTTGGCGTAGTAGCTCCGTACCCCCACGCCTGAGATAACACTAATCTTGCGGCTTCTGTGCTCTTCACGGGCTATCCTCTCCGCCTCCTCCATAAGCAAAGTTCCAAACCCACGGTGCTGGAACTTGCGAGGGTCCCGGCCATGAACTGGGACTGCAGAGCCGTAGACGTGTAGCTCTCGTACCAAACTAGTTTGCTGACCGGTGAGCTCGGGGCGGAAAGTGTGTGTGGAACTGCACTTTCGAAGTCGAAGAAGACCGATGAGAATGTCTTGTTTTGGGTCCTCGTATGCAAGGAAGGTCTCCCATCCTCCGTTTGCTGTGTAGTCACGTCGAACGAGTTCGACCTGATTTGGCCGGATTTTGTTTTTTACCTCATTAATTCCAACTTCTCGGGTGCGGACGTCACGGCATGTTGTGCCAAAGTCTTTCATTCGGCTGAGTGCAAGTTCACGGAGATTTCCATTCTCCACGCCAGACGTGACAAGTGGCATCGGAATATCTCTTTGCACGCGGTAAATTCTGGTCCACGGAGGCACAAGGGCGAGGATCCTGGCGACAATATCAATTAAAGCATTTGGGGTATAGTTCTTGTAGCGACCAGTCCTCCAGAGTTCATAAAGACCAGTTCCTCGAATAACAAGGGTAGGATATATTTTCAGACCGTCAGTCCGGAAATCGGGGTTCTCGAAGTATTCCTGGAACTGGAAGAGGTCTCTCTCCATTCCGACATTTGGAAGATCGGGCATCATATGGCTGACCACCTTGAACCCGGCATCCTTTGACAGCTTAAATGTTTCCGCCACGGCGGCTACAGTGTGCCCTCTATTTGTATCTCGCGCCACATCTTCGTAAAGACTCTGCACTCCAATTTCTAACCTGGTACAGCCGTACCGAAGCATGCTACTGAGATGGGTGTCAAGACAGTAATCAGGCCGTGTCTCGATCGTAATTCCGACACATTTGGTATTACTCATTTCTCCAGCCTGCACGGCCTCGTCAACATTATCGGTTTGATAGCCACTTAGAGCATTGTGGAGCTGTGATATGAATGTTTCTCTATACTCCTCAGGCAATGACATGAATGTACCGCCCATGATGATGTATTCTACCTTATCGACGCTGTGTCCAAGTGATTTAATCTGATCAACACGACCACGCGCCTGTTCGAACGGGTCGTATCGAGCTCGGATGGCTCGCATCGACGTTGGCTCATATCCGGTATAAGACTGTGTGGAGTATTCAAAATCCGAGTCTGGACCACCTGGGCAGTAAACACAGATATTTCCGGTGTACGCAATATGTGGACAACGATGAGGCTTGCACATCACCGCAACTACAGCGATTCCAGAGGAAGTTCCTTTTTGCAGAGGGGAAGAGGTTAGCAGAACAAGGTCGCCACAAGTGAGCCATGAAAATGGAATTTCCCACTCACTTATTGGTTTTGCAATCAACTTTGGAAGGATATATTTCTTATAATGCTCTGGGACAGCAGCAATAATAGCTGTCAAGGGCGGTAGATTGCTCAGATAGTGTTTCTTCGCGATTATGCCCCGCAGCTTGTTCAAGTTGATATCCTTCTTTGATTTCTTGTCGTCCCGTTGCGCTTCATAATCCTGGATCAGCGCGTTCGCTATATCTGAGCAGGCTCTCATATATCTCTCGTTCTCTGGAGGGAGCTTGATATTCTTGGGAAGCTTGTGCTTCGGCATGGTCATCGTCTTCGTTGCCATGGCCGCAGATAAGACGTGAAAGCCGGCTACGGAAGATCACCAGATAGTATATAAAGAAGGAGCCTTTCCACTGACTGTGACTCTCTATACCTAAGCCAACTTTGCTGTTTTGTCGGTGTTTCGTGGATATATAAAGTGGCTGTCAGAGATGTTGCTTTTCTTCTTGTGCTGGGATGGGTCAATTTTTTTGATTTGATGATTTTTTGATGGTCCCGGACGAGCCAGATGGCCTGCGAAAACTGAAACTGTAAAAAAACATCAACTTTCCGACTCTCTCCTTCGACCTTCATTTGCACTGCCATCTCTTCTTTTTGCTCCCGCGCTCCCCAGCTTTCTCTTTCTCTGCTTTTACAGGCTGCTGCTTGTCACAATTCTTCAGATATGCAGTCCTTCAGACGTTCTACTGTCTCTGCGTTGCAGAATGCCGTCCGTGGTCAGCGACGCGGATTCGCAGGCCTCACAGGCTATGCCTCGACAGTAAAGAACCTCCGCATCAACGCAGACACCAAGGTCATCTTCCAGGGATTCACCGGAAAGCAGGGAACGTAAGTATCAATTGAATTGATATCTCTCGGCTCTGGGATGTATACAGCCAGCTGACGGGCGCTGATGCAATGTAGCTTCCACGCCCAACAAGCCATCGACTATGGTAATGATACATTCTCAAAGGCCAGACATGACGGAAGGATTATGGTGTTAATGCCCATATAGGAACCAATGTTGTCGGTGGTACCAACCCAAAGAAGGCTGGAGAGACTCATCTCGGTAAACCCGTCTTTGCGAGCGTCGCAGAGGCAGTCAAGGAGACCGGTGCTACTGCTTCCGCCATCTTCGTCCCGTATGTAGAACCTGAGTTGCCGGCATAGGGTTGGGTTTATAGTGTTAACGCTTCGACACAGACCTTCCGTGGCTGCTAAGAGTATCGAAGAGTCTATCGCAGCTGAGGTGCCTCTCGTTGTCTGGTATGTTTTACCTTCTTCATTCTACCCTGGCCAAAGAAAATGCACTAATATATGGTACAGCATTACAGAAGGAATTCCTCAACATGGTATGGCTTAAATGGAGAGGAAAGTACTTGTATATGCCTGCTAACCTCTTCATTAGACATGGTCCGCATCACCGACATGCTAAAAACACAAAGCAAGACCCGTCTCGTTGGACCTAACTGCCCTGGAATAATCGCTCCCGTACGAATGCTCTACCACCGATATCTCTAGTTAGACGTCATATGCTAACCATTCACGCCGCAGGGACAATGCAAAATTGGTATCATGCCCGGCTTCATCCACAAGAGAGGCCGTATCGGTATCGTCTCCCGATCCGGTACCCTTACCTACGAAGCCGTCAACCAGACCACCCAAGCCGGTCTTGGCCAATCTCTCGTTGTCGGCATCGGCGGTGACCCATTCTCCGGAACCAACTTCATTGACTGCCTCCGTGTCTTCCTCGAGGATGAGGAGACTGACGGAATCATCATGATCGGTGAGATCGGCGGTAGCGCTGAGGAAGACGCCGCCGCTTTCCTGAAGAGCGAGAACAGGGCCAACAAGCCTGCTGTCAGCTTCATTGCCGGTATCAGTGCTCCACCAGGTCGACGAATGGGCCACGCTGGTGCCATCGTCAGCGGAGGCAAGGGCGGCGCAGACTCCAAGATTGCAGCCCTCCAAGATGCCGGTGTCATTGTGGAGCGAAGCCCTGCCTCGCTCGGAAAGACTCTTCTCGCTGAGTTCGTCAAGAGAGATCTCGTCTAAAGCGTTTACTCCTCGGTGTGCACCATCGTCCCCCACCCTTCCCCGACTGTATCTCTAATGCAACCTTCCCAATGTTCAGGATTATATACTATTGAAGCTCTCAGGGTTGTATTTTGCATTATTACTTTCTACGTTTTTCCTTCGCCCATGTTATAGTTAATTGAATAGTGCATCCCCGGAGGGAATAGAAACGTCTAGCCTGGTAGACTACTTTGTATAAAAAAATGTTCTTTATATGACTATTGTGAATTGTTTTCCGTGTGGCTATACGTGCTGTAATTACAACTACAACGATGTTAAATGATTGATGATCCATAGCCTCCTTTTCAAGGCGTCCAGGAGAAATCGAAGTGTCTTTGGCTCATATACCTTCTGAGAGTGATCCTTCAGGTGTTAGGGTTATCTTGTTGATCTGCTTTTTGATCAGGCCCTGCTTTACGAGAGTAACGAGTGACTAGTTACTTGAGCATCGTTGCTGTTCGCATAATAGTAAGTATTCTTCATATTACTCCATGTCTATAACTCATGAGCGGAGGAATCATGGCATTTGCAGCCTCACTTCCTACAAGTTCCTTTTTGTGATGTGTTTGCCCTGTTTGTATTTAATTTTACGATTAATAATTAACCTCCGGTGTTATATTAATCCTCTTTATTATTATTGCTTACTCATTGAGCACGTGACAAAGTTGAGGTTGAAGCAAAATTCGAGAAAGCAAATTGAACGAGAGAGGAAGAGAAATCGCGTTGAAGAGCATCAAACGAAGGACAACGCAGGAATGGCGCTCCACGAGTCACTGTCACAGCTGCCCAGGGCTCTATCACGGCGATTCAAGCCAGCATTTTCATCCCAGCTCCCGGCATACCGTCGCAATGCCTCCTCCGAATCATCATCTCCATTAGACGACCTCGAACCCGCCTCGTCCTTTTCCACTCCTCCGCTCTCAGAAAAACAGATAAAGGCATTTGATCCCGTGGCCAGAAGCAAGAGCCGTAAACAACAGCTACCACGAAGTCGGTAAGCTCGGATTCCCATCCTCTCCATCTCCAGGTCGAGCCGGTGGCGTGTCAGCTAACCCTTCGATTTTTGAATAGATACCAATATCGATCCCCCAAATATGATCGTGGCCCTCTTAACCCTCACAGACCTCCGCCATCATCACACCCATCCTCTCGTCTTTTCGTTCCAGGGCCCTTCAGCTCAACCCGAGTGGAACAGACGTACAATTCGACCGTAGCCTCTGATATTCTTACTCTCTGCTACGTACATAAACCGCATGGGTTCAAGGCTCCTCCACCGCCTGTACGTCTACGACAATGGGACGACAGCTCACCATACCATAAGAACCGACCACTCCGTGGCCCTCGAGGCGGCGATGTGTTACGCCTGCTTCGGAAACCAATTACTTTTAACAGCGTCCCTGAATTGTCGGGCATAACGGTCCACTCGTACGTCAAGGATGCTGTGGCGCATGGGTCATCCTATCTGCACGTAGCTGGTATGGCACTGCAGGCCATCACGAACGTAAGAGTTAAGACACACAAAGTTAAGACGGGTGTGCCTAAATGGGGGTTGATTGCAGGCACCAAGCACGTTGCTGCCACCGCGGAGCTGAAGGGAGAAGACATGTACCATTTCTTCAGCAAGTTGGTGGATGTCGTTATGCCCAAGTTTAAAGACTGGAAGGGGGTGAAAACTACCAGTGGTGACGGCAGCGGAAACATCACGTTGGGTCTTGAACCATCAATGGTCGCTATGTTTCCTGAAATCGAAGTCAACTATGACATGTGAGTTTTTTCTTTCCTGCGACCTCTATTTTGTTGAAGACTAATGTTTTGATTGTCAAGGTACCCTCCCCGCATGATTCCAGGTTGCCATATTACTATCAAAACTACTGCTCGTGCCGACAAGGATGCCAGAATCCTTCTTAATGCTTTGGGCGTTCCATTCAATGGGAAACTCCTGAAGTAAATTCCTGTCCTCGCGTTGCCTCTCACTCAGCGAGATGTATATTATGTCACTCTATTGCCGCCTGTTAGAACAGGCGGCGTAGACACATGTTCTTGTACCCCTTATTACCCTACCTACTTACCTTACCCTTATCACCTTGCCTTGGCTTGTATTGCAATTGTGTCCGTCACGCCATCTTCTACTGTACCTGTACCATAAATCTATAGAAAAATATAGCGACCTCCTTGGTTAGCCCCAAATTGAATAATGTAACCTGAGCCGGCTAGGGGAATATGAACTTATCTATTCTACGAAGTACAACCAAATAAATAAAACTCATACATATTCTTCTAACCTGGAATACTCATTCGCTTCATGAACAGATAAGCCACATGGAAATGGGAAATTCGTTGATGGCATGGCATGAAGAAAAAAAAGGGGAGGGGAAGAGGTCGACTCTATTTGTACAATTGCCCGGTTGAAAGCAAGGGTGCCATAATCAAACGAGGAACAGGAAGAGAAAATAGAAGAGTAAAACAGCTAGTGAATCCTCCAGGGTACTTCTTCTATTTGGACGATTTTTAATTACCTGGTATATGTTCGGATAGATAAGATGCGGTAAGATGAATTTTGGTGAAAATGGTAGAAATCGACGAAGCTAGATGATGATGTATGCAAGAGGTGGATTAAATAAAGGAAAGGAAAGGGGGGGGAGAGGAAAGATTACATCAAGCAATCGTTTCCAGGAACGGGTTGTTCAACAACTCATCTGCGCTCGGTCGTTTTTCATGATCGATTTCAAAGGTCATATCCAGGAAGGCCATGGCTTCTTTGCTTGCGTTCTCTGGCGGGGGCGGACGGGCCTGGTTATTTCCAATGGCGAAAATGGCTTGTAACTGGCTGCAGTCAGGGAACGGGTGGACGCCGATAAACATCTCGACGACAAGGCAGCCTAGACTCCAGATATCGGCCTTTTTGGTATGGGCTGTTTGACGCACGACTTCAGGGGCCATCCAATATACGCTTCCTTGCAAGGAGGGTCGGTGGAGGTGGTTTGAGGGGCCCTTTGCGCCGGAGCCGAGCATGGTGGAAGCCTCGACGCGTTTGGAGATACCAAAGTCCGAGATTTTGATGCCTCCCTTGTTATCGACTAGGACGTTGGCACCCTTGATGTCACGGTGAATGATGTCACGCGAATGAAGGTATTCGAGACCTGCTAGAATCTGCCGGACAAAGTTACGGATCAGCGGCTCTTGGAAGGTGTTGTACTGTTTAAGCATCGTGGCTATGGAGCCTCCGGGGACGTATTCAAGGAAAATGTTTAAGTACTGGTCGTCTGTTGAGGTGCCCAAGTACTGCACGATATTCTGGTGCCGGAGGCCCTGCAGGAGACCGATCTCGTGCTTGAGGGCAGAGACCATGAGGTTCTTCTTTTGGTCGAATTCCGTGCCCTTTGTAGCGGACGGGAGCTCGACTTGCTTGACGGCCATGAGTTCACCGGTGACTGAGTGGAGGGCAAGGAAGACGCTGCCAAAGGAACCTTCGCCGATCAGGGAGCCCTTCATCCAGTTCTTGTTGCCGAAGTTGTTGCCAGCAAGGAAATCTGCCAGCCCGTCGTCTACCTCGTCCCCATCCTCCGCCACGATCATGCTCAGACGCTCGTTCATGGATCCACCGCCATCAGTCGCGGTGACGCTTAGTGTCTCATCCAGGAAGGTCTGTCGTTCCGGTTCTTCGATGCTTGGATGATCGGTATTGTCATCAAACGAGACGTAGGACTTTCGATTGTCTTGGATGGGAGACTCTTCTTGCAGGGGTTCCAGTGACGAGGAAGCGATGGAATCTCGGAAAGAAGATGGGGGGAGGTTGAATCTGGATACAGACAGCGGTCGACCGCCAGCTCTCGAGGGGGGATTGGACGGAATACCGGCAGATAGCCATGTGTCCGCAATGCTGGGGATCGGTGGAGCATCTTTCATGCTGGAGGCTAGACTCACACCACTCATGACAGACAGCCGGCTGGCAGCTCGACTCATGCGCTGAGATCTTCGAACCGACAGCCGCATGGTCTTCTCGATATCCTCCTTCTGGTGACTGGGGAAATAGGACGTCAGCTCGTGGATGATCATCTCGCTTGGAGGACGTGCACCAAAGAAGGAGCGTAGTTTCGTGCTCTGGTCACGTTCCATGGGGTCGTTGTTATGACGGCGGTGGTCCTCCCGCGAGCGATCCGTGGTCGTGATGGGCGACATGGGCTGCCGCAGGTGGTCCCAGGATTCTCCCGTAAGCTTCTGCAGTTTGATCTGGTTTCTCAAGTTTGTCGTGTTCATGGCGTTCATGTGGGCAACCTGGCTTTCGTCCGTGGCCAGACGGGCTGCAAGTTCCAGTTCGTCCAGGTCTGGTTCTCCGGCATGTATATTCCGCAGGATAAGACGGCCGCGTTCAGACCGGTTGGAACCATCGCATATCTGCAGCAGTTCGACGTCAGAGATACGCCTGCAGTTGGCCGGGTTAGGGTCGAGGCCATCCAGGACGTAGAAGCAGTAGTTCTTGTAGTGGCTCTCTGGGATGAGCAGCTTCTTCAGTACGGAGACCATGATGTCGTCTGCGGTCTTGCACTGTTTTATATTGAGAGCCTTGGTCTGTCCGCCCGTGTGTATGACTCTGATGACTGGGGAGTGGCTTGGGAGGGAGCTGATGGTCAGCCCGTCATTGCTGGGGTTCTGCCGGACGTGGGCTACCGCCCGGGGAGCCTGAGACTGGTCGTTGGTGGCGGTGGTGTGCCTCGAGGTGCTGGAGTTGGAGTGAGAGTAGCCGCCAAAGTAGTTTGACCCCTGTTCACGGCGGATGGACTCCATGGGGCTAGCTCCGTTGTATCTGTACTGCCGGAGCTGCCGGTCTGGTTCAGCCAGGGGAGAAGTGGGCCTGGACGACGGCTTCGTCGAGTTGTAGCTGTGGGAAGACGGTTCGTTGCGAGACCACTGGCGACCAGAGGGGTGGTATCGAGTGTTGTTTGAAGGTCGGGAGGACTCTGAGGACGGCGGTGTATATCTCGACGAGTCCAGGGCAGCCAGAGAGTCCTATCAGGGTGTAAGCATTTAGATCTGTATGAATACTGGGAGCTTCGACCTACCCTGTTCCTCTTTTTGCGGTATGAGATGGCCCTGTTTCGAAGCTGCTTGACGGCGACGTAGATGCGGACCCTGTCTCCGACCTTCTTGATGCCCATCTCCTGGAGTATCTTCTGGTCGCAGTCGAGGAGGTTATCCCCGGTGAAATGGTTTGCTACAAAAAAAGTGAGCCCACGTTCAGTGAAGAATTAAGAGATCGAGGGGCCTTACCTTTGAAGATGGGTTCATACTGCCCACACCGTATGCTATGCAACCACTCCCCGACTTTCTTCTCATCCCATGATCTGTCAACGGGTCAGTACACAAAGAAGCATACAAAGAGGAGAGGAAAAGACAGACCGAATGGGATCAAGCTGGTCTGCGCCCTCGGAGAACTCAGACTCCGTCGGGCTGGTGAAGAGGTTCTCTCTGGACGCGACTCCGTTGGCAGGCTTCTGGAGGGCGAGGTTTGAGTAGGAGGCGAGGGAGGGCTGCTGAGGAGCCATTGGGAAACCCTGGCCGTAGGGAGCTGGCTGGGAGGTCAGCATCGCAGTCTGGACGGCCGCACAGTGAGTATACTGGTCTTGACGCTGGGCCGGTGGTCAGAATCGCATCGTCGAGCCCAGTCCGGTCGAGTCGGGTCCAGTCCAAGTCGGGAGTCGACACTATATTTCAACAAGTCAAGGGATCAACCCCGCACCGGCCACTAGATACAAGAATCCTCGACTGGCCCGCCTGCATCAAGCAGTGTCTTGTTGTATAAGTCGAGTTGAAGTCGAGTTGAAGTCGAGTCGAAGTCGAAGTTCAAGATGTTTACAGCAACAAAAAGCGTTTCTGGGGCCTGATTCAATGCCCGATCGGGTTAGCGTGTTTAGTTACGAGATGAGAAGATGAGAAGATGAGAAGATGAGAAGATGAGATGATGATGAGAAGACGATGAGAAGACGATGAGAGAGGGTGTATAAGAGAGTAAGAGTACATAGTAAAGAGACGTACGACTACCAGGCTTCCGTCTTATTTATTCTGTCTGTCTGTCTGCGGTGAAGAAGCTGAAACCTCCCAGGGGTCGACCTCGTCTTTGGCCGGTGGGTTTTACGTAGACTAACAAAAGGAAGACCTCATGGTTCGGTGGAGTTGATGGATCTATGAGTTGCTATCTCGGACTACCGCTTCTACTAGTACTAACTACTACCTCTACTACTACTACTACTTCTACTTCTACTACTTCTACTACTTCTACTACTTCTACTACTTCTGCTACTACTTCTACTACTTCTACTACTACATGACTAAGCCCCCGCACTCCCCTCACTGACGAAACGCCAAAACTTCATCGCAAACACCAAAAATCAACAGACAGCAAAGTCGAGACAGCTTCAAAGGGGCAGCGTCAAAGGGCGAATGGACACTGCTGAAGCCTCTGCTGCCGCCTCGCCCGCGCGCCCCCGGAAGAAGCGGGCGACGGCGACCCGCAAGTCGCTCACCTGCGAGCACTGCAACCGGCCGTTTGCCCGCCTCGAGCATCTCCAACGGCATCTCCGCACCCGTTAGACCCCTGACTCCTGTCGGCATCATCATATACACAAGGACTAACAGCTGATAGATACCAAGGAGAAGCCTTTTACCTGTGAGATATGCTTCAAGTCTTTTGCCCGGAGGTGAGTCTCTTCTTCGTGTTCGATGGTTTAACAAGGCTGACCGCTACTAGTGACCTGCTGGTCCGCCATGAACGGCTGGTGCATCCCGCAGAGGCGGCCGCCAGGGCAGACAAGCGGGCTTCTGCCTCCGCTGTGCTTCTGCCCAGCCCGAACCGCTTGCCGGCAGCCACTGCGGCAGCTCCAGTGGCAGCACCGGTGGCGGCGGCGGCAGCAGCGGCGGGGACGCCAGGTGCAGCGCCAGAGATGCAGATGAACCCTTCGTGGGGCTATGATCTGAACCTGCTCTCCCATGCTGCCAGCCATGTCGCCCTCGAGGGACAGGTCCAGGTCCAGGCCCACCAGCATGACAGGAAGCCGGCGTCAGCGGTCTACGAGCGGCCCATCTCAGAGAACTACGGCGTCGAGCCCTCCATCCTCGACCTGGCCGACCTGGGAGACCCCGTACAGGACTTCACCACCTTTCTCGAGAGCGTGGGGCTCTCCTCGGACTGGGACTCTGGCCTCTTCAACTCCGTAGAGCCTGAACCGCTCTTGTCGAACCCCATACCCCCCAGTTCAGCACCTCCTCCTGCTGCTGCTTCTTGCCTAGATGTCAAGCAGCAGGCTTTCAGCTCTGGCCCCAGGTTCGCACAGGAGCCTGTGCCAACGGCCACGGCCACGACGACCGCGGACGAGGCCCCTTCGTTTTCAAACTTTGGTTCCAGGCTGCCCTCCCTCCAGCCAGAGGCTCAGGACTCCGATGCTGGTCCCTCGGAGCAGCAGAACAGGCCGGCTTGGGACATTTCCACCCAGGAACACCAGATCTTCACCGCCAGACTGGAGGACTTTGCCCACGTCCTCTCCAAGGGGTTTGTGCGGCCGTCCAGACATGCACTCTCCCGCTACATGGCCGGCTACATCAGCGGCCTCAACGAGCATCTGCCCTTCATCCACGTCCCCACCTTGTCCGTCGCCAGGTGCCCGCCAGAGCTGACCCTCGCCCTCGCCGCAGCAGGCTCTCACTACCGGTTCGAGAACTGCAGAGGTATCGAGCTCTTCCACGCCGCAAAGGCCATCCTGCTCGAGCGGCTTCGACGTCGGGATTCCAGGCCCATCCTCCCGCCCTCCCATCCACAGCAATGGGGTCTGGCACCGCCTGCCAACAACAACAGCGCCAGCACCCCTCGGGCTTCATCCTCGGCCGTCTCCAACCCGGGAAGCAGCCCGTTCCCACAGCAGTTCATCCCCCTGATCGACAACACCTCGCTGCCGGGAGAGGACGCCGAGGGTCAGATGGAGATCATACGCACCTTCTTGCTCCTTACCATCTTCGCCTCCTGGGAGAGCCATCCGGACATACTGCGGGACATGCTCGCCCTCCAGAGCACCCTCGCCCGTCTGGTACGGGACCACGGCCTCGTAGAGCAGCCGGCTTCCACCCCGCCAGATTCGCTCTCCTGGACAGACTGGTCCAGACAGGAGGCTGACAGACGCACCAAGCTCGTTGTCTACTGCTTCTTCAACCTCCACTCCATCATGTACAATATTCCCCCTTTAATCCTCAACTCCGAGCTGAACCTCAACATGCCCTGTTCTGCCGATGAATGGAAGGCATCCACCGCCAGCCAGTGGCGCCGTGTCCGCCGTCCCGCATCGGAAAACAACCTCACCACCACCCCCCCATCCTCCTTCCAGGACGTCCTCGCAAAGCTCTTCACAAAGACCACCGCCACTGCCGCAACACCTCCATCCAACCATGTATCCCCCCTTGGCAACTACGTCCTCATCCACGCCATCATTCAGCAGATCTTCTTCGCCCGGCAACTCTGTCTCTCCGCCCCATCCATGGCCGGTACCAGCCTGCGCCCCGACGACCTCGCAGTAATGGGCAACTCTCTCAGCGCCTGGAAACGCGGTTGGCGCCAAACCCCTGAATCCAGCATCGATCCCCAAAACCCCGCTGGACCCATAGCATTCACTTCCACCGCCCTCCTCGGCCTCGCATACATACGCCTGCATCTCGACCTCGGTCCCTGCCGCCGCCTAGTCTCCCAGGACCCCGTGCAAATAGCCCAGGCCCTCAACGACTCCCCACCACTTATCCGCAGTTCCCGCCTGATCATGGCACTCCTGCACTCCGCCCACGCTCTCTCCATCCCCGTCCGTCTAGGCATCGACTTCGTTGCCCGCACCCACTCCTTCTTCTGGTCCATCCAGCATTCAATCTGTAGCCTGGAATGCGCCTTCTTGCTTTCCCGCTGGCTGCTCTCCATACCCGGCACACAGCATGATCAGCGCTTATCAGACCACGAACGCAAACTGCTTCTCTGGGTCAAGGGCATGATGGACGAGACCGACATGTCTACCTCTATCAGTGCGACAACAGAGGCAGATCTGATCAGTGATCCGGCGCTGATGAGACGGCTTAGTGTTGCCGTCGTGCGTGTCTGGTCCAGGACCTTCAAAGGAAACACGAGCTGGCCTATCGTCGACCTAATCGGCGCCAGCCTGGAAATCTACGCTGACTTACTCGATGTATGACATATACCACTATAATTTTGTTTTATATTTTTCCTTGGATGACCTACTTTTGCTATATATACCTGTTTCCTAGAATGGCGACGGCCATACTGTGATTCATAATTAATATAATACCCCTACCAGCTTTAGGTATAAATGCTATAGATCCATATTTCCAACTCAAAAAAAAAAAAAAAAAAAAGCTAGAAGAAAATATTGCCAAAAGCAAAAAACAAAGTTGCTGTTATTCACCTCCCATCTTTCCGAGACTGCATCCGCACAGTCACGCTATGAGGCACGAACCTGAGCGCAGACATAGACCTGGTAAGGCCCGCTAAACCATCATCCTCGTCAACGCCAGCCTTGGCCTCCGCCTGCACATGCGTAGTCGATGCATCGTCCTCTTCCTCTTTGTTCGCAGCATATGTAGAATAATCCCTTCGTCTCTCTGGAGCAGGAGACGAGACTGCATTGTTACTCCTTGCATTAACGCTTCCAGTCTCCAGCGAGAAGCGGCGCCGATGCATAGGCACGCTAGATCGAAGCATAGAACTATACTTGTCGATACCATCATTCACAATGAAGAAATTATATCCCTGCCCCCTGAAATCAGCCAAGTTCACCTTTTACATCAGACAGAACAAACGGTTGTCCCACCCTTGGAAAGCAGTGTTTATCAATCAGATGTCTCCTACGCTTCTGAGGCGTCGAGCATCTCCGCTCACATCCCTCGACGAAACATCCAAACTAGATCGGAGGTCAATTAGTCGTTGCCTCCATCACCAACCTGTAGGAAAGAAAGATATGCAAAGTACAGTTTTCTCCCCCCTTTCTCTCCTCTCCTCCATCACCGGGTCGTGATTCTCTTCGATGTGTCTGCTCAACAGCAGTTCTGAGGGGAAATTCTTCCTGCATTCCGAACATCGGTTGATGTGTGTTTGCAGGTAGTGCGATTCATACTCCTCGTATGTAGGGAATGTTAGATCCCCCTTGTGCGGTGGAAGTGAACAGCGCATTAACGAGTTTCTGGTTTCTTCGGAGGGAGGCGGGTGGTCCATGTGAGGGTATTTATGCCGTGGGGAGCCTGCTGAAGACGATACCATTGATATCGTTGCTGGTGGTGATGTAGAGCCTTCCCGGGAGCGTTTTGACATGTCTATTATCTGCCCGTCGAGGGAGCGGTGAGTGGCTGATAGTTATGCTTTCGTGCGGTAGTTATATGCAAGGCCGGTGAGATGGGTATTCTAATTGGCACCAGCAGTGACTTGAGCTGTCAGTTGGCTATTTGTCTGTTGAAGTCTTCCTTTTTAAATAAGTGCGTGATAAGCGTCTAGTTGTTTAGTTATGAAGTTGCTTCCTATCTTTTTGTTGGAATGAGATAAATATCCTATTGGTTGGATGACGTTTATTCTATGAATTTAAATTAGCCGTTGTTAGCCAATCATTAATTATTTCCATATTAATAAGCACTACTTCATGATAAACCGGGGTATCAATATTAGTAATCACGCTTATCGCAACATTTTTTCCTATCGTCGAAATTTCTATCTTCAATATTTTGCCCCGCCAACTATTCGTCCCACTCACCGAGAGGGATCTTTAATAGTGCATTTTTTATTGGAATATAGAATATACCTGTCTATCGTTTATATTTGCAGCCATGGTGCTGGCCAAGTCCAAAAACTCTGTGGGGTTGGGGAACAGTTTGATGAATGATAGGTTTGGCAAGGGAAAAGGCGCGGATCGAAAGAAAGTATCTCACAATGCTGCTGCTATCCAGCGAAAGGGCACTGATGGCGAGACTTATATAACAAATCCGTCCGAAGAGGCATCGTGGGTGAAAATGCGCAGTATTACTGAACAGCCCGCCCTCGACGAGTTTCTGAGCACCGCCGAACTCGCGGGAACTGATTTTACTGCCGAAAAGTTGAATAATGTCAAGATTATACATCAGGACCAGAAGAACCCTTACCTCCTTTCTGCCGCAGATGAGAGGAACGCCATCAGAAAACATCAGAAGAACCGTTCTCGCTTAACGGTTCCCCGACGCCCCAAGTGGAACGAACGGACGACTCGCAACGAACTTGATTCTATGGAGCGAGAAAGCTTTTTGGAATGGAGGAGAGGTCTTGCAGAGCTACAGGAGGTGCAGGATATATTAATGACACCGTTTGAACGAAATCTTGAAGTATGGAGGCAACTGTGGAGAGTCATCGAGCGATCCGACCTCATTGTGCAGATTGTGGATGCGAGAAACCCACTTCTCTTTCGATCAGAGGATTTGGAAAGATACGTCAAGGAAGTGAACCCAAAGAAAAGAAACCTACTTTTGGTGAATAAGGCGGATATGATGACATTAAAACAAAGAGAAGCTTGGGCAGACTATTTTGAGGAACACAAAATATCCTACAAGTTCTTCTCGGCTGCTTTGGCTAAGGAGCTTAACGAAGCAAATGGACAAGTAGAGGTGGATGAGGAGGATGAGGATGCAGATGAAGAAGCACTCGTCGAGCGAACAAGTAAAGTACGCATTGGAGGTTCAGAGGGAGATTCTGAAGAAGATGAAGAGGCCGACGAGGAAGAATACTCGGAAGAAGACGATGATGATGGCGGGGGTCTACCTCTTCCACGAGATCCGGAGTCTAAGAGAACGGAGATAATCACGGTAGACGAGTTGGAAGCACTGTTTATGTCAGCCGCTCCTCCCCGTGATCCTAATGACGAGAGAAGCAAAGACATTACCACCATTGGCCTTGTTGGGTATCCTAATGTTGGTAAATCCAGCACTATTAATGCACTTCTGGGAGCGAAGAAGGTGTCTGTCTCTGCAACTCCTGGAAAAACGAAGCATTTTCAGACACTTTACCTAACACCTAAGATTGTCCTTTGTGATTGTCCCGGTCTTGTGTTCCCCAATTTTGCGACCACGAAAGCGGAACTCGTCGTTAACGGTGTCCTTCCCATTGACCAATTACGAGAGTACACCGGCCCTGCCGGGCTTGTCGCCCAGAGGATTCCTCTCCACTTCCTCGAGGCCGTTTATGGGATGAAGATTCCCATCCGAAGTATTGAAGAGGGAGGAACAGGAGTTCCAACTGCGTCCGAAATCCTTCGTGCATATGCCCGTGCTCGTGGATTTGCTACAACAGGTTTAGGTCAGCCGGACGAATCTCGAGCTGCGAGATATGTGTTGAAGGATTATGTTAATGGAAAGTTGTTATTCTGTCACCCTCCACCCAGGGATCCCCCGTTCACAGATACGAAAGAGCGCTCAGAATATGAATTGGACTTTAACGAAGGGCTGTCTGACATGGCCCATCTTCCTGCTCGACGGAAGGAGGCGATGCTCAAGGAACATGCTGCTGCGACTCGCGGTGACCTGGCAGATGGGGAGAACGATGATGTTGATTTGGATTCAAACATGATTCCACCCCAGACTTCGGGCAACGCATCTATACCAACCCAAAGTTCCCGTTCAAAAAAGCTCGACAAGAGTTTCTTCGGTCCTGGAGGCGCCGGATCAGCAGGACATCTCAAGATGCCTTTTAATTATAAGTATTCAGAAGTGGGCAAACAAAAGGCAATCACCGGTCGCAAGCAGAGGGCTCTCATCGCATTGGAAAAGAATATAGATGTGTCGGAAGTTCGGGGGCCGGGAAAGAAGCATTTCAAAGCGAACAAAAAGGTCAAGGCAAAAAAAAAGGGAAACAGCTTCCTAGCGGAAGAAGAGTAACCATTACGAATTTATGTGTCTATATTATGACCCCCCGCATTTAGAAAAGGTTGCACGTTCGATGAACTCGTCGATTATTTTATCATATTTCGCTGTAGCCAAAAATCTCGTTTTATACATAAAAGCTTAACTACTTATCGCTTATCGCTAAAATCACGTGGTCTTATCAAATAAAAAAATAAAAATAAAAAAAAGGTATTTTGGCTGTGGCCCGCAATTATTTGACAAGCAAAGGTCTCTAACCATCGAAACCATTCACAACAGGAACCATTTACTCCAAATTAAAGGATTCACAATGCCTCCGACGAAGCAGTGGATGTATGTGAACTCACTGTAAACCATATCTTGATTCTAGGGGAATAGGAAGCACTAACCTGGGCGTATTTCTTTTAGCGATAAGAAATCCGCAACGAAATATCAACTCTTCCATAGATCGCAAAATGATCCGTTGATACACGATCCGGAAGCTGAAGATAGGATCCTTCATGTGGTTGGAGGGCCCAATCCTGCGTCTAGTGCGAAACCATCATCCTCGAAACGAGAAACAGGGACACTTCGTGACCTCGATGAGGAATTTAAATCAGCGACTCGGAAAAATGAAGGAGAGGCAGCGAACTATGGTATTTTCTACGATGATAGCAAATATGATTACATGCAACATTTGCGCGGCTTAGATGAGGGTGTTGGAGGCTCACACTTCATTGAGGCGAAAACAAAGGGCAAGGGAAAGAAGGGCATGAAGCTTGAAGATGCGCTGAAAGAAATTTCCCTGGATGGTGATAGCGCGGATGACTTTACCTATGGTGATGCCAATGATGATATCCTGTCAACTGCTTCCTCATATGTACGCAAGGCTACGTACCAGGACCAACAAGATGTACCGGATGCGATTGCAGGTTTCCAGCCGGACATGGATCCACGGCTGAGAGAGGCTCTAGAAGCGCTGGAAGATGATGCATATGTTGATGAAGAATGCGACGAGGATATATTTGATAACCTAGTTGCTGGTGGCCATGACGCAGAGGTAGACCCTGATGAGTGGAGGGATACGTACATCGAAGAGGATGAGGGTTGGGAGTCGGATGCAACAGAAAAGGCGCCGGTTCAACATGACAAATCGACTGACAGCCAGATACCTGTGACACCAGACAGCGCCTCGGATACCAATAAACCATCTCAGCCGCCCAATAATGAGCAGATACCAGACATGGAGGAACACGAGGGGGACTGGCTGAAAGAATTCGCGAAATATAAGAAAGATATAAAAGGGAATAAGGGTGTGGCCAACGGGGATGATAATGCTTCTGAACTCCGCACTACGGCATCAACTTTGTTCACACTCGGAGGGACCCCGGTTAGGAAGAAGAAACGCAAGGGTGCCCAAACGAACCCTTCAGCGTATTCGATGACTTCCTCTTCACTTGCCAGGACAGAAGGCCACAGGCTTCTCGATGACCGATTTGAAAGAATGGAGGCCCTGTACTCTTTGGATGAAGGAGAAGAATATGAAGGGTCGAGCATGGCTGATGACATGTCGGTTGCGAGTGGGCTTTCGCGATTCTCCAGGTTCTCCAAACTTTCACAAGCCCCGAGCCTTGTTGCAAATGATAGAGATGTGCCGCTTCGCTCAGATTTCAATGATGTTATGGATGGATTCTTAGATAAATGGGATGACCGACGAGTTCATGCTAAACGCAAGGGCGCACAGGGTAGGCGTGGGAAGAACGGAAATGAAGTCATTGGCATGAAAATGCTGGACGAGGTTAGACAAGGCCTTGGGCCCCCTAGGCTTTCTACGAACGCCTTTGGAAAGGTTTGATGTGTTATTCAATCATTGTGTTTTTCCTGGAGTTGAGAGTTGGCTTATGAATCAAGAGTATCTGGAGTTATCTTATACGTCTAAGGGGTCATAGAAAGTATGGTAGTTGAAGGCTAGCACCTATAATTAAATATTGGTTGATTTTACACTATACGCATGGCCCTGACCTGTCGATATATGCCTCTATTATATTACATGTTATACAAACTCTAGGCAGACTTTTTCACAAAGCTCCGCCTACGCGCTCTACAATCCACATGGCGAGGCGAACATTCCAACTGACTCGCCGTTCAACCATCCTAAGGTCTTCCCTTGAAACAGGTTTGGAATCTTCTTGCAACCACTCCGTCTCTTGGCCTAGTCTTTCTTTTAAGTTGTTGTCTGTGGTCACTACAACAGCACCAACCTCCAAGTCAAGGCCATAGCTTCGCTTGGTATAATTGCTGCTTCCAACGAATGTGAGACTTGGGTATTTCTCGTCAGGGAGCGTTACCCATAACCCCTTCGCATGATATGTCCAGCCATTAGGCTCATTCACAGTTCCCTTGCGCCACTCCTTCAACTGAATAGAATTTGTTCTTTGAGCTTCAGCAACCCGATCTAGAAATCTGGCAGACAGGTGGGTGTATGCTGCAGGAAGCATTCCTGAGACACCTGGGGACCCATAGAACCCGTTTGCCCATGGAGATGCCGTGAGAACCGTCCCCTGGTTCCTTGGAGAGCCAGGGGACGGTGTAGTACTTGAAATAAGAAGAGATGAGAGAACGGGATGCATATTGAAGTAGCCTGCCGTGAAAAGCCAGCGGGAATTCTTTAGCGTTGGGTTATTAGCCAAGGAGCCCAGGATGCTTGTAACGGCGGGAAATTCTGTAGATTGGTCCGGCTTTAATATCGGTGTAAACTGGGCCACAGGGTATACATATGTTTGGTTATCAGGCATTGATGCAGAAATATCCTGGCCCTTTGGTGGCTGTATTAATATTGAAAGAGCAGTTGATGCAACAGATATAAAATCTTCGGGGTCATCCAAGGGAGATGGCGCAGCATTCGTAGCCGGCCAACTCAAGACATAGCCTTGTTTGCTCTTTGTATCAGGTAGAACTTGAAAACTAAACTTGCAAATAGCATGGTGAATCTGAGAGTAATATTCAGCTAGTTCTGTCGACTGGAAGACATGGTATCGATCAAGGCGGTTTGTAAAATAGTCATTCGAAAGATTGGCTCTAGTGTAAGCAAAATATGTTAGAAATATGAGTTCAGGTAAGGAGGAAATATAGAAAGCTATACCCAGAAAGAATTATTTCATCATCCACCCCGTAAAGCTTCATGTGCTGAAGGCCCCATCCTTCATTTATCCTCTTTGGTACATATTTTTTCTTCATTCCTACCAGGTTAGGGGTATGAAACATCCTTATTTCCACCCGCTCCGGCCCGTGCTCTTCAACTAAGGACGCTAAGAGGGAAGCACAGGAAGAATTCGGTGATTCACGAGTTCCACGCAAGGCATCTGTTAGAATAGACACCTTTAAGTCTGGGTTCTGGCGAAGGCTCTCATTTAGGACCGAAAGAAGCTCGTGTTCCGTTTTTCCAATATACAAAGTTGAGAGATAGACTCGTCGTTTTGCATTGCGTATTTTATCCTACTAGTTATTAGCCAGGCTTTCCCAAGTTCATATACACAAAACCCTTACCTTTAGAGTCTCATAGAACGCAGCTGGGGAGTTCAGGATCTGGATATTGGATGCTTGGACTTTAAACTTGGGCGCAATCCGGTCTAACTCCACGGTGAGGCTGCCAATGGGCGAAGAGACACTGGTATAACTCGCAGCAGGAGCCGAGGTAGAGGAATACCTGCGGATTGGGGAGGTATAGTTGGTGTTGCGTGCTGAGCATCCCCGGCAGCAGTTCTGGAGGGTACGCCCTCCTATACGTTTTATCATGGCCTTTTTATCCCCATGTATCACATCTCAGGAATAATATCGTAATAGTCTTGGGGGTCAATTCTAGCAGGAAAACGTCGTGAATGTTGAACTTGAAGCTTCAGAATAAAACATTTTATTTTTATCTTATCTCCATCAGACTGCATCGGCGCTAAGCCGCTTTTGGCTTCTCGCGCCAGTCCGAACAAACCAAACGAAAAGCCGCGAACTTCGACGTCAACGACAGAGACCAACTTAAGGGAAAAGGCACCGTCCGCCGTCACCATGTCGACCATTACTAGGACATTACGGAACTTGTGGAAAATTGGGATCAAGGTAAGCATTACCCCTAGTATACAATGTCCATGGCTAATCGACGTTCCACAGGATTATGGCCACCAACTTCATGTAAGTTAGCCTCCGAGATGGGGATTGCGAAAGAATATAGGGCAAGGGGGATGTAGATGCTAAATTTACGCCTGATCTATTTTATAGTATATCGGTACGTTTGTTATTCATGGTTATTTGGAAGCCATTGCTGACGAGTTCCAACCCAGGTGATACTAAGGCCGGCACCCTCGTAGCCATCGATCGTTACGGGAACAAATATTTTGAAAACAACGAAGAACTGCCTCGTACGTCGTCTGCTATCTTTTGATATAATCTGCTGGATGGGTGTTAACACAATTTAGTTCGAACTCGATGGGTTGACTACAAGGAGAATGATCTTGATGCCTCGCATATCGACCCTGGATGGTCAGTTTCTATTACCTTGTATATTGATAAGGCAGCCTCTGACTCCAATTTGATATAGGCACGCTTGGATCTCGTACATGGTTGACAAACCACCAACGCAAGATGCAATCATACAAACCGGTGTACGAAAATGGGAGACCCCAGAACATAGGCCCAACATGACCATGACTCGGGCTGCATACAAACCATACTCAACGTTAGCAGCCTTAGCTCCCCTTTCTTCTTAATGTTCTCCAATACTAATACATCTTGAATAAATATAGTGTAAAACCAAAATACTCTGCCTGGGAACCAGTTGCTGCGCCCCGATAATGGGCTAAGAAGCTTGCCTTGCCCTGAAGACCAATATCTGTTTCCACTGAAATGCCAATTAGACCCTGGGGCCCGCTTAAGCGGATATGTATATAAGATGAATTATCGGGCAACCTGACCTTATTTCAAATCATTTTTACGCTCTAAATCTAATTCTAGTTACATGGGAGAGTGTGGAAAATTTTAAATGACAAGAAGGATAAATTGTAAGTTATATACTGGATAGCCAAAATGCAGTCGAATACGCCTCGAACAAATTGAGAAGTAATTTCAAAGCACATAACCACCAGACCCAGCGTTCCACCAATGTCGAACTGGCCGGCCGTTCTCGAGATCAATACACCACCACAGTACCTCCTTTGCCTTTTCGATCTGGCCCCCTTGTTCATACGCTCTAGACAATGCAAACCACGCTTCTGAGTTATCCCATGCAGTGCCAAGCTTTGTTAGGGCAGAGAGTAGTCCATAGGCCCTGTCTCTGGCAGCAAGACGATTAAGCGACTCAGGCGTGTCGTTAGGTAATGTGGCTGTAGAAGTGTCTTTAGCGTCTATTGTGCCCAGGGTATCTGTTGCCAGCCCTTGCTGACGTGAAGGCGAATGGAGAGAGATGTTTGAAATATCAGGTAAAGGTGGTGGAGCAGGTTCTTCTGCCGGTAAGGTCTGGTCGTGAATGTCAAGAAGCAGTGTAGCCAAGCCAACCGTGGCTCGTGGATGGTCCGGATAATGCGTAAGTGCTTCTTCAAAGTGCTTGATGGCATCATACGGCTTGGATTGTGCCTGAGTGATGTACCCGCGCTCCGCATAAATATCACCCCAGATCTCATCTGGAGACTTGGTGCCACCCCATCCCTCATCAGCGAAAGCCCTTGCAGAAGATTCCTGTGTTGCAATGAGTCCTTCTATACGGCTAGCATGCGTAGATGCCTCGTTACAAGCTTCCATTGCGTCTTCAAACAACAGGGCCTTCCGGTAAAGGTCGGAAATAAACAGCCATACCTTGACAAGGAGGCAAAGGGAATGTTTCTGCTCCTGGACTCTTGGAAACCTAGTTAGTGCTTTATTGAGTGAGCTAGATTGACAGTTTGTAGGCATCCTAATGTCCTGTATTGGTGGCTGGTTCGGGTGCCCAGCAGGAGCTGGTTCGTCTGTATGTTTCATATTATGAGGAACGGGTGGTAAGGTTTGCCTAGCAGAGTCATTCTGCTCATTTGGATAGACCAAGTCCTTTTCGAGGGTTTTGGAATTGCTTCCTTCAAGACGGTGAATCTTCTGTAAAAGTTTTCCATCTTTTCGCAGCAGGGAGCCCTGGCGAGACCGGCCGCGAGGCTGCACTGAGGGAGATCCTTGTTCATCAGTTGTAACTTGGATGGCTGGTGTAGCAGCAGTTAATTCTTTATCAGGTATCGTTGACGTGATTCCGGGTGTTGTGCCAGTCTCATTACGTACCGCACCCTCTTGGTCCACTGGCGGTCTCTGAGATTTCTTCCGGCCAAAGATACTCCCCCGTCCAGTTCTAATGGTCCCAGATGCAGTTTTTGGGGGAGTTAGATGATTTGAGTTGTCTTTAACTTCAATATCTGCTAGTCCAACACCAGCAAAAAGTTGGCCAAATAGCCCTATCAGTTCATCGCTATAATTCAGGGCGGCCTCTGGGCCGCGGACAACATCCACGAGTGTAAGCTGCGTCATACGTAGCTCGACCATGCTCTCCCTTTCACGTGTTTCTATATCTGGAAACCTGGAGTGTTGTCCTTCGCCAGCAAGAGCTATCGGTTGTGTGGCCTCGTCTTTTCCATTTGAGTTACGAAGATGCCGAAGAGTACTTTGCTTATGGAGCAGTTTTTCTGTTGAGACCATCTCGAATACAACATCACAGGCATTGGCTGCGGTTTTAAAGTCCTCCTTCGAGCTAAGTAGAAGGGCAAGCAAATGCCATAACGGAACGATATCTCTCCCCCCATGGTTAATTACTGAACGAGTGTCCACTTGGTCTGCGCCGTCTTCAGTGTTTGACGAGCTTAGCGCCGCACGAACAAGGTCAATGGCGCCATCCAGATCCCTTGTTTCTGCACGTAGCATAGCAAGAGCAAATACCGTGGCCGGGTTAGGTTCATGTTCTGTCACTAAAGCCTTCTCCAGGGCACAGATGGCATTCGCTTGAAGTTCTGCCCTGGATTCGCTAATAGGAGTCCATCTAGCCCATGTAGCTAGTCCAATGCCCATAGCTCGATAGGCAAAGGAGGTCCCTTGAACAGATATCCTAGTTTCACCATAACGGGCGTTGGTATGAGCTGGGCCATGGCCATTTGATTGTATTTGTTCACTCAGTGCCTCATCTAATAAGTCAGTGAGTTCCTTAATTTTCTCTGCCTCTTTTCGGGATCCAAAGCAACAAAGCATAATCAATCCCTCTGACAGCGTATATATGAAAAGTTCAGGGTTTTCAACCTCCCTCATATGACTAGAATGTTCAGACCTTTCCTTTGCATCTTTTACTAAATGGATATATGTATCCAAAGCATGGAGGGCCAGGTCAAACTCTGCCAAAGCGGCATGTACGTGAAATAATTCCCTAAGAATTAATGTAGAATGGAATGTTTTGGTTGCAGCGCGATATAGTATCTGTCGTCAATGTTAGCGTCAATGTGGTATAGCTAGATAAGATGTCATAACCTCCAGGGAGAATTCTTACGTCCAAAACATTTCGGGAGATTGCACCTTGCCCTCCTTCTCCAAAATCATCATCACGCCATTCCTCGCCACAGAATACTTTCCAATTGCGAATGACTTGCTTCACCCATAACTCGACTTCTTGGTTAGCAACATTGGCCTTTGGAAATTTAGAGTGCCTTAGGAGAACGTTTTCGCAAGTTGCCTCTATTCTTCGAAACTCCGCTGAGAGCTGTACTCGTTTTGGTGCGTCTGACATGGGTGGGTATTGGAGTTCGTTTTGTAAGATTATTGAGAGAAGGTCATAGTACGCCCGCCATAGCGAAGTCTTGGAACTTGAATTTGTTGGAGTAATATCTGCGGCTATTGCAGGGTCATTGCCTTTTATATCTGGATGGGAGGCCCAAAGTCGAAGAGATCGTAACCCAAATTCGAGGTTGGCCTCATCATAATTTGGTGATTTTGATATGAACAATTCGTAGGCTAACATCGAGGCCCTTGCCAGGTACTGTTCTGACCAGAACAAAAGCTGAGGGTTAGAGGCGTGGGCGGATGCAGGAGTGGCAGCCCACGAAAATGTTGATTTGAATGTCTGCAGTGCATTTTCTTTCCCTGATGACAGTTCCTCCGCGGCACCTATACACCTATTAGTAGCCACTGAGAGAGTCCGGAACATATAGCGTTTAATCACCTTTCAGATAGCCTCCTTGCACAATACACACTTCTGTCCATGGCGACAACGGTTGCTCACTGCTAGTTAAAGCCTGTACAGTGGACTCAAAATTCCTAGGTAGGCTTGCCGTCGCTTCATCCGGGTCAGACAATTCCCAGAACAACCATGCTAAACAAACTTGCGCCTGGAAGGTATCTTGGGGTGTATTCTGCTCGTCGTCTTGTACAGACTGAAGTCCTGGTATGCATTCTCGGAGGTTATTGGCACTCTGCTCGTTCGCGGCACTGCCTATCGAGGTTCGTTTTCTGCAGTACTCTACTATCTGAGCTTCTGCCTGTGCAGTTTGAATTAAACCTATGAAAGAATAGAGGTATATATTAGCAAGGTGGAGGATGAGAAGCGCTCACATCCTAGGAACGAACATACATCTCCGTCCAGGGGCATGCTTAACGATCTTTCGGACCAAACCAGGTACTTCATGCCAGTTTTGATTGCATCTCGCCGTGTCTAGCAAATTTATATAGCGCTGAGCCTTCTCCGTAATCTGGATTTGCTGTAGACGTACATTATTAGCATCCGGAGAAGTGCAAATCGGGTGGCTCAATACACACTTACGGTCATAGTTTCTTGGGGTAAAAGGAGAGCTCATGGACCAACAGCATGGCCTGGTTAAAAAAAGACTGTATATTCACCGAGAACACTTAAAGACCGTCACATCAAGGGCTCGGTGACCCCGGAATGGCTTTGGCTGAGTGCGCTGTTGTTGTTTGTAGGATCGAACGTCACTCCATAGTTCGTTGTCCCTTCAAAATCCTTAGCGTGACGAACTTAAGGAAAAAAAAATATCAACTTTGCTGCTCCAAACTTCGCGCATCACCCAAGCAGAGCTTTGCTTATTCTGTTGCTGACCATTGATATCCGAAATTTCTACTGGAAGGATTCGCTTGCTTCTGTTTATGTGGTTGCTATCTATATAGACTGTCTACAAGGTCCATTGGCGGCGAGATGGCAGCGGCCATAGCTTTACGTGCCGCAGTGCACAACCTATGCTCGACCCCCGCGAAGGAGTTGCCATTGACGGCGGAATATATTGCTACTACTATTAGTGAATGCAGTGTGATTCTATCTGCGCCTACAAACCGGAGTCAACCCCCCGGGGAGCCGGACAGAGCACTGCTCATCCAGAAATTGAAGGCCCGCATCACAAGCTTGCTGCAGGATAGGACGGTTGAAGGACGTTGGACCGGCGTGGTTCTTGTGAAATCGATGGTGGAGTCTGGTAAATGGGAGATTCTGCGTGGATGCGAGACCTGGGCTCGCTCTATTCTTGCTATATTAGGGGTAGGTTCATCGAACTTATGGTTATAGCAGAATGAAACACTTCAGTACTAACAGCTAAGTCGATAGAAACCTGACCCATTATCGCTGAAAAGGCTTAGTATCTTATGTCTCACACGGATATTTCAACTTACGCACCCTTATCCAACGTTGACTCGGGAGATAACAACGCCTACTCTACCGCAATTCATAACGGCTTGCCTAAATATTATATCCACCAAGGTTGCAGCAGATGCGCGAAGGAACTTGAAATATGGAAACCCTTTAATTGACGCAGTATTCTGCTCTTTGTTAACACTCCTTCCGAACCACCCAACAATTTTCCGGCCTTTCTCAGCGCAGATTCATAGCCTTGTTCTACCGCTAATTGCTTCCTCGTGTTCTCGAAACGTTGTACCCGAATCAACTGGATGGGCCGCCCAGCAACTCTTCATATCACTGCATCAGTGTGCACCCAAGAATACAGCAAATGAGGAATGGATCAAGGCTATTCGAACCACAATCCTAGCTACCCATCGAACGGCGGACCACCTGTTTAGGGCAATTGTAGAACATTGGGAATCTGTTGATTCTACACTACGTCAGGGAACAGGCCATAAGCCTTCCGATACACTCGTTGGTGACGACGGACCTGACCCTCTCGGCCTCCCTAGGTGGGCTGGCATACAGCAAGGAAGTGGGCAATTAATAGGCCTATTAGAGCTTTTGTCCAGTTTCCTCAAGTCAAGATCGCATGCAACCGTCTCTATACCCATTGGCTCAATTCTTGATTTAATATCTCGGCTAGCATCCATTATTGTGCCAGCTTCAACCTCTGGGGACGATGCTACTTCTACTAACCCTGAGATAGGCAGAGACGAAAAAGAGGCATTATGGAGTGTAATACCTTCCATACATGCTGCCACTCTGGATTTACAACAAACTATTCTTGAACTCTTTGGCTCGGAGAGCTCAGCAATTGCCCGAAATTGCTTAGAGCAGACTATGTGGGTGTTTTCATCTTCGAGTTTTAACCGATCTGTTCGAAAAGCAGCATACGGGTGTGTTTCTGCGTCTCTCGCTATTCTGGGACCAACTTTGACCAAACCTGGAGTTTCATCATTAGCCCCAGTTATTTCCACTTCATGTAACGACCTAAGGCCACTGAAAGATTCTGCCGTCACAGAAAAAATCGTCTCGGGGGGCAACGGAAAATCAGGTGCTGCCGTAACTTCCAATGCAGATGCATTCTTAGAGAGCAAGTCGAAAACAAACCCGGGGGCTCATGCTAACGTTGAGCCTGACACCCTGACAAAGGAATCTACCAAGTTGTTACTTGACGTTCTCACATACATTCCCACAGAGCTTATTCCGTTATCACTTCGTGCGAAGATTGATCGCACGTCGATAGTCACAGCCAACAGTGATCTAATGATGGCCAGTGTTCTTAATCCGATATCTTCCTCGGAATCTCAACGTGGCCATCCCAGTGTCCTTCCTTTCCTTGCAAGAAACCAGCCTAGTAATTCAAAAATTGAAGGCTTACTTCGACCCCGTATGCCAGTGATAATCACAGGGGCAGGCAGAAGGGGAAATCTTGAACTTGAGCATGATGAAATGGAAGATGAGGCAGAGGCATACAATAGTGAGATGAAGAGCATGCCAAAAGTTGACCCGCGTGAGTCTCTAGCAGAAAAGCTTGGGGCCCGCCATGCGTCTGTTCCTGCTGAAACAGCTACACCGCCAAAGGACATGGCAATCGGGAACAAACGAAGGCACCCGGAAGATATTGATAATACCCTTCGTATTACTTCCTCTCAACCAGACAAACGACCTCGGGTGCAGGATGACCTGCCGATAGCCTCAGATGCCTTGCCAAGCCAGCAGGCTGCAGAAGTTGACGTTCCATCAAGGCCACTGGCTAGTTTAAGTGATCAAGATATCTTGAAAGTGAACGAATTCCCGGAACCAGAGACAAAACATCCTATTCCGAACAAAATCTCAGAGCCTAACCTACCACCAAGGGCAGTCCAGAACCATGAAGAAACTCATATGGCAGATACAGAGAGTGATGATGAGATCCCTCAGTTAAATATAGAGTCTGATACTGACGAAGATGATGAATAGTATGCTGTGGACGATACAAAAGTAACATTTTTGTTGGCGTTTTTTAGACTAGATCATGGGACATCATGATCAGGAGGTAGAGAACTATGGTAAATTAACAATTCAACTATCTAGATTCCCATTTTTAATATTTGCTCCAGCGTTCTACTGGACAACTCACCAGCTCTATGTGTTGAATCCACAGGGTGAAACTCAACTTTATATCTATGCTTTGTACTAATAACAAAAAGAGGTCTACAAAATTATACCTCGCTCCCACCATCTTTCTCCCCCCCACCATCGTATGGGCTCAGCTTCCCAGCGCATCGCACCACCGGTTCCTGTAGCGAACCCCATAGCACGAATTAGGCTATAGGGCACCGGCTCTTCTACCCAAACTCTCCCAATCACGAAGTCATCACAAAGCAGAGGGCTAGAACAAGCCATCCAGACAAAAACAAACGTGCCCTTTGATAACTGTTTTAGCCACAACGGAACCTCGAAAGGCATCAATCGTTTGGATAGCTTCTCGATAAGCACCTGTAAAAAGATACCAACGATCTGGAGTGCGAAGAATAGAAACTGCCTCGACGGGTTTGTCGGGGCCATCTGAGTATAGCTGCCTGCAAAATGCACAATTCCACTCAAGGTAAAAGAGATGAAAACCTGAAGGCCCCAGAATATCAATGGTGGCCATTGTATCCCTCCATTGAGCTTGAGAAAAACCACAGACTTGACCCAATTACCCGGGGCCAAAAACCCAGCCCGAAAGTGCTTATGCCAACATGTACCCCATAGTCCTATCAATCCTCTGTCCAAAATAGAAGACAGGAGGTCCCCGAAGTATGGCGGGTAAAGAAACGAAGCTTCGAATGGTATTCTCGTCTTGAATCGAAGCGGTGTTCGGGAGATGGCAAGAAAGACAGTTGCAGAGAGTGATGTAGGGAACACTACTGCAAAATAGACGGCCATACCGTTGACGGTGGAACGGTAAAGACGGGCTACCATAGGTGCAAGGAATCCACAGAAGTCCAGAAAAGGGGGTGGCGGGCTGTCGATGTAGCCCACAAAGTACGGATCCCTTATTACTATAACTTTCAATAAGTCGAGACAGAAGTAATAGACCAGCGTTCTACAGAGGGTAGCCATTAGGTTGGCCCTGTTATCTTCTTCCCAAAGCTCATCTTCACTAAGTTCTGTGTCTTTGTCACGAGCAAGCTGGGACTGCACTTGTTTAGGGAGAGGCGGGAAGTCTTTTGGCCTCCAGTTCCAGTGAGGTCCCCTGTGACTGAGGAAAACATCGATGATCCAGCTGAACCGATGACCCAGAGACTTTGGATAGCCTTGCCATCTAAACCGCTGCACCAGCTTGCCACTAGTCGTCGTGCCATTCGCCTGCCCATGGGTATAGTTGGACTGGTTTTGAGTAATCCTTAATCCGGCCGAATCAGAGCCTAGTTTCTCATTCAGTTCATTAGGCAAATCCGACTTCACAGCTTTAAGTGGCACAAAGGACCGTTCAATCCTCTTAAAACTCCCCTGCACATCGTTGAACAGGAGCAAGGCAGCACTCCATATGCTGAGCCAGGAGAATATCAGCCCGACGCCGTAACCACCCAAGACCATTAAAGACCGGCAGTGTATAATGACATATACGTTCAAGTATAGGGAATAGAAGTAAAGTAGATGTCTTGTATATTTGAAAGGGCCATTGCAAGGCCACTTGATAAACAGAGCGAGGAGAACGATGGGGACTGATGCGAAGTCCCGGGGAAACACCAAATGTTGGAATTCTCCAGATTCGATGCTGTTCGCAAGGAGCTCTCTTCGGTAGCGCAGGAATTCCTTCACAGCAGCGTTATAGGAGGTGTCCATACTTGAAGCAGCTCACCAGGCTGAGTCTCCAAGCTGGGGAGTCGGCGAAACTAGCGACAAGACGGGTTCGACTCTTTTCCTGTAAAAACATCCCTTTGTCTAACCGTCATAAATAGGGGTTATGGCTGGAATTTCTTTTGTATCAGAGTCGAACCATCATTGGCTGTCACTTGCGGATTTGCTAGAGTGACGGCTGGCTCGGCTCCTGACCATCAAGTGGCTTGACCCAGCATACTCTTGGCTAGTAATGTTTATTGTATATATTGACGGCTCTAATTGTTGATAGCTTAAGCAAATGGTGAATGGGTGGACAAGAGCCTTAGTCAAGTGGGATAACCGCGTTGACCGGTGTTTAACTATTGCAGCGGTTTTGGATTTTTTTCTAACGTCCATAGGTTGATCACATTCGCCAAATTGGGCAGCAAACTATTATATCCATCCATACAGATATCCCAATACCAAATGTGTTTTGCGATCTACCTCTTGGCCAATGGAAAATATGTACTCTGATATATACGTCATGTGCACGTTCAAATCTTCTGCTGATAGTCGCGGAGTCTTATAAGGCACTCATTTGCGGTAATCGCTAGCCTGTTGCATACCAGCCTGTGGGATAACGTCACTGAACTTGGTTGGAGCTGTTCCCTTGATAATTAAGTAAAACGCACTCCGAAAAGAACCCCCTTTTATGTCAACTGGCCACAATGCATTTCCGAAGTTTTCACCCATGTACGTAAAAGCTGTAGATGGCTTGACCCCACACACATCGGCTAAAGCAGTTGCCATCCCGAACTGCTGTGAATTAAAGAATAGTATCATAAATGGGACTTCTGACAGGAGGTATGTTATGCCAACCATTCGTTCAGATGGCAATGCTTTGAGATGTGAATGGATTGATGCCCAAGGTGGCGATTGAGTAACCACACGCAGGTATCCAGGAAGCCAGGGTCTACATCATTACCGTCATCGCGCTTATTCCACCAGCTGGGCTGTATTAATATTGTTCGGTATAATATTTCAAAGTCCAAGGTTTTTGGGCCAAAGAATGGCAAAAGTGAGTCGCTTGAGGAATTGAAATTCAAACACCAAAAAAAAAGATGAAACTTAAAGTTTGACGTTTATTTAACCGCGCGTCAATATATTTCACGTGATATTGTTTGGCTTATATAATCATTAACATTGATTTAGTTTAGTCATCATCTTATACGCATCACATTTTCCGTTTCTTATGACGGTTTGTTACTTCGAAAAAGTTGATGTTTATGCGTTTGCGGGCAACGGAGATGCATTAAAACGTGAAACTACCTTTATAATACCACTGCTGCATTGATATCTTCCCATTGAATGCTTAGTGACGCGATATTGACACAAGATATTTGGGTTGAAGGGAAAAACTCACGCCAAAGTGACTTGTTACATTGTGAAGAACGTTGTCTCAATTATTTAAGAAAAGTCACTTTTCTTCCGATTGGAAAGGTCAATTGACCTGAAGAACATTATATACAGTCAAGTCATTGTGCAAAATGTCGTCTAAGCGGCGGATTGGTCTAGTTGATCTTACTGGAGATAGCCCACTATCTCCAAGTCGCAAGAGCTCCAAAGCGCCTACCGATGGCCAGCAGCTGAGGGCGAGCCAAAACTCCATAGACATTGCTCAAGGCGAGCCGAGCACCCAGATGGAGCGGGATGAAGAACTAAACGCAATGCAGACAGCCCAGGATTCCCAGGATCTCGATGACGTAGCATATCTAACGTCTGAACTTTACGGTGAATTGTTCTAATCATGTCACAGTTATCACAAGCTTGAAACCGGCATGCTGACTAGGACAATCCATTAGGCCACCTTCAAACAAAGATAGTTGGCGTGAGATTCTACAATGGCCATGCTACGTATGGCGAATGTGTCCTTATCAAAAGGGAAGCCACCAACAAGTACGACAGTAATGCTGTCAGAGTTGATAATGTCATGGGCCACCAAATAGGTCATCTACCTCGCGTGCTAGTGAGCAGACTTGCTCCTTACATGGTAATTAGATGTACTGTACCCCGTAACTATGAATGCAATACTAAATTTCCCTTAGGACTCGAATGAGTTGCTAGTGGAAGGCACACTATCTGGTGAAATTGGAGCATATGATTGCCCTATTACACTACGGTTGTTTGGGACAAGTGAACCGGAAGCAAGGGCGCAGCTAATAGAGAAGATGCAGCGTGACAAATTGCCAATTGGTGCCGCTAAAGCCGAAATTAGAAAACTAAAACAAGAACAGGCAAAGAAGGCCAAAGAAGATGCTGCAAGGATTCGCGCAAATGCAAAGGTACTTGCTCGAGAAAAGAAAGGGGACATCATGTTTGCGAATCTTTCCCAGGGCACAGAACCGACTCAACAAACTGAAAGTTTGGATGAGCTTCTTTCTCAATCCATTACATTTAACCCCCGAGAAACAGAAAAGATTGTTGAAAAGTTTGGCATGGATGAAACGGAACTGTCGCAGATGCCAATGGCAGATTGCCCTGCTCAGCTCTCTACGAAGTTGCTCCCTTATCAGCGACAGGGGCTCGCCTGGATGCTTGACCGCGAATCCCCTAGTCTTCCAAAAGAGGGTTCGGATGAAATAGTGCAGTTATGGAAGCGAGTCGGCAAGAGATATATGAATATTGCGACAAACTACTCCTCTTCAAGTGCACCACCGCTTGCAAGTGGCGGTATCCTGGCAGATGACATGGGCCTTGGTAAAACGATACAAATTATCTCACTCATCTTAGCTAATTCTACACCTAAAACCCCCAAGTCCTCCAAGACCACTTTGATAATTTCCCCTCTTGGTGTTATGAGCAACTGGAGGGATCAGATTGCCGCCCACATCTTTGACGAGCATGCTTTGAGCGTTCTGACATACCACGGCCCTGGTAAAAAGGAAGCAGCTAACCTAGCTAAATATGATGTAGTCATTACAACATATGGCGCCCTTGCCTCGGAATACGGACAGCTACTAGGGGCAACTGGAAAGCTGGCAAAAGCCAAGAAAGGCTTATTCTCAGTACACTGGCGCAGGGTGGTTTTAGATGAAGGCCATACAATCCGCACACCAAAAACGAAGGCAGCGCGTGCGGCTTGTTTGCTCGAGGCAGACTCACGCTGGTCACTTACTGGTACCCCCATTGTCAACAACCTAAAAGACCTGTACTCTCAAGGAAAGTTTATCAGGCTATCTGGAGGATTGGAGGATCTCCCAGTTTTTCACAGTGCACTAATCCGGCCTCTGAATGCCGGTGACGAGAATGCAAGTCTCCTACTTCAAGCCTTGATGGCTACCATCTGCTTGCGACGTAGGAAAGATATGAGTTTCGTAAACCTACGCCTTCCGCCAATGGAATCTCATATTCTCCATGTTAAATTTCTTCCTCATGAGAAGGAGAAATACGATATGTTTGAGTAGGTATCTACTAAATCTTCAACTTTTTCACCGTTGGCTAATATCAATTTTCTAGGGCCGAGGCTAAAGGAGTCTTCATGGATTTCCGTTCAAATAAGAAGGGAAAATCCACATATTCTCATGTCCTTGAGGTTCTTCTACGACTTCGTCAAGTCTGTAACCATTGGAAGCTTTGTCACGATCGCGTGAAGGGACTTATGGACCTCCTCGAGAAAGACAAGGTGGTTCAGCTAACTCCTGAAAATATGAAGGCGCTTCAAACTGTCTTGCAGTTAAGGATTGAGAGCCAGGAAGAGTGTTCCATATGTCTCGAAAGTCTTAATAATCCGGTCATCACGCCCTGTGCGCATTCATTTGACTACTCTTGTATTGAGCAGGTAATTGAACTGCAGCACAAATGCCCTCTCTGCCGTGCTGAGATTAAGGATTGCTCGGCTCTGGTATCACCTGCTGCAGAGCTGGGTGAGGACTCGAACGAGGTTGAAGTTGACTCAGAGTCTACAAGCAGTAAAATCCAAGCTCTTATCAAAATCCTGATGGCGAAGGGCCAAGTTCTAGGAACGAAAACCGTGGTTTTCAGTCAATGGACCTCTTTCCTCGACTTGATAGAACCTCAGCTCTCCTTGAATAATATCAACTTCGCTCGAATTGATGGAAAGATGAATTCTGCCAAGCGTGATGCTGCTATGCGCAAACTAACCCACGACCCAGAATGTACTGTTATGCTTGCCAGTTTGAACGTGTGCAGCGTGGGTCTTAACTTGGTAGCTGCCAACCAGGTTATTTTGGCTGACAGCTGGTGGGCACCGGCTATTGAAGACCAAGCCGTTGATCGTGTATATCGCCTCGGCCAAACACGTCCTACAACCATTTGGAGACTTGTGATGGAAGATAGTATTGAGGACCGGGTTCTTGATATCCAAAAGGAGAAGCGAGAGCTTATGACCACTGCTTTCCAAGAGAAGGCTGGCCCCAAAGACCAGGCGCAGAGATCTAGGCTGGCTGATCTAGAAAAACTATTTCGGTGAGATGGAGCAAGAATATAATTGCAATATTTATATCATTTTCTTTTCCCTCAACTAGATTCAATGTCTACATAGATTTTCCGTTATAACTCATCATTTCCCCTCACCTAGGAATTTAAGAATCCAGATAAACAGGACCAAGTGATTTATATTTATTATACATACGGCCACTGCCCAAAACCGCCGCAAATGCACATAAAACAACAAAGGAAAACATCAACTAAAACAGACGGGTATTATTATGCAGTATATCCCTTGGTAGACACCTAACCCTTTCCCATGAACACCCGAGCCGGCGACCAATCCTTTTTTTAATAAAACCAAGGTCAAATACTAGAAACAACGGCCATATGCAAAATAAGGGCGACAGATAAGGCCACGAAGGAAAAGAAAGAAGAATAAATACAAGTCAAGAGCAGTGCATGCCACAACGGCAATGTGAACGTTTCTGGAGCACGAAGAGGTCGAGCGATTCGGAGAGTGATAACGCATGGAATGGGGATATAAAGGAATGATGGAACTATTGCTGGATAAGACGAGATTAATAAGGCTCGCTCGTGTGGAAAGAAAGTAAAGCGAAAGCGTTTAAAGGATATACCCTATTGTTGTCTGCAGCTTGACTTCGTTGGATCCTCGGGACTCGAAGACTGGTCTTCCCAACAGGTTGAATTCAGTATCTTGATCATGTCTTGTATTGCTGTTGCCTTGTTGAGTTACTTACCTCTCATTCCCCTCTCTATTTGCTTTGGACTGTTGGTTTTAGGATCTTGTAATGGCTGGGCGGTCGAAGGGGGTAGAGGGGGTGGCTGTACACTTCGAGCCTCAGGGCCTTGCTGCCCTGAGTTGGGATGTGGAGCCGGGGGTACAGGAGAAGGCACTATTGAAGGCTGCATTTGAATGGAGGCGGGTGGAACCGGAATTGGAGAAGAGGTTTGGATTGGTGCTGATTGCGACGGGGTTGTCTGAGTTGGAAGTGCTGTCCTAGCTAGGCTCTGGTATGACGTTGAAGGTAGTGGTAACGGTTGGGCTAGGTTTGATATGTGGGAAGATGTCGAGGACTGTAGCGGACTAGAAACTGGAGTCCTCATAGTTGGCACAGGTTGTGCATTTACAGCACCATTTCCATTATAGGTGTAGGGACGCTGCCATTGTATTGGTGAAGGAGATTGGCCAGGCTGGGGTTGATGACCGTTGCCAGCCCTGATGGCTGGGAAAGGCTGCGGATACTGCTGTCGTGACAGCGCTAGTGCCCTGCGTACACTCTCTTCTTGTGCTAACCTCTTTTCGTGCTGCTTCTTTGCCCATAAAACAGGGTCACTTCGCTCCAATCTCTCGTCATCTAACTCCGCCTGAATTTCATTCTTCTCTTCAGCGGTAAACTGCACAGCATCCTCTCGATGAAGGGTCTCTGTTAGGATGATCTTATAAATGTCGTTTGGTTGCGCAAGGATTTTGTCTAGCACTTTTGGGTCTTTGCCACGGAATTCAGATAAGTCGTGCTTTTTCACACTTCGGATAGGGCGTCTAAATTCACTCGTAGATTTGCCGGTAGAGCGAGTGGGATTTTTCTTGTCAACAGCACGAAGCGCCATATTTTTCTTGAAAACCCCCTTTTCATGTATTAATTCCTCAAAGGTTCCTCCCATAACAAACCGATAGACAAAAACGTCCTTTGTCTGTCCAAGGCGGTATGCCCGCCCAATGGCCTGCTCTTCCCAGGTTGGATTGTACTCAGATTCAAAAATGATAACTCGATTTGCGCCAATAATGTTGAGGCCAAGCGCCCCAGCTTTCGTCGAAATAAGGTATACCTGCGAATCCGAGTTACTGAAGCTTTTTGTAGCTGCCTGCCGAGTGGCTATCGGCGTCTTTCCATCTAGACGACAGAACTTCTGGCCCTTCGCCGCTAACATTGTGCCAATGTAAGTAAGCGTATATAAGTAACCTGAAAATATAAGGACCTTGTCACCAGCTTTAATAGATTCATCAACAATTTGTCCAACCATTTGGATACGGCGAGAATGCTCTGGAGAATCCAGGTTTTTAATGCTTTTGAACTTTTGTTCGAATTGTGACACAAGTTCATCTGTTATCGTGGCTTGTTCTTCTGTTGCGATGGCCGCATCTTCTACTTCTGCCAGCGTTGGACTGTCCTCGGGGTTGGCCTCAGGCTCGGATTCTGAAGGAACAACCACTACCTGGCTGCCTTCCATAGCTTTCCACCTATCATTAACCTCACTCTTTTCCTTCTTTTTCTCGAGGAGCTTTCGCAGGAAGCATGAAGGGTGGTGGCACAAGAGGGTTAGATACGAAAGCAGAGCCCACAGCCGTGTGAATTCAAAATCCCCCTTCCCTTCCATAGTCAAAGCCACAAACTGATTGTATGTCTCTTCTTGGAGAGGCGTTACTGGAATGACAATGACAAATTCAACCTTTGAAGGAAGATCTTTTTGGATAACTGATACACCGGCTCGATTCACCTTTGGTTCGAGAACTTTCTTCAAAACTTCCAGTTTTTTCCGAGACTGCACATATTCCCAGTTGGTACTATCATAGTATAGTCCTTCTCTAATGGGCTCCTCGTATTTGGCTTTGAATTGCTTCAGGGTGCCAAGGTATCCAGGCGAGATCCAATTAATCATTTGATAATAGTCGATTAACTGATTTGAGAGAGGCGATCCAGTTAAAGCTATGCGGCTTTTTGATTTGAACATGGCGCACGCTTTTGAAAGATTGGATGCACCATTTTTTAGCTTGTGTGCTTCATCTGCAACAATGATATTTGGGCCATCAAGCAATTGGCACTTTATAATTTCACATTTTTCGAGCGGTAGCCTTTGAGAGTCGGGTTTCTGGGTGGGATTGTGTATCATTCGGCGTAAAAGTTCATGGCTGATTAGTAGCACACCACCCTCGGTATACCAAGCATTGATGGTAACAAGTCGCTGTAACGGATTCAATGACACTACCTTCCGCACTTCTCCTAGATTATATCTAGTTTTCGTATCTGGTGGAGTCCACTTAGCGAATTCTTCTTCCCAGTTATCTATTAAAGAGGCAGGGCATGTAATCAAAGTCCGCGATGTTCTAAGACGCTCTGGGACTTGCAATTTAATTTTTGGATCCGATGAGTTAGACGCATTGGCAATGGTTACCAGGAGAGAGATACTTTGCAGGGTTAACATACGGGCATAAAAGGCAGGTAGTTGATGTAACTTACACTTGCATTGTTTTCCCCAGTCCCATTGTATGGGCTAAAAGACAGCCTTCATTTTTCTCGTCTTTGATCAATTCTCTCCACATAAACTGAATCCCTGAAATTTGATGTTCTTTTACACGACGTCCAAGATCGCGATGTAAGTAGATAACGGGATCATCAAAACTAACAATTTTCCGCTCAGGATCATCATTTTCAATACCACCTTCTTCCTGTAAACGCCGCTGCTGTGATGCTTGCTCTTCGACACGGCGCTGTGCCCGGTTCTGTGTCTCCATGGCTTCCCGGCTTTCTGCTACGGGCCTCTTTCGTTTCTTGCGTGGAGTGGCCCTAGTACTGCCTTGTGCATCGGCATCTTTTCCGGAAGGATCATCTTCCTCGTCTTCAATAATAATTGGATTGTTAGCCTGCGCGGACCCCTCTTGAGGGATTTTCTGTAATGAGTTGACAATTTCGCAGGATGGCTCCCGCTTTGCCCTCTTGGGATGTTCAACGCATAAAATCTCAGTTAGATCATTGTAGAAAGGAAATAAATCATCTTTCTCACGGGCTTCCTTTATGTGTGATTTCCGAATACCTTTGCTTCCTTGTATTTGCTCGATCCTCAGCCATGAGACATATAGAGTAGCCATTCTCCTATAACAAAAGCTATCCTCTTCACTCGCAGATGCGATCCTGCCTGGCCTATTCTTTTGAATCGCTCTCAACGCTTCCCTTACTCGTCTGCGCCAAGCATTTTTTTCCATAGAGCTAAGCAATGAGGTTAACTTCAACCGTTCCTCTTCGGATAGAGTATAGACTGTTTTAGCAAGAAGCCGTTTCCTATCACGACGCTCCGTTAAAGTATTCCAATTTACCTCAGCCATTCCAGCAACATCATTAAAATCGGGTAGCTCTGAAGTGGTAGAAGGGGTCTGATCGCGTATTGGGTTAGGAAGGAGAGAGGAAGTGGGAAACTGAAGCCGGTCCTTGGGGCTGTCGGCGGGATTTAATGGTGGAGTATGGATATCTAGTTTATCAGGATCTTCAACATCCTCCTCGACCACCTCTTGCTGGTCTTCTTGATCTACTTGAGTTAAATCCACAAGCTCAACGTCTTCAAACGGGCCATTTATAGGGGTTGAACCAGTGGGGCCGGGTGGTGAGCAAGCGCTTTCTCTGCTTGGCATAGATGGACGTGGAGGAGTAATGGTTGTATTATCTTGGGGGCATATTCCTTCCACATGGCTGCCGTGTGCCTCATCCGACACCACAAAGTCTGGATCGTCTTCCATAGCATCATCAGTATCAGACCCAATGGATTCCTCATCATTATCCTTGAAGCGTTGTCGGGGTACCTGTTGATGAGAGAAAGGAGTACTGGGTTTGTCAGGGCATTTCCCCAGCTCTAAGACGGACAGTTGCCATTTCCGAAGTTCTCGTTGTGCCACCGTTACCTCTAATGACGCGCATTGCCGCAGCACCTTGCTATGATCGCTTTTTTCATACTCGTTGCTTTTTATACCTTTTGACCAATTGGCTAGACGCCCATCTAGATGGGCAATTTCAGCTTTAGCTCGACGAATATCAGCGGGAACAGTCCCAGCTTTCCTTGACCGCTGCCATAATGCCCATGCCTTTTTTTCATGCATTGGTAGCTTGTTGCTTTTCCATTTCTCGATAGTGTCCATGATAAATTTGTCAATAATCGCATTTAATTCGGCTGCAGACATTAGATTAGAGGTATCATCCTTATTTTCATCTTCGGCATCGTCCCTGGCCTCATCCATATCTCTGCAGGTATCGGAGTCGTAATCTTCGGATCCTGAATCTCCATACAGTGGCAATTCCTCGCCCTGCGGGGGATATTTAACAAGGAGGTAGTCCAAAGCACTTTTTTCCTTGAGGTGGGGCCATTTTTCAACCTCTTCCATCCTAACATTAACCTTCCCATCATTCTTCTCATAGAGCGTAAAGTAGCGCGGGACACCCGGGGCAACTGTCTTGTCATATGGAAAGATTGCGAGAGATCCTTCTTTATCCTCTGGGAATGGCTGTGGCATTTGTCTCAGAAAATATTGCATCCGCTTATTGATGAAACGGGATTGACCTGTAGAGAAATTCGATGGACGAACGTATCCAAATGTATCATTGTCTTCGTCACTCTCTAGACCTTTATAAAAGACATCTTTAACAGGTTGCTTCTGGGAGCACAGATATCTCTTTTGGCGAGGGTTTTCAGGAATGCTGTGGAGAGTTTGTGTCGATATGGCGCTTGAGTTGAGCCGTCGGCGTTTTCTGCCATCATTTTCTTTATGTTGAGGAGGTAGCAGATCCGGCCCTTTAGGCGTGGACTCGACAGGCTGAGGGGTATCACTTTTGGTCGGCGGAGCTTGAGGCTCGCGGGAAGAATGTGCGGAGGTTATAGATCTATTTTGGCACACAGGAGGACCAGAGGAGCCGTGAATCGGAGCAGGAGAGGCGGCTATAACATTCTGTGGACTCGAGAAGTCATTAGTGCCGTTGTGGAACTCAGAGGAACGCGATCTCAAGTACTGGATCGCCTTGAAGATCGTGGCTTGATGCCCAAGTGCTTTTAACCCAAGATAGCGAGGCAAGGCCTCTCTATCGACTTCAGTTAAAAGGACCTCGCCGGTCACATAATTCTCTCGAAGATGGCTCTCTAATTGGGCTGGATCAGGCCGCGGTAGAGAGGAACGAGCCCAGTCTTTGAACGAGCCATGACAAAGATACGCGACCACTTCATCAATTGACCAGAAGAAGGGGTCTGTCTCCATCATCACACCCTTGACTTCTGCAGCCCGAAGGAGTCTTCTGTCTCTGCCCCAGCTTCTTCCGCTGCTTCCACTCCGTCAATCGCTTCTTCTTCGTCTTCGTTTCTTCCCTCAAACGCGTCAAGACGTTGCTATTCCCTCTTTCGGTTCATTCGCGAAGCGATAAGCGAAGTCAAAAAACGGAAATTATATCGTTCAGTTAAGCTTTTATATTATCTGATTGGTTCAATATAAAGTTATGTAACGTGACTTCATAAATCTAGAGTTTTCTCTATTATATAAACATCGCATTACTAATAGAGCTTGTAATATTTAAACAAATTACTATTGGCTGGCGATTGCATAAAAATCGTATCGTCTTCCTATTGGCTTGTTAGGGATATTCTTTCTCACTTCCCATTCTCTTCTATTGATCTTGTCTGTTCTGTATACAGCTATATCTACCTTCATGCTGAAGACTGAATGATCGAGTATGCCATGCCGGATGTCTGGGTCGAATTTCCCTCAGCGTCTGGTATTTCCCAACTCTCTGCGCGTTGCATTTGCCGCTATGGGCGAGTTTTTTCACCTTCAAAGCTGGTTCGGAGATACCAATTGAAACAAACTACTACATACTAGAACATGGAGTCTACCGGCTATCCTCAGCGGTGCAGAGAGAAGCCATCACCCCGAGCACCAACGCTACTATGTTCGGACGCTGTCGCATTCTGATACTACTAGAGACAACACCTTCGTGCAAAACGTTATGCGACGTGATGGCCGCTATGTTATACATATTGGGTAAACCTAGAAGCGTCGGATCCTTGGATTACCTTTGAAGCCGCGCACATCTTTCCACTCTCACTCTCGTCTCTTTTCACTCAGACGGCGTAACTGAAACCGGCGGCGAAGTGAGCCATCTGCTCTGGGATTCATATCAGCCCTTCTGACAACAACTGTGTGCGGAGATTCCGGTCTATTCGGCTGACGATTGCAATATGGAACTTCACCCTGTCTATGTGACCCTAACGACCATAACCACGTTATTGATGCACTGCTCTAATGGCAGGCAATACTCACTAATATGCGTGGCGCCGGAGAGGTTCCTTTGGCGTTTGATTCTCCTCCTGTTACCGACATGTTAGGCGAGATTAGGCAAGGTCTGAAGCCAGCAGAGAGGACGGAGACAGAGCTCTTCGGCCGTTCCCATGGGTACAGGGGGGAATCAGGTATGTAACATGAACATCACGGTCTTGGTACTCCTACTACTTACCGATCGTAACATGATGCCGGACGCCGTGTATAATACTTAATTTATAACTTTAAGAACACTAGTTAATTGGCATTAATTAATAATGAATATCGTAAAAGAGGCGGTGCTACGGTGATACCCATGTAAATCCTCGGCTTAAGGGGAAAATTAACGTGGGGCAAATTGTGGGATTCATGAATTGATTGATAAGCCGCATCATCGACCTTCAACCTCCAACTTCCTCCGGCTTCGTAATATATAAAATGGCTGCTAACTAGGCCGCTCAGTGAGAAGGCTCAGAAAGCTCTGTATCACAGTTCTAATCACATACATCGCCCAAGGCTAAACGTTTGCGCTGCTTTCAATGGATCTCTCCACCTCTTATCCACCAGAGCTCTCTCCAGAGCAGAAACAACATTTAGTTGCTACGATAAAGGACTGGTGTATACACCACAGCCTTACCGTTAGACCTCCTCCGGCGTTTATACAGGGTGTGGCAGATCCCCAGGGAGTGCTGGCGACCAATGCCCCAGTGACCCTTTTCCCAAGCCTGTTTCCCCGGCCATGCTACGAGTCTGCAGTGTCGGTTCAGACAACATATAATCAGCTATATGCCTCAATAACTGGAAATGTAGAATGGCTGGGCGGGGTAATCGAGGAGTAAGCCTGACCTATCCCCCGTTCTGCAGGCCGGTCATTAAATACTTCTCCTTTGGCAGACTCGTCGACGTAGATGACTTCGTTTCTGGCCTCTGGAAAGTTCACTTAGCAGTCAAAAGTGAAGGATATGTACAACCTCTCTCACTCGGCTTGTTTCGATCAGACTACATGGTTTATGGTTCCTCTGGCTCCTTCAAGGAAGCACAGTTAAAACAAGTTGAATTCAACACAATTGCAGCATCATTTGGAGGGCTTTCAAGCCTGGTATCTCAATTGCATACTTCTCTTTTGTCCTCACCAACCGGAGAGTCCATAGTATACCCCTCGCATCCCGCTTTTAAGGGGAACCTGCCTCCAGAAAATTCTGCAGTCCCTACTCTTGCTGGAGGCCTTGCTGCTGCGCACAAGGCATATGGTCCTTCAAAGTCTTCGCCAAACCCACTACCGCTATGCATCCTGTTTATAGTTCAGGCTGGAGAAAGGAACCTCTTCGATCAGATGGAGCTCGCGACCTGTCTCACTCAGTCACACAATATTCCCGTCTTCCGGGTCACAAGCGATGAGATTCTAGAATTGACATCCATACCTGAATCAAACCCTGCCCGCCCTATCATATATACCCCACGCTATTCCCCCTCTACCCAGTTCGAGGCTACCACGATCTATCTCCGGGCGCTATATGGGCCCCAGGACTACCCAGATGACACTGCCTGGAAAGCGCGAACACATATAGAGCGCTCAGCTGCCATCAAATGTCCAACGGTCCTCAACCAATTATCAGGCTGCAAGAAGGTGCAACAAATTTTGGCCACGGAAACCGGAGGACCTGAAATGGATTATCTCACTCGTTTCCTGCCCGACACCGAACCCGCCTTACTAGAGAAAATACGCGCTACCTTTGCCCCTCAGTATGATCTCGCTGAAGGGGGTCGTGGGCGGGAACTCGCATTGAACCCTGAAACAGCTGTATATCACGTTCTTAAACCTCAACGCGAAGGAGGTGGTAACAACGTATATCGTGACGCGATACCTCCTTTTCTCAAGTCACTACCGGAAAAAGACTGGAAAGGCTGGATACTCATGGAGCTCATACAGCCTCCCCCAGCTAAGAATGTGGCCCTCCGTAGCGATGGCCAGGTCCTTAGCGGCGATGTGATAGGAGAGTTGGGCATGTATGGTACAATTTTATGGGCCGATGATGGGCGGGTATTGCACAATAAGCAAGGCGGCTGGCTAATGAGAACTAAGGCTAAAGACAGTGATGAGGGTGGGGTGGCTGCCGGGTTCTCTTCCTTAGATAGCATACTACTTGTTTAATATGTTTATAGAACTAGATATGAAGTTAAATCAGAAATTTACTTTCGCTCTGCAAGGGCGTATCATTCTCTTCTCGTTGTTTTATGTTGAATATATTGTTCAATCGGATTAAAAGTAAAAACAAGGAACAAAATCTGCTAATAGAAAGCTCCAGAGGTGTCTATAAGCAGGATTTCAAAAATAAAAGAAGCCATCTTCGATGACTGCCCCAAGCCCCATATTTAGATGATGGGGTGCCATAAAACGAACCAATGCATGAAGCCTGCTTTCGATTAGAAACTAGGGGTGTATTGAAAAATTGCCAATAAATATTGAAGCAATAATGGGGGACGAAAGTAGAAAATGCCAGCCCTCCTTTAATACAAGGTGAAAGGCAGAGGTATTAACCGATGTTAACATTGATACCTTCAAGCATTACTCAGTGCAAGTAAATGATTGGAAAGGAAATTGATAAATATGCCTATAATGGTTTATTCAAGCTCAGCTAAAAAGAAATCATCAAATGACCGCTGATTTGCTATTCTTGAATACGAAACAGACTCCTTGAAGCCAAGAAAAGGGTTATTTCTATGCATGACCTCGGCAGTATTGGTGTTCAGGCGATGAGAAGGGTTATTCCGGATGGAAAACTGGCTTCATTTTGTTGATATTGATCATCCTCCAACCGGAGAGTTGAATGGTAGATGTTAGACGCTGTCCGGGTAGATGAGGCCCCTCTTTCCCGTTCATGAAAGTATCCAGGGGTATCGATGAGGTTAGATCCCATCCAGGCACTTCATTAGAAGACAGGCAGGAGTATGGAAGTTAGAGCGGTCGGATGTCGCGTATTCAATACCCATGGTGGTATTAAACGATACCTGAGGCTGAGACCAGCGTTCGACCCTTTCCATCTCAGTTCTGGTTATGTCTCCACGGCATGCGGACCAGCAGGATAGACCAAGAGACAGGCGCGCTTCACGTTCACGACGCATATTTAACGCGTTGTCCGATGGGATATCGGCTGGCGGGGCCGTCATACGAGCCCTGATATCTCGATAGGTAAGGCGACGGTCAGACCTCATCCAATATTCCAGAAGCCAGCCTGGGACGCGAACGGAGATATATCGTGGCAGAAAATGGAAGTCTCTGATTGCGTTAATACCCTTGACATAAGAGACCGCTTTATCCTCGGCCAAATACTGGATAGTAGGTGAAGTAAGCGGCTTTATTGGTGCCTCTAATCGGAAAAGGAGAGGAGGTAGGTGTAAAACATGTCTGGGAGCCCATCATCTATATCCAATGCGTTAGTCTCGCCGCATATACTCGCGGATTCGAAAATTAAGCCAACTTACGGCTGCACAAGTTATGAGCTTCTGTTGCTACACAATTCAGCTACCATTGGTTAGTAAACGGCTCTAAAATACGACTCAGTCTTAAGGATAATGATATGTCTCTAGACGAAGCCTACCACTTCAGGGGCGTATACTAACCAGACTGTGCAGAGATCATGTTGCTTCCGTCTTTAATAGCTATCCAAGCTGTTGCTAGTTTGGCATCCAAAAGCATAGAAGGGTTAAAAGGCAAAAGGGATGAATTGGGTGATAGTCACTTTTTCGTAGGAAGCAGAAAGGGGTTTTTTACAGAAGCAGAGCAACGCAAGATCAACGATAAAACACTGGTGTAATTATTTGCTTCATTAGTACCGTTTCAAGAAGGACGGTTTATCTCTTCACCGCTAGGTTTTCTGACAGAGAGCTGATGGGTTCCATACTCATTTATCACGGTTATGTATCAGTGGATGTATCTATGAAAGTCACTTATTAGTCTATAAAATAGAAGTAAAAAGGATAATAAAGAGGCGTAGATAACTTATGCCGAAGATTTGGATGCCTTCGCTATGTTTATGTGTCCAGGTTATGGGGAATATAACCATATCGTAGGCCTGCAGTACTACAGTGTACTAGCATAAGTGTTGTGATATGGCATCGCATCAGCCTTCGAAATCCTGAGGATAGCTAGCTGCCTTGAATTGCTACCATTTGCCTGTCTCATCTCTAGATAGTATATCACTAGAGAGTAACATTTGTTCAATATATGACTCGGGTATCATAGCAAGCACTCCTTAGTTGGGCTGTTTCAAAGAACAGCTATACAGACTAGAGTAAACTTGGAATAAATGGATTTAAGACTGAAGAATTGGCCGGTTATGATTTAATCACATATTTAATAGATGTATGCTGTAAATAAAGTCAGCTTAAATCTTAAGGTTGAAGTTGTAGCTGATTGATGTTGATGTTGATTAATGTTGGACCACAAGGGACAAAAAGCCCTGATGTCCATAGGAATCGATGACAAAGCAGAAAAGTAACTTAATTGCAACCTTGAGTTAACTTGACAAAAAAACATAAGACAGTAAAAGTAAAACAAAATGCATCGTCCATCCCAACCATCTAGCATCCGTTTTTTTCTCCTTTCCTCATTTTTCATCCCTTATTACCTTCAATTTACTTTCTCCTTCTTTCTAAAAGTCCAATCTGTTGAATTACAGGCATGAAACAAAAAAAAAAAACATTTCTGATCTCTTCAATCTCAATATCGTAGTAGACCCCTGTCTCATGGGAATTGGTAGTTCATCGGTTAATCGGTAGGATCACGTCGAAAGGGCCAGCCTTTCGAGATGGCAAATCAATTGCTGTCGTTTTCCTTGTCGACTTTAATTCTTCATAATTCCCATTCGCCGCCTGGGTATCCAGCTAGAAATCTGTTCTGTTGTTCCGGGCTCATTCCCAAAAATTGGTCCATTTGCTGGCTAGCTATGAGTTGCATCTCAGCCGCAATTCGCTCATAAGGGTCTTCAATTGGTGCATTTCCCATCTCCTGAGCACCTGGATGTTCCAGCTCATCCTCTTCTTCATGTTCATATATGTTGATAAGCTCATCGAATGAGGGGGTTGCGTCTATCTCCTCTGCGATATCATCTTCAACCCGCACAGCGTCATCGAGCTCCTGTGCGGCTATTCGGAGAGCACGTTCTCGCAGATCATTGCACTCGGCGGTAAGGTCTTCGGTTTGGCGCACGCTCTCGTCCGCCACATTGTTTCTTGTGCTATTGGTGAATCGGTCGCAAAGCTGAAGAAACTCCGTTTCAGTTCTAGCCTCAGTACTGTTCACGATACTGCGTACAGTAGCGGGATCCAGCCCGTCTAATTCGTACTGGGCATTGTCTGTCTCTTCGAGCTTGGGAATTGGAGATGTAGGTGGATGTTCAACAACTTCATCGTCGCTGATATCAATAATTTCAATGTCATCGACTCCTGGATTTCCGCCGTAGCTTTGGATATCTTCCATTGGCTGTGCAGGTTGAGCGATGCTATTGGCATGAACACTGGTAATGGCTTGAGAGATTCTGTTGACATTGACATTTCTGACAGCCTCGCGGAAGTTCTTACATTGATTGGGCTTTCGGGCAGGCGAGGGATGAATTTGACAGTTCCTGCGAGACGCAGACTTTTCAATTCGAGGTGCTGCAGAGCCTCCAATAGGCATGCGCTGAACTCTTCGAAGAAGATAGTGCTCTGAATTCAAAGCAGGCAGAGGCTGTGGCATTGGGGTAAAGGCTGGCTCTGTGTCTGCCACATGGCTTCTAATACCATTTGTCTGCCTCCGAATAGCATCTGCTCTTCTAAAATAAGCCCCAGCTTCGGTGAGTGTCTGAGGTGGTCTTGGTGTAAAGTGACTGCGATACTCTTGCATTACACTTGTCTGACGGAGGGCATTTTCGAAATCTGGGTTTCTTGTATGTCTCTGGAGTATATTTTCAATTGCACTTTCCAACATATCGTTGGCTGCATCCATGTCTGGCGCCCTGGCTCTTCCGATCTCGCCTGACTCTGAGACCACTGGCGCCATGTAACAGTGAGCTTGAGGGTTTGCAATTGCATCCGTTGCAGCTCTGACGAGTACCTGGGCAGACAGAGTTGGAGTTGGTGAGGGGATTGGGGTTGGCAAACCGCCAGCCAAAGTTGATATCGCTGGAGTTGCCGGATATGTGGATGCGGTTGCAGTTGAGGAGGGGATAACTGGGGCTCCAGTAGCCGTTGCATTCGTCTCAGGGGTGATTGCTGGGGTAGGTGCTTGTATTCTAAGTACCGGAGCTAGCGCTGGACCGATGCTTCGCGGTGCTACGTTCGCTGCGGCCATCCCTCGTCGAATTGTCGTATCGGGACGTTTAGCATACTGTTTGGGAGTAGGCACCCTCCCACCAGTTTCTCCTTGATCTAGGAATTTTAACCCTGGCGTAACACCGCGTGTAGTGTTCTTACTCAGATCAACATTTGCTTTAATAAGTTTGGCTCGAATGATCTCTATGGCGGTGTCGGTTTGTTTGCTCGAGACACCCCAAGATGCAATGGAGAACGCCTGTCGGAATCTCACTCCACGCTGTTGTAAAGTGTTCGCGAAAATTCGAAATTTTGGATTCATTCGATCGGTTATATCACGGAGTTGAATTCGTCTATCCATACGCATCCACGCTTCCACACGAAACTCTTCAACATTGCTTGATATCCTGTCAGGTAGGATAGAGAAGCATCTCAATGGTGGACTGTTTTTCCAGGGTGAAGGTTTGTAGGGGATGTTGGGATTTCCTCTTGGCCTGTCGGGGCCCCTGAATACGTAAAGGATATCTGGAAGGTTATCAAAGCTCCATGAACTTTGGGATGGGATGATATCAGTGTAATTTTCAGGGTCGTCGGTGCCTGCTCTGCATGGTTGCCTGGGTGGTCTTCTCTCTCCAGAATTGAGAACGGTGGGAATTGCTGGAGTAGCCGTAGAAGCTGCAATGGCTGGAAGGGCGACAGTAATGGAAGTAGTGAGAGCAGCAGATGTAAATGGAGTGGTTGAGACTGGCACAAAAGCCGCAATATCTTGGTTTTCCTCTACTGCAATTTCATTAGCGAACAGTTCAGTCCATAAATATGACCCTGAGCCCTGTGTTCTTGACAATATACTCACTGTCTTCTGCATTCTCCTCGTCTGTCTCATTTTGGATGATGATAGGTCGAGACATAGGTACATTGCTATAACCTGAACCAGGTGGGTTGGGTGGTGGCGGGCCTGCCGCTGCCATGCCCATTGCCATTTCAAATCCGCCCATGGCTAATCCTTGGAAGTAGGCCATTCTGGCAGTCAGCTTTTGCCCTTTTGTTTTCTTGTCCAACGGTTTTTTATGTGTGAGCTAGCCACAGGCTAGAATGAATCAATTGAAAAAGAAGGTAGGTAAAATTGAAGCCAGCTTCGAGAGACTGGTTCTCTTGCTCAGGAATATCTGAATTGAAAAGGGGGGAGTGAAATTGACTGATAAGAACAGAGTATGAGCTCTTCAATCTCGAAGTCTAAGACTTGAAGCTTGTCTGTTTGATGAAGAGATGTGCTTGTGGCGAGTTGATATCGGTGTTTCAGCGAATTTGTAAAAGAACCAGTTTCGTGAAAAGGATAAGGGTGAAGAAGAAGAGGGTATAGAGGAGTAAGAAGACGAAGAAATAGATACTGAAAAAGGGGCTCCATCCTGAGAGAACCTGATAGAAAAGGAGGCTGGGGAGGTAAACCAGGCTAAGAGGAGGGGGTGCGCAGAAAAATTTCCATCAAAGAAAAAGGACGAATAGGTAGACTTTATATCATCCGATTGAGAGCTTCGTTGAGGTCCTCTTTTCCCTCTCACAAGTTACAAACAATAGGAGCCTGACTTGATATCAAGGCACAGCTGATATCTAGTGCGGACCCACTCATCTGTTGAGATCTGTTTAAACATTTTATTCTCCGCTAGCTTGCATAAATAGCTTGTTTAACGCATATTTATACTGTCCTGCACAATATTCTCCGAGACGCCAGCCACCCTAACCCCAACCAGAGAGCAAAAGCGGAGACAAAAAAAGGGTGGCGGGTAAAGAATCTGCTGGATATAAACTCTATCGCTTAGTATAGAGTCAAATTTCATCGATATAGAGCCATCGGAAGTGTGATAGGTGTTGTAGACAGCGAGGAATTAGATCTATGAGGAAGGGGGCCATATAGATATAGTATCAGACAGGTTGCCTGTCTTAGAAATAAATGACATGAACTATGGGTATGTGATGCAGGCCATATATCCCTAGATATAATTCAATATCTAGTTGAACGGTTTGGAAGTTGAGGCTTGTAGTTGGATTGTTGATATCTTTCCCTTTGCGGCGACGGCCAAGTGTTATATCACGTGATTTATATAGTTATGATTATGTAATTTGCATAGACAACCAACACAATAAAACTAACGACGACGACAACCATGATGAATCGCAGTAAAAAGGAGGAGCATAAGAGCAAAATATAAAAACATACGACAGTTCGGAGTTCGCTAGTGGTTGGCCACCAAACTACTAACCGACCAGCAAGTCGTTTAAGTACAGCTGAGCGGACGGGGAGTTCTGTTTCCCATCCCCTGTGGCCGTGGAGTTGTGTTTAGCAGAGCCCGAAGTTTTATGAAGGTTTTTGCTTATGCCAAGAAACTACGATTAACTAATCATAATACTCACTTTCAGATACATGACGAGCTCAGATCGACTGAACTAACAGAACTACTATGTACAGTCTGCCTGAGGAAGACACACGATACCCGTTCATAACATTAATGAAATCATGAGTGAAAAGAAGAGGAAGCGCAAGTCTACCTCTGCAGAGACGTTGGTCACGCTGACTTCGCGGCGGCCACAATGGGCATATCTCCACCTTGAATTGTATGAATAATCCCACGATAGCAAGTCAATTGATCAATAGGCAGGACAACATCAAAAATAGAACACAAAATGAACTAATTCAAGACGTCAATACCAATAGAGTCACTGCGGCTTCCGATTCAATAACTAAAGCACCGGCGCTTGACCCTCTCACGGCAAAAACTTATTTATCTGCAGCTCTTTCTCAGTATCTTGGCCTCTCGGGCACGGCTATACCTATTGATATACTGAAGATAGCCAGCAAGGCGAACCAGAGGAATGCAAGGTATCTGTGGATTCGACTTCCGTACGATGATGCTGCTGCCGCATCTGCTGCGATGAGCTCGTGGATTGGTTCTGAATCCGGGCCTGGATCAACGGATGTAGCATTAAGGGTTGTTGCGAGGGGCTCTCGCCTCGGTGCGCTGGTTGGAGGCAGTGGGAAGGAGTTATTTATTCCTTGAGAGATGAAATAATGGGCTTGATAAGTACTATTGATTAATAGACATGTGGTTACGATAATATCACGCTCCATCAGGTCATAGCGTCGTGAGACTCGAGAAGCATCCTACTTGTACGCCGGTCAACTGGAAGGTAAAAAAGGAGAGAATGGTCTGATTGATTCCTCGACAGGATAATCCTATGGAAGGTTGATTGCAAATTCCAGGAACCGACATGTTCGCTACCTTGTCTAGAAGCTGTCTGGCATACTTTTTGTTTCAATGTATATAAGCAGAAATAACCCACAAGAACAAATCGAAAAATCAAACAAGATACAACTCCCACGCTATCAGCCAAAAAAGAAGAAAATATGACAGCAACACGCTGATACCGAATGAGACGGCGTAGGTAATTAGGAATGACAGTATTTAAACCAATAAGGAGTGCCAAAAAAAAATGATAGTTGACTGATAAAGGGCTTTTTGTCAACAGGGTGTATAATATGCATAAAGGGAGCGAGGGAGCAACTCTACCACGCCTCTTATCACTGTCGAATCGCGTCGTGTCTAGGAATACAATCATGCAATGGATTCATCCTGGCCCTTGATGGCCAGCGCTAGATCTCTCGATCCGGCCTCGTTGAGCCTGGCAGGTGTAAGTGTGGCCTTGGCCTTGAGAGCAGCGCGGATATCCTCCACGCTACGGTCCTTCCACATGTTAACGCTGCTCTTGCTCAGCGGGTAAAGAACATAGTTGTCTTCGCGGTTGATGAAATCGTCAGCATTCGCTGGAGGGGTGGAGGTGATGATGTCAAGATCAGCGGCGAGCTGTTGGCAGAACATATCAAGCGGAAGATCGTTGACGTCGTCACCGAAGGGGTTTTCAATTTCAGCACAGATGGAGGCAATGCCGTGGATGATGTAGGTGGCAGCTGGAATAATATCAGTATGACGAAACATTGAAAAGATACTTGATGGTAAGGAAACTTACCGATGGTTCCTGGGATGGTGACCCATTCGAGTTTGTTGACAAGCTGGAAAGGCAAGGCAATAACATAGATCCATGTGATTTGAGAAATCAAGATAGTGTAGGCGAGCGGGAGAGGGGTGTTTAGCACACGCTCGTTGCCGGTCATGACCTCTTCCAAGGCATTTAGACAAGCACCTACGTTACACTTAGCATCTTATAAACAAGCAACAATGAGTGACAGCAAGGACTACATACCGGCTTGAGACTGATGCACAGGCATAGGGATGGTGCCGTTTACCAACGACTCGTGAATGTAGGAAGAGAGATAGTTGAGAATCTCGACCGGCAAGTTTCCCAACGGCTTGTCGGAGCGCTTGATCTGCTTCCGTGGGTTCGACATGGCCATTGGAACACTCAAGTACTGGCCGATAGCCTTCAGCGTGCCTGGTTTCTTCCCTGGAGGCCCATTTGGGTCGCTGGCTGCTTTGGCAAAGGTATCCAGGTGGTCAATCAGGCCGGATATATCTTCATAGCCATTTCCAGGCTCAAAACGCAACTTATGTTTCAAGGCGACGGCAAAAGCCACGATGAGGTTTATCCCCGTCCTAACAACGTGTTAGTGAGCGGTAAAAAGGGGTAGAGAAGTGAATGGGTCGAACGCACAGTTTGGAGATGATATCCTCCTTCCCCTCTTCGCCTTCGCGCTCAGTCTTGTGAATCCAGATGATACGGGCCAGGTTACGAGAGTTTTGCATCAGGGATGCCCAGTACTTGCGACCTTCACCGTAACTAGATGCGAACATGTTAGCCACACTCTAGTATGCAGCCTACCAAGGGCCGTACCGTTCATATGCAGTCGAGCTTCGGAGAGAGAGCGCGAGACCAACGACGAAACCCAGAACAGTAAGAAGGGTCGAATCAATGCCCACTAGCAAAAAGGTTAGGTATAGTTCTTTACATGTATAGATCTTACGAGCTAAACATACGAGGAACACCCCCCAGGTGGGTGGCGCAGGTGATGAGGGTTGACCAGCAAGTCATCACTATCAAAGGGATAATCATTCGCGGCATGACACTGCCATGTACCCGGAGGAACAGAGGCCATTTCGAATGTCTGTCGAGGTTTCTGGGTCCTTTCTACTCAACCGACAAGCCATTAGCCGGGTATATTCCGTAGCTGGAGAAACAAGAGAAGAAACAAGGCTACCGACAAAATAGTCATTGATATCGATGGTGTTCCTCTTGGACAGCATCTGCTGAGGCAGCTTGAGATCCGAGGCTGCTGCAGCACTGCTGATGTATGTAGGTCGAGGAGTGATCTTTGAAGGAGTGGATTGACCGGTCTTTGACGGTTCACATTTGGTCTCCATACTGGACGCTTTGCTCTGAGCTCGAAGAGTGTGAGGAGCCGGCTCCTGATTGTGGGTTATCTCGTCACTCATGTTGAATTATCATCCATAGAAAAACGAGGGTGTCAAAATTAAACGATAGAAACAAGATCAATTTTGTATAAACAACCGTACTAAAAAATGAAGGACAGAACGTTTTGCGGTATATAACGAGGGAAGCAAATATATCGCAACGCTTGAAAAGGAGAGAAATGCGAGGAAGGGAAAGGGGAAAAGAAAGGGAGTGAATCGAGCGCTGGGAGGATCAAGGACAAGAAATAATATTTTTTTTTTTTTCCTTGGGCCTGGAATGCGGTTGATGGCCCACTGCAAGGGCGCTAACAGGCAGGCTGCCGGTCCCCCGTTTCTTGACGGGCGGGAGAAAGGTGAAACAACACGTTGGCTGGCTGTCACAAATGCCTCGGTCCCTTGAAGTGTAAGTAAGTGCATGCATGGATGGAACTTTGCCCCCAGAGTATCCGTATCCTGATTCACCGGCTTCATGGCCGTTGCTCACTGGACTATTATATGTATGTATATAGTGAAAATCACGAAGATCATGGCGGATGAACTCTCCGCGGTTCAATGCTGTGCCAGCTGGAGATATAATACTCCATAGTACCCATACGCCATTCCTATATATAGCGCGAAGATGAGCTGCCTGCTCCACCGGCCCGTTTGGCCAACCTTATATATGTTTGCTGGTTCGAAAGAGTTCCCCTATGTTTCAGCGTCCAGCACCAGTTGACCAGCCCTTGCGTACGATACTCGACGAGAATATCTTACGTAAGGGGCGGGTTATTACCTATCATAATAAAGGGGAGATAAAATCCCCTAGGCCTGGAATGGTGGGAGGCAGGCTGCGCTGCTCTACTATGGAATCACCCCTGAGTAAGACAAGAGCGAGGAGGTTTCACCCATCCCTGCACGTCTCTTATCACTCTCTGCCAATCAAAAGAGCCAGTGAAGGATTATAATACGTAGTAATATCACAACTCACATGTTGGAGTCCTCTCCTTACCATACATAGTAGATAGATTAGAAGTAACCACTAAAGGTTAGTTAATAGTATATATATATTAGCAAGATAAGGCTTATTAGAAAGCGGTGTATAAGCTTTACTATTTGGCCCGCAGGATGTAGCGTTGCGAGATCTCTCTCTTATGCATATACCGTTAAACCACATGGCCCTACATACTCCGTACTATTAACCAATACACCCCATGCCACTGAGGCTCGCAGCCTCCCAGCATGACTCGCTCACTAACCGCTAAACCGGTGCTGTAGCATTCAGTTCACAACATTCGCTCTATCTCCGTCACTTTGGCCAGACTAGAGCTCCGCCTAACGGACGGCCTCGATGCATCGCGCTGACCATGCTGGATGCTCGGCCAGAATTACCTCCCCATCGAATGGAACAAGTCTGACCGATCTAATGGATTTGCAGGATCTCAGAGCCACCATTACAGTACTATTCAAGAAGAAGGCTGATGCGTGTTTGCGGACAGAGGCGGCCTCCATCGCTAATATGGCCCTCTTGCTAGCCAGCCTTGTCTGGTCGCTTGTCTGGTCGCGGGCATGCGGGGGTTGTCTCTTAACTTGTACTCTACAGCCCACAGGGGTTTTTGGAGCACAGAACTATGTCCGTACAGTAGCTCGGAGTATGAGATACTTATGTGTCAAGGCTAAATGCCTGGAGTGTTGGGCCCTTTCTCCGTTAGTTAGTTCACAGATCACAGATTAACATAGACGCAAAGATAGGGGCTTACGCTTGCGTGTGCTTCGATCTCTGCTGGAGGATGGTCCCCCTACCCGAACTATACTCCTCTTGGCCATCAGCATTCACGTAATTATTTATACCTATACTCCACAGTCGACCCAGCTTATGCATAGTACTACCCCATACTCCAACGCATAGGATGCCGCAAGGCTACTGAGCAGTCAAGACAGTGCATGCTTTCTCGCGGCCCAACATTTTTCTCCTCACGTCGATGCGGTACTTATGCCACCGTGTATTCAGCCGGAAAACCTCGAGTATCAAAAACCTCCAGCCGATTGCCCAAGAGAAGTGGTTTTAACCAAAGTCTTGTCTACAACCACATCTTTTTTTAAGTTTTCGTTTGGCACCAGTTGTTAACCATGGCTTCGTCTGATGGTACAGTGACCTCTACCAATATTTCGCCATTCCCGTTCAGCGTGGCCCAGTCAAGACGGACAACATGCGACATGTGTCGTGAACGCAAAGTGCGCTGCGATCGAGGGAAACCAGAATGTGGACGGTGCAAGAAAACCCTTAAAGGGGGCCAGAAATGCACATATCCATCTACAGGTGGAGAGGCCGCCAAGTTTAACTCCGCACTGCGGAGCCTCCACGCACGTCTAGGTAAGCAACCCTGTTGAGATGCGAATCGGGACTTTGAAATATAGAATATCTAAGACGACGATGATAGCGCAAGCGGAGTCAATGCTTCAGGAACGAGGAGTTTTGTTTTCAAAAGACACTGAATTAGGGTCCTTATCGGAGTTTTCAAACCTCTCTCGTGGGCTATCAAACGATATCGATCTAGGGGATGTTCCTTTGGACTTTGGATCATGGTATGCCCATGCTTTTATTTGCGGCCTATTATACACCGGCGAGAGACACCAAGACTGAAACTGTTGTAACTATACCACAGGGAGGATGCTACTACTGATTTTGACTCCATGGACGGATTTTTTGATGGCCCATCGCTGCCGGAGCTGAAGACAGATTCGCCATCTACTAGGATGACTGCGCCATACTGCCCAAGCCCTGAGATATTATTGAACGTTGGCCAGATATCTGAAGAGACGATGCAAAGCCTGTAAGTATCACCTATCGATACAGGTTGGAATTCTTTAATCTAACAGGATATAACGAAGCTTCCAAGCATATTATGATCTCGTGCAAAAGCATTTGCAATTGATTGGCCAAATGGAACCTTTACAGTCCACATTGAGCGTAAACACTCACCAAGGTCAGGCGCTGCGGTATGCGGTGGGCATGGCTGGAGCCAATACTTGTGAAAACTCACAACATCTTCAACAGCAGTGCTATGTTGCTGCGAGGTTCCATCTTGAAATGGCCGAAACGCAAACAGACAGCTCTTCATTGTTGAGCCTGGAGACCGTGCAAGCTTTAATACTCGTGGCTCGATTTGAATTTACGCATGCCAGGGAGGCAACGGCACTGATAACCACTGCGCGACTATCGCGCCTGTTAAGTTTACTAGGATATGATAAACTGGGTGGTTACGATGCCCGAACAGACAAGGACGGAGTTCTCAGCCCTGTCAGACTCGAGGAGATGAAGCGTACATTTTGGATCGCATTCCTGATAAAGTGTCACGCATCTACCCGATGCCCTGGCTGGGAACCAATTGCGATAGATGAGGTAAGTCTTTACAATGAGCTCAAGCTGTCACTCTTCATGGGACGTTCTTCGTCGTTGATTCCAGTGCTAGATACATACCGTGCTGCCTTCTAAACTCGCCACGGCAGAATCTGATCAAGGCACTTTTATTAGAGACGCAGCCACACAATCGACGATTGAGAATCTTCAGCCCTTCTCCTTGTTAGTTCTTGCGATGAAACTCCTCTCGTCCGCTCACCAACACCAACGCATGACAGAAGCAAACGTTGCTAGAACCGGTGCAAGAGATTACAATTTCTGCCTCGTCCACGAACGGATCGATACTACAATCAACACTATCCTTACCTACTTATCATCATCCACCTTGCTTAAAGGGCCAGATACCCCACTATGTGTGCTTACTCTTATCATCGTCTTCGGGGTTCGGATTGCCCTCTATAATGCTGCTATACTTAATGTACAGAAGGCATCTTTCCTTGGTCCAATCATTGGCGAAAGTGAAAAGATAGGTATCTCAGCCGCCAACTCTATGTGTGATGTACTTCTACAAGCTGATGTACTAAGTGCAAGCCAGGTAACTTATACAGATATAAAGCACCCTCCCCTGTTTTACTACTAACTAATAACCTTATTCGCACCCTATAGGCCCCGATATACAAAGAAATGAGCCTATTCATTATGCCGCCTCTCGCATTAGCTGCTAATATCCAACTCCGCGTGTTAGAAAACTGGAAAAAAAGCACTGGACTGAATAATCACAACACTAGCCGCGAGATCCGACTTTCTCTTAAAACGATCTATAGCGCTATGAATGCCTTTAAGGACTCGACGAGCCAGTACGAGCCACATATCACTAAATGTCGGGAATTTTTGGATAGTATACAGTTTGGGGAACCGTTTACCCCAGAGTTCGGTGTGCCAATATATGGAAACAGAGGTGGATAGGGAAATAGAAAGAGTCACTGGATGACACCTTTTTGCGAAAACAGTTGCTGAGACACCGCTCTCATTTTTTGAGTTAACTATACACCTAGATTTGTATTGTTAACCCTAAGATAGAAGAACACTTTTTGGATTGCCCAAATACCCCTGTTTCTTGAGTGCCTACATATATCTCTCCTCTCTGCCCTTCTATCTCTTTACATAGATCCCTGCCGTCGAGATACGGGCTGCAGGCGAATACAAGGACTCCAAATGATGCCATCGTCGCCAAACTCTTGGACCAGACTGTGCAGAGTACTACATAGTACAGCACGATGTAGACATACAAGGCTTAGTCTGACAGCGAATCAATGCATCAGCCTTTCGAAACAGGTCTTGGGATACGAATTGATAGACCTCTTGCAATCTTTCTTGATCTTCCTCTTACTCTCCACTCGGCAGTGCAGTGTTCATTGACGACGCATCCTTAGGCTAAACTCGACCTATCGGTGATATTTTTTTAACGGAGGGCTCCGTCTGAGAGGGAAAAAGGTACGATCTCCTTTCCAGTATGTCTTGAGTCGACGTCTTATTACGGCTTGATGCCAAGTCAGATGAATATTCGACCAGGAGGAAAGACCCCCATAAACCTGGCATACAGCCAGCAGCGCCCTGAAAATTATACTTCAGTGATGGTTGGCCTTAACCATCCATTATCTCGCGGTAGTGTCCACATTGGAAGTAGTGGCCCAATGGCTAGCCCTACGATCGATCCTGGTTACTTGTCTCATCCACTAGATATGGAGATTCTCGTCCCTGGGACACAGTTCATTGAGAACATCATCAACCAGCAGGAGATAAAACGACTTTTGAAAGGCGGCCGCCTTCCTTCGCTTGCTTGCAATCTTGCGGACATAGAAATCGCGAAACAGGTTACAAAAGAGAGGCTGTGGACAACTTATCATCCCTCTTGTACCTGCGCGATGATGCCTAAAGATTTGGGAGGGGTGGTGAACGATCGTCTAGTCGTTCATGGTACTAAGAATGTTCGTGTCATTGATGCTAGCGTTCTACCCATGATTACACTACATAGTAGGCAATATTCAGGCAACTGTATATGCCGTGGCAGAGCGTGCAAGCGACTTGATCAAGGAGGACTGGGCCCGCTGTAGCAGTTAACTACTTGTAAGAAACCGCCCACTCGCTGTTCCAGCGAACGATACTCTACGTAAACTTTAGTATGATCCTATCTATCGGGTTTGATATGGAATAACAGACTCAGATTTTACCTAACTACTTGTGTGAGAGAATAGAAAGCACTGTTTTTTAACCTTTTCTAGTCCAAAGTGGGTTGTCGGAGCTTTTGTTAAAGTTATTCTAGAATATGAAAAGGGTTATCGAGGCCTCCAAATGCTACGCATGCACAGTTCCATTCAAAGAGTTTATTTATAGAATAGCTCCTGGCGATGTTCAGTTGATGTTGATGCAGCCTAACAGCATTAACTATTGCAGTAAGTACAAACGTTCGCCAACTGAATAAAAACAAGAAAACATGCCAACCAATATAACTTGGTATTTTCAACTCCCCTGCGTCTGGGCTGCGGCGTCTAGCTTCTCCTGCATAAACTGAAGAATGATAGCCTTACCATCCTCGGCCGCCTTGGTCCCTGCGAAAGCGTTGAATCCGTGAGGGGATCCTGGATAAATCTTTAGAACAGACTCTCCCCCTGCTATTGTCCATTTTATACTCATGAGAAGGGTATCATCCAGCAATGGGTCTTCTGTTCCACACAGGAATAGTGCTGGTGGGAGTGATAAGCTAGGCGATTCTAAAGCCAGACTCTGTATATCCTCGTATAGCGGTGAGAGCTGAGGGTGCCTTCTGTCTTCTATACTCATATTAGGGGCGTAAGCGTCGGCAAATTGCTGCATCGCCGTATAATTGATCACCAGCGGCTTGGTAAATGAGGTCACTTTTGGTAAACCTAGAGAAATATCGAGCCAGGGATACGGAAAGATGAGGCCCGTGAGTTGATGTTTTGGACGTGAGCGCATAAGCGAAAATGCAGTTAATGCCGCTAGACAGCCACCAGATGATTCCCCGCCCATAAGAGTTAGCTTTGCTCCGTAGCCCCTCTCTGCATGGTCAACGAGGTACTCTGCAGCATCAATGCAATCATTTATACCGGCCGGGTAGGGGTCTTCCGGCGCGAGGCGATAACCAACTGAGATGGCAGTAAGCTGGCATTTATTGGCATACATCTTCAAAGGGGTATCCGAACTTGAGTGTAGTATATTAGTTATAAGGACCTTCTCTATATTGGCTTACTATAAAGGGGCTTACTGTTTGTGAGTCCCTAATACGAACCCTCCTCCGTGAAAATGGAGAAAGATGCCCTTGCTTGGAAGACCATTTTCCGGCTTAAACACGCGTAAAGGAATATCACGGCCAGCGTCTCTTGATGGCAAAGTTGCGTCAATAGCATCTGGGAGATAGACTGGTACTGGTAGTGGTGTTTCGCCTGTTTCTCGCATCTGCCGATATTTCTCTACCCCTACTTCATGCCACTTCGGTCCATTCTTAGTCACGGTTTCAATAAATTCATTCACTTTCTTTACTTCCTCGGTGACATTGCTTGGATGAAACTTGGCGGCATCGATGGTGAGGTCGCTCTGGGTTGGCATTTTGATGGTTAACAAGTTAATGGAAGCCCTAGCTATGAGTCTCAAGCGTGTGGAAATCGCGTGAGGAGCAATGAAAATAAAATATGGGTTCAGAAACGCTGTGGTGGTGTCGTCTATTTATAATTCTTTCCATTTCTTTGTTCAATCCGATCACCCTAATTAGTTATGCCACGGCTTCGGCCGAAGTACCGACGTTTAGAGTTATTATGGAGCCGCTAACTCACTCGTTCCCTGCGGTTCGGGTCCCGGCCCGCAACGTAACCTTCTACTTTATTTCTGGTCGCAACACTGGGTTCTTATTGCTTCAGCCCGGAGAGGGATTCGTAGCCTCAATGACCTATGGGGCATATCTCCAGTACTCCGTAACTACACCTACACAAATGTAGTTAGTGGTGTGCGAGTCGTGCGCTGCTCTTAAGAGCAGGGCCCACCCTAACTATTAACCATGGTGTGTGTTCGTCAAACCAAGCAATACCAAGTAGTTTCTCTGAAGCTGCTGCTGTAGAGCCAATGTCGCATTGCGCACCCTACCCTTCAGAAATGAGATCTCTAACGACAGAGATTGACCGGCTCGCAGCCTCGAGACCCGGGGGCCTCTTCGCCAAAATACCTGTATCGTCGGATGCTGAGATAGCGTGGCATAACATAACGTGGTTGCAGCTTGCAAAATATGTCAGCACCATGTCGCACTGGATTGAGGCGCATCTGGGCCCCGCAATGGAGAACGAGCCAGTGGCGTATATGGCCATAAATGATATCAGATACCCGATATTCATATTAGCAGCAATGAAAACGGGATATAACGTAAGCCCTTGAGAAGCAGGAGCCCCTTTCGAGGAATTTTTGTGCTAACTAAATCTTAACTATACAAGGCTCTATTGACGTCCCCACGGAATTCCAATGAAGGCCAATTGTCTTTACTCAGCTCAACCAAATGCCAGGAGTTTTTATATTGTCGGGAATTTCATAAGCAGGTTCATGGTTTGTCCGCTAAATCCACGTCGCTAAAGACATTCCAAGTACCAGATCTCGAATATCTGCAGTCAGACCCCGGAGATACTCTGTATAAGGACCGCTTCCTACACAAGGAGCATAAAACGGCATCAATCCTTCATTCAAGTGGGACAACCGGCTTACCGAAGCCTGTGTACATTAAAGCAGGTGCCCTGGCCGTGATTACAAGTATCAAAGAAATGCCAGCACCAGAAGGCCGGCGTTATATGCACGATGAGCTGTTCACCCCCAAACTCATGGTTTCGATGATGCCCTTCTTCCATATAATGGGGATTATCTCACTCGCCCGTGCGATTTATCATCAGGGACCTTTAGTCCTTCTCCCAGCAGGGCAACCTGTGACTGCGGAGCTCATGATGTTAGCGATAAACGAGACAAAGCCGTCCACCGCAGCGTTTGCGCCCTCTGTGCTCGAAGACATCTCTAATACCCCCAATGGCCTAGAGATTTTGTCGACGCTCGAATACACGTTCTATGGTGGCGCCCCTTTATCTCGCCAATGCGGTGATATAGTTTCGAAGGTGACCAACCTACAGGCTGGTATCGGCAGCACTGAGATGCGTCACGTTCCAAGTTATATTCCACTACTCCCGGAAGACTGGGAGTATTTCGAATGGAGTAACGAATGTGGGATTGCTATGGAAACAGCAATGGATGGTCTTTTTGAGCTAGTCATGAAGCAGACATTTAACCGAGAAAACCAAATGGTTTTCTACAATTATCCCGGACTATCAGAATGGAGAACAAAGGACCTCTTCGAAAAACATCCTACTAAACCTGGGATGTGGAGGTACGCAGGACGGGCTGATAGTATGGTGACATTAAGCAACGGGGAGAAGTTGAACCCTCTGTCCTTTGAGAAATCTATGGAAAGCCATCCGGGGGTTAGAAGTGCCCTTATTATTGGCTCTGAAAGATTTCAGGCTGGCCTTATTATCGAGCCACAACCCAAGCAGCTGACAGTGGGCCCAAGGGAATTCATCGACCATGTCTGGCCGTGGATAGAAAATGCCAATGCACAGTGTCCAACTCACGCAAAGGTTTGGAAATCGATGGTAGTACTGGCAACGCCTGAAAAACCCTTCATATTCACATCAAAGGGCTCAATCATGCGCCAGGCCACCTACCAGCTCTATCAAGCCGAAATTGACCAACTCTATGCGAAGGAAAAGGTTTCTAACGACGTCGGTGTCGCTGAATTCCACGGTCAAGCTAACAGTACAGCGGTCAAATCACTTCTTCGGGAGACTTTCCGAGCCATGTTGCACCCGATTCAGGGGGAACTCCAGGATACGACGGATATCTTCCACCTTGGGGCCAACTCTTTACAGATTCTCCAGCTTAGCAATGAGCTCAATCGTATATTCCACAGAAAGTCAAATGGCAGAAACATATGCCCACCTCGAGTTATTTATGGGAATCCAAGCATCGATCGGCTATGCGAGGTGATCATGCAGGCCCTAAATGGTGGCGACTATCTCGCTCAGGGTATCGCGGAAAGTGCATTGTCTCGGGAAGAGATGATGTCTGCCATGATACACAGACACACGAAATCGCTACGTAAAGCCGATTCGAGCCCAGCTGGAGTACGAAAAATCCAACCACTCAAGCATGTCGCTATTTTAACCGGATCCACGGGCTCTCTAGGCACCTACCTGCTTCACTACCTCCTTTCTAGCCCAAATTTCGTGCGTATTTACTGCCTAAACCGCTCTGCGGACGCGGTGTCAAGCCAGAAACAAAGCTTCCGCAATCGTGGGATGAGTTTGGTTGGCTTTGCTTCTAAGGTTGAGTTCATCACGGCCGACTTCAGCCGCGACCGCTTCGGTATGTCGTCGACAAAATACCAAGAGCTGCAGCAAGTGGTTGATGTATTCATCCACAACGCCTGGCCCGTCAACTTCAACAACAGCCTTGAATACTTCGAAGCTAGTGCTATTGCTGGAACGAGGCACTGTGTAGATTTCGCCATCTCAGCACGGTACAACCCGCACGTCGTATTTGTGTCATCCATCGCAAGTATAGGCAACTGACCGGCTGTGCGCTCTACCGGGGATAAGGGCCATGACTGTCCGAAAGTCCCAGAAGAGTTTCAGGAAGACAACAGTTTGCCCCTGAAGCAGGGTTACGGTGAGTCGAAACATGTGGCGAGCTGTATATTAAGAAAAGCGGCGAGATTGTCTGGCGCTCGATCAGCAATTATCCGTGTTGGACAGCTAAGCGGGCCCATAGAAACGGGAGGAGTGTGGAACAAGCCAGGCAAGTCAATATATACACCCCATATACATGGTACTAGCCGCCGCCAGGGCCTTTCATTATTGACAGTAAGCCACCACTTATAGAATGGGTGCCTTCCCTTATCGCAACATCGAAAGCCTTGGGCAAAATTCCACGGCCACTAGGAACCGAGGATACGATCGACTGGGTTCCAATAGACATAGCAGCGCAAGCAATCCTTGACATCACCGTCTCACTCCTCACTCCGGACGACAGCAGCACGCCACCGGATTGCTTCAACCTCGTTAACCCTCAGGTCGCAGAGTGGAAGGACATGGTCCACGTAATCCGAGGGTTTTATCAAAAACAGCGTGATAACGCCATGGACCTCGAGCCTGTCGAATTCCGCGACTGGGTGCAAGCACTGAGAAACATCGGAGCAACGACACGCGAACAGATCGACCAATATCCATCCGTGAAGCTACTCGAGTTCTTCGAGGAAATGCAGGAGGGGAAAATAAAAGTGCGGTTTGAAACAGCACGCACGATGGAATGTAGCCGGGCCGTGGCGGGTTGCACGCTGTGGATACGGCGTCGATGGAACGTTGGCTTGCTAGATGGCAGTTTTAACGAAGTCTGAAAGGCATCGAAAGTACCCATAGTCCTAATATCATACGATTCCCAAAGCAATGACCCAAGGTCAAAAGATCCAATCCGAGTAAACTAGTTCCACCCGTAAAATGTTATACGGCTAACCTTTACAAAAACCCTTGAGTAAGAGCATAAAACTGCTATAGGTCGTCTTAGAAAATCCCTTAAAGAGATTACTATGTATAGACAATTAGTATCTCGTTTCTCTGTCCGTTATGGACCTTCCGGCGTCAAAGGGCGTGCAATTACATGCCATGGAGACCAAGCAAGCACCAAGCACCGAAGAAGCCGACTAGCTGTCCAACCAACCTGCTAGATCAGCCACCGGGCCAACGCCTTCGGTCTGGCCCCTGATTCTCGTCTTCTCGCCATCAACATCCCGGGTATCTATCCCTTTTCCTCACCGTCTTCTTCGTCGTCTTCACCATCTTCGTCTTTACTATGTGTATGTGAGGCCTTGCGATCTTCCCTTTTTGGTAACTCCGAAACCCGGGCCGGCCATGGATGACATAAGCACGTCTTTATCTACTGCTCTTCCATATCGGGACTAGCGTCTGGCCCCTGATTGGGCGGCTCGGCCGAAGAAAAGCCGGTAACGTCGTCATGCGGGGGAAAGGAAAACAAGAAGCTACGCAAGAAGCTCAACAACAAATGACAACAACAATAATTAAGCCGGCAGGGGAAAGTTTTGTCTCAACACATATAAAACTCCCCTCTTCCGCCGGTACCTCCGCCATTCTCTGCATTTATCTCTTCCAGCGTGTGTGCGTGTGACGACAATGGCTTCGATTCTACGCTCCAGGGTTGGTGTGAGAGCTGCGCAGGTCCAGGGTGCCAGATGCTTCAGCTCAACGCCCCGGTATGCCGCTGCCGCTTTCTTCTCCAACGAGCCGGCTGGCCCTACGGTGAAGACCGCCATTCCAGGACCAAAGAGCAAGGAGGCCATCACACAGCTTGACCGTGTATTCGATACAAGGAGCTTGAACATGCTGGTTGACTACGAAAAGTCCACCGGAAACTAGTACGTCTTGCTATCCGGTCTGTCAATGGCACAGGCCAATGGACCAATTGGATAGTTTTGGCTGACAGATGTACCCGGTTATAGCATTGCAGACCTGGATGGAAACGTCTTGCTTGATGTGTAAGTTAGCGGCCTTTGAAACAGGGGGAATATATAGCTGACGGTTCTGCAGATTTGCCCAAATTGCCTCTATCCCGGTGGGATATAACAATCCAACCTTGCTTGCTGCCACAAAGACTACCGAAATGGCCAGCGCCCTCATCAACCGTCCCGCACTAGGCAACTTTCCCTCTCACAACTGGTCAAATATACTAGAGTCCGGTCTCTTGCGTGTTGCGCCCAAGGGCCTTGACCAGGTCTTCACCTCCACCACCGGCTCGGATGCCAATGAAACTGCCTACAAGGCTGCTTTCATGTATTATGCTCAACGCAAGCGTGGTGGGCCAGACGTGGAGTTCTCCTCTGAAGATATCTCTTCCACCATGGTCAACCAGTCTCCCGGCTCCCCCAACTACTCCATCATGTCATTTACCTCCGCCTTCCACGGTCGCCTGTTCGGCTCTCTCTCCACCACCCGCAGCAAGCCGATCCACAAGCTTGATATCCCGGCCTTTGACTGGCCTCGCGCCCCTTTCCCCAAGCTCAGATACCCACTTGATCAGTTCACCTCTGAAAATGCAGCAGAGGAGAAGCGCTGTCTAGAAGAAGTCGAGAGGCTTATCAAGGAGTTCCACAACCCTGTCGCCGCTTTGGTCGTTGAACCCGTTCAGTCAGAGGGAGGAGACAACCACGCCTCCCCATCCTTCTTCCAGGGTCTCCGCGAGATCACGAAGCGCAACAATGTCATCATGATCGTCGACGAGGTTCAGACCGGTGTTGGTGCAACCGGTAAATTCTGGGCTCACGAACACTGGAACCTCTCCACTCCTCCCGACATCGTCACTTTCTCCAAAAAGGCACAAGCTGCGGGATACTACTTTGGCAACCCAGCTCTAAGACCCAACAAGCCATACAGACAGTTCAACACTTGGATGGGTGACCCTGCCCGCGCGCTCATCTTCCGTGCCATCATCGAGGAGATTGAGCGTTTGGACCTCGTCAAGCATACCGCCCAGACAGGAGACTATCTGTTCGCCGGTCTCGAGAGACTGAGCGAGAAGTACCCTGGACAGTTCCAGAACCTGCGTGGAAAGGGACAGGGTACCTTCATCTCCTGGGACAGCCCCCAGCGTGACACAGTGCTGAAGCGTGGTAAGGAAGTTGGAATCAACATCGGCGGATGCGGTGAGTCTGCTGTGAGATTGAGACCTATGCTCGTGTTCCAGGAGCATCACGCCGATATCCTGCTCGAGTCGTTGGAGAAGATTGTCAAGTCATAGAAAGCGTCACTTATTCGTTCAATTATTTCGCACCAGTCTTTCTTGTCCTGTTGTATTCCTTTGATTTTACGGGCCCTAACCCATGCAAATTGCACGTTTGGTTCAGGCTTCTTAGCCGAGAGATTAGAGATATGTTTTATGAGCCTAATAAGAATGTTTAGCACGTCTGCTTATGTTCTATTCCAAGTAGACCCTGCTCTATGTTTTGTTTTATTCCCACATACTATGCAAGTCCAAACTCCAACAGACAAATGTAGCGTATGCCAGCACAAACATATAATGAACGCCGTCGCCTCGCTACCAGCCAACTGATTAATATTAAAATAGATAGTAACCCCCCAAGAATAAGCCGGTATTAACCATTTCAACCATCGTTATCGGCAGCACTTCCATCCCTCCTAGAAATTAATAGTTAGTTTCCAGTATTCCATAAAACAGACGATATTCCCATCCACATACGGAATGTAAGTTATCCCCGCCTCCTCCAAGTCACTCAGCACTTCTGGCGGTAACTATAATCATTATCCCGTTATTAGCCTAGTTCACCCTCGACCACTCAAATCACCAAGTATGAAAAAGAGAAAGAAGAGTCTGCACCCACCGATCCCACGACCTTCACTGCATATGTACCCGGCACATATCCGTCCAGTCTCTGCCAGCGAGCAACCCACGACGTGCGCTCGTCGGCCAGCGCAACTAATCCTTCAAAGACCTGTGAGGTACAGTCTTGTATCGCCTCAGTGTTTCCGCGCAGGTTCAGCACAGATTCGCAGTTCGGACAGCCTTCGTTCATGAATTTCTAGGTGTCTTGTTAGGGCCGGTTGAGCAGAGCTTGGGGATGGGGTCGGAAGAAGTTACATTGTGTAGCTGGACGATGGAGCAGACCATGCATGCGCGTAGGGAGCGCTGCTGACTCGCCGTGACGTAGAAGGACCCGGATGCCATCTTGCGTATATATGAATGAGCAGTTGACTTCTTCCTTCTTCTGCTTCTTCTTCGTCTTTTCTTGCTTCCGTCAAGCTCCTGCTTATATAAGCCTGCTTATTAATAGGGCCCAAAGCTTATCTGCCTTCCCCCGGTTGCCGCTTTGACTTTTTCTACTCAAATTTCGCCTTTTTTCCTGACGTTTCGACGTTTCGTCTTCGCACTTTCACTCACTCACTCTCTCTATAGCTTTGTCGTTATTCTTGCTGTGGCATATAGGGCAGACAATATATTGACACGTCTTTCATTCTTTGTATAAATCAACCTCGCGCCACCCGCCAGCTGCATATTTATTATATATAACCCCACATTCGTCCCGCTGTCCACATGTCTCAATCTGATATCGAGGCTGCTACAGCCCTCAAGCTACAAGGCAACCAGTCCTTTGCACAACATGACTGGCCTGCAGCCCTGGATTTCTATACTCGTGCCATCGAGCTGTATGATAAAGAGCCGTCATTCTACTGTAACAGAGCACAGGTAATCTATCTCTTATCAGCTTGTAGATGGTGTGTATGTCCTACATATTTAGTAGCATAGGTTAACTCTCTCTCGTCTGATAGGTAAATGTTAAGTTGGAAGCGTTTGGATTTGCAATTGCAGATGCAACCAAAGCTATCGAGCTAGATCCTACATACGTCAAGGTAGGATGATAAATGTACTACTTGATATTACGGTCAACTAACTAGATCTCCAGGCCTACTGGCGCCGAGCAGTTGCCAACACTGCGATCCTCAACTCCCGTGCAGCCCTCAAAGACTTCAAGACGGTGGTGAAAAAGGCCCCACACGACCGTGATGCAAAGCTCAAGCTAGCAGAGTGCGAAAAGCTCGTACGGCGCATCGAATTCGAGAAAGCTATCGAGGTCGCGGATCCTCCGTCAGCGTTCGAGGGACTGAATATTGAATCAATGGTCGTGGATGATAATTACGATGGTGTACGACTAGGAGATGAAATGACCCAGGAGTTTATCGATGATATGATTAAACGATTCAAAAATGGGAAGCAGATACATAAGAAGTATGCCTTCCAGATAGTGAAGGCGGTGCGAGATATTGCATACAATGAGCCTACCATGGTTGAGACTGGCGTTAATGAGGGCTCTAAATTGACTGTCTGCGGCGATACACATGGTAAGTTTGCCGCTTTCCCTTACACCATATGTTCTTTTCACGAGCTTGCTAATCCGTTCAACAGGCCAATTTTTCGATCTCCTCGAAATATTCCGCCTTAACGGCTTCCCCTCCGATACACATTCTTATCTCTTCAACGGTGATTTCGTTGATCGTGGCAGCTGGTCCTGTGAAATCGCCCTTCTTCTCTACGCCTACAAATGGATGCGCCCCAACTCCTTCTTCCTCAACCGTGGCAACCACGAAACCGATGACATGAACCGCGCATACGGCTTTGAGGGTGAATGCAAAGCCAAATATTCCGAACGGCTATTTAAAGTCTTCTCCGAATCCTTCAGTGCACTCGCCCTTGCAACACTGATAGGAGAGAAATACCTTGTTCTCCATGGTGGTCTATTTTCTGACGACAATATCTCTCTAGCCGATATCAGAGCACTGAACAGACACAATCAGCGCCAGCCGGGCCAATCAGGCTTGATGATGGAAATGCTCTGGACTGACCCGCAGGTAGAACCTGGCAGGGGTCCTAGTAAGAGAGGCGTCGGTATGCAGTTTGGTCCTGACGTCACGAAGCGGTTCTGCGAGAAGAACGGCCTTGAAGCTATCATTCGAAGTCATGAGGTCCGCATGGAAGGTTATGAAGTTGAACACGATGGAAGATGTATTACTGGTATGCTTCCTGCTCCACTTGATCTTGAATACTATAGTTAACGCTCCGCTAACTATCGTCACAGTCTTCTCTGCGCCTAAATACTGCGATAGCACAGACAACAAGGGTGCATATATCAACATTGGGCCGGAGCTGAAACTTGATTTCCACAAGTTCGACGCCGTTCCACATCCTGATATCAAGCCAATGGTATGTCTATGGTGCATTCAATACGATCCTTTAACTCCTGCTAACTGTTTCTTCCAGGCCTATGCCAACAACTCGATCATGTCGCTCATGTAACATGTCACTCCTGTAGAATAAAAGCCGAAACTACTCCCCAAACCATCAGGGACTCAGATCCCGTATGCTATAATAGCAGGCTGGGTAGACGGGATATAACCTACCGGCCCTACGGTTGTATTCATTAGTGTCACATTAACACTCTCAGGGCATACTCTCTTCCTACCTACAGTCATCTCCCGCACCACGATGCGAAGCACTTTACCCGAACCCCATGTTTTATTTCAAGATCTACGAGCGATGACCCCATTATCATTAACTGCATGGTAGACCTCAGGCGTTTTAAGAAATTGAATTGAATTGGGATTGATATCTGCAACGAAGATGACACCTTGGTTTACCATATTTCTCTAGCTCTGCATCTGATATTATTGGTAGCCAAATCCCCGTACTATCAATGTAGTCCCAACTCCTAACAATAGCTTTCATATTACCGTTGTAGTAGTGGTAATGAATCTCTAAGCGGGGTTATTTCCGCGCCGGGATGTTCTCCGGTAGCTAACTAACAAAGAGGGGCATCAGATACATAGAAGTTACTCTGGCCAACATTCTCCAAACCTCATGCCGAACATCACAGCTTCTAAGATGGAATTCGATACTAAAACCCGTAAGTTCCCGTCCTATATGTGCTTTAGACACTTTTCTTGAGCTCTGCAAGCCATGGAATCGGACAAAAGCTGCCCTCTAACCCCTTGGTGGGGTTGTCAAGATATACTGAAGCTAACACCTCTGTCCCAATAGCCCCCGTCTGCACTTCAGACAAGAAGACGTTCGCCTATATATCTGCCTTGGAACGATGGCCCATTATCCTAGTGAGATACCCCTGACGGTTCGCACTGCCAATGTGGCCTGTAGCAAGCTAAACGGAGTTGCTCTTAGACGGGCGCTATCGACGACCTTCACCGTTCCGTCATCAAGTCTACTGATGTAGAGAAACAGAAAGATGGGAAGGATATACTGCGTGACTTGGCGGGGTTGAAGTATGAACTTCAACATGGCAGGAAGCTAACGTGAGAGAATCTTGCTCGCCTATAAGAAGGTGGCTGCTAACGAATTTCATACAATCTAAAGCCCTCTACCCGACGATGGAGAGCCAGATATTGCAATTTATAATAAGGAACTTGAAGATCGCGGCAATATCTCGTGGTTTGATGCTCCGTGGCTATTTGCAGAATGTTATCTATGTTCGTGGATGCTCCAGATTCCAGTTCGAGTACCAACACCCGTAGCTAACTTGAAGGCACAATTGTAAAGACAGACGAATGAGTGTATACTTCACCCTTTCAGAATACTGGAAGGAATATGACGTCTTTGCGCAGCAAAAAATGTCAACCTTTAGATCCTCTCGTCCGGCAGTGCTTGAATTGGCGACTCGATACAAGGATTTGTCCCAGGACCTTCAACAGATACACTCCAAGAGAGATGATATGTCACCTGAAAAGCAGCAAGAAGCTGATAAAATGTTATTCATGGAGATGTGTGAAATTTGTTTGTGGGGAAATGCCACGGACCTCTCTCTCCTGACATCCCTTACATATGAGGATATCCAGAAGCTTCAAGGCGCGGAAGCCCGAAAAAAAGCCGAAGCCAATGTCTTGGTGAACGACCTTCCAGCTGCATTCGAAATACTAAACAAGGCCCGCATGGAACGAAAGAACGAAGAGCGCCGTGTAGACATTGTCCTAGACAACGCAGGATTCGAACTCTTCGTAGACCTCATCTTAGCCGGCTATCTCCTCTCCTCCGGTCTAGCTACATGCGTTGTCTTGCACCCCAAGTCCATCCCATGGTTTGTGTCTGATGTTTTGCCACGAGATTTTGGAGACCTCATTGCTCTCCTTTCCGATCCACAGACCTTCTTCACTGACTCTGAGGGGGCGGATGATAAGAAACCAGAACCCCTTACAGAAAAGGAAGTAGATAAGCTGAAGTACCTATTTGAGCAGTGGGGAAATTTCCACGCTGAGGGGCAGCTGATTATAAGACCGAATCGATTCTGGACAACAGGCTCAAGTTATTGGAGGTTACCACATGAAGCTCCCAGTCTCTATGAGGACCTAAAGGAGAGTGAGCTGGTCATCTTCAAGGGAGATCTGAACTATCGAAAGTTGACGGGAGATGTAAGTTATTTCTTGTTGCCCACTTCTTTTCAATCGCCGCTTGAGCAATGGGTATTAATTATATCTTCTAGGCCCATTGGGACCCAACTACTCCATTTAACACAGCAATTGGGCCTCTTGGGCCAGGCTCGGGAGTTAGAGTCCTCGCTCTCCGTACTTGCAAGGCCGATGTTGTCGTTGGCTTGGACAAGGGCGAGGACGAGCGTCTGCGTAATATGCCGGATGGAGGAGGTGACTCTGGTTCGCGGAAATGGGCATGGAGTGGGAAATGGGCCGTGGTTTCACTTTGTGATGGAAAGAGAAAGTAATGAGTAATTCAGAGTTAGATAAACATGGGAGACATTTAGAGAGTGCTTAATAGACATTAATATTCGATCGACCACTTTGAGAATGCAAAAGAAGATATTCGCTCAATGCTGCTTGGACAAGCTAGTACAGAAGTTTAACCAACGAGCAGTTCATGACTCATGAGATACAAAACGCTTTCTACACCGCAAGCATGTTCTCCTTGTCCTCCGCCTCAATCTTTGCATTAAGCTGCCTCTGCTTTAATCTTGCCTTGGCTGCCGCAAGCCGATCCGATGGTATAGAATCTAACTTTGATTGAGCAGGACCCTCTGGCTTGGCCGTTGATTGGCGGTTTAGGTCCGATGAAGAATTAACAGTGCGATGCCGTGAAGGTAGTGACGTTGTCCTTGATTTTGGTCTTTTAGGCAGCGTGTCCACGCGGCCTGAATTCAGATAGGAGAGGGAAGGGCGAGGAGAATGGCCTGGACGATATGAAGTTCGTGGTTTGGAGCCCGGTTTCGAGATGGATGTAGGTTTAATATCACAGGTAGCCGTGGGAGCTGACCCTAGAGTACCGTTGGTCATATCACCGTCTTTCTGACGAAGGGATTCTAGATTTCGGGCCGAACCACCAAGTCTAATGAACAGTTCCTCGGCAAGATTAAGTGGTTCGTCAGAATTTCTAGAATGTTTGTTGGATTTTTGGGTATCAGATTTATGTTGCAGCTTGCGGCGAACACTGGCCGGAAGGAGGCTACTGGTAGCTTCTGTATCATCCAGAACATGCCCGGAGGAGCTGTTTTGCGTATATTGCTTCTTTGGCGGACCTGTTTCCCCTCTAAGGCTCTTAAGAAGGGCGCCAATAGTTTCCTCGTCAAAAGGGCTTTTAGGGGCAGTACTTTGAGCACCCTCACAGCGTTTGGCTGGTGATTGTGTTGGTGAGCTCAATCCTTCCTTATCACTGTGAAGAGTAATATCTAGCTTGTCATTGTCCGAGTCGTATGAATCAACTCTCGCGTGGCGGCTACGCCTTGTATCTTCCTTCAACCGTTCAGATATGTCCCCCGTAGTCTCGTCACGCCGCGACGAGCGAGCATGCGCTTGGAGTTGAGGATTATCAGAACGCAGGGACAATGTTCCTTTGAGTAAATCAATGGTCTCCTGCATTTGTTTCCTCTCAATATCAAAACTCTTCCTAAGCGCATCCTCTGCGGCCTGATGATCCCGTAAAGAGTCTGTTAAGCGCTTACTATATTCTTGGGCGCGAGACTCGAGCCGCTCTTCGCGCTGCTTCGCTCTTTCTTCTTGCGCCTTTCGTCGTTCTCCAACATGTAGAAGCTCAGTTTTGGCTCTGTCAAGATTTCGTTGTAACAATAAGTTTTCTCTTTTGAGCTCAGCAGCCTTCCGTTCCGAGCTTCGGACAAGTTCTTGTAGTTCTTTCAATTTCGCATTTCCGCTACTCTCCCGTAGTTGGGCTTGGGTCTCTCTCAGGGCTTGTTCAACTTCACGAAGTTTCTGTGCAGTCTCCTCCGCCGAGAGCCCCTCTGTTAGAGGGTCTTTACTATTCTCAACAATGCCATGGTCTTCCAGTGTTTTTCTGAAGGTCGCTGCCTTTTGTTTATACTGTAGGGCGGCAGCAGTTTGCCTGGAGAGTTCACGAAACATCTGGTCCTTGTTCTGGTTATCACCATCACCACCACCAACCATACCAGCAGCAAGTTCAGAGACACGTTTCTCCATTTCTGCCACTTTTGACTCTTCTTGTTTCAGTTTTTCGGTTAGACGAAGAGCCTCTGTTTCCTTCTTCTTTGCGTAAGACTTAGCAACAGAGCGGTATTCAATGAGTTTTCGTATTTCTTTTTCGGTTTTGGTACGGTAGTTTTCGAATTCAGATTTCCAATACTTTCCTGACTGGGAGTGCGGTGCCTCGAGGTTGGTTGTAACATCTTCCTCCTCCTCTGATTGGTCTGAATTATGATAGTCATCTTCAAAGTCTTTATGAGAGGTATCTCTGCGCTCTTCTTTCTTCGTATGGTCGATATCATCAAGGTCGTCTATTTTTTGCCCAAATTTCTCTTCTCGGGCTTCAAGCAACGACTGCGTCAATTTGCTCCGGCGCCCTGAGCCACTGGACACGCTCATTGACCATTGGCTGCTGATATTTCCTCCACTTAACTCAAGATCACGCTCATCGTCAAGGAAAACGGGCTTGCGTTCGTTATCCTTCACACCAGCTCCAAATGATACCGTCTTCCGGCGCGTGGTAGCAGTTCCAGGGGTGAGTAGAATACTTTTCGAGGGGGATGCTACCGCATGCGCGGGCTCCTGTGTCTTTGGCTCAAGCTTGGGAATATCCATATTTCTATCCTCGCCTGATGAGAGTTTCTGAGCTGTCTTTTTCAGTTCATCTTTTTTCTTGTTAGAACTTGGATTTAGTGGCCGTATTGGAATGGTCAAGTCCTTGTCCTCGTCTACTTCAGCGACTGGAGTCCCAAGCATCGCGTTTTTGAAGGCTCTGTACGCAAAAACTGGCGCTGGTGTCTCTGGCGCGTCGACTACCATGGACTCGTCTGCTTCAAATCGAGGTTTGCGGTTAACAACAGCGAAGGTGTTTTTTTATCTCAAGGAGAGTGAGCGCCTTACCTCCTGCAACGCCCTGATTGGAGCCTGCCAACCAGCTCAGCATTGTCGATACCTATTGGATGGAATTGGTATCAATAACTGTCCATACCATGAATATCCAGCCGTCAAGGAGGCGAGCTGCTTCAACGTTTTTACTGCTCTCTTCTTCCTCGTTGACGCTTGAAAGGAGAAAGCGCTTTGTTTACCCTCCTGACGTCACGTGGTTGCCGCCTCGACCATACCCGCCACTAGTCCGAATCGGGATAGGCCGTTCACTTTAAAACTTGCCGAGGTACGGGGTGCATGGCAGGTCGACGTTTTCCATGTTTCTCCATATAAAACAGCGAATTCTATGGAAAGTAAAATTGAGAGAGACTGCATATCCCGGGACTGCTGGCAGCGGGGCTTACAGCGCTCTGTATACAGGGGAGTTGTAATATTACTACATAGTACGTTGTATGTATGCGTGTGTTGGGTATGGTCTATATATAGTACTTCTCTCCACCCATGGATGGTTTAAACAGGCCACCTCACAGCAGCACTTGTAATCAGAAACAGATATTATATGAGCACTTAGCTAGAGGAGAAACTCGTATTTACTATCATCATTTACTATTATTTTCCATCATTATTGACCGCATCTATGCATGGAACGGATTGCGTCAACTACAACACGTGACTCGGTGCGACTATTTTCCGCTCACCGCCAGGCAAAATCCTTGTACCTTTTTTGTCTTTGATGTGAATCAGTGAATCATCAATCACTTGTTGGGCACAAAGACAAGAACCGCATTTCCATTCTAACCACCAATTGTTTTCCGTCTGATGATGTTCCAATAGAGGGCTGCAGCTACGGCTGCAATCTCTGTTGCTTGCTTCCTGAGAAGCAACACTCCCACTCGCTGAAGAACCTCTCAATTTGTATGCGATCATGCCGCGCAAACAAAGGAAAGGGAGCACTAAGACCAACGGTTCTCCAGTGGAAGATAAACAGAAGACTGCCTCTAACCAGGCCCTGGCCACTAATTATGAAGAAATACACAAGAATGAGGCAGACGCTCTGCGTTCGATTTACGGCGACGAATTTGAAGATGTAGAGACGAAACCCTCTGCGTGGAATGTAAGTTTGTGGCAGAGCTCTGCACCGCGATCTGCGCACAGTTTATGACGGCTTTCTTTCTTTTTTATTGTGAAATTTTTGATTTAACCTATTATACTTATTTTGTCCGTCCAGCAATCCTCGACAATATCGTTTAAGCTGCAGCTGAAAGCTTCTTCGAATCCTGAGGTTCGAGTTTGCCTTTTGGTTGAACTGCCAACGACTTATCCCAAATCAATCCCGATACTAAAACTGGAAAGTGTCCAGGATGTTAGGCACAGTGCCAGACAACGGCTTGAGGATGTCCTAAAGTCAAAGCCCGTAGAACTTCTGGGATCCGAAATGATTTATGAACTGGCAGTCGCGATTGAAGATGTGCTGGAGGATTCCGCTCAGGCTCAGGCTCAAGACAAGGACTTACCAAGTCTCGAGGAGGAACGTATCGTCCAAGAGGCTGCTGCCCTTCAGCAGGCCGAAAAGCTGAAACAGGAGGAGCTAGCACGGCAGCAGGAAGCATCCGTTGAGGAAGAAAAGTCATTACAGCTGCTGGTGGAAGATAAACTAAAACAACGCCAACGAGAGAATGAACAATTGTCTCGCCGCAAGAGTAGGACTAATGCCGATGATTTCGGCCTTTTAGAGTCGGCTGTCGATGTCCCGGGCTCAATATCGTTTGATCCTCCAATGACAATTACTGACTTGCATGACCGCCCTCTGTTGTTCAAGTCGGTTAGTGGAAAGAATATACTTGGCAAATCTCACTATAAAGAGACGTTCCTTGTTAGGCCCAATGTCTTGGGGAACACACCGCTGGTACCGCTTCTAGTTTTGAAGGAGATATTCATTCACGAGAGCGAGAGTAAGTCAATAGATCTTCGGTTCCAGATCAGCTTGAGTGAGGATAAACTGGAATTTCTGAAGAAGTTGCGACATCCAAACCTGGTGGATTTTATTGGCTTCAAGATTCAACGCCCCATAGAATCATTTACAGGCCAAGCGGGAACATGGCATATATATGCACTTTTTGAGCATGCCAATAAAGGTTCTCTATCTGAACTACTGGATATCGTTGGCGGCGTTCCGGCAGAGAATGTTAGGGCCTGGATGATCCAACTGGTTGAAGCTCTTGAATATTATAACCGCCATGGAGTCGTACATGGAAATATTCACTCTGGCCGTGTTTTGCTCTTCAGGAGCCCTTCAAGTACCACGACGGTGAAATTACTTGGTAATGTGGAGGAAGTACTCCCGCTATCATCCACAGCAAGAAGAAGGAGCCTTACAACTCCAAAATCTCCATTTTGGCTACCTCCGGAACTCGCAGGTGAAGGAATGAAACCAACTATAAAGACCGATGTTTGGGATTTAGGTATCCTATTCTTGCAGATGGGCTTTGGGAAGGATATCTTACAACGATATACATCTGCAGATGCGGTCATCAACTCTATCGACCTATCCCCTCAACTAGAAGATATGCTCGTTGAGATATTCAGATCTGATCCGAAAAAACGTCCGACACCGTTCCAGATTCAGCCATTTGAATTCTTTCGTGTGGATACCCCGTTGGTCATTCCAGTTGGCACGCCCGGTTCTTCTTCTCTTCCAAACCGTACACGGCATGATTCGCAGGGCCACTTGGCAGCCGTGTCTCGCTACAGTCATGATTTCGATGAAGTCGGCCGGCTTGGGCGGGGCGGCTATGGTCTGGTTGTCAAAGCCCGAAATAAGCTGGACGGTAGATTTTACGCTGTCAAGAAGATATCCCAGAAATCACCTGTGGCTTTAAAAGATACGCTGTCCGAAATCATGTTATTGTCAAGGCTTAACCACCCATACGTAGTGCGATATTTCACAGCATGGCTAGAGGAGAATTACGGTGCAGTGGATGATGAGGACGATTCGGATGCGGTTCTCTCATCCGAGGGCTCAAGTTCACATTCCGGAGATAATATTGAGTTTGGCTACAGTACTAGTGGTCTGGATTTTATCAGTTCAAGCGGATATCCGAAAGTTGAATTCGGATATGATACGGATGAGGAGGCGGAAAGTGATACCATTTCAGATGGCACTGGTGTCCAGAAAAAGGGAGGCGATGCTAGCACTACGGAAGAACGCTTATCGCTTCGCCGAATAAGATCAGGCTCGCAGTCGCGTGCCATCCCTACTACCCTTTTCATTCAGATGGAGTATTGTGAGAAACATGTAAGTCATCTCATATAATCAGTAATATCTATACAATTAAATCTAACTAACGTCTTACTCCAGACATTACGTGACTTAATCAGATATGGGTTGCATGAGAATATTGACTCTTCATGGAGGCTTTTCCGGCAAATCCTTGACGGCCTCAATCATATCCATTCTCATGGAATTCTACATCGAGATCTCAAGCCAGATAATATCTTCATCGATATGGCAAATAATCCACGTATCGGAGACTTTGGTCTAGCTACAAGTGGGCAGCTTAGCTCAACCGATCGGTCATCCGCACTGGAGAGCATTGGAGGCGGATTTACTCAGAGTATTGGCACAACATACTATGTAGCTCCAGAGGTTAAAAAGGCCTCTATGGGGCAGTATAACGAAAAAGTTGATGTGAGCTATTTCTTCTCCTATTGCCATTGGCTTTTACTAATAATCTATAGATGTACTCTCTTGGTATCATCTTCTTTGAAATGTGCTACCCTCTTGAGACTGGAATGGAACGCGACCGAACGCTTCAGGACATCAGACAAAAGCAGCACACCCTTCCCGAAGCATTTAATCTTCCAGAGAAAGTGGCCCAGGGAGAAATAATCCTATCTCTCATTAGTCACCGCTCTAGTGAGCGACCAACCACAACTGAGCTACTTCAGAGTGACAAGATACCACTACAAGTTGAAGAAGAGATGTTTAGAAAAGCAGTTATGGGGCTCCTGTCTGATCCCAATTCCCCGGACTACAAAAAGATACTCTCTGCCATCTTTTCCCAGCCTCGAAAGAAATTCGAAGACATCGCATGGGATATGGACTCCCGCACGAGCCCTACAGCTACGGAGCTGTTATTACATGGGATGATAAAAGACAGGTTGACTTCATTGTTTCGAAAGCATGGTGCGGTGGAGACGTCAAGGCAATCCCTATTCCCGCGGTCATCCCATTACGGCCCCGGCGCTGTACGGCTTCTAGACCCGGGAGGAAACTTAGTTCAACTACCCTACGATCTCACTCTTCCAAATGCTCGAGCCCTACCAAAACAAGACTTATCTGTTGAAAAAGCATTTTCATTCGGCACAGTTTACAGGGAGTCTATCCATAGAGGCGAACCCAGGGGCCATAAGGAGGTCGACTTTGACATTGTTTCTTATAACACATTAGATCTACCCTTGAAGGAAGCAGAGGTCATCAAGGTACTAGACGAGATCATTGATGAATTCCCTCCTCTAAAGGCATCTCAGATGTGCTTCCACATCAACCATTCCGACCTCTTGGAGGCTGTGGTCGGATTTTGTCGTATAACGCCTGAACAGCGACCCATTGTAAAAGAGGTGATTAGCAAACTAAACATTGGGCAGTACACAATGCAGAGAATCAGAAGTGAACTCCGCTCACCGAGTATTGGAGTTCCGTCAACATCTATTGACGATCTATCGCGATTCGATTTCCGAGGTTTGCCTCATCCTATTCCCTATTGTTATAACCATAGAGCTATGCATAGCTGACCATTTCTCTAGATACCCCCGAGAAAGCATTAAGCAGGCTTCATGCGATCATGGATGGCACCGAATACGCAGATAGATTGTCACCTATCTTTAATCGATTGAATATGTTGGTGTCTTATTTGGAGAAGTTCAAAGTGAAACGAAAGGTTTACATTAGCCCTTTAAGTAGCCTGAACGACAAATTTTACAATGGCAGCATACTCTTCCAGTGTGTTTTTGATAAGAAGAGGAGGGATGTGTTTGCAGCCGGTGGACGGTACGACAGTCTGATCCAGGAGTTCCAGCCTAGCTTGCGTTCAAACCGTCCTCGGTCTCATGCTGTTGGTTTTAACCTTGGGTTGGATAAATTGAACGGGTCAATGACGAATTATCTTAAAGGGTCTAATAAGGCCTTCCTGAAGCCAGATGCGGAGGTTGGAAATATCTGGCGTAGGAACAAGGTGTGTCGATTGAACAGTGACTAAAATTGGGGCTCTTATGGCTAACAGCAACGAAATTAGTGTGATGTACTGGTTGCTAGTTTTGATCCTTCTGTCCTTCGGACTGTTGGAGTTGGTATCGTCTCAACTCTATGGGCAAACGACATTAGTGCTGAGCTTGCAGCCGATACAACACCTTCATTGGAAGACCTTCTCACCAGATACGTAGACGATAACTACAGCTGGGTGGTTATTGTCAAACAAGACAGTATCGAGAGGGGTCTAAGGGTTAAGAGTGTTCAGCGAAAGGAAGACTTTGATGTGAGAAGCTCAGACTTGGTCCCTTGGCTTCGAAATGAAATGCGCGCCCGCAAGAAGTTCAAACATGACCGTCCTCCCGAGTCTCCAAAGCTCATCAAACATCCTAGCCAGAGTGAAGCAATTCTTTCAAGCAAGGAGAGAGATCCGGAGGTTAGAATCCTGACACCACTTCACAAGAACAAGAAGACAAACAGGAGAAATATAGTTGAATTTGGTAAGCGTCCTTCCTAAACTCGGGATACCGTCTCGTTTTTGTTAACATTCATTCCGTAGCACTTCGTCGCTCTCGTGAGGTGCTTGACAAGGGACTTGATGGACCGATTGCTGCGATTGATATTCGGGATGATGTCCTTGAAAGTATTCGAGATACTCGTCTTTCTGATCCAGATAGTTGGCGAAACGCCATTCAGAGCGCACCGCTGGTCGAACGGAAATATTTAGGGAACATACACGAGCTGCTCATGGACCTCGCGAGTGAGAGTGTCGCCCAAGATGGAACTGTTAAATATAGCAATGCTTTTGTCTACAATTACCGGACCGGAAACTGCATTTATTATGATTTGAAACGAGGAAACTAATCCACAGAACATGAATTCATGTATATATTTTACAAAGTGCCCGTTAGTAATTAGCCAATGAAATCTAGAATACATTAAAGAAACTGAAGTAAAAAGAGGGATAGATAGTTGTTCCCATGGTATCATTCGCTATCATCATCACTACCATAAGCAACCAGAGGCCCACCGGAGCTCTGAGTCGTGGCTGGTTTTGTAGATATACTAGGGCCGCCATAGCTCTTCAGCGCGGCCAATGTAGAACCGGATAATATTCCATTGTCTCCGGCCGGCTGCGCAGGGGGTGCTTCAATCAACTCTTGCTGGGCCGCTGGCTCCAGCTCTTTTGTATCCTTAGTTTGTTCCAATTCCCGGCTTCTCGCATACCATACCTCATCCGGAGGTTCATATCCATCCAGATTAAACCCAGCTTCTATTCTCTTCCTTTTCTTCGCTTCAGGGTCCCTTCCTTCCAACTCAGCCACAAACTCATCAGGTAGTGCTCTCCTCACAGCCTCTGCGGCCTGCTCTTCAATACGCCTTGCCTCCCTCTTCTGCGCCGCCGGGTTTGGATCCACTGTCGCCCATCGAACATTTAGTATTTCATTATTATCCAAGCTCTGATGTGACATTGCCTCTTTTGCGAATTGAGAGTTGGCTTCGTTGGTGTATGTCACGAATGCTACTCCTCTCTGGTTAAGGACGCGTATCCGATCAATTTGGCCCCATTCCGCAAAATGTCTAGCCACCACCTCCTCGATGTCGTCTGTAACGTGTATTCTCCCAACGTATAGAGTCCTGTTCTGCCTCATAAATGTGCCCACTCCGCCCATATCATCTCTGTAATCGCTAAACTTGTCCCTGCCGAAACAGTCTACGTTTGGATTGAATAGATCGTGTATGCCGGGTAGGCGGTGAAGGTATTCACACTCGTGCCCCTTTGGACAGAGTCCCCGAGCAAAGAAAATGCAAAAGAAGGATCCTGTGATTTTATCGGCACGCGTATATCCGCTATCCTTCGCGATGTTGCACCTCGACTCTGCGGGCTGCTGGGAGAGATATTTGTCTTCTCGATCGCCTCCGGACCACTTATTATACCAGATATTGAAGATCGTTCCTGTCTGAGGAGGCGGTTCTGATTTTACGGTGGACGGATCAACCTGTACTCTTGCTGGCCGTCTTTTCCGTCGGATTATCTTTGTCTTCTTCTCCTTGTCTCCTCCATCTGTCGTTGTTAGAGCAGTTTCTGCTGATTCCGTCGCGGTTGTCTTTTGTATTTCAAGCTCTGTAGATGGCTGTCCAGCCATAACTGCATCCTCTTGAGCTGCAACTGAGTCTGTTGAGGTCATCTTGTCGCTGATGCATAGAATGTTCGTCGTCACTTGCAATGAATCGCAGCTTTTGTTGAAGCTTCAACTTTTTCTCCAGAAATCAATGAAAATGACGGAAATGATTATGTAATCAGCCAACCCACATTTGCGCCAATCAAGTCGGCGGGGAGAAAGAAAAGAGAGTCGATATCAAATTAATTCACAAACTCGATCTCTTTGCTGTTGTTTTGTTGGTGAAAGCGAGAGGCTATCAGGCTTGGAGATTCAATATCTCACAATTAGACTATACCAAGATTTTGAAGATAATACCCCTCCAGGCTGCCCATCATGGTGAACATCACAGAAAAGATTAAGGAGTGAGGCTTGTCAAAATGTTACCCCTACAACTGGCGAAGATGGGCTAACTTGTATATCATTTGGTATGCAGGATTGAGGAGGAGATGCGCAGGACGCAAAGTATGAACTCCTGCTATATGATCATCCATATTAGTATAAAAACTAACAGGTTGTGTGTACAGAAAACAAGGCTACCGGTATGTTCAATTATATCAGAAGGTCAAGTTGAAGAAAATCTAACGTCTTATAGAATACCATCTGGGCCTGCTTAAGGGGTGTGTATACCCAGGTTCAAACAAAGTTCAAGATATATAGTCAGTGGCAAGGCCTAACAGATACCAATACAACCTACAGAAAACTTGCAAGACTACGAGCCCAACTTTTAGAGCCTGCTGGCGGATCTGGATCAGGTGGTGGTGCTGGTTTTGACGTTAGCAAGAGCGGAGATGCTCGAATTTCACTAGTCGGGTTCCCTTCGGTTGGGAAGTCGACATTTTTATCAAAGATCACCAAGACCAAGAGCGAGGTTGCTGCGTATTCTTTCACAACTCTCACAGCTATTCCAGGCGTGTTAGAGTATGGTGGTTCAGAGATCCAGATCCTCGATCTGCCAGGTATTATCGAAGGGGCAGCAGAAGGCAAAGGGCGAGGAAGGCAGGTTATTTCTGCAGCCAAGGTACGTCTTTGTGTGGCTCATAGACTGAAGTCCTAGTTAAAACGAGCTAATAAAGTGAAAAGACAAGTGATTTAATTTTGATGGTTCTGGATGCGACCAAACGTGCCGAGCAACGAGCGTTGCTTGAGGCAGAACTAGAAGCTGTTGGGATCCGACTAAACCGAGAAGTGCCGTAGGTCAATACACAACTGGTTTTGGTTGACAAGTTAGCGATCATTAATCCTGAATGTGTGAACAGGAATATCTATCTCAAAGTCAAGAAAGCCGGTGGAATGAAGATCACCTTCCAGTCACCCCCAAAGTACCTCGACGAGAAGATGTTGTACAATATATTACGAGACTACAAGGTGCTCAACTGCGAAGTTTTGGTTCGAGATGAAAATGGTACCCTGAGCCCCCCTCTAATATTTGTCTCTGATACGTGGGAACTGACGATAAGGTAATAGCTACGGTCGATGACTTTATAGACGTGATCATGAAAGACCATAGGAAATATATCAAGTGGTAAGTTAGTCCTAATTGAGTTTCTAGATCATCACATCTCTGACTGGCCAATTCTAGCCTGTACGTGTATAACAAAATCGACAGCGTGAGCCTGGACTTCCTCGACCAGCTTGCCCGGGAGCCACATACCTGTGTGATGAGTTGCGAACTCGATCTGGGCATCAATGACGTCGTAGACCGATGCTGGCAAGAGCTCCAGCTCATCCGCATCTACACAAAGCGGCAAGTATATCGTTCTCCATGTTCATTGTTGATGGAGACTAGCGTCTAGATTGCTAACGGTAGCATCTCCGCTACAGAAAGGGAGTCGACCCCGACTTCAACGAGGCTCTCATTGTAAGAAGCAACTCCACCATCGAGGACGTGTGCGACCAGATTCATCGGACGCTCAAGGAGTCTTTCAAGTACGCCCTAGTCTGGGGCGCCAGTGTGACGCATGTACCGCAGCGAGTTGGCCTGGGACATCTAGTCGCCGACGAGGACGTCGTCCACATCGTGTCCAAGTAGTCATACATATATACATATATATCTAGTGGTTTGTATGTTTTATATCTCCGTTGGCGAACCTTCTCGAAGCTTCGCTCGGCGGGCGCGGGATCGGCCCAGCGCATCACGTCACAGGCGCCCACTTGGTCTGTTAGCCGGCAAGCAGCGCCTCACCAACTACTTTACACCTAAATATAATATATATATATACTACCTGTCGATGCTGCCGTAGCTTGGGAGTGGTATACATCTATGCTAAAGACTCTTTTGCCTGCTGGACAGCGAAATCACCCGGCTTGGCCTCTGTATAAATAGTTTGACCTTGCAGCAAGCAAGGAACTGCACCCTGCTCACCGCATCTATCGTTAACAACCAAATCCGAACGACGCTGAACAACCAGACATTGACACGCTCCAGAGCCAGCAGTCATCATGGTTGCTGAGACGAAGCTCTACGATTCTCTAAACATATCTCCATCCGCCTCTCAGGATGAGATCAAGAAAGCATACAAGTAAGTGCCCCGCTTAGCCCGTCCGCCTGCGTGTGTACATCATACTGATAAGTCGATAGGAAAGCAGCATTGAAGTGGCATCCAGACAAGAACCCAGATAACCCTTCAGCAGCTGAAAAGTTCAAAGGTAAGCCCTGTTAGACCCTGCAGTCGTTTATTTATTTGGTTTTTGTCTAGAAATAGTTGATAGCTGACAAACGGTGTAGACGTCTCCCAGGCTTACGAAGTGCTCTCAGACCCCGAAAAACGCAAAGTCTACGATCAATATGGGTTAGAATTCCTCCTTCGTGGCGGGAACCCAGAACCTCCACCGAATGCCGGGGGTGAGGGCATGCCGTTCGGCGCAGGTGGCATGCCCGGTGGCTACCAAGGATTCTCGAGCATGCCAGGCGCAGGTGGCGCCCGAACCTTCCACTTCTCGACCGGAGGCGGTCCATCAGGATTCTCGTTCAGTTCGCCCGACGACATCTTCTCCAGCTTTGCCCGATCCGGCGGCGCTGGTGACGATGACCTCTTCTCCTTCCTGTCAGGAGGCGGTGGCAGCCGTGGCTTCGGAGGTGGAGGTGGAGGCGGACCACGGTACCGACGAGAAGCAAGGAGGCCTCCGACGCCTGAAGTTACGACTGTCGAAAGACAGCTCCCCCTCTCTCTGGAGGAGTTGTTCCATGGCGTGCACAAGAAGATGAAGATCAAACGGAAGACGTTCGACGAAAGGACGGGGAAGAGAAGCATGGAGGACAAGATTTTGGAATTCGATGTCAAGCGAGGCCTCAAGGCTGGAAGTAAGATCAAGTTCAAGGGCGTTGGTGACCAAGAAGAAGGCGGAACTCAAGATCTACACTTTATCGTCGCCGAGGTAAGTCATCCTCTTCCTCACAGCCATGACTTATAAATGCTAATGGACTGTATAGAAAGAACATCCACACCTGAAGCGCGTCGGGGACAACCTGATAACCACCACCGAAATAAGCCTCAAGGAAGCGCTGACCGGCTGGTCTCGCACAGTCAACACCATCGACGGGAGACAGTTGCGTGTCAGCGGAGCCGGGCCAACACCACCCGGATTCGAAGAGACCTTCCCTTCCCAAGGCATGCCAAAGCCGAAACAGCCAAACTCTCGAGGCGACTTCATCGTCAAAGTGGACGTTAAGTTCCCCACATCTCTGACCCAGGCCCAGAAGGCGAAACTGGCACAGATTCTCTAAGGTGTCACACTCTTTTTCCGGCACGGTCTTCTACCTCATACACATGGGATAGCCTCACTAGATACGAAATAATGAATTCAGTACACTGGGGGTGGAGGGCAGCTGCATTGTTGGAGTTTATTGGTTTTTGTGTGCTATCAGTGGAACAACAGGGGAATGATCGATTTCATGCAACTACTATTACCATATGGGATGGCGTTTTTTTTCTTCTTTTCGTCTTTTACTTCTATGACTCTCTGACAGTGCCCCTGTGTGAACGGTGACTCTTCTTCACCATAAATATATATTATCGAGTGCCATCAACATTGTCTCTTGTATAAAATCTATATATTTGCCCGCTTTTTAGTCTCAAAGCTTATTGGCACACTAAGAAACCTTTTAACCCCAGAAATAGAAACAACTGCGAACTTCAAGAATAAATAAACATCAAGAAAAAAAAAAAGATAGAAGAAGAAGACAGAAGTGGACAGCAGACAAGAGCAGTTCTTCACGATGAAGACTCGCTTGACATATGTCTATGAAGGGGACAGCGAATTCGACCCTGCCCAGACCACCGTGAACGAGACTTCGCTGTCTATCCGAGCCTTGAAAGCTGCTAAGCAGGAGAGGATCTTGTTCGACTACACCGAGCTCCCCCACGAGGTAAGGATAACACTGAGAATAGTCGAGCGATGCAGATAGTCGAGCATCACTGACGATAGGCTGGATATAGATACGACAGGTGCTGAAGAAATGCCGTGACCTGCGCATTCGTTGGGCCTCCGAACGACCATACGCTGCCGTTGCGCCGTTTAGCAGCAGGGTCTCCCCGGGGCTGCATGTCATCTATACGCCAGCTAGCAGTGGCTCATCCGGGTACGTCGTTGGCGTAATATGTTTCATGTCTATTGGTGTAAAGAAGTGGCTGCTCATCTCTTTCCCTTGTTTGAATGTTTATAGTGAATCCCTGTGCCGTCTCCTCCAGAAAAGCTTCAGCAACCAGATCGATTGCACCCTTTCTCCGGTCAGTTCTGCTATCTATTTAGCCATGGAAGTGCATGGCAGGACGTTGAGTATCAATGCGAGAGAATTACTAACTCAATTGCGCCCTTTAGCTATCGTCTTCTCCATCTTCATTTATACCAACCACCGATCCGTCCCCACGGCTAAAGTTCCAAACACTGCTACCATCCCTACACCAGCTTCTCACCTTCCTCGATCGATATATCTGTCAAGAAAACGTCGAGTGTCGTAACCATGTTGCCTCGATTGCCTTGGCTTCCTCGCTGGATATAGACTACAATGATTCCACGGGTCATCTCATGGTAGCTGGATACTGGCCCGAGTCTCCAGACCAGGATGGATGGACGGAAGTAATTGACCAGCCCAAGTATGACGGAGACAGAGTTGAGATTGGAATCTTAGCAGAGCAAACCCCCCTTAAACCGGAGGAAGTGAGAGTGGGTGGGATGCTGGCTGATGTAGGCCGAAAAGCAGAGCTAAGTATGAGCTTGACCTTTCACTCATCGAGCCAAGCACATCGTTACTAACTTATATAGCTCCCACGCTCTTCAGCTTCAACTCTCGACATCATCCTATAACACCAACATATCGTACCCATTTCCCATCGCCAACCGGTCTCCATCCGACTCTCCAGCTTTCCCTGTCGAAATCCTCCCTCTTTCCTCCCACCAATGTACCACCGGACACAGCCTGCTCTTTATACACATACCTCAGCCTCCCGTCAACAATATTCGCAGACAAATATCAGCTCTCCACCAAAGATCCCCTCTTCCTCCAGTCCCACAACCTCGTCTCCCTACATAGTATCCAAGGTGAAACCGACCTCGAAGCCCCAGACTGGGTAACACACCAATGGGGATCCAACCTCCTTCTAGAACTAGCAACTCCCTCGCCAGACACCGCTTCAGAATTTGCACTTGCCAACGATGACTGGAACATAACTGTCCCTCTCCACCTTCGATACCTCCACCCTTCCCCCTCAGGATACCGCGATATATCCGTGCCCTGGCCGGTGGTCTTCTGGGCCTGTGCCCCTGAGGATGAAAGCGCAGATGATAAGCAGAATATTAACCCGTTTGATCGCGTCAGCTTAGGATGGGAATCGAATTTCCCTGCTAGAACAACTTATCATCATCTTCAGCCCTCTCCGCCTCCTTCAACGCCGGGGCGGCCAAGTAACCTGCTAGTCGAAACGATTACTGTTCCCGTATTGAATATGAGCCGTGATACCCAGCGGATGGAGATCCAGGTAGGAACCGCCATGATCATCATCGGTGGTTTCATGTGGGTGCTATGGAAGTTGGGGCTAATAACGAATGCTCCTGATTCGGTGCTGGATGAATCAGAAGAGAGTAAGAAAGACCAATAATACATTAAATAATTTAATAGCTACGTCTTAAAAAGAATGATAATGAAATCGATGAACCTCTTCATGCATCTTCTGGGGTGAATACATGGATAATTAATACGTTTAATAAAAAGGTAGAATTGTCATAAATCAAATGCCTCATGTATAACGCAGTCCAGTATCAAGGGAAAAAGGACTATATACACATCAAAAGAAAGAGCTTCGATCGATCCTATCATAAACATCATCGTCGTCATTAGATCGATAACAGGGGAAAAGTAGCTTTGTGCATGAATAAGAAAACAGTTCCACGGTTCTTGACGATCAGGAATAATAGCATCAATTCCATATCACTTCGTCGACTCACGCAGTCGATTGAACAAATAAGCAGAAAATAGGTAGAAATAGAACAGGGAAATTGAATAGGCAAACGTGGTTTCAGCAGAAGCCAAGTAGGAAATGGGTATGAATAAAGTAGCAAGTTAGCAAACTGAGAACCGCTAGTTGCTTTCAACGTCATACCAATGACAATATTATCGGTGCAAAACCCCCGAAATTAGCCATAGCGGTCCAAGAGTTGTGGTGTAAGTGTTCTCCTTGTGCAGAAGTTTGCATAGAAAGGGTGGTGATAGGGTCGCTGGCGCGAAATGATATGAGACCTCGAATTCGAACAAAAAGGCAACGGCTCTATCCCAGTGACCGCCAAAAAAATGCCAAATCCAAATGACCCAATGAAATATTAGCGCATCGAGGTATGAATGGACGGATCCATTGACAACTCCAACAAGGTAAAATGGCCAAGGTGACGGGAGAGTATTCAAACCCAAGAAATGGTATGCAAAGATGCTGAAATCACAAAAAACAAGGAGAAGGCGTCAATAATAATCGCCCGTCAAAGGGTGGTTGAGAGCTATACGACAATGACATCTCCCTCTGCATCTGCAGGGTCAGACAAGGTCATGTCTGTATACTTGCCAGTTCCAAGCAGAACTGAATCTTCTTCTAGGGCAATAGCACTGTCATCATTATTCATCTGGTTGCCTTCTAGACTCGTATCGACTGCAGGGCGGTTAGGGGCATCTGTAGTATTCGCTTTAGAAGCAGCGTTTGGTATGTCATTATTCATACTTGAAGGTACTTCCTGTGTTGATTGGTCAATCTCTGTTTGCTGGCTAGCGGAGGTGAAGCTTGCAAGCTGCGCAGCAACTGAAGCTGTGGATTTATTCAAAAGGTTTGCGGAATGTTCGCGTAATAATCTTGGTGATGTTGCCATAAAGCCACCTCTTTCCGCTTGCCACTGCATCATCTCAAGGAAGAAAACCTTTGTCATCCACCATGCGTTAAAGCTCTCTGCATTAGAAAGAGTAAGGCGATGAAGGACGGTTGACCATAGAGAATCCGCTTTCTCAATCATGCAAGCTGCAGAGTGGTTAGGAAACATGGCCGGCAGCTGTAGTATAAAAGCAATCCATCGGTCGGGGAAATTGGTGTATTCGTCAGCGCTAGCTGGCGGGAGAGGGAACTTTTGGAAACCAGCTAGCTCGTTGTCCAGGGAGTCAGTTTGAGGGGGCGCACAGTTATCTAATGGGTATAAAAGGGTCTTCATATGGTCCTTTAAGACAGTAATCGCCAATTTCAGGGAGCAGGGCGGTATGTTGGCTTTGACGACTGTCTCTGCCGGGTCGATGAAGTTACTGAATTCTTCCCACATTTTATTGCGATTTTGTAGGTGACATAGCCATGCAGCAGCAGCAATTGCAGACTGGTTGACATCAAGCATGCGTTTTAACAGATGGCAAAACAATCGGCACGGAATGAGCCGTGCTGTGGATACATGTTCTGGTTGTGACTTGAGGGTTTCGGCAATGTGGCTGACAAGCTTGCATGATATTGATCGAAACGCTTTAAGTACGGGGTCCGGGACAACCTGTGTAGTTAGAGGGGAGACGAAGGCAAGCATCTTTTGGTACATCAGCCAGTCACATTCCTCAACCCATGGAGCAACGTTTGGATGAACGAGGAGTTTGTGGACCGGTACAGTGAGGGTGCCCTGGAATGCAGAGAAATGGCGAAAGAGGTTCTTTTCCTTGCAGTATCGGAAACTGTCGATGACTGAGGTGCAGTGAGAACGGTAGAGGGCGGCAAGCGCGTCAGCGGCAGAAGGGTCGGGGTTGTCAGGGAGGTACTGATGTATGTTTGGTAAAGAAAGGGCATCACCGTCTGTGGATGGAGTGTTATCCGTTGGCTCAAAATGAAGTAGGTGCTGGATCTTAAGCTGAGTTTTGACTGCCATGGAATCGACTCCTACGTTGGTTTCAGACATGTTAGAGTGTGTGTAAGAACAATTGTGCGCTGAACCAGATGGCTGCTGTTGCTGAAGTATATTTAAGGCTGGCGATGTAGCATCCTCAGTGTCCATAAATGATTTCTGTGATTGCTGGGAAACAAAGCTAGGATTAAGCTGGGAAGTAGAGCCGTCTCTGCTCAGTTGGAAGTCGGGTGCCTGTGATTTATCTGTCTTATCATCAAAGTCGGGTTTGGCCTCTTGACCAATAAGGGATAAATCAACGTAGTGATACTTCGATTCTCCACGTACTCCAAGTCGACGGGTCTGTACGTTTGGGAATATTATCCGGACGAGTTTCCCGAATGAGGCGGGATTAAGTACCGATACACGGTCGTTTCCGCATTTTTCGGCGTAGCAACAATAAACACGGTCTCGACGGACTGATCCGTTTCCTCTTTGACAGTTTTCACGTAGCCTTTACCAAAGTCAGCGGATAACTTCAACATACGCCTAAATAAAAGGATTCCATCCATACCATATCATAGCAAACACCTGCTTTACCTTCTCTGACTTGCCGCCTGCGCCTTCATTCTTTCTGACCTCCGCAGCCATGTCCTGCAGACTATATCCATCATACTGACGAAGAAGCCTCCGTAGCTCGTTATCATTGGCTATAGATGATGACGTCCCTCTTCTCTTGCGAGGGCCAACCTCTGATCCCTCATTATCTTCCAACATGCGATCTGGGGTATGGTTTTCAGTAGACTCGAACATCTGGGGGAAATGACTGGAGGCGAATTCAGCCGGGATAATACCCGACGGCGACGGCTGTGATGGCTGCACACTTATAGTACGGTTTCGAAGAAGATGTTCTTGAAGCTGCAGATCCGGACGCTGACGGACTGCGTTATTGTGATTCTCCTGTAAAGCGTGATCGTCCAACCTGGCGGGGGGAGCATGCCCAAACTGTTCGCCGTACCGTAGTATCATCTCTTCCGGGTTTGGGTGATATGTAACTTGGGAAGGAGCATACTGAGGACGCATATATGCTGCATAAAGATCTTGTGTTTGTGGTTGAACGTCTGGATGATACTGCGTAGTAACGGAGTGAATGCTTGCCGTCGACCCTCGTGACCGCGACAGACGGGCACTCTTAGTAGATCCTGTGTTTGACCTCGACCGCATTGGCTCAATGGTGCTCTGTCGGCTTCGCGGCCTCTTCTGTGCTGTCTGACCCGGCAAACATGAAGTATCTGCCATAGCAACATGCCGAATCAGTCATGATGAAGTTAACCCAAAAGGGAAAAACCCCGAGTACAACCAGCGGGAGGTCAGGGAAAAAGCGTTTACCAATATCAGGAGTCATGATTTCGAGCATTCAATGGGCCGGTAAAATATATTATAAAAATAAGAGCTTCCTCTTTTTTTTTTCTATCGCTCTCGCCAGCCGTCCCTTGCTGGACTCGAGATTTTATCACCGCCACGAAGCCAGGCTGTTGTTACCTGCCAACTTGTTATGGCTTATTCAGAGATGCGAGAACGACGTCTAGGTAAAGTCGACCCCTTGATCCCGTCGTGGCTGCGGCCGTCGTGGTCGTTCTGCTCGTCGTTCGCGCAGAAACTAAAAAAAAAAAAACGAGTGAGAGCCTGGGAGGGAAAAAGCTGGGTGTTCGTTTTTCTTTGAAGTTGATGTAAACAAGATGTTGTCGACGGGGAAACGCCGCTTCCGGGTTGTTTTTGTTTTTCTTTTCGCTCTTTTCGCCTTCCTAAGCGACGGTCACGTGTCAAGGCGTCAGTCACATGATATCATATTACATAATGAAGATATAGGTCACATGACAGGCTTTTCGGGTAGGCGGTGGAAGTCGGCAGAACGTCCCAAACAGGGAAGTGGCAAACACGTGCAAATAGTCACGTGACAGTAGCTGCACACAAGCCCAAAACAGAAACCCGACTTGTTTTGTATTTTATTTCCCAAGCAAAGAAGAAGAAGAGAGACATCAGTCCAGACCACAAGAAGAGAGACATAACCTCGATAACAGTGTACTTACTGCCACTCTACGTCTACCGTGCTTCTGAACAACGCAAAGAAAAGAGAGATATCAGCAAAGATGTCGTTCCAAGATCGTGTACAGCACCAAATCGCCCAGATCGATAAGGAAGTATGGAAGCTCGCCCTTATCAAGACATCCCACTTTCTCTCTCGGATGCGGTGCTAACGGACTATATCGCTGGCAGCTCTCCAAGTATCCGGTCCTCAATAACCTCGAGAGACAGACGTCCGTTCCCAAGGTGTATGCTTTCCTAGGCATCGCTGGTATCTACGTCTTCCTCGTTTTCTTCAACATCGCCGGAGCTCTCCTCGTCAACATCGCAGGATTCGCCATTCCCGGATACTACTCTCTCAATGCCCTCTTCACATCCTCTACCGCTGATGACACTCAGGTACGTCCATGACCCTATTCTCTTCTGTTAACTACACTGTCTGTGATCATGCTGACCCTTGTTTATTTGTAGTGGTTGACGGTTGGTCTCCCGAATGACCCACCATGTGTACCGAGAACCCAGGTGATCGATGGCTAACCACGTGAAAACGTATACTATAGTACTGGGTCGTCTTCTCTCTATTCAGCGTCGTTGAGAGTGCTATCAGTGCTGCATACTGGTTCCGTACGTACATTGGCCTCGTCATTAATGCTGCTGCCTTGCTAACCTTTATTTTCTTCTCTTTGCGTCTACAGCATTCTACTACCTATTCAAGTTCTTCTTCGTCCTCTGGATGGCCCTTCCGCAGACCAGGTAGGCAACCAACCCAGTTGGACAGAAACCCCCTTTTCTTTTATTGCGCTCCCATGTAGCTAACAGGCAGAGTAGTGGTGCCCAAATCGTCTTCCACTCCTTCATCCAACCCGTGTTCTCTCGCTACTTCCAGAGCGCACCCACCTCCGCCAACCTCAGAGCTCAAGCCGAGCAGGCCGCCAAGGAGCATTCCTCTTGATTGCCTTACTCTTGATAAAACCAAAGCGACGGGAGGGGAGAAATATCATGTATCAATTCCTACTCTGCAGCTGGCTCTGAGCTGTGCATGATATTGCTTCTTTCTTTATTCCGATGAGATATAAATACCTCTCCAGATGCGCATACTAATGAACAAAGAGGTGACGTATTCGGTATGAATATGGGCAACGGATGGGATTTTAAATCGTCACAGAAGGTCTTCGCAGCGTCCTCGACAACGAACAGCAGCGAAACCTCAGCTTGTTTATTTACTCCGCACGTTGCTTCTTTTTATCCATCATATTATTCTTTTTTTCGCCCCTTTGAAATTATTGTTATTGTTCCTTCCGTTGGCATGCAGGAAGCTTGGCCATGCAATAATAAAAAAAAAAACCCTGTTGCGTGGCCCCGCGCCATTGTCCTATTTGATTTATTCTTCCTCCCTATGCTTTCGGTACACGCGGTCGCTTGGGGAGAGAAGGTGGTGCAGCGGTTGGGCTTAATTGGCTGTGTATAGTGACCCGGATTGCCACTGTCTCTCTTTTACCCCAAGGTTGCTTTTTTCCCCCCCCTTTCTTGATAGAAGCAACCCGAAAAATGGGAGCAGCAATAGCAATACGAATAGTAGCCTCAGTCGAGAGCACGACCATTCGTCAAACCCACCCCCCAAGGCATTCAGTAGAGACCCAGTCGATTCCCCCAGTTGTCCAGCTTCGGGTTCAGTATGATCTGGTAAGGGAACGGGTTCGACTCGCTCGTAATCGGCGGTATATGGTCTTTGTTCTTGTTCACAATGGCAACGATCTTGAAGGCGGCTTTATGCAGCATCTTCTCCATCGCCTTCCGCACCTTCGCTCGATCTATAGTTTCGAAACCCCCAATGGTTAGAATCGTAGCCCCCATAAGCTGTCAAAGGAGTAATACACTTACCCAGATCCGTCCGTGGAGTCGCAATGGTAATATCCAGCGTCCATATCTCCCAGCATATCTCCTCTTCGCCGTTTCCCGTCAACCCTGTAAACCAAGCGCCAGACTTTTTCCGCTTCTTTTCAAAGAACTGCACTGCAATGCGTGCCCGTACCCCGCCATTCGCCGAGTTAGACGCCGTCGAGAGATGCTGCTGTATCAACGCATTCACCCGCGCATCAATCAGCGTCTCGACCTCCAGATCATCGATGACCGGCAACGTCAGGTCGAGAACGTCTATGGAATCCGGTCTGACACAGGGGAAGTACCGGTGGAAGAAGATCGCGTGTATGATTCCTGTCTCTCTGTCCCGTCAGTTCCGGAGATTCCAAGCCAAACTGCCGACTTTTTTGTCTGCACGTACCCTTCACGATCTCCTTGACAGACGCACGATCTGCAAAGATCTCGAGGATATGCTCTGGCGGCTTGCGAGGGTCCATGTCTTTTCTTATTGTGAGCGCAAACGCAAACAAACGTGGTGCGCTGAGCGATGTACTTGACTCCGCCGCGGACCCGACCGGCTGGGATGTATACGTATGTATGGGATGTATTTGTATGTACGTGTGTGCGTGCGTGTGTCTTGTGTGTATATGTAAGGGGGAGGTTAAGGAACGCCACTTGATGCTGTCCTATGGCATGCGCGAGGACGAGGTCACCATTTCGCTGGTGGCAGGGGGAGGAGGAGCACTCTCAACGTTTTTCATCGGGGCTTTTACGGTGAAGCAGAAGATGGAAGCTGATTGCGGGGAGTTTTTTTTTTTTTCCTTTTCCTCAACTCTCCATTTGCCCCTCTGGACTAGAGGAAGGCTTGGGACCTTTTTTGGTTTCTCCCCTAGCGTTCCTTTTTTCGATATATTTATATCTGTTTTGTATATATCAGATTTCCTCCTTAGCTTTCGTCTACAGTTGCGATGGACAAGGAAGAAGAAGTTGAAGAGTGAGAAAAAGACGATCGGGGTCGGCCGAAGAGGCGATAGCGGGGTCACGGGTTAGAGGTGACGACATAGCCTGCACGACATGGCTTGGCAACTAGACCAGATACAGATGGATATCCCGTGACCCCGATAAAAGATACACAAGGTCACCTGCCTCGCGGTAAGCCGAGGTTTCTTTTTTTTTTTTTTAGAGCTTTCGTTGTTTGATGGAAGAAGAGCGAAGAAGTTATTTACTCCTGCTTTTATATACTGGGCAGAACAGCTTGTGTTTGGTGTATATAGCGAGTGTTGGCGTCTTATTCTCCTGTACTCGCGGTTTGGACGTGAGATACTACGATAATGCACGCCACTTAAAGCCCGTTCGACCATGATCAACGCAACGAAGCAGTGGTTACGCCGGCACCGCAACGGAATCGCCATTGGTGCCGGTGTTGTTGGAGTTGGCTACTTGGCCGGTCAGTACGTGCTGGGAAAGATATCAGAAGCCAGAGAGCGGATGAGCAGCGAGCGGATTGCGCGGGAGAAGTATGACCTCCTGAACACCGAGCCAGAGCAAGACCAAATAGCTAACAGCACCAAGCCTACGACGACGGTTTGAACAGAACCAGACGGACTGTACCTTTACCGTGCTTGCCCTGCTTCCGACAGCCACAGAAAACATACTTGCTGCGCTCCCGGTCGAGGAACTGACGAATGAGCTACAGCAGAAGCGCGCGGAGAGGCTGGCGAAGCAGCTGAACGGGGGAGAGCTTGGGGCCTCAGAGATAAGTTCGGAGCCTCCAAGCGCGGTAGACGATGATGGGAAGAGTCTATCGAGTCTTAAGAGCCATGAATACCTGCACGCCAGCCAGATGGGGGATTCTGTTGTCGGTGATGGAACACCGCGGAAGAAGAGCAGGACACAGCTGTGGAACGAGCTCAAGGTCAACTGTATGTGGCTTCTTCCATTTGAATCTGTAACGGCTGTGAAAGGTGCTCCGAGCTAACTTGAATTACAGCTCTAACAAGATCATTCACCCTGCTATACACCCTCTCCCTCTTGACCTTACTCACTCGCATCCAACTCAACCTGCTCGGCAGACGAAACTATCTGTCCAGCGTGATATCGCTTGCTTCCCCCCAGGCTGATCCCGCCATAATAAGTCTGGAGGAGAATGACGGTGACAATGCGTTTGGAAACGACTTTGAGACGAACCGTCGATACCTCACATTCAGCTGGTGGCTTCTACATCGTGGGTGGAAAGACTTGATGGAAAAGGTAGAAGAGGCGGTCGTTGAAGTCTTTGGACCACTCAACCCGCGCGAAGATATAACACAGGACAGGCTCTCGGAGCTGACTCTACAGGTCCGGATAAAAGTCGAGGGCGGTACCACCAGCGAGGAGAGGCGGACGAGAAAGTGGCTCCCATACCTACTACCGGCCGTGGAACAGGAAGACTACGTCCTTCGCGAGTCCGAGGTCTTGTCTTCTGAAGAAGTCTCTCCACAGACAGCCTCTAACCTCCGACACCTACTCGACGAGACCTCCGACCTGATAGAATCCCCCCAGTTCACGCACATACTCTCCCTCCTCAACAACGAGGCCTTCTCCTACCTTATAGACCACAAGTGCGCCATCGATGCCTTTAAGAGGCCACCTAGCGTGCCCGCAACACAGGCCCCGGAGTCGAGCCCAGCAAACATGTTCTCATCTTCAGCTACCGTCATCCCGTCCGACTCTCAACCACCAAACCCAAAGGTGAAGCTGGCCACGATATTAGCAGTGGTCTCTCGTCAGTCACATACCATCGGCCAGGGCTCGAATCCACCCAACGAGTACCTCTCCGCGATGGAAGAAGGGGTGCGGGAACTCGAGGCTTTTGCTGCCGTTGTGTATAGCAGCAACTTTGGCCTCGAGGTACCATCGCCAGGAGGTTCTGTAGGCGGTTCCTTCGTGGTCGTTCCTCCATCTGTAGAGAAACAGGCGCCGACTCCGGAAGAAACCAAGGATGCAGGTTCTGTCGGTATAGCTGAGGCGCAGGAGGAGGAGATCAACTTTGAGTCTGCCTGGGGCAAGGCGACTGATGCGATGTAGAAGACCCATGTTATAACATTATAAAGTCAACGAATATCCCATCCATCATCACCTAGTTATCTCTGTCATCAGTAGTAATGTCAACCACCCACAGGTATAACTCCACAGCCTCCACACAAGACCGGAGAAATAATGCAAAGGGACGCTGATCTGAAGCCACCATCTCTCTGTCGTCACCGTCCATGTCCATCTGACGTCCTTATCTTGCTCACTGTTCAAAGGCGTGTTCAAATGTGTTCATGAGCTGGTTCAAAGAGTGACCATCTTCGGCTTCCGCTACCACACTGGTGCTAGGGTCTCTCGTATCCCTGGCCATACCAAGACGACCCAAGACCACACTAAGTGGCGAGAAAGGTCGACGATAAAGGTCTCTTGACGGCGGTTCCTTTGGCTGGCCATAGAAAAGGCCTCAAGAGCTACGAGATGCTCTGGCGGATGCGCAGCTCTTCTTCCCCGTCGACCCAACAGCCACAAACCTGAAACCGCCAGCAGGCCAAATGACACGGAATAAAGACAGAGCTTCGACCGTTAAGAACAAGAACCAAGAGCCCAAGGCCATGCTGTGAGACCTTGAAGTCGCCTCTGCCATGCGGACAGTCGAACCACATGGGACGCTACAGCAGCTCAAACCCTTTAGCCTGGCATGTTTTAATCGGACTAGAGCATGGAACACACTATAACCCCTTGGCAGAGCATGCTTGCTTTGGTAGCAAGGGACCCTTTGACCGGAATATAATAAGCACTTCTAGCTCGAAAAGAAGACCCAAGGATGAGCCGTCCTAAACCCTGGGCAAGGCTGGTTCTGTCGTCATGACGTTGGGTGCTAAGATAGCTACGCGGGAACCTCACGGCAGCTGAAAGAGACGCCTCATCCAGTCGGTAGAGAGAGAGCAAGAGAGCGCGCTCTTATTAAAAGGCTGGGGGATACCGTCTCATTCTCTTCAGCTGTTTTGGTTGTTCCAGCTGTTCTCGTCTTCATAGAGGTTGAGATGGCTTCGATGACTGCTTCACTGGTGGCGGCGGCAGCGGTGGCTTCACCAACATCTACACACAGAGCATCGCCGCAGGGAGGCATCTTCGACAAGGCGAATCCGACTCACTATGACCCGAAGAACCCTCTTGTCCTCTTCATCATCCAGGTAGACTCCGGCCCCTAGGAGATCCACGAGATGTTGGAAGAATGTACAGCTAACTAACGAGCGTAGGCTGGCCTGATTATCATCTTCTGCCGACTGATACACATCCCCCTATCTCGAATGCGACAGCCTAGGGTCATCTCAGAGGTGCTAGGCGGCATCCTGCTCGGTCCGTCTGTGATGGGACGCATTCCGGGTTTCCGTGAGACCATCTTCCCGGATGCCTCTATCCCCAATCTCAACCTGGTGGCCAATCTCGGGCTGGTGCTCTACCTGTTCATGATTGGCGTTGAGACCGACCTAAGGTCGCTGGTGAGCAACTGGAGAGTCGCTGCCAGCGTGTCTGCAGCCGGTATGGTGCTACCGTTTGCTCTGGGCTGTGCAATCGCATACGGACTGTATCACGAGTTTCGGCAAGAGCCTGGCCTGGCGCCCATCGGGTTTGGGACTTATTTGCTATTCATCGGCATTGCCATGGCCATCACCGTACGTTCCCTTCCGCTTGTTATACAAGACCGATTAGTGTGGCTGTTACGGACCGCTGTTATGGACTACGGCTGACTACGTTGTTACAGGCATTCCCGGTGCTATGTCGTATCTTGACTGAGCTGGAGCTACTCAGCACCAGAGTCGGAGTCATCGTGCTGTCTGCCGGGGTGGGCAACGATGTAGTAGGCTGGATCCTGCTTGCACTCTGTGTTGCCCTAGTCAATGCCAGCACCGGACTCACGGCCCTGTGGGTGCTGTTGACCTGCGTCGGCTTCGTCCTACTCCTGGTGTTTGTCGTCCGTCCGCTATTCCTATGGTATCTGAGACGGACCGGCAGTCTCCATGATGGGCCCGATCAGTCGGTCGTCACTCTCACCCTGCTGCTTGTCCTTTCAGCCGCATTCTTTACCCAGGTCATCGGCGTCCATGCCATCTTCGGTGGGTTCATGATCGGTCTCATCTGCCCACACGATGGAGGGTTTGCCATCAAGTTGACAGAGAAGATCGAGGATGTGATTGGTGCTCTCTTCTTGCCCTTGTACTTTGCACTCTCTGGTCTCAACACTAATATCGGCCTGTTGGATTCGGGCACGGTCTGGGGATATGTCTTTGGGGTCATCTTCATCGCTCTTATCGCGAAGGTTGTCGGCGGGATGGTGGCATCGAGGCTGAATGGCCTGCTATGGAGAGAGAGCTTGACCATTGGCGTGCTGATGAGCTGTAAAGGTTTGGTCGAGCTCATTGTCCTGGTAAGTTGAATACCATCCTCCCCTCGGGTACCATATACTGACTGCCGGGGTTAGAACATTGGACTGCAGGCAAAGATCCTGAGCCCCCGTACGTTCACCATCTTCGTCGTGATGGCTCTCGTGACCACCTTCGTCACCACGCCGGTAGTGTCCTACCTCTACCCTCAGTGGTACCAGGTCAAGGTCGAGCGCTGGAGACGCGGGGAAATCGACTGGGATGGCAACGCTCTCGACTCTGAACCCCACAGTGGTTCTGATATTACCCGACAGAAGTCACAGGGCGCCTCTGTTCGCAAGCTCATGATCTACTTGAGACTGGACAGCCTGCCAAGCCTCTTCACATTCGTATCCTTGCTTGGGGCTGGAGATGGTCGGGATACGGACGCCTCCCGAGCGCACCATGCCCACGACGACGGTGAGCCAGACCGACGTCCGGACAGCACTAGGACGGGCAGGCCGATCGAGGTACACGCGCTGCGCCTGGTCGAGCTCACGGACCGAGACTCCAGTGTGATGAAGGTGTCGGAGGTGCAGGACTACAGCTTCAGCGACCCGATCCTGAATGCGTTCCGGACGTTTGGCCGGCTGTACAAAGTCGCAGTATCCGGCGGTGTGGTCATCGCACCGGAGCACGCCTACGCAGAGACGGTGGTGAACAAGGCCCGCGACTGCGCGTCGGACCTGGTGCTGGTACCCTGGAGCGAGACCGGGGGGATGAGCGAGAGACAGATCCCGCTGCTGGACGACAAGAGCGAGAAGTTCTCTACCGGCCCGCACAGCTCGTTCATCTCCAACATCCTGAAGAACTCGAGGAGCAACGTCGGCATCTTCATCAACAAGGGGTTTGGCGGGTCACCCCTGAGCCTGCCCAAGCCAGGCCAGCTCTCCAGGACGTTCAGCGGCCACAACACCTACCGCACAAACGACCTGGCGCTGACCCCTTCTCCGGACAGAGGCCACCACGTCTTCATGCCTTACTTTGGCGGGCCTGACGACCAGTTTGCCCTCAGGCTCGTGCTCCAGCTGGCGAACAACTCGTCCATCACCGCGACCATCGTCCGCATAGATGTTGCTGCTGCCGCCACAACTACCGACTCTGGCAGTGTACCGGCGCAACAGCACAAGGTAGCCCTCTCCGTAGAGGAAAAAGAAGCCGACGAGACGTTCTACAGGTCGATCCGTGACTCTGTACCGTCCGAGCTTCGCGCCCGGGTGGTCTTCCAGGCCATCGACTGTGCTGCCAGCGCCGTGCTGGCCGCCACGCGCGACGCCGCCGCCCACGACCTGGCCCAGTGCCAGAACAGCAGCAGCGGCAACCTGGTCGTCGTCGGCCGTAATAGCCTCGCGCTGGATGCAGCTGCAGCGCCACCGTCCTCGTCCCCGGAGTTTGGCCCGGAGGCAAAGAAGGCGATCGGGGTGCTGGGCGAGGCTATGGCAGGCAAGTCCTACGGCATACAGGCCAGCGTCCTCATCGTCCAGGCCAGTCCTTGACCCTTCCCTATATCAGTGTCTATATATATACATACTCCGTTATACGAATATGAACTCCCATTTTAACCCTCCGGCAAGATCGTACCCATGGAACAAACACGCGGAGTACAAAGTTAGATCGTTTGCCACCTGCATCGGGCGAGATCCTCGTCCCTTAGCAGGTTCGTATTAATGTATTAATGTCCATGGTAAGCATCAGCCATTCCTCCGGCCATCCGTCTGTACATGTCCTGGCTGCATCTTGAACCACCGGACATGCCTGCGCCTGTTCCACACACATGCATATACATGCATAACAGTGTAGCATATCCGACAGGCATCAAGGTATCCTCCGTACGAGAAAAAAGGACGCTGCATGCTGCCCTCCGAAAGACTGTCCGACTGTACTCCGTACCAGTTAACTGTATCAGATGGAGTCTGTCTCCCCCAGTATCCACGCCGACGACCAGCCAATGGCATATACGCCGAAATCGAAGCAGGCAGCTTGGCTTATTTCTTCCCTTCCAGAAAATGTGGAGAGAGCAATGAAAGGTCCCTTGGCTCTCTTGTCCGTCCTTTGGTCGGGGGTGAAATTACTCTCATCGCCCTCTTTTTTCACTGGAGCAGGTCGAGCTAGTTACATGCGTTGGGAAGAGTTGCGGCTTTTTCTCCTTTTCCCTTGCGCATTTTTTCCCGTGCGACTGGGGTTGATGCAGCTCGTACAGGGCCAGTGAAAGGGAGACAGTGAAAGGGAGAGCGAGCGAAAGAGAGGTACATTAATAGAAGACTGTCCTTTGAGGAGTCTAACCTCTTCATCTTGTACGGGAAAGCGGCTTGTCTTGTCCGGGGACGTTCCGTCGCCAAACATCGACATCTACGACACACACACACACACACGGCAAAGACGGTCACGGCTGTGGTATAAGAGATAGAAAGCTTGCCAGGGACTCCCTTGCGCCCTGCGACTCTTATATCAAGCTGAGTCTCCAGAGTCTCCGGCTATAACTGACCACCACTGCTTCTCTACTCTGCTTCTCTACTTCTCTACCTCTGCTTCCTACAGCAAGAAAGCCGTCATGGGCGTCAAGTCAGGTCAGTCTCCTGCTTGCTATATACACATACAGACATACACAGCTACTGACAGCCATCGCAGAAGCAGACGTGTCTCCGGACCTGTCCATCGAGCAGGATGGCTACAACGAACTCCCCCAGCTGAGGAACACTACAGAGCGCAAGTTGATGGCCAAGATCGATCTCTACATCCTGCCAATGCTTAGCATCCTCTACCTGCTCGCCTTTTTAGACAGGTAACATTCTCTTATTTTTTTTGCTTCTTCTTTTCTTGCGGGGCAAGAGGCTGACAGCGAGACGGGCGCAGAGTAAACATCGGAAACGCGGTCATCTTCGGGCTCAAGAAGGATCTGGGAATCACCTCGGGGACTCAGTACAACACAGCCTTGACCATCTTCTTCGTCCCTTACGTCTTGTTCGAGGTATGTGGTCAGACAAGCTGCATGGAGCGCATACGACTAACGGCGACGACCTAGATTCCGTCGAATTTGCTGCTCAAGAAGTTCAAGCCGCACGTATGGCGTATGTACATTCGCGCACCTCCATATGTTGTCTGCATGACTGACGTGAACTCACAGTGTCGCTATGCATGTTCGCCTTCGGACTCATTACCTGCCTGCAGGGAATCACCACCAACTATGCTGGCATTCTCGCGACTCGCTTCTTCCTCGGCCTCGCTGAGACCGGCATGTTCCCCGGATGTAAGTGCTTGCCCAGGTACGCTTGCTACAAGTTCCGTTGGCTGACTGGCGGCAGGCTTCTACCTGATGGGCATGTGGTATAAGCGATCTGAAGCCCAGAAGCGATTCTCCTTCTTTTTCAGCTCCACCACCCTCGCCGGTGCCTTTGGCGGCCTGCTCGCGAGTGGTATCGGCAAGATGGGCGGCCTTCGCGGCTACAACGGCTGGAGATGGCTGTTCATCCTTGAGGGCGCCTTCACCTGCGTCGTAGCCGCCATCTGGTTCTTCCTCATCCCAGATTTCCCAGAGGACGTCAAGTGGTTGACCGAGGAGGAGCGTGAGTTCATCAAAGCGAAGCTGGCCAAGGACGTCGGCAAGGCTGGACACGACCAGAGGGTCACATTCAAGGACGTCGTCTCCATCGTCGCTGATCGTGAGTTATCTGTTCTCGTATATTAATCCATAACCGTTCTAACTCTGTCGTAGCAAAGGTCTTGATCGGTGGATTCATGTATCTCGGCATGATCGTCCCAGCTTACAGTATGTTCGCTCTGTACTATACAACTCCTGCCTCCCACGACTAACAATCATATAGGCTATGCCTACTTTGCTCCCACAATCATCAAGAACTACGGATACGGACGTGAGTCGACCATGTATACACTATACCTATACTCCTCCAAGCTAACCCTCATCCTAGCGATTGAAACCCAGCTGTACTCCATTCCACCATGGGCCGTGGCATTCGTCTTCGCCATGCTGATGGCCTACGTCTCCGATCGCATCGGACATCGAGCCTCCTTCGCCACGCTGCCCATCGCACTCGCAATCGCCGGTTTCTCCATGCTGCTCACCATTCACGGCAAGGAAAATAGACATGCCCAGTACGGCGCCCTCTTCCTCATCACCTGCGGCACCTACAGCGCCATGCCAATCATAATATGCTGGTACGCAATGAACCTGAGTGGCCATAAGCGTCGTGCCATCGGTACCGGGTGGCAGATCGGCTTTGGAAACAGTACGTTAACCTCTCAACTCTTACTCACCACATATGTACACCTGCTAACTTTTCCCTCGTAGTCGGTGGGATCATCGCTACCTACAGCTTCCTTGAGAAAGATGCCCCTCAATACAAGCCCGGACATAGTATCTCCATTGCCTTCCTCTGCGTGGCAGTCCTCTCTTCGTGCTTGTACCTTGTCCTTGTTCTGAACCGCAACAAGAAGAGGGATGCCGTAGGTCCTCCGACACAGTCTCTTGACCAGGAAGACGGAGACCTCGGTGACCTCAGCCCCAACTACAGATACCAGATCTAATTGATTTACCCGAAGGTAATAGAAACGGACAGACAGAAACTAGACACAAATAACAGGGGGAACGGGAGAAATAACGGGAATGGCGGATAGTATGGAATAATTTTTTTACTCATGTTTCCTTTCAAGCAGCGGCTTGTACGACAAAATTAATTCCGTTTCTCTTATTAATTGCATTCTCTAGAGGTAGAATTTATCTCTTTATCTCTTATTTACTTGTTTAGTATCATGGTCTATCTTTGAAGCAATTCAATCTGATAAGAGAAAAAAAGACAACAGAGGGTATGGGTAATAACATAAATTAGAGGAAAAAAAACAAGCCATAATTTCCAGTTCTAAGAAAATGCTTTACGCCAGTAAGTGCGTCGCTAAAATGTATAATAACAAACAACGGATATTCTAAACAGAACGCAAACAACAAGACGAGTAGAAATGCAGGAGAAACGAAACCTTGGTATCAAGTTCATTTTCCAAGAGCTGCGGAAGAAAAGAGTCATCGAGGCTCCTGGGAAGGGAAGAATCGTGGCCCGGCAAAGCCATGGGCGATGATACTTTCGATATCCATACGGCCTGGGTTGAAGGGAGCCCACATCTTGATAAGAATGTATCGGGCAGATCTGTGTCGGTATTGAATGTTAGTCGTAAAAGGATATCATTTAGATGGGAGAAAGGAAGAAGCTTACACAGGAGGATTAAATCTTATTTGTACTGCGGCTCTCTCGTGTTCGATAGAGAATCTGGCGACGGGTGGCATGGTGTCCGAATCTTGGTTCTGGGCTGTCTCGCTGATCGGACGGGCAAAGACGGTCGTCGGTGAGAGCGCTCTATGCCGCTGTGATCTCGACTGCAGATATGAGGGGACACGAACGCCCAGAGCCTCCAGCAGTCGGCGTTGTCGTGTATCCAGGTTCTGGGCAAGAGCCTCAGCGACACCAGAGATACCGTCACTGCTCTCGCTGTCACTGGTATCGTTGTTCGGAGAACTGTCGCGCGAATTCGAGGGTTCCGGGTCGGAAATGGAAAGTTGATCACGGGCTGCGTCGTGTTGCGTCGATTCATCGTCCGATTTGTCCTCTTGCTCGGTGCCGAACTGGAAATCTGGGTGTTGGTTGGCGCGTGAGCGTAGCATGCGTGCACGAAGGATTGCAGCTGAAGTCTCTGGTCTCCTACCATTTCCAGGCGGCGCCATGGTCCCGGAGAACGGTGGTGACGGTTCGTTCCGACGACGGGAGCGACGAGAGGGGAACTCTGAGGCAAAGCTGGCGACGGTACGAAGGAATCGTGGATCCGAAACCATAGAAATACTTACGGTCCCTTCTCGGACACTGTATTTATATCAGGTTAGTATGTCAGAGTAGAAGCAAGGAAAATGGTATTTTACTTACTTCATCTCATCGTGGCATCCACTCTTGGGGGTCTTGATGATCAGCTTCTTCAAGGAGAATGGGATTTCCCCACGGTGCTTCAAGACGATGTTGCAGCAACCGCCCTGTGCTCTGTAGACCGCGCCGTCGTTGACGAGTATATGATCTGGGGAGTTACCGCGTCGATCTGGCTCAGTGCTGGCTCCTTTGCAGCTGTGGACTTCCATCTCCAACGGCACGGAAGAGACCTGGCCATAGTGGCTGTAGCTGAACCCTTTGGCACCCTCTCGGTTATCATCCGCATCCACCTTTCGCCGTTTCGACTGGCGGTGGTCTGACATGGAGTCCGCGGGAGGGGACCTGGCCGGTGGCCGTTCAGGCTGCCGTGATGCTCCCTCTCCGGCCCCAATGCTGGCGACTGCCTGCCGGAACTGCTGTTCTGCACGCTGCAGCGAGGCCAGCGAGGCCAGGGACTCTTGTCTCTGCTGGGGTTGACGCTGCGAGGGCTGTCTTTGTGGAGGCTGTCTCGGCGGGCTGGTGATGATGGCCTGGGGGTTCACAGTCGAGTCGACGGTATTGTACTCCTGGAGAGAGCGGTCCAGTGCGTGTAAGAAGAAACTCCGGTCCTCGTCCATCTCAGAGATGATGTCCCTCAGCTGTCGGATTCTAGCCGCGATGGTCTGGAAATTGGACACGTCGTGAGTAGAATCTCGGTCGAACGACGGCGGCTGAGCGTTGTTTGACTAAATGGCAATAATAGCAACCTGTTTAGTAGTGCTAACAAGACACGGAGTACATACACACACTCTCTCTGTAGGAAAAAGAATGAGAGAGAAACCGGCGGAGAGGGGGGGGCTTCGTTGCTCACCATGGTTCGGGATATATAACAGCAACCCTGCCCGCTCCCACAGATTGTATATTGAAGCAGGCTATACCCGCACCAAACCTCTCCCTCACGTACTGCCACTATCCTTTCTCCGTTAGACGCGGGAACCGAAGGACGACTTCGCCGCTGGTGCTGCTCTAAAAGTGACAAGCCAAGCCCGCTGCCTCTGTCTTCCTCTATATTAAGCCTTAAAAAGCGTGTCCCTTATCGCTGCAAAGCAAAGAAAAAGAAAAGAAAAGAGTGTGGTTGTTCTTCTTCCACCTTCGAACACGAAAGAGAGAGAAAAAAAAGGTGAAACTTTTTTCCTGTTTCGGCGATGGAGAAAGCCGGGAAAAGGTGGGTCATTAGTCAGCACTGCCGTTCTTGTTTAGGACTAGCGCATGAGTTAAAAAGACGCACGGTTCAGGGGACCCGCTTATGTCACGTGATAGTATTATATAATCAGAATATGACATAAGCGGGAGCTTCCCAAACTTTCTTCTTTTCTTTTGCTTCTTCTTACTTCATAGCTTCTTCCTCTCACTCTTAGCGGATGAACTTGGGGATTACCTGCTGCTGTTTGCTAGAGCAGATTGACTGAGATGGCTACGGATGGTAAAACGACCACCAATGGGGCGAGTGGGGTCAGCGGAATCAGCGCAGGTAAGTCTTTGCTATGCAAGACGACAGCTCATACGGACGAATCTAATAACGATGTTGACCAGATGAAATTGCGCTTTATGATAGACAGATCAGGCTATGGGGTGTAAAGGCTCAGGAGAGGTAATATGATAGCTGAGCTCCCGTATCAGAGACCAACTGCTAATCTTCATGTTATCCAAAGAATACGCAATGCCAATATCCTTTTGGTAACGCTCAAGGGCCTTGGAAACGAGATCGCAAAGAACCTCGTATTGGCCGGAATTGGCACTCTGACCATCGTTGACGACGGAATGGTGCGTGAGGAGGATCTTGGGGCTCAGTTCCTCATCACAGAGGAGAATCTCAAGCAAAGCGTACGGCACCTACTGCGTCGAAAAAGTCGAAAACAGCACACTAACAACAACATGACAGAGGGTTGAAGCTGCGGCACCACATATACGCCAGCTGAATCCCAGAGTGAAACTACATGCAGACCCGTCTAGCATCAAATCGAAACCTCCAGTATACTTTGAACAGTTCGACCTTGTCATAGCCACCGACCTGGACTTTGAAACATTCGCAACGATCAATGCAGCCTGCCGCGTTGCAAACCGCCCTTCATACATAGCCGGTGTCCATGGCTTCTACGGGTTCATCTTTGCCGACCTTATTAGCCACACTTTCGTCATCGAGCGCGAGAAGTCCAACGTGCCTCCACAGACGAACGAGACACCAACACGGACAGTACTAGGCGTCACTACCAAGGTCGAAAATGATAAGGTCATTGAGATGGTCACGAAGCGAGAGACATACACACCTTTACTACTGGCAAATACCTCCCCCTTGCCAGAGGAGTTTACGCGGCTGCCACGGAAACGAAAGCAGGTCACCCCACTGCTCACCTGTCTCCGTGCCTTGTGGGATTTTGAACGCCAACACGGTGTCCCCCCCTCCTTCTCCCGGCAGGATTTGGAAAACTACACGCGTTTAGCAAACGAACGCCATCTGGAGCTTCAATTAGACCCCTCCACACTTACCGCCTCATTCCTACGATCATTCCTGCAAAACGTCGGCAGCGAAATTAACCCTGTAGCTGCGTTTTTGGGTGGCAGCCTAGCTCAGGATGCTATCAACGTGCTCAGCCAGAGAGAGCAGCCACTCCAAAACTTTCTGATCTTTGACTCTGAAAAGAGCGTTGCTCCGGTTTATTCCCTACACCCGTTTTTCCCCGATACTACTAATGGCCTATGATTTCCTTTCTTGGTTCAGTTTTGGGAACGGGTACGGATTGGGACGGGTGGTTTAAAGGCAGGTTAAAGGCTTTCTTTTACATGTGTTTCTCCTTCAGCCTGTAAAATAATACAGCAATCTCACGAGTGTCAGAAGGACAAATTTATACCCTCTTTCTTTTTTAATAGTAGATACTCCTATTGAATAATAGATAGGCAGATAAGCCTATCAGCAACCCTTTTTCCATTATTTGATCTCCTAATTCAACTCCCAAACCCTTATCCTTTAATGACCTAGTGAAATAACAGACGAAAAGACAGAAAATACAAGGGAAAGGGCAAAACAAACAATAAAATACAAGAAGAGTCTAGTTGGTAGGTTTAGCCATGAGAAAAGTGAGCAATCAACCAAGACTCTGCTTGCTCTCGCTAATATGGACAGGTGATATTCCGAAGGGCCGGGGAAATAGGTACAAAGAAGGAGAATAAGGGCTGTTTCCTTGAGGCCATTTCCATCAGGGTGCATGTGAAAAAACCCCAAGTCTGAGATGGAAGTCATGACACGACACCTTGAGAGAAAGTTGATCCCTAATGTTTACGAGCGGGAAAAAGGCTTATAGCTTGACAGCTTCTCCTGCAACTGGGGAATCTTCCTCGTCACGGTCTTTATCAGCAGAACCAATGAGTCCCTCGAGCTCGAATTCCTGTGCGTCCCGGATATTTCGAGCCTGAGCAGCAGTGGTCATGCCACCGTTCGCGTTGCCATTCATGCCGCGATTCATATCTGCAGCCGGGGATGCTCCATCGAGGCCATAGAAAGTTGGAGCTCTGGCATGCTGGGGGTATCGGCCAGGCAGATGGCTGGGGCCGCCGCGGCGAGAATAAACGGCACTCTCTGGCCAGACATGCACTGCGTAAATGTGCAGAAGAATGTTCACAACTATTGAGATTAGGTGGTGGTTAGAGAGGATGGATGCTGATGCTGCCCTGGAAAACTGTAGAAACTTACACAGGAATAAGAGGCAAGCCAAACTGTAGAGAACGAGAAGGTACGATACATGGCCAACTCCAGCATCGTGTAGTAGCTGCATTTGTTCTTCTGTGGCACCCATGAAAATGAAGCCAGAGGCAAAGAGAAGCTAAAACAGTCATTACGTTAATTGATACCAATTCGAATGCATGTTTGTAGAATAGGTAAACTTACATATGGCGTAAGGTACTGGAAGCTGTTTGGGTCAGAGCCATCTGGGCTAAGGGTGCTACGGTCCTTGAGTATGAAGGATATCTCAATGATTCTTGCGGCACCAGCAGCCATTAAAGTGTATCCAAACACTGAGTGAATCATGGTACTGAGCATAAGATGCTGCGCGTGGGAGGACATGGCATATCCTGTGAGCAAGATGACCACACCTGGGAAAATGTTTCTCTTTGGTCGTCCATTTCGCTTTCTACTCAACCACATTCCCAGTAGACCGGCACACCACCAGATGATACCCATGGTTGTGTGTTGCATATCACTATGACTCCACGCTGAGCCCCAGCGATGTTCAGTGAAAGTGTTGACAAAGCCCCATGCAGTAATGACAGCCGAGTCGAAAAATTCTTGGCTCCGTCCAGTCCGGCGTAGCCAGAACTGCCCGACAAGAAGCAGGATAGTGAGAAGAATTCCGTATGCGATGAAGGCGCTTCCCATGATGAAATGAGCAAGGCATTGACCAAGATGATCTGCCCGGCAGAACCCTAGAGCCGTAATCCCACCAAATAGCATCTGGATCCAGCTCACAAGCGGCATTATCTTGCCAACAACTCCGTGGGTCACGACCATGTATTTGCGAATCCGACCGTGGAATCCTTTCTCAAGGTGAAGTTTCAGATACACGCCCAAAACAACTTGGACGACAAGCATGAGCATTAGAGAGTTTGCAAAGGAGGCATGAATGTTTGGGGCAAACTGGCGACCCTTGTGAAGATGTCCGAGGAAGTAAGCGACAATGGCCACAGCGGTACCGACGACTTGGACCGGGACGTGATAACGAGACCGGATGATCTGGATACGTCAAAGAGCGTCAGAACAGCCAAAGCAACGCGTATACGTGATAATTTGACAAAACTTACACCAAGAACCATGCCAGTCGGAAAGATGAGCCCAAAGGCCAGAGTCATCAGCAGGATGTGAACCCATAGAGTAGAATCCTATCGATATGAAGTTAGCAACCATAGCGCTCAAATATACGCCCTCCAGCTCTCGAGCCCTGGAAGACAGCCTACCAGAGGATCTCCTGATATCACTTTCCCATCCGCTATCTTGTGATGGTCCCCATGGGCTACCACCACTGCAGGGAGGACCAAGCCCAAGATCACAGATTCCACCAACCTGCTCATCTTCCCCAGCTGAGATATATTGAAAGACCGGATTGCTGCAATGATAGTGATGGAAGCAGCAGTTGAATGAAACAGAGATCTGGCTCTGGCTTGGTTGCTGTGATGCGATGTGAAAGACAGAATGTGTGCAGATATCCGGGAGGCGGCTGTATGAAATATGTCTATATATAGTAGTGTGAACGCCGAGCTATATAGACAATATGGCCATAGCCAGTTTATTAGTAAGTAAGTCCTGGCGACTGCTAGAGAGCAGACAGAGTCTAGGGCATCTTCCAATAAATAGGCTCTGGAATAATAGGTATCTCACAGGTTGGTGAACAAATCCTTTGGTGTCTGAAAACGAAGCAAGAGAGGTTTCAATCCCCTTTCGGCTTATGTCATCCTCCCTTATCTCCGCAAAATCTCCTTGACCAACCAACTGCCAGATATATAACAACGCGGCTACAGAGCAGAAACTACACTACAGAGAGTCCTGAAGGACAGCCTACCCTTGTCAGATAGCTGGTGCGCCCTCCAGTTGCCCAAAGGATACTTTTACAGCCTAGAGTAGTTGAACAAAGACTGCTCTAGCCTGAAGTTCGAAATAAAGAAGAGTCAAGACAGATACCCAGCATGACTGTCTCTTGCGATACCCCTTCTGGAAATATATCCCCTACGCCTCAGCAGGCGAAGAAGATTGTGTGTGGAGCCTTCGCATTCAAAGTCTACTTGAAGCTACGAAAGCCCGTGCTAATTGATTCTTAAAGGAGTCTCTGAAGGCATCTATACCCAAGCTTCAAGAGCAAGTTGAGAAGACAGAGTTGTCCATAGTCAATGCAAGAGAGAAGCTAAAGTACCGACCTCCCACACCTCGCATACCTACACAATGGGGAATCTAACAGTTTGAGTTTCATCCGCTTTCCAGTGAATTGGCCAAAGGACTTAACGAGCCTCCAGATGCCAACGGGATCGTAAAGAAACATATTCGACTTCTTCATGATTACAATGAGATCAAAGATATCGGGCAAGGATTAATAGGACTCATAGCTCAGAGCCGTGGAGAGAGGCACATTGATGTACAAAACGAGTTCGGAATAGCAACTGCAGATTAGGCTCCCAGAGTGACTGAGGATGACGCCGTGTGGCGAGTATACTATTTGATTTATCTATATCTATTAAAGTGAAATTGAAGGGCCAGCTTTCGTTCCATCCTAAATCGTCACAAATGAGATTCATATATCAAAATATTGCATAGGTGAAACACGACAAAAGAAAGGGGTAATAAATATGTAGATCAAATATGCCAATATAAAAAACAACAATTCACAGCTATCCTCCAACAAGAGAAATACATTCTTCAACTGCACTTTCAAGATCTGTTATCCGTTTTTTAAGATATCTATTCTCTTCTCTTAGGATACTGGTGACCGTTGAAGCATCTGATGAACCATTCGCGCGGCAATCTGGGCATTTTAATCTCGATGATGTTAAAGCGTTAAACGACGAGCCGAGGGTTGATGATGATATACCCTTTAGAACCCTTCCATATGCACTCTCGCGTTGCGGTGCTGGCGGGGCAGCTTTCGGAGTGCTTGGTCTTGACGTTGTTCCAGATGCAGCCGGGGCTGGTTGGGGAGTCGACGGGCTCGTCATGGACACAGTGGAAAGCCGGGTGTTGACTGATGAGCCATCGTCATTTTCCCGTGAGAACACGCTTTCCGCAACGCTCTCGTCTCCGGAATCAAAGCCAGAATCGCTAGTAAATGTGCCGCCGCTTGACTTCTTCGAATGGTGTTCTCGAAGGTCCCGAGTCGGCGTAGCAGCATCCTCTGGTTGCTGTTTAGCCTTGATTTCATCTTGGTACTTTTGTCTCTCAGCTTTGAGTTCCTCCGTCAAAGCTTTCAACGCTTTGTCTTGTTCAAGCACCCTTGCTGCCATCCCATCAAGCTGTGACTTGATATTTTTAATCCGTGATTGGGCATCCTCCAATTCGTCTGCCTGCGCATCTTTATCCCCTACTGCTCTATGTAACGCAAATGTTCGTAACTTGTAAGCTTCTTGGAATTCGCGTAAAATGTTTTCGGCGTTGGCTCGGAAGGAATGGATGGCTTCTTCGGGAGATAGTTCGGCAAAAGACGGGTTGTTTAATATGGATTTAATATCAAGGTTTAGCAGCTTGTCATCGGCAGGTTCTGGGAGTGGCTCTTTTTGGACTTGCTGGGATTTTGACGTAAAAAAAGAGAAAGGGTTTCCTGAAGCAACCTGCCTCAGCGAGGCCGGGACGTTCATATTTATGGACAGCTTGGTCGGTGACGGTGATGAGGTATGGCTCGATCGATCGGTCGACGGCGAAGCGTCATGCATCACGTCGTCAACTCCCCTATCCGGGCGTGGGGAAGAAATTAGGCCCAATCGCATAGAAGGAGATTCCCCCTGGAACAGCCCAGAGAAAAGTCGACTTGTGCAGTTAGATTTAGGCTCGTTGGCTTTCTCCGTTGAGGCGCCCAGATCCACGTCCTCTAGCTTAGATGGGTCCGTGTCAGTATAGTGGCTGGCTGTTTTCATTCCATCTATAGGGAATGCTGGCCCATTCCAAAGCCCTGAAAGGTCGGTTCTAGATCGACGGTGTCGTCCTGCAGTGTTCTGTGAAGAACAATCAAGTCGCTCCTCGTGAGGCCGTAGCCGTGTCGGTTTCGTAGGTGAGCTGGGTAGAGACCGTCCAACTTCGCGAGATGTGTGCGAGGCAGCACGAGCAGACCATGTTGACTCTTGTTGACCTCTCAGTATCTGGTTGTTGTTCGTCCTTGATTCGTCAAAAATCCTGTTTAAGCGTTGCTGCAGCCGGTCTGGCGACGGATTCCTTGACGGTTCAGGCGTCCTCTCGCCAACCTGCTTATTCCACGTATCCATACTTCACTGCGCTGCCTAATGGTTCATAATGATCTTCCCACTTGCTGGATTGTTTTGAGAGGGTGCTAGCCAATATATAGGACAACGGCGTTTATGTTCGTGCGAAAGCTTTAGGCGCTGCCTAAAGACTGGAAGAAGACACACCGACGCCGGAAAATTATCGGCTCCTAAAAAGCAAATCTGCCTGAGACGTGCCATGACGAATTTCACTTGCTGGGCTGGCCCTTGTGGATCCTGCTGGCCCTTATCGATAAAGTATGGCGCGTTGCCCTGGTAATGAAGGACCGCGCTCTGCACCCAATCTCTTCGTGGACGAGTCTCGCCATCCAGCACTCCACGAATGTCAACGCAACCAAGCCGTTGAAGTATGCTTTTTGGATGCTAAGTATGCAGCTTAACTAGTGGCTGTACGGTAGGTGCTAGTTGTATACTTTCATGATACCGGTTGCCACAGCATCGCGTGGAGCTCGCGGCCTTAGCTGTGATAAGCTGGCAGGCGACAAAAATATGATGACAGATTCTCTGTCATCATCCTGGAATATCCGGGAGTAATGATTGCAATGAAAATGCATGATAGACGTTGTAAACAAAAGAAGAATATATCTACCAGCGAGGAAGTGGAGCAGCGCGGCTAATCCGCGGAACCGGGCGCTTATTAACCAGCCCTGGCGAGCTTAACCTCAAGTTGTCTCTCGGAACCAGAAGGACACAGTGGCAGGTCCGCCGACGAAATTCCCACGCACACAGCCTGATTAGTTGCCGGTGACTGTGACCATTATACTGCATCACTCGATGGTGACCTGATATTATATTTTGTTCATTTTTCTCCGCCCAAGTTCTGGTCAATTGGCCGGGACAAGCAGCTCCCCGCCTGCAGCAATGACAACACTCGGTCTGGGTCCGCTTTGTGCAGAATGCATAAGCATTGTCAAGGAAATTCCACCTATGCTGCTGTTTGGGCTTTTATTCTCTTGTCTATTAGGACTACTTAGTCTAGTAAGCAAATTTTCCCGTCGAATAAAGCAGCGTCGTGCTAACTAGCCGGGCTTCTGCTAGGCCTATATTCTCCTCCTGATCATAGCACCGGCTCCGCGAGCACCGTTCCCCGAAGAGAAGCAGTACAAAGCCATTTTGGAAGATGGGTCTGTTGCAAAAGAGCAACAGCTACCCTGCTGGCGAGATAAGATCAATCTTGACACGTACAAGCGGTCGGATCTCGAGGAACCAACACTTTTCATGTCCGTTGTTATACCAGCGTATAACGAAGAGAAGCGACTCCCTGGCATGTTGGAGGAGGCTGTCAATTATTTAGAGCGTACATATGGGACATCACAACTATCAAGCCAAGCAGAGAAAGTAAAAGCTAGTGCGCTACAGTCGTTAGAGAACGAAGATCAAAATGGTACCCGGCTTCGGCAAAAGGTAAACGGCAAGACGGGATCTCTTACCGATAAACATGCAAATTCACCGTTAACAGGCTGGGAGATATTGATTGTCTCTGATGGTTCAACTGATAAAACCGTGGAAACGGCGTTGGGCTTTGCTAAAGATCACCAGCTCTCGGTTCATCCAAAGGGCCATGCAGGGCCATGGACCCCGAAATCGAAAGAAGGCGTAAAAATCCCTGCTGGAAGTATACGGGTCATTGAATTGACGCAAAACAGGGGAAAGGGAGGAGCGGTGACGCATGGCATGCGTCATGTTCGAGGACAATATGCCATCTTTGCCGATGCGGATGGGGCAAGCAACTTCAACGATCTCGGTAAATTGGTGGAAGCGTGCCAGAAAATAGAAGATTCTGATCACCGTGTCGTGGCCGTGGGGTCAAGAGCACATCTTGTAGGAAGTGATGTTGTTGTTAAGGTATGTAGTAAGCAAGCAATACACCTCCACATCCTCATGGTAATAACCTGGGCTAACGTTCAAACTTGCAGCGCTCTAAGCTCCGAAACTTTCTAATGCACTCCTTCCACCTAGCACTCCGCCTTCTCACACCCCCGGCAACTGCTAGAATTAACGACACCCAGTGCGGCTTCAAACTGTTCTCTCGGGCAAGTCTACCATATATTATACCCTACATGCATTCAGAAGGCTGGATCTTCGATGTTGAAATGCTCATGTTGGCCGAGTTCGCCAACATTCCCGTCGCTGAGGTACCTATCGGATGGAAGGAGGTGTCCGGTAGCAAGCTGAGTGTTGTCTGGGATAGCTTGGGTATGGCCTATGGATTGGCTATACTTCGAGCTGCATGGGGCTTTGGCGTTTATACACGCGCTGGAGCTTAAACCTTCCCTAATTTCTAAGATATACTTTTAGACTGTACATCATTTACAATTACATGTTAAATTCTTTGGTTAATTGCGGAGGACATAGAAATGCTGTGTTCATACTGAGTATAAAGCGGAATTGCTGTACGTAATTGATAAAATCATCGAAGTTCGCTTTAGTTTATAAGTCTTAGCCATATCTTCCCTATACCATAACCATCCTATACACTTCCCAACAAATTCCTCCAAAACCCAACAACCAGATATAAGCCAGAAAACCCGGTATAAACTCAATGAAAATAGAGCAGAAGTATGGCTAGCTGCGTTGCTCTGGGTATATACAAATATATGTTCTTCCAATCATGCCTGTGGTCGGAAATGCCGTGAAATAAAGCCATAAAGCCGGCCAAAGTCAAAGCATTGGTAGAGAAGTCGTGGATTTTCTCGAAAGGATTTAATGTACGAAGCGATTACTGAAGATGATACAGCAGTGTAAACTAGGGTATTCCAAAACCCCTGTAGGGGAAGGACAAGTGATGCTAAATAGGTTAACACACGATTTGGTTCTTCTGGGTGCGCGAATGAGTAGACGCGATTAATTGATGCCGGTACCTGCGTATATTTGTTAGAATACAGAGAAAATGAGCAGTAAATGGTGTAACTTACCCAAGTGATAAGTAAGGAGCAAAAGAACAGAATAGCAAATTTTGAATACGCCCAGGTCGCGCTCTGCCGTTCCCAAGATGACTTGTGCATACGATATCCCTCCCCGGGCAAAGAACGTCTTCTGTTTGATCTTATCTGGAAGCTATCGTGCCCTGCTGCATGTTCAACGTCAATCGTGTCTTCCACCCCCTCAGCTTCCGGCCCATGTGTCGTATGTCTGGGCGTGGATGGTGGGAAATAGGCTGGCTCTATGTCGTCGCCGAGATATTCCTGTCGGAGTTCTGGTCCTGCCCAGTTATCCAAATGATGTGCCTGCTGCTCCCTCTGTTGGGGATCTTGCTGGATATGCTGCTGTAGCCCTGGATGGGTATCATGGTCCATATAGCTAGAAACATCAGTCGCAACGGGGAGAGTCGAGTCGACTGTCGAAGTCAAGGTAAGACTGATATTGCGTAGGCGTTTGATATCTCTTCGGCTGGCGAGGATAAACTTAGCGCTGTATATGTAGATGCCGAGAGTAACCGCTATTATGGACCAGATGGGGCCGTAGACGCCTGCAACGCGGAGAATCGACCACTGCGGCCTGATCCAACACCAAAGCTAAGGTTGAAAAGCATGAGCAGGGGCGTAATAGTTATTAGATTTACTCTAGAGTAGTACTCACAGTTGCTCCGCCGTATACCTTCCCTCTCTCGTTATTTTTGATAAAGAGAAAGGTAAGGGCAGGTATAGATGGAAGTACGTAACAGATGCAAATGTATTTCCATTCTATCTTCCTTAGCTCTGCGGTGCTATAACGGTGGAAGAGAGTTAAGTATACATTGCATGCCATAGAAAATGCCCAAAAAGCGTCGGCGACATGGAACCTAATACACTTAAGATACAAGTCAGAATGCTTTTCCGTATAAGACAAGAACATAGACAAAACGTACCATTGAATGAAGACCGCCTGCCACTGACATAGAGCGGTATTCTCACCAGCAATAATCCCCGAGCGAGAGGTTGCCGTCGCGCAGATACCAAGTATGTTGCCCCAGGTAGCGAAGAAAATCAGCCGGTTGACGGGTGTCCTGAAGCGGCAACTGGCCATGAAAGTGAGGACAACGAACATGCAGCCCACGAAAGAGATTGCCGAGCTCACCCTCTCAGTGATGGCCAACACCTGGAGTTCTCTATCGGTAAATGGCATCTGTCCCGCTCATGGTCATCAGGCCTGGAAGATCGTGGGTTTCGCCATCAACGTCAATCCGGTGTATATCAACCTCTTCCTTTTTTCTCTCTCGCTCTCTTTTTTTTCTCTTTGCTTGTAGGCGGACACCTTCAGACATGCAAGGCTTGCGCGGTGTGACAAGGCGCCCGGAGAGATCTCTCAGCCGTACGGGTATCTGCACCCTGATATGTACGCACACATATACATATAGAAGCCCACTGGCCATGCTGCCTGCCAGCCCGTTCCTTTTTTTTCCCTCCATTTGGTGCAAGGCTCTGTCACGTGTCGAGCTTTCTGACATCAGAAGCTGTTATTATTCATCTGAAGTAGTTGTAAAAATCGGTTGCAGGCCAGACGTGTCACCTCCAGCGCCAGCCGAGCCGAAGAAAAAAAAAGGACCCATCGTCGAATGGTTGGTATCAAATAGCGCGATCCGCTGTGGCGTCTCTTGTTGATCGCGATGCAAGACATTTACCGGGCAAAAGAGGACCTAGAGAGCAGTCACATAGGATTATTTACTATGTACACTGGACTGCTAAGCCTCAACAGGCGGGACTTTTGATAGTTGCTGGAGTACCTGGTCGAAAGTAACCGGGTATGCCCCTGTCAAGTATACGTATAATATCCGGGGAGAAGAAGCCGTTCGCCATCAATGGATCTAGCCATGTAACTATCATATGCAGGGTGAGATGGATTATTCTGCATCCCTTTTTTCTTCTTCATCTCTTTTTCGTCTTTTGATGCCGAGGTTGACGGATGTCTCGTGACTCCGGCCGGAAGAACAAAAACCCGCTTATCTTGAATGCGGTAATTCCGAACTTCAAGTTTACATCTCCTTGCTAGAAGATGTCATAGAAAGAGAAATCAAGGGATCGGTTTTTTTTTGTGCCTGAGGAGATACGTGGGGGAATCCAGAGGTGGTTCTGAGACTATATGCCGTCGATGACTTTGGGTACGAGGGATTGTGTTGTCTGTTTGGTCTGTGGACGTTGGAATAAACCGTTCACGCGCCTAATCCTTCGGCCATCTATATCTACGCCTTTTGGTGGAATATTCGACGCCGCGGCCTGAAGTCACCGGGGATCAAGCCACCGCGCTTAGCAAGGCTACAGTCAATAGTTTATAATTCTCTGGCTGGTGCTTGATCGTACCCCCTCCCAAAAAAAAATATCAACCTACCCTTTCCTACTACACCTAATGTGCGCAAGGCCCGTTAAAAGCCGTTAACCTATCCAAGCGAGAACGAGAGAGACGGAACACTGTCTCCGGACTGTCGACAAATAATACTCGAACGTCCTTTGCACTAATTATATAATTTCTGCTCAAGGTCACCCATGAACCTAGCCCCAGCGGATCGGTCTCCTATACGATATCATCACACCGTCCCCCCGCTACCAGACGACAACAGCGGTCTACAAGAGTATATCGAGCAATCACGAGAGGCTCTTCAAAGCCAACGTGCGAGTTTCGAATGTGAGCGCTTCGCATTCGGCGAGGAACGTAAACTGTGGAGCCAGGAGCGGGAGATATTGAAGTCGAGAATTGCCAGTCTGGAGAAGCATATTGTCAGCTGCACGTATGTGGGCATGTCTGCCGCTGTACCTCTAACCCAAGCTGGAGACCCGTCTTCCAGCAGTTTACGGGTGTGGGAAGGCTCAAAACCGACAGGCAAGCCAACAAGGAGGTTTCTCGATGGGGCATATGATCAATCTCCTCGCTTGGACGATCACTTCGCTTCTGGCAGATCGCCCTCCCTGGACGAGGCGCTGTCGCCCACAACCCAACCAGTTGACAGAGCACACCATGTCGCCATTCCCGTGGAGCTGGTCGACAGTAGCTTGGACGGCATCACCCTCAAATCAACTGGACTGCCTCCCATTGTTGCCGCCAAACTAACTTCACCTCTTCCATCAAACGTATCCTCTCCGCCACAGCAAAACACAGTTGCATTCGCTGCTGCAGAAATGAACGAATCGCGACCCCATTATCAGACACACGATGGGTGCGATTTGGCAGCTCCCCTTCAGACCGCTCCTCCTCTTATCGGGGACAGAGTCCAAGCGCCCCCCGAGCGCCCCCGACTAACGACACATACTACAGACGAGCCGAACGACCAGCAACCTAAATTCACTCCAGAGGCTGATTCACCTGATAGGAACTATGCAGAAGTGGACGAAGACCCTGAGCTTAGTGGCCCACTTATGCTTCGGAACGACGAAGAGCAGGATTTAGACTTCCTCGAAGCGCTCGACAAGAAGCTTCTCATGGAGGCCAAGAGAGTGGTGTCTAAACCCGCATTATCAGATTCTGATGCCCTGTCTGATATAGCCAACCCGCAGCCAGAGCCAGAGCCAGAGATCCGGTTCAAAAACAGTACAAACTTCGGCACTGCATTTGGCTCGACTCAACGCATATAAGATGAAACTACGGTCCGAGCGTTCGTGCATATTTTTTTTTACTAAGCTAATTGAATATGGAGTCTATATTCCTCGGACCCTCAACACCCCTCTCTGCTTCCGTCCGTTCCTTTCCCTTGATTGGATATGTTGATCATGTTCCAGACTGTGTGAGCATCCATATTAACCACGTATTCCCTTTTTTTTTTCTTTTTCGTTTTAATTTATCCATTCTCATTCTTCCAGCGGCTTGTGCATTGGAGTTTACCAGGACGGGACAAACAAATTATCTATCATGAAGGGCAGGGGTACCGGCGAATGTACATATCATATGGCGTGAAGGCGCATCTACTAAATAGTACTTTTTCCTGTTTGACAGGCCAATTTCCATAACTTTAGTCAGGTTCTCTGCTTAATATCATATTATCCGTATTGTAGCATATCCAGGTATGCGAGGCTCCCCACTTTATACAACGCCCGAAAGCGGTATGAACATGGAGGTAAAGTATGCTTAAACTGAAGGCCAAAGCGTGTTTGCGGTAACCAAGTCAAGCATTTATCCCGTGTTGTTGAGAGGGGCGAGCAAATAGCAGCTATTACTATTTACCCCAACCGTGCCGCCTGTAACAACTAAATAGTATCCCGGTTCGTAGCCTTTGAAGATAACCGTAAATGTAGTGTAGGAGACAACGTAGACGCCTCGAGACGCCCACCGGAGTGTTCTCACGTGATACAAGATTAGATAATGCTTGCTTCTGTGTCAGCCAATCATTTGCTTGTATTGGAGCTGGCGTTTGGCCAGCGTATCGGATAAGCGATACGCCGCTGCCGCCACCCCCTGTCTCACACCGCTTAGGCTTCTGCTCTGTATAGATAAATAGCCGTAGTATAACCTCTGGTCCCTCTGGCTATCATCATTCTACGCCTATTTATCTATACAGAGCAGAGGGCCGTCGGCCAGCAGGTGCCTATAGACAGGGGGTGGCGGCAGCGGCATATCGCTTATCCGATACGCTGGCCAAACGCCAGCTCCAACAACTTTTGATATATATCAACAAAATAGCCAGTAAGCTGACATGGACGAGATCATGGCTCTATTCATGGTATTACATTATTTAACGCCGATATCATATGCTGTTATACCAGATACCTTAGAGGAAGCTCGGACAAGTACTTGGCAATCTGAATAACCCCGATTCAATCACGGTTAACTAGGCCAGGATGAGCGAGTATATCTAGCCCTCCATACCTGATCAATTCTGTACCCACCGAGCCCATAGCTCTCCTAATGATGGTTGGATATTAAGGCCGCCGGTTACGAGCAATATATTCTTTGAAAAGAAGTCCTTAGGCCTGCTTATGTTCTAACGGAAGAGAACAAGTATGACGCAGCCTGGCTAATATGTTCAACTCTGGTTCAAGAATACCATGTTGTGGTTTTAGATAAGAAGTTCTTAAGTGCTCCTGAGTGTAGGATTACGTTAGTCCTTCTATATTTTTTCACGATAACTAGATGTCCTCGACCACCATCTCTGTGAACATATGGGCAATACGATGCAAAGATACGGGCATATGTGTGGAAGAAACCCCCACAGCCAGGAACAAGAATTATCGCAAATACCAGACTCAGAGTGCAGTTCTCTAAAAGTTCTGCGCATGATGCTTCAAACCCCTTGGCTCTGAGCGGGCATCAGTGATTCTTCGGTTACTGTGGGGAACAAGAGCCTGCGATAAACGCCAATCCAGGTTCAAGTTCCTGTTATGGGGTCCTCTAATGAACGCAATTTGATCATGCACAAAGCCCGTTTGTTTGGTGCTCAGTTAAGGCCAGAAGACCAGGGGCCACGAATCACTAAGGAACTGGAGGACTCAAGCTCTAATGAGGCAAAGGATGATGATAGTCAGTTCTCAGCAGGATGTTAATGGCTTTTAGGGTGTACTATACTACTTTGTGTAATTCGTTGCTTGCCAAATCGAATATCACAAAGCCTTTCCGTGATGAAGTACACTAGTTAACAGTTGTTCTTTACTAAGAGCGTTTGGGGATGTGGAAGAGTACACGTACACATATTGATATTCAGTTATAATATTGTGGCGGTCGAGAGAGTATCAATTAAATCTAAAGGATGTTTAATCATTTACGCCACCGTGAATACACGTCAGATGGTAGATAGGCACAGTGCGGCCAGCCCTCACATTCTAGAAACAGCAGCTCAAGCTACATAAAACCAACCGCTCGTATTCAAAAGAACCAAGTAAGGAAAGAAAGAATCTAAACTCCCATCGTGAAATCATGCTCGATGCCTGGGGTAACGCTTGCAATGAACTTTAGGAAAACAACAAGGTACTGATCAACCCGAATAGCAACCTGTTGATCATCCTCATCGTCCTCTTCATGCTGCAGCATCTCCCACTCGTCTCCTGCGCCAGCACTACTACCACTACTTCCAGCTTTCGCCTTGTCATCCGATATCTTCAGCTTGGACTCCGTATCGCTGACAAGACCTTCGAGTCCTGCTTCGACTTTCTCCTTGTCCTTGGTGCGTTTCGACTGCTTCTCACGCCGGATTTTCAGGGCAGCATCGGCTCGGTCGAGAAGGACTTTCATGACGCTTGCATGTTTGCATGGGTGGACGCTGGCCATCTTGACGCCGCCTTCAAAAAAGGGGAAGTCCTCTAGGGTGACGGTCTTGTCCTTGTAGTCGCCTACTATGTCTTCCATCATCAGATGAGGCGGTAGAGGTTCTGATACGGCCACGTAGCCTGATAGATAGAGACGAGGGGTCTTGTAGTAGGGGGTATAAGTTATGTAAAGCGAATAGGTACGTAGTGGTCTGGCCATCCTCCGTTAGTACTGATGTATATACGTATGTGTAAGATGACGGTAACTCACGCATTCTTCCCACTCTTCAGAGCCGGCTCTCGAATGATAGCCTCCTCGTCGTCCTCTTCATCATCCATATCAGGAATCTCTTCATCTTCGTCTTCCTTCTCCCCTATATTCCCAGACTCATCGACAGTCCTGACTTCTTTGGGATCAGTCTCACCCACCCTCTCGTCGCCACCGGCATTCAACCACCCGTCATCATCATCGTCTCCGGACGAACCCTTCAGCCCATCCTGTACCATAACATCTGCGCCCTTACCCGCACTACCGGCGAAGTTCTCGTCCAGCCGGCGGTTACAGGGTACCCCACGGGTAACCAGAAACTGCTTCCCCTCCGGCAGATAGGAGACACGCTTTGACGGAGACGCAGCGGCGGACCATGACCAGGTAGGGAACTTGTAGACGAGATAGTCTCCTGCAAGCACAAATTCTTCAGGTGTTACCTGTCCTGTATTCCGAAAGGTAGAGACGTGTGAGATGGGCGCAAGGCGATCGCGGATATCGTTCAGTTTGGAACGGATAACGTTCATCTTGAATAATCTGTTGTTCTTGCTGCGCAACTCGCTGTCAAGGTGTAAATGTGTATATCTTTACACCGCAGCAGCCTGGCGGTTGAGGTTAGAGTATAGATCGATATCAACCTTGGGGGCCCGTTTATTGGTGATGTGTGATGGTTGTTGGTGCCTGGAAAGCCCGCTTGACAGGGTGGGATGATGATCTCTATGACGTTTTCACGTGCTTGGCGCCTCCTTTATATCTACGTACAAGCAGCGGGAAGTTAGGAGATGGGTTGGTCTTGCGGATGGATGTCTGACGGTCATTTCTTTATTATAAATGACGCCGTTGTCGGCTAGTGGCCTTGTCTGCTCTAAGCTATGCTGTTCTTTATCAAGATAGTCTGGGTCCTGAGACAGGATGAGAGACCCTCCTTTTAAGTGAATTACGATGTAGGCTGTAGCGGATGGTCTGGATGTCTCGCGTGGATGCTAGTCGTGACTCATGTGGGTGAAGGGGTCAGAAGGGGAGAAAGGGAGAAAGGGAATATTATGACTCTCCAGTGGCAGTGGCCTGCCGACGCCGGGAGACCTCCTGTTCAACAGCACCAACGGTCAGAGGAACCGTCCTTCCCTGCCAGAAATCATGTTCAGCCTTAGCAAACCCTTCCATACTCCTCATGGCAACAACTAGAAAGCCCAGCTCCTCTCGATCGACATCAAACACCTCCCACCACTCACTGTCGACTACCTTAACCCCTTGTTCTCTTGCTGCGAGATAGATGGCAGAGACGGCTAGCGCGTTCGGCTGGTGAGTGAGATATAGTAGCTGGGGCGAGAATAACGCAGCGTTGAGATGTGCAAAGGTACGCGCCGCGACGGACGAAGAAGAGACCTTGAGTGTCTGCAGGTAGGTGAGGGCGATGGTATGGGGGAGGACAACCTGAATGTGAAAGGAGGAAGCTCGTAAGATGGCTGACTCAATCTTCATCAGGTTCTGTCGTTCGACCTGGTATGTGCCTTCGGACAGGTAGAAGGTCTCTGGGTTGGGGTGTTCGGGAGGCCCATCTGGATTGACAAAGGACAGAGGAGACGCTGTGGGAGAGAGCAGGTAGGTATACACATTCAGAACCGAGCGAGGAGAGACGGGAAACATCGATATCTTTGCCGTCATGTAGAGAGCTGCCGCAGAGATGTCCTTGAGTAATTGTTAGCACCTACCCAACAACAATAATACGTGAACTGATAGAGTTGCGCACCTTCGCTGAATAGACGGCTAGACTACCGCCTTCGGGGCCGACCCAGAACCTGGTGAAGACCACTATCGCCTGGGCGATGACATCCTGCGGAAGCTGGACCAGGACTCCGGCCGCCTGTGTGAGCTTCACGCCAGCATATCGAACAGACCTCTCGAGCTCCTCTGGCACGCCGTCCAGCGACGACGAGGAGTGCTCAAGCTGTGCCGGAGTGGCCAGGGAGTTCGACAGGTGGGCCAACTCGCTTACTGCAGCCGGCATAACTTCCTAGTGATGTCTACACACGAGAAACCATCACCATCATCATGGAGGTTGAGAAGTCGTGAAGTGCGCTCGCCTTAACAAGGTCTACTTCTCCTCATTAGGCGCTCTTGCTCTTCCGCCCTCCAGTAGACAGTCCTTGATGGTCTAGTGGTCATGATTTCCGCTTGTCAATTCTTTACTTTGAGGATAACAAGCGCGGGAGACCGGGGTTCGATTCCCCGTCAGGGAGTCCTTTTTTTTTTTTCTTCCCCCTATTTTTTTTTTTAGTATTAATGGATAGTATTATTATAATATTCTTATTAGTTGCTGACGATGCTCTCATGATTTTCGTCAAGGCCGGAGATAATAGAGAGAGACTCGTCCGATCATCCGGTGGGCGCCTGCAAGGCGGCCAGAATCAGTTTTTAGCAACGTTTGATGCCTGCGCACGGTAGGGCAGCTGGTTGGCGGCTGCTTGCATATGTGGAAGATCTGAGTATATTAGTCCTACTATGGCACCATAACTAATATTTAGTATCACTGGGACTGGCGTATCATGTGTACTAACTCCCGATATGCATGCTACTATATGCACAAGTAGGCCCTTCACTGCTTATACATAGTACAGCCTCGGATGAGCATGGATGCATACATCGTAACCAACGCCCTTCCCATGGGTTTCACCGGTTTCACCTACATAAGCTTCCAAGGGGTCGATAGGATGGATAGCTGAATACCTAGATCGTGGCAAAACACGGCATGAGAAAAATCTGAGAGGCGACTCAGCCGTTCTATTGTTAGGAAGACAAAGATACCAGGTACTTCTGCGCCATAGGTGGGCATATTGCCATATTTCAAGTGGCGACGGCGGCAAAGGCCAGATGGACAGGATGAAAAAGGGGGGAAGAGAGAAACAAAAAAAGGAAAGAGAAGAGGAAACAGCCTGGTTGTACATAGTATGTTGCTGTGAATGTGCATACTCCAATGACTATGCAGCCCCGTTGCATGAGCGAAGAGAAAGCCGTGAAGACAAGGGCTGGACTGGACGGGAGGGAAACGCCTGTAGCTAGTGGTTGGTTTCATATGCGGGTGCCCGTTCGGAAATTGTGTGCAGGCAGGAATATAATATGCAGTCCACTTTACAAGCAGAGAACCCGAACATGACTTCTCATATACTATGTACAAATTTAGATCCTATTTACAAGCAGGTTGCCGAGAGGGAATAGTAACGAGAACAAGTCCTGGAAGAAATATAGACGTTGATGAGTTAGACTAGCTGAGAGACGTAGTGTTAAATAATAAGCCAGGAAGAGATAAATTATCGGTGTAGAGGTACCGTCCAAAAACCACCCTAAAAAGAAGACGAGAAACAGATATAGAAAATAAGAGGATAGAGTAGGCTGAGGAAAATCAAGTGGTCAAATACGTTAGCTGTTAGCATGGGTAAGTGAACGTTAGTGTTTTTTGTATATTTTTGACGATTTCTCTTTTTTTTTTTTCGGTTTGTTTGTCTTTTGTGTTTTGATCCCCTCAGAGTGAAGGTATCAAGAAGTCGACTAGGTAGACGACTCCGTCCCGGTAAGCACCTCTGCAGCTTTCTTGAAGAAGGCAGCACGCTCCGAGCACCGTTCAAGCTGGGGTACAAGGTCCTTGATCTTGAACCTTCGCAGGGAAGGGTCATACGTAAACCATCGATCCATCTATACATCGTATACGTGTTACCGGGGTGCATCAAAAGGGGGAACGAGAGAAGAAGCGGGAAGAGGGGGAGAAAATAACTTACAGAGGCGAGACGGTATCCAAGCCACAGACACCTCTCAGTTCTGACGAGGGCGGTACTAGGGAGCTCAAGCATCCGCTCCTCATCTTCTGCCAGTTCCTGGTTCACAAAGTGCCCATCAGGGAAATACAGTCTTGCCCAGTCCAGTCCCCTGAGGGCAAAATCTTCAGGTAAATGATACCGCACACGCACGTCTTGGCACTCCGGCAAGGGGAACTCGTCACTAGCAATTTTCGACTCGCTTACACGCTGGCGGTTAAGCGTGTTGAGGAAGGTAACTATGTCACGGAAGGGGATAAGGGGTTCAAACGTATGCATTGCCTCTGGGGTGAGAGAGAGAGTAAGAAGGAAGGCCAGAGAGACATGCACGGCAGGCAGAACGTTTTTATCACCTATTTGGCGGAGGATAAGGGCGAACGTATGCATTGACAGGTAAACCTTGTAGTAGAAGGGACAGAGGGAGGAGCTGAATCTGGTAGTGGAGGAATCCGGTATGGTATCGAGTAGTGACAGGAAAGTGGGAGTTTGATCGCAGCGGCCCCAGTAGGTTCTTGCAGAGGTGACTCTGGATTCAGCTGGTGTTGCGATAGCAGCTGTATATGTGGCAGTCAGCGTGTTTGTTGCGGGGGCAAGAGTATCGTCGTTTATAAAGAGCGTTGCAAAGTTGGAACATGACATATAGACGCCCTGCTCACGGAACTTCTCCCCCGTGCGGCCGATGTGCTGCGGCAGGGAGTAGAAGAACTGGAGAGAGTACCGGAGGAACGAGAGGACAGACTCCTTCTTGAACATGATGCCGTGAGCTTTGACAAAGGAGGTCAGGGCCGGTGGATGACGGGGCTGCTTGGGGTTTGTCTGTTTTTGTTTTTGCTCATCTTCCAAAAGAGGATTGAAGAGAAGCAAGATGCTCTCCTTTGAGCTGGGAAAGGGCTCGACACAGACCAGAGACTTGGTGTAATAGAACAGCTGAGAGAGGATATGCGGTCTAGCCAGGACGGCAGAGTGGTGCTGTATTCTCCCTACATTAGGGCCCTTATCCGCAGCGGTTCGGTACCAGTGTCTGGCCACTTCGGCCCAGTTCTCTCGGTCGTACATGTCAACCTCTTCGACCGCCATGCGGTACCGAGCCAGGTCACCGAGACACTCAATCCAGATATTGACAAAAGCAGGCACGCTCTCGAGCAAAAGGGTCATCATCGAGTAAGCAGTGTAAATGAACGATATCATATGTTCCAGGGAGCCCGGCAGTCGATGCCTGAGCAGTTCCAGGAACGAGTGCACCCCATGCCTCCACATCCGGGCGGGCATGCCGTACTCCGTAGCCAGCTTCCGCAGCCTGTCGGTGGCAGAGGGATGCTGAGACGCGAGGAAGAAGTCGTGGTGTTCATGGAGGAGGGTCCTGTGAATAGCAATCAGGGCCTTCCACTGGTCGTTGCTCAGCTCTGATCGGCTGTTGAGCTGCTGCATGTCGACCTCCACGCACTTCTTCTCCACGACGACGAGCCCAGAGTAGATGCCCTGCACCTCGACTATGAGCTGGTCTTCGGCAATCTGCCTGGTTTCCGGCTGCAAGAAGAGATCCGGCGAGCACGGAATGCTGTGCGGGAGGAAGTCAACGGATTGACCATCGTCTATAGCTTCGCCCAGGAGCCCGTCAGCGACGGCGGGTCTGGTGTGGAAAACGACACCTCCCCGCTCGACGGTACGCGAGTGAGAGTGCGAGCACCGCTTCGACCGCAGCCCGGCCTGGAAGTCCAGCTCGTCATCGTCATCTCGCTGGGAGGCCGGACGTTTCCTCGGTGTGGCGTTCTTCTGCTGTTCAAGCGGACTGGACCGGCCTGACCTGGACTGCTCCCGGCTGACCGTCTTGGGCGTGAGTTCCTGGAGATTCAGATTCCGCAACCCCGACGTGTCTGGGGAGCGAGTCCGGCCCGTCTCGGAGTCCTGTCTGCTGGTCCGCGAGACAGACACGGAGACAGACGCTGACGGTGTTGGCGATGGAGACGGGGAGGAGGACGGAGACCTAGGGGGGAAAAGTGGCCCTGGAGTTAACCCAAGCAGAACCATCAACTACAAGAGGACAGCAGCAACGCTTACTGTTCAATTTGGTCGAAGCTGGACCACGACGTCCCATGTCGACGATGGCCGTCGCCCCCAGGACAGGCGGCTGTGTCGTTAACGTGGTTTACACGCAGCATGATGCGAGAGGATCGGAGCATGCCATACAGAGAACACACACACACACACACACACACACACAGGGGGGCGGTAGACTTCTTCAGCCACGGGCTAACCAGAGCTCAGCATTGAGAAGGGTGGGAAGAAGACGTCTTGCATCGTCGGTTCATGGTTGATATTTATTGATCGAATGTTGAATTGCTCTGCATCAACTTTGGGAGGGTTTCATGGAGCTCATGCTTGACGCCTGCGAACCAGTTGCGGAAAAAGAAAACACAGCGCCATCTACAGGCTATCCGCACAAGCAGGGGGGGGGGGTTGGTTCTTTTTCGTACTGTGTGTCTTCTCTCGAGTGTCTCTTTTCTCCGTTCATGCATACCGATACTTGGTGGCAGACGACGTGGTGATGATGATTATGGTGATGCTTATGGTGATGATGCTACAGTCCTAGGCATAAGCACATCTCTACGAGAGCCTTTCTCATACCGACTCTTAACTCTCCGTTCTGTGAAGCTGTCACACCAATAGCGGATGCAGCCTCTCAACCCTAGCCTTGCAAAGGGGGCTGTGCAAGAGTAGGGCTGATGTATCCAGTAGCTTTTCTCAACTGTCGCTGTGTCATGCAATGCTGGCAGCCGGCCGTGACCAGGCCTCCTCTCAATATCAGACACATAGTGCGGTTAGCCGACCATAAGATCCGCGCATTTCTGGTTAGTTATTTATAGAGAACTGGCTCGCAGGCATACTACGCACATCTTCTATCCGCAGACCGGAGGATTGCTTGGTCAGAACAACCCATGCGGTTACTCAGCCGTCTTGGGTGCCTTTGAAGTGCCGTCTCTGCTACAGCTGTTCCACTAATCAGGAATATACTCTTGGACATGCTCCTTTGAGGCATATTTGCTGACCAGAAACAAGGAGCATGACGGGTATCTACATGACGCCCTTATGATACAGGCAGATGATATTCTATTTCGACCTGCCAACTGACTTGGCCGCAACTTCATCCTTCTTCTCCCGACGCTGTACCACGTGGGAAACAAACGGGAATGGTCGATGCGGCAGCTTCGTTTGCTCGGGCGAAGGGCGGATTCCGGATGACAAGGTTATACAAGGCAGAAGACGAGAATGTCGTGCATGCAGTAACTTGATTTGGTTGCTCTAGATGATCACGTACATGAGAGAAGACGGCGCCCATTCATGTTGACGCCCGTTGAGATGGAGATAAGAGACGGGGGGGGGAAAAAAAAAAGGAAGAACAAAGAGAGGAGGCGGAAGAGATACGCCGCCAACCATTGCAAAACAAACCAGCTCGAGTCGGCAGGATGCCGGATGGGGAATATGTAGGTCTTCAAAAGGGGTTGTTCTAGAGTGAAGTCGGATACGGAAAGGTACATGACCGCAGAGAAGAAACAGGAGTACGAAGCTGGGTCCAGTAGATAGATATGAACCAATTAACCGACTCCATATGGTGATGAGCTGTTTAGCGGTCTGAAAGTGTAAAAAAGAGGAGGGGGAAGAAAGGTAGATTCATCGGAAATTATCAGCCTGGTTGTGTCTAGACTGGGTAGTTGAATAGGTGAGTTGGTATTAAGAGATGGGTGCCATGAGGCCCATTAAGTCAATGTTCTATGAGATAAATATCCGAACCTAGGCTGAAAGTTAGTAAGATGCACTCAATAGTATCGAGAAGAGATGGAGAGAAGGGTGAGATGGTAATATATTACCTTCTGTCTGACAGGTTTACGACATATCGGGCACGACGCCGGCAGCCTCCGCATCGTCCCTGGCCTAGGACCATGAAGATGCTGTTCCGCACACCACCGACACAAGACGGCATGTCCACATGGTATCAAGACCGTGTCTACAAGCTGGCTCATGCACACCTTGCACTCCATATTGATTACCAGGCTCTCTGAATCTTTAGGCTCCGGTCTGGCGTCCAGTTTGGTATCCAGTCCAGTCTCCTTTGGACGCAGCAGATCTTCGGCTATCATTCGTCTTCTGGCCTCGCGCTCTTGTCGTGTCAAGTACACTCGGTTCGGATAGTCTGTTGTCTCCATGGTACGGTTAATGGTATCCATATATGTGTCCGCTGTTAGGTTGGTGAGATATCCCTCCCCATAACTGGGCCGGGCTGGAGGCGGAGCGGGTGGGGAAGTGGTACGGTTGGTAGTAGCAGAAGAAGCCGTAGAAGTAGGGGGCTGGAGTTGGCGAGAGCTGGTCTCTGGTTGCCGGGTGGAAGAAGATGCAGGAGATACGCGGAGTGGTCTCATACGGACCCGACGGCGGGTAACTCCATCACTGCCTACCCGGTATTCACGAGCAGGGAGGTCTAGGTTCTCCAAGGACATGACGTGCGCGCTGCGGCGGCGCTGGAGCAACGACGGAGGAGTGGCAACGGAGGGAACAGATGGATGGCTCCCTTGAGTGCTCGTCTGGACTGATGATAGAGGATCAGTCGCTGAGCTGGTTGTAGGCAGAGATGTATGGTTCAGGTCATTCTCGGCATTGCCATTGTGGATCCATGGTATGTTCTGTAGCTGGGCTTGATGGATCGGTGGGCTCAGTTCCATTGGATACTCAGAAGGCCCTACAGTTATATGGCCCTGGTGCATGTAGGCGTTGTATCCAGGTCTTGCTGGTGCCTGGCTGCCAGCATGGGGAAATCCAAACTGATTATCCTCACTAGGGTGAGCATGGTCCTGCTGAGGTGATGTGAATCCAGACATAGGGTATGAATCAAGGAAAGGTGAGGATGCACCGGTAGATCCATCCTGGTCTCCTCCTTGCTGGTGCTGCTGGTTTGAACTATTGTTGTTACTATTGCTAGCATTGTGGCTGTTAAGACCAGAATTCTCCTGTCGTGAGGAGAGAGGCAGAAGGTAACCCCCTTTTTCATCGGTTAGCACAAAACATGTAACATCTGAAGAAAGAATATATGCCCATACTCGTTACTTGAGGGTTTGCACGGTTTCTAGTGTCAGGGACAGGCAAGCCATTATGGAAATGAATCGAGTACGGATCGTTGAGAGGTGAAAGTATGCCTGGTTGATTCAGGGCCTGGTTCAAACTCGAAGTCATGTCCATCATCGAACGAACCGGCTGTCCTGTGGCCATATATCGAAGCCGCTGAAGATGGTCAGCTTCCTCCAAGGCAGGGCCTGTCTGGCGAGTGACTATGGGAATAGGCCAGTTTAGCAGTGGATCAAGAAGGCGTCTATCAGGCGGCATCACTACTGCTCTCTCTGGCGGGGAAGAACGCAGTAAACCAGAAGATAGCTAGAAGGGAAGACGGGGAAGTCCGGAACAAGTCAAAGGAATGCACGACTTTGTAGGAGGAAGTTCTTAGGAAATAGGAAGAGAGTGAAAAAAGAGAAGAGCAAAGAAGGGAGATGTTGGTGAGAAAAAAGGGGTAAAGGTGAGAATGTGATGATAAAACTAGGAAGAGACTTAGGGCAGCATAGGACATGATATCAACACTTAAAAACTGGCTGAAGAGTTTTATAGAAAGCCAGTGAATCAAGGTAGGACATTAAATGATACCATGGACAACACTCCATTTTAGCGCCATTTACAGGGGAATAAAGTGAGGTGAAGATATATCTACCGTCACTTGCTTTCTTCTATAAAGTAACAAGAGAAGAGAAATGTAGAGAAGGATATAGAAAAATGTAGATAGAAACCAAATCAGGGGCAGAACTGACCACTAGAGTCTGGTGGATGGTTTATATCACTATTTGGTTCCAGAGCCTTACACCAGTAGCATCCAGAGGGAGTGGAAGCAGTCGTCTGGGATGGTATACTGGGATAATGTTGGTTGCAAGGAGTGAAGCTCATATGGGATCCCGGAGAGGTCTCATGAACACAAAAGGTAGAACGGCCAAACTGTCTGTTTAGACAGGACATGACTGGTAACCGGGACCTGAGATAGTGCACATCTGTAGGAACCTCCAGTCCCCTTAGGAAGACTTCTTGGCTTCTTTTTTTTCCACCTTTATATCAGGCTCGAGATGGCGGAATCTAGATATTCAAAATACTGTGCTCCTTAGTTAACTGGTCAGCCCAAAATAACGAACGACATATAGCATATATAGTTATGGAGCTTCCTCCAAGGTCCCTTGCAGACGGGAAGAGCGTATATCCCGAGTCCACGGATCACAGTTTTGACAGGCCGGCAAGAGGAAGAGAAACAGAAAGGGGAGGGGAAGACAAGGCCACCAACCGATCCTGACGAGATAATACTGTTCTGTGGCAACGGTCTCATTTATCATCACTTATTTGGCCTCAGGGAGGGGAGAGGAAGGATTAGGAGATGAGAATATGAAAAGAAATGGGTATAACTATTCCTTCTGGAATAGCAGTCTATGAAGAGAAAAAGATACAAATATCGGCAGACGGACAGAGTATGGCATTAGATCCCTTGAATGGTGGTTTTATTCCCAGCCCGGGGCTGATGCTTCACGGCGACGGCAACATATACCAACAACCAAACCGCAACCAGACCAGAGGAAAGGAAGAGAGAAAAGGGGGGAAAGGAAAAGGAAAACCGGAGAAAAGAGGAAGAAGAGAGAAGGGAAGAAATCGAGAATCGAGGGACGAAGAGGCTTTTTAAACGATGTTCAGGCGAAAAATAAAAAATGGAAGATCCTCACATGACGGCAGAGGGTGCTCGAGAAGAATAAGAAGAAACCACCGTCTGACATCAAGGAAGAAAAACTTGCCCGACCCAAGGAGAACGGCGGAAGAGGAAGACCAAGAGGCGGGCTAACTCACAAGAGAGAAAGCTGACCAAGATACCGTCTGGCTAACGCAGGCAAAGGGCGGGGAGAGTAACAAGCTACCAACCAGAGAAATACGGCCGCTTAACATCCATGACTTAATAACGGACTAAAATGTCTGTTGGTCGCTTTTTACTCTCTGCTTTGGCAACTGGAGATGAACCCCGAATCCCAGTTGACGCCAGGTTTGACGAGAAGAGTGGATGTTGCATCGGCCTTGCAGGAGGATCCGATTTGACCAAGGGAATGTGAGTGTGGCTGGGATCAACCACAACCACATCTACAGTAACTACTCCGTACCTGTCTACTACCGTGATCCCCCTAATAAGAGGGAAGAAGTCGAGAACGCAGGGGGAGGGACACATCACAATCATACAAAACCAGGCTTGATCGATCAAGAGGGAAACCGAACTCCTTGCCGGCGGCCATCCGTCCCTCTCCGTTGCCACGATGATATCATGCATATATCAAACAAGACCATTACCTTCATACTGAGTAACAGCCACTCGCTAGTTAACGGCAGAAGAAGAGACGGGGGGGAAAAAAAGAAAAAGACAAACCTGCAATAAAAACACCGAAAAGAAGGTGTCTACCGGTTCGTCAACCTCGGTGGACATTCTAGTTATGGAATGAAAAATCTAGGCCTACTCAAAGATCAACCAACTTCTTCCCATTATAACTACCGCCTAACCCTCGTTTGGGGGCCGGACTTTAACCACCGTTGAAGAACACTCACGATTGAGTTGGTAGAGTTTGTATTTTGGTTGTTTAATAATCTGCTGCTTACCAGATGCAACCTGGCCGGCTTTTCCTGCAGTCTTTCATCTTCCGTGCTATGAGGAACATGTCAACCTTTACGCTTCCCGCCTCTGAGCCACCGGTGCCTGTCCAGTTGACATCAGACATATCTCAATCCCAGCTGCTTTCCTTCCCAGCGTTTAAAATATGGCTGTCGACCCTACGTCATTCTCTGTCTAGACAACAGGACCCTTCTCATGAGTTCCATGCAAAGCCGTACGTGCTGCGAAGCATCAGCGTACAGGCTGTCGACCACTTTGGGGCAAACAGGCTTGGTTTTGTCAAATTCAAAGCGGATGTCTCTACTGATGACGGAGACAGGTTGCCGGGTAGCGTCTTCTTGAGAGGCGGCAGCGTTGGCATGCTCGTAGGTCTTCTCAGATATGTACAAACCACCAATTATACTGAAGACAACCCGATTGACAGCTACCATAAACCAGCTCATTCTCCAACCCGACGATGCATCGAACGGTGATAAACATGTCGTCCTTACTGTCCAGCCTCGCATTCCAGCGGGCTCACTTTCTTTTACTGAACTACCGGCCGGCATGATCGATGAAAACGGCTCCTTTGCCGGAGCCGCTGCCAAAGAGATACATGAAGAAACAGGCCTTGATATCAAGCAAGATGAGCTAATTGACATGAGCTCACTTGCTCTACTTGGCTCTCCTAGCGACAACAGTTACGATGAACTTGACAAGAAGGAAACTTTACAGAATGCAGTGTACCCTTCGCCTGGAGGATGTGATGAATTCATTCCTCTTTTCTTGTGCGAAAAACGCTTGCCCAGGGCGAATATGCAGCAGATGCAGGGACAGCTCACAGGGCTGAGGGAAGAAGGTGAAAAGATCACCCTTAAGCTGGTGCCTCTAGACAAACTGTGGAAGGAGGCAGCTCGGGATGCGAAGGCATTGTCGGCATGGGCTTTATACCATGGTCTAAAGAAGGATGGGCTTCTATGAACTTCACCAGCGATGTTGAAGTGTTAAGCATAACCTATCACTATCTATGCAAAATTAAAATACCCACACACTATAAAAGCCATTTAAGAGGTTTACCTGGAGGATTCCAATCTAAACTGCTGGGGATTGGCTTAAGAGGACGGGCATTACCTCCTACAAGTGTTGTACATCTGCAAACAAACCTGAGTTGGCACAGACATCTGAGACTGCAGAAGCCAATTGATAGCTGTGGCTGGTATTCTATATATCTAAAAGAAATATACACCACATTTTCAGATGACATGTTCGTGAATCTAGCCCGGTAACAAAAGCAGCCATAACGTCCCCGGGAGAACCCGTTGGCTTCCGATGTGCTTCTCTTCATCCGCCTAGGCCCCATTTCCGTGCTATTTCTATTCCCTCCGCCAGAGTACCGACACGCGCATCTATAGCGTATCCTTCTTCCTCCATTCGCTTAGTCTCCTCAAAGAGCTTTGCAAGCGGAACGCTGAAACACTCAATAAACTCATCGTCCTCGAGTTTCGGTTTTGGATTCTGGTTTTCAGGCAACGACATGTCAACATGTACGTGGACCATATTCAAATTCGTGTTGCAAAATCCTGGATCTGTTTGATTTATGTTTTCTTCTCTTAGTACTTATTTCTTTTTACATCACATCAAAATCCCACAACATGGCCTTCTTGAAACCGTACTCCCATGCTCTCGCAGCTTATGCATAATCAAACGGTTGGATTCGCAATTGCATATGATTTCTCCCCGCCAATTCCGGACGGAGTGTTTTACACCCGCTTTGCTTCCCTAATCCAGGAAACACACTACCGCCGAACAGGCCGGAACAAAATATATAAAAAAAATAAAAAAAAACCTTCCACATACCGTTATATAAAATAGGACCTTTCTGTTCGACAACTCCGACATATCCGGTTTCTTCTCTCAGTTCGCGCACAGCACACTCCTCCGCTAGTTCGCCTGCGTCAAGTAGACCGGCGGGGATCTCAATGGTGACCAAATTGATAGGTGGCCGATACTGCCTTTGGAGCAGAATCTCTGGACCCGAAGGCTTGGAGAGGATCGCAACGATTCCTACGCCATCTATCAGGGAGTTCGAGCGAGTCTGACAGCTATCAGCGTCTATTATTACGTATTGGTATTGAAAAGCTGGCATGGATCAATGAACTTCCCAGCAGTCGGGTCGGAACGAAAGGAACGAATAGGCAATGGACGGGAAATGAATTTCGTTGTATACATGTATAGCCATGGCTGCACTATGCATGCATGCATGCATGCATGTATTGTGCTGTAATGTGCTGGATGATAGAAGTGGATTGATATGTGCTGACCTGTCTCTCTGCTGCTTCCCATGTTCTGGCGACTCCATTGGGGTCCGTGTATGTCCGCTTCACAAGCCTGATCCAGCGTGCTTCGGACGAGTCCTATATGGCAACGTATTAGCAAGTTAGGGTACCATCAAGGAGGTGGTGTATAGCATAATAAAGAGTATAAATTGTGACGTTCTAAGCAGGGTGTATAGCAGTTAGGAAGTCGACCCAACTTGGTGGCTGTCTACATACCAAAGGTTCGACCGAGAGCAGAGCCGGCTTTTGAGGAATCGATGGCTGGTCTGACATGGCTATATACACTCAATTACGAGAAACAGTGTCGGAGAAGAACCAAACCTGTAAACTGTTGACTTGTTACTATGTTGGGGGTTTAGCTGTCGTTTATGAGGGTGGGATATAGTTATCATGTGACTGAAGGTGGGCAAGATGAACGCGAGTTTGAGAAAGCTGCCTTGATTTTATCTGGGGTCTATTCTGGCCATGGGGATTTGTGATCGCCTGGCATTACATATGCGTGTTCCCCATCTTCGGGTAATATTGGAAACAGGGAAAAAAAGAAAACATCCGGTAAAAAGGCAAGAAGTGGGATATGAGAGGGTCGTTGCTCGTCAACCATATCTAGCTACCTGGAGGAGAAAAGGTGAAAAAGGAAAAAACGACCGTAAGTCTTAGAGAGAGGAAGGGGTGTCCATCTTCTCGATCTTCTCGATGCACTCATCCCACTCGGACCAATTCCTCATGACGACTTTGGCTCCAAGGGCGAGCAGAGCTTTGGCCATCTCCTCCTGTTTCTCGGTGGTGGGGTAGCTGCCAACATACGCGATGACAGGGATGCCGGCGTTAATAGCACTCTGGGCACCACTCCTGCTGTCCTCGACGGCAACACACTCTGATGGCCCCTTTCCGATGACCTTGAGAGAGTGAAGGTAGATGGCTGGGTCGGGCTTGGTGGTAGGCTTGGGAAGAGAAGTGGCAGCAGAGAAGATGTGGTCTTCAGGGAAGAACTTGGCCTGATCGACCTTCTTAATTGAAGCCTTGACGCGTCGAAGGGCGGAGGACGAGACGACAGCCATGCCGTACTTCTTCTCGGAAAACATCTTGACGAGGACTTCAGTGACACCAACGCATGGCTGAGCCTTGGCCTCGAGTTTGGCAATGACACGGTCCTCTTCCTCCTTGACGTAGGACTCGAGTTCTTCAGGGGTAAGGGTGATGCCAAACTTGGACTGGATCGAGACCATCATGCCGCGGAAGTTCTGGCCAACAAACTCGCCGATGAGCTGTTCGCCAGTGTAACGCTTTTCAATGTTATTCTTCTCAAGGATCTCGTTGGCAATGTCGGCACAGGCCTCGAAGGCAAGCTCTTCAGACAGGACAAGGGTGTTGTCACAGTCGAAGAGAATGTGGGTGATCTGTATACTAATTAGCTATGAATTGTCCTGTAAAGCATCACATAGAGCAGCGTGGTATATCCTACCTTAGGCATGATGACGGCTAACCTCGAAGGTTGAAGAGTGTGTAAGTAGAATTAGTAGAGAGCTGGTCGATGAGAAGAAGAGAGGAAGAGGAAGAGGAAGAGGAAGAGGAAAGGAAGAAGTAGGAAGCGGAAGAAGAAGAATAAGAGAGCCTGGGTTTGTCCTGCTCGGTGGGGCCCCGCGGCGGGCAGGTGGGATGAGTGAGAGGGCAAGGAAAGGCAGGGCCTTGTCACAGCAACACGCAGAAAAGACCGGCCACTCGTCTCTTCTACCACAAGGCACAAGCGATAACCTGCCTCGGGCACCAACAAGGAAGCCTAAGAGTGTGTCCCATGGACATGCAGAGATGCCCCTGGTTGGTTGATTTTGGCCTGGTTATGATGGTCTTTTGACCAGGTCGTTTCTCTGGCACTGCATGTTTGTACAGTGGTACACCATGTAGGTTGCACCTACGGCGAGACGGGCACCACTGTATCATTAGTATCAGTTACTATACGTATATTTGTTATTAGCAGAGCGTATGGTCCAGGTCTGTAAATGTTGATATATCTTCTTGACCATGATAAAACTGGAATAGCAGTTCAAGTCTTTAGGATAGGGCCTAAAAGAGTCGTACCACTAGGCACAATCTCACTGTACGGAATAGACATATCTAGATATGATATCCTCGTCCTTGTTCCTGATTCTGCAGAGTGGCCTAGCTGGTCCTGTTTGCAACATGTCCACCTTGCCCCTTGAAAGTGCAGACAGATAATATATCGATGTAGCGTCTGGAGATGCGGCATCCCTGGAGAGATACCTTAGATACTTTGTCTGACACAAAGATAGGTGCTGTAACTGTAGTGTACATAACGAAAACAGTGCCCAAATCAAATCAACTGTAACATCGTCAGTCGCCTTCGGGTTCTCTCGCTATTTATCTGTCAACGTTCGCAAATCTGTTCATCTGGTGGTTCCTTGAAATCTGCAGCTAAAAAAGAAACTCGGTGGAGCCGGCCTTTTTTATATCACGTGACTTGATAACCGTAAATTTTAGACGAAACAAGCTGCAACATACAATCTACAGCCACAGCCATCAGGTTGAACAGTTTTGTTTAGAGGTACGGGTATTTTGTCCCGTTAGGATAGAGAGTTATTTATTATTATTTATTTATCCATATATTTACTATTGGTTTATATATACATATATTACATGGAGAAGCCAATATCTCTATCAGATATCCAATTCCCATCCGCATCCCAGAGCATATCCCACCTCCTTTCAGATCTCCGGAGATCAGCTCTATCAATTACAAATAGGCTAAAGTCTATAGAGACTGACGCCATCTTCGTCCAAGAAACGTCGGATCACTACGGTCTGCCGCTTGTTGCCAACGAGAGATGTGGAAGCTGGTATATCCCACCGGACAGGAAGGTCGGCAGCTCCTATTTTAAAAGCACGGATGGCCACATGGGACAGTGGGATTTTAGTCTCAGACGGCTGAATATGCAGGTTTTGGATGTCTTGAAGTGTCATGGCGGGTGGGTTCGGGGTGCCCTGATGAAGTTACTGACTGAGCTAATAGACAGGGCCTCTTTAGATGTGTGATTGTTGATTCGACTAGAAGGGGTAAAAGTACGGTATTTTCTCTCGATTTTATATAGGATGGGATGTACCTGTACTAATGACATATATTCTTAACTGTCCAGCCATGCCAGATGCGCTGTCAAAAACGATCCCCATCTGGTGCGCCGTTCTTAACAGGACCCTGTTTCCTGACAAGCCTGCTTACCATGCAGTTCAATTTCCGTCTTCATATCTTGGAGAATCAGAAGAATCTCAGATTGAAAACAAAATAAACGATTTTGTAGAGTCGTTTAAAGTGAGTCAGAGTCAAGATCTTTCAACCGCTATACCCACACAGCTAACTCCCCTCTAGACATTAAATTTGGATGTTGAAAGTGTAAAATATAGATTGGGAAAACCCATTCGTCTCGTCTGGGCAGCCAGGGATTATTTTGCAGATGATGAAGAACATGCCGAGTCGCATTTACTAGTTCTCTGCTCGGCATCTAGATGCGTTCGTGGAGCCGAAATGTCAGAAGGCGGATACATCCAGGGTGCTGGTGATGATAGCGAAGGGTGGGCCCATGGTCTTACACCTCCTATATTTTGGAAGTATAAAGCTGAACTGATGGCGGCGGGGGAGTCAGCCCTTCCTGACCTTATTAAGCAACTGATTGAAAAAGAGCGCAATTCACCTTCTGCTAATAGAAGATACTTGGTAAAACCGACGAATAATATATATATTGGGAAAAGAGGTGGGACTGGTGATGAGCTCTCGCCCTTCGATCTGGTTATCGATTGTGCAGGCAGCGTTGGTTCCACTGAATCGCCCAAATTGCTGAATCTCAACTGTCCACCTGGAAAATTAGGAAGTCGACAGCTTAGAAAGGTCCTTGGAAAGGTTGAGAGCTTCGTATCTCGCCATCTAGCCGCTAATTCATCGATACCCATCCTTATCATGTGTGCAGATGGTAAAGATATATCTGTCGGAACAGCCTTGATGGTACTTTGTTCTTTTTTTGATGACGAAGGTACTGCCTACCCATGACTGTACATAATCTATACGGCTTGAGATCTAACCGTCTATTAGGGAAATATAGCGGACCTTGCGACAAGTCCCGAATAAACAAGCAGTTTATTCGCCAGCGCCTAGCGTGGATCGTCATGTCAAAGGAAGATATCAACCCTTCAAGACCGACACTTCAATCAGTTAACTCGTATCTCATGGACAACAGATAGGAGGCCGCTTTATTCTTATCATCTATATCTTGAAAGAAAATCTGGTTGAAATTTCAATCTATCAATGTCTTTCTGCGGTATATATAACTCTTTCTCAAGCATCCTTACTCGTTTTGTACGAACCGCACAAGGGCACCGCCCGCTTCTTCATCCAACCCATCAAGGACAGCCATATCATCGTCAGTAATCTCAAAGTCGAAAACGTCGGCATTAGCCTTGATACGGTCCGGGTTATCACTTTTGGGCAATGGCACCCAGTCCTTCTGAAGGGAGTACCGTACCAATATCTGGCATGTGGTTTTGTTATATTTTTCCGCCAAGTTGGCCAGTACGGTATTGGTAGCTTTCTTATTCCTAACCAGCGGGCAGAAGGCTTCAACCACTATGCCGTTCTCCTTGCAGTATGCCACAGCCGTCTTTTGCTGACACCAGGGATGGAGCTAGTGATCATCTTAGCTATCAATTGCAGCCTCTGGGTTATGACATAAAGCTCACCTCTATTTGGTTGACGTGCGGCGGCCATATCTTTGCGTACGGTTTCATTTCCTCAATGTGCTTGACGCCGTAGTTGCTCACGCCGATGGCTCTCGTCTTTCCCTCAGCCAGCAACCTCTCCAACGCAAGCCACATAGTCTTCCGCCCTTCGGCACCAGCGCCAGTGCTGTGTATCAAGAACAAGTCGACATAGCCCCCTTCACCGTCAATCTTCTTAACACTCTCCAATACCTTCTGGTAGGTCTCGTCCGCAGTCGCTCCTGGGGATAGGATTTTGGTGGTCAGAAATAGATCCTTTCGATCAACACCGCAGCTCCGTACGGCCTGACCGACCTCTGCTTCGTTGCCATACAGCTGCGCAGTATCTATATGACGGTATCCGGCTTGAATGGCGCTTATACAGGACGCTTCGCACCGGTTTGCAGGGGATTTATAGACACCAAAACCGAGTCGTGGTATCCGCACCGTCGACTTGCAGAGAGTGAGGGTGTCTGCGATCGATAGTTTAGGAGACATTCTTGTCAGCGCTTTCACAGTTCAGTTCTTAAGCCAGCAACCTGTGTGTTTTCTTTTTTTGAGAGAAGCCGCACGCTCTCGACCTTTGCATCTTTGCTTCACTCAACTACGTGGGGTCGGGAAACTCGATGACGTCGTTAAGAAGCCAAAACGACTTTGTAGCGACGACATATAAAAATGAATATCAAGCATCAAAGGGCAATTCTCAAGATAGAGAAGCCAAGGAAGAACCTGTTACAAGATAAACAATGGATATCTATCCACAAAGACGTTTGACCGTTCACGGAAGAGTTCGCATGCGAATGCGATGGAGGAGCGTCTTTCTCTCCCACCAACCAGTCCAGCTCGCAGTCATTTTCCACACAAAATTTACAAGCAGTGATGCGTTGCTACGTCGCTGGTCAGACAGGATTCTCGAGCGTCTCCCTATCTTCAGGACGCTCTGAACGTCACTCCTGATCAGCCTTGGGGCTCCGCCTGAGTCAAACATCCCCAGCTCTTTACTCCTTCAGGACTCCGCAGCTTGCAAGACATACCAGGGAACTTGCCCGCTGGTGTGGAGCGATGCATCGCACCAAATCTGCTTGCTGCAGGATCTAAAAACTTCAGGAAAAATTTGTCCGTGGCCGTCGGGCAGACTTATTCCGAGTAGCTTGGTGTTGATCCTTGTGTGGTGGAACCTTTTTTACCTCTTCGAAGGATTCGGATGCACAGCCTAGTTACTGTGTACGCAGAGATTCAAGGGATACGTCGCGCATTTGACAAGGCCCAGCACCATGCTCTTCGTGTCACTTAACATGGAGCGGATAATAGCACCCGAAAGCAAAAGGGTTTCTTGTCAGGTTACACCTTTGACACTTCTTTGATGCAGCGTTTTATGCATCTGAACAGGATATATAAAGGTGGAGGATGCGGAAGACTTTCTCTCTTCATCATTGACATTATCTCACCAACATCATGCTTACCCTTCCCCTTTCGTTAAGTATATTCTCTCTCGCCGCAGGCTTTGGTTCTGCGGCGTCACTCCAGAGCCGTACAGACTCACGCTGTGCTTCTATACCACCTCCTCATGTTCCAGGGGCCGAAGTCCTGTCTGTAGTAGGCCGTGAACGATTGATTGAGGCCGCTCCATTCCCGCCATCACCATTACAGCACAACAAGACAGTCAGCATCTGCAGCGTCGATGTCACCCTCACACATAAAGGGGTTAATGACAAAGTCCTGGTCTCGGTTTGGCTGCCTCTCCCTGATAAGTGGAACGGGCGCTTCCAGGCCACGGGAGGAGGTGGATGGGCTGCCGGGGAATTTGAAGTCTTCCTAGGCCCAGCTGCCCTTGAAGGATATTCCTCTGCCTCGACTGATGCCGGTGTCACACTTGATCCTGGGTCCGCCGATAAATGGGCCCTCAATAAGGATGGCACGGTCAATTATGGCCTTTTGGAGAACTTTAGCAGTCGCTCAGTCCACGATATGGCCGTCGTTGGAAAAGCAGTGACAAAGAGCTATTACGGGAAACCCGCCAACTATTCTTACTTCTACGGTTGCTCCAATGGCGGTCGACAGGGAATGGTGGAGGCACAAAAATACCCAGGTGATTTTGATGGTATTCTAGCGGGGGCACCAGCCATTTACTGGCCACAATTACTGGTTGCAACCGAATGGCCACAAGTCGTTATGCAGAGTGAGAAGACCTTCCCATCCCAATGCGTCTTTGAGGCTTTCAGAAAAGCTGGTATCGCTGCTTGTGACAAGCTAGACGGGGTAGAGGACGGGGTTGTCTCAAACCTTGACGACTGCGAATTCAATCCATTCGCCCTGGTTGGAAAAAAGGTAGAATGTGGTGGGAAATCGGCCACCATCACACTTGCTGAGGCGTGGGTCGCAAAGAAGATCTATGACGGGCCCAAGGCGACCTCAAAACAGGTTCTATGGGATGTACTGCCCGTAGGAGCCTTTTATGACGGCCTTGCCAACAGCACCATCGAAAACGGGGTCCCGAAAATCGCCCCATTTACAATAGGTGCCTCCTGGATCAGATCTTTCTTGAAAAAGGACGTCAACTTCGACCTGTCCACCATCACTTACGCCGACATGCCCGAGCTTTTCCAACAAAGCATCGACGAGTATGGTGAGATTGCCGGCGGAAGTGACCCTGATCTCTCTGCCCTCAAGAAGAATGGAGCCAAGCTCCTTACCTGGCACGGCCTGGAAGATCAACTCATCCACCCTAAGGTTTCGATCAGGTATCGCAAGGAAGTTGAACGTCGAATGGGAGGCGCCGCCAAAGTTGATGAATTCTACCGCCTGTTTTTGGCTCCAGGAGTAAATCACTGTGGCATTCTTGGGCATAACGACGGAGCGGTTCCCACTAGTACCCTTGATGTATTGGAGAGATGGGTTGAGAAAGGCGAGGCTCCAGAGACGATGCCTGCAACGGCTACCAACCTTGCTGGTGCCCCCATCTTCACACGAAACCTTTGCCGTTATCCCCTTGTCGCTCGCTACAAGGGCAAAGGCGACCAGAACTCGGCAGAAAGCTATGAATGTGCTAGGGATTTCGGATCTCACCACTAGTTGGTAGGTCGTTAGGTTCAATATACATGGAATAATGAAGAACAGACCTGATAGTTTATGTAGTAACAACTCTTTTATATTCTATATCCTTCAATCATTCATTCCCTACGGCTTTGATTCTAACCCTTGGAACAACTTCGCCAACGGTGTGCCCGAAGAACAGAGGTAACCCTCAGAGGAATACACCTCTTTACACGAGAGTTTTCAGCCATGTGGAGCGTCTGGCGTCTTCCTCCTTGGTATTCGTTCTAGTATTTGTCACTAATTTGATAGCCTGCCAGTACGGAGTAGTTATTTGTCATTTTACGGGCTGAGAATATCGCGAGCTTTCAACTCAAATGATTCCAAAAAGGCTCCTTCAGCCCTGCGAGGGTTATGAGAGTCAAGCAATAACTCTCAGAGCCTTAACTGGGGGCCCCAGTCTTAGCCATGCTTGACTCTTACGGGTGGATGCCCTAACTACGGCGCTGTGAGGCGTCGCGATCTTCGACTCTGGACCTTCAGCTGCACCGCCGGCCGCTCCTCAAGGCCACAATCTGGTTATCTATTAACGAGCCAATTGGAACATACTATGCATTGCTCTGGCACTTGTATTTGCATCACGATTGTTTGCCCGAGCGGGCGGATGAATTATTTGGCTGTCTTTTCCTCTCTCCCTCAAGCCTCATGATCCCGTCGGGCCCGCAAAACATCAAGTTATTTAATAACTATAACTTTGCCCAGCCGAAGATAGTATAAATAGCAAAGGAGTCAGCCGGTTATTGTATCTGGTTCATCGAATATTTCGCCTTTTCCTCACTATATATTTTGAGCCGAGTGATACATTGCAGCCTCCGGATGGACTCCAGCGACTCCGACCAGCCAACTCGAGCTCTGAATGCATGTGAGCCTTGTAGAAGAAGAAAGAAGAAGTGTGATAGATTATCACCGACATGTAGCTCATGCCAGAAGTATGTCGTGATGGCAGTTTTGTTGATATTGGTTCCAATATCCCGTTTTATGTTTTGAATATACTGACGGATCAACGACAGACATCTCCTTCAATGCTCATATCCCAGAGTCGGTCGAAAGTCTCAGCTTCGAGCTCTACGTGAACGTCTCCAGATACTTGAAAGTGCCATTGCAACCCAGACAAATGCCGTATCCGCGGAGCAGCATGACATGCAGCTTGCTGCAGTCCTGACCAATGCCTCAGCCCTTCAGGAGATCGAACCTCCTCAGATATACCCGATTGAGTCACAATGGTATATACCAGAGCTCCTGCGATTCTGTAAGTCTGATACTAGTTTTCCATGCTGATATACTTGTCTCAAAACATGTGTATCTAATTTTTATGCATAGACAGTGAATCAATTGCACTGCAGTCCCAGAAAAATGACTCATTTGGCAGACTGCGTAATATATGGATGACAACTGCTCTAGCAGACGCATGCATGTTTCATGCCACACTATTTGCTGCATCTGCATATCTAGATCTACTTCGAGGCGAAAGCAGTAACATTATCACATTATACCATCAGACGGAAACCCTTAGACTACTTACCAGCCAACTTTCTGCCTCCAACATGGAGGTTACAGATGCCTTGATTGCGGTTACGATGACCCTGGCACAGACAGAGGTATTTGACCGCCGTTTTAAGCTGAGAAGTTCTCGCTGGAAGAGTTTGCTAATATATCACATAGGCTCTTTCTGGTAACGCATGTGTCTCTAGTGCCCATAGCGCTGGGTTACATAAAATGGTGAACATAAAGGGAGGTCTCGAAAATTTGGGAATGGACGGTTTACTTGCGGAGTTGATATATGTGTAAGTGTTAGGTTAAAAAGGGTTTATAGATTCTATCATTTGGTCCTAACGGCATCCTCTTTTAATATCCTAGCGGCGATGTTATGGAATCTTTTCTCTCCGATACAGAGCAATCATTTCGATATGCTACTGCCCCTACGCCTCCTCCCATGGCACTCATATCAAATATAATATCATGGGAAGTTTCTACACAAAGCCCCCCATCCTTTGGCCAAAGTTCAGCCTATATACTTGGGTTAGTGCAGCAATCAATGTTATTAATCGATAGTTTTCCTGGGGGCCCTATGGAAGCGGAACTTGGAGTCTCTTCGTTTTTCCAAAAGTTCATCTACTTACAGGATGAATTTACTTCGCTACATGGGGATAATGCCATCGATTTATATTCGGACTCTTCGACCGAAGCTCGCATAAACGAATGCTGCCATCAAACAGCCTTGCTACATTGGAACCTTGTTAATGATAAGTTTGTCTTCCCTATAGCAAGCAGTCTACCAGCCGATAATCAAGGCCTTAAAATAGCTATGGAGAAGATGGACATCCAGACATGGTCTAAGGTTGCCCCGAATGTGTTTATCTGGGCTGGGGTAACTGGGGTGGCAGCCTCGCACGATTATGCAGAACGGGCATGGTTTACAGCTCGCCTAGGCCCGGTGGTGATGGCACAAGGGGCCAGCGGGGTTCTCACACTCACCCAGGGGATGGCTCTTTACCGATGGCTGAAGACTCTGGTCGTGGTGTAGTATGCTATGGTTTTATGATGGAATGACATGAACGAACCATTTAAGACAGCATAATAGAAACTTATTTGTACGATAAATAGCCTGACTAATACCTAATATTATCAATCCAGCTCCGTACCAAAACTAAATCTAGCAAGTATATGTACACAAGAAGGCCAAAGGGGCAATAAATTCGTTAGAGTGTAGCTTAAACGTCCCACATAACCTCACTCAACCTCAGTAACGAATCATCAAGCCCACGCTTAGCAGCCATGAACTCTTCTCTCGACTCGGGCCCCTGAGGGCCCTTGAGTGCAGCAGAGAAACATAACTCAATCAGAACTTTCAGTTCGTCATAGGTGAATGGTTCCCCGTTGCCTTCCCTCAAGGCCTGGATACCCATCTCTTTGAACGTATCTCTCTCTTCTTTCGCATGTTGTAACGTCTTTCCCGGTCCTTCGAGGAACCAGTCCAAGAACTTGGCACTTTGGGGAAGTGCAACGACTTCAGGTAAGGAGGCAGAGGCATCTTTATCCAACGATAAACTGCTCTTGGAAGATGTAGAAGTCGGGGACACAACTATGATATTCTTCAGGTTCTGTTGAAGCACAAGGACATCAAGCTGAAGTCTTAGGGCTCCATAACTATTCATTGCCCCTATGAAACGGGAGCTGGAAACCAGTGCACGGTCTATGAGCCTTGCAAGACAAGATGTGATATACCGACATTCATTCGGCCCTAGATATGTCGACATTCTAGCGCCAAAAGAAATAAGGTCATTGTTCAGCTCGAGAACAATAGGTGAAGCAGATGTTGGCTCAACCGTTAGAATATAGGCCCAGCTATTCCCAGTTGACGAGCTCCTATCAGACTTTGGCTGCCGCCCGTCGTTTTTGCCTTTCAAGGCCCGTGATATCATGTAAATTGATCCACAGCGGATATCAAGATGGAGCGTAAAGATAGCCGTAAAGGCTAGATTCTGGATTGACTTGATAGCACCGTCAAAACCTACTACAGACTCTTTTGTCATAGGAAGACGAAGAGGCCGCTCCAAGTCGCCGCGTTTTGGCCTCATCGATGCCTCTAGCGTCCATCGCCGAGTTGGTGCTACTTGTCTTGACTGGGTATGACTTGAATCCGTTTGATGGGGAGTAATGTGACGCAATTTAGAGAGGTTACTTGATAGCCAATTCTAGAGTGACGTGTTAGATATATCCAAAACATAGGGGACACGGGGCATATTTACCATGCTATTATAGAGTAATGACAATGAACCAACTATCTTCGGATCAGATATCATATCGTATCCCTTGAGTGAGGTTTCATTGGTCGCAGTAATAAGAAGCTCGATTTCCTGCATAAAATCAGACTCTCCACCTCTAGATATATCTACTTAGGGAAATACACACCTTGTTAATTAATGCTTGTTTCTCAACTTCAGAGCTTTCCCAGAGTTTTCGTCCGACTTCACGGATTTCTTTTGACTCCGCAAAGGCCGCTGAAGTCTTTAGAGCTACACCACCAGGATGGTTAGGTGATATTCGGGTCATAAGAGCTGCAGAAACATCATTAGCATATATACCTAGTATAAAAGAGAAAAATATTTGCTTACCCTTGTACCACCCACTACATTTCTCATAGTAAGTAACGATTTGATCAATTATTAGTTGAGTGAAGGCTTGGTCATGAGGTATGCTATCCAACATTCGGCTAAAGGTTTTTATTAGATTCATAAAGTTTATAGTTCCCTGTATGTGTTGAAAATAGTTAGATTCACCATCCAGTCAATTAATATCCACGGTGGGTTGGGGTTCCCTACTCTAAATATTGGCCTTGTAGAGTGTAAGGCCCATTGAGGGTCCTCAGTGTAGGCGTCCACAGAGATAAAATTAATGGTGCAGAGTTCGCTCACTGCCTCATCAAGCTGCGGCTGGAAAACATTTATCAAAAATTCATCCAGGAAGGATGTAAGCGTGCTAGCCACAATGTCCGAACTTGGAGGGACTATTTCCTTAAGTCGATGGATAAACGAAAGGGCAGGAGGTAAAAGCAAGCTGATATTGAATACACTGGGCTCGATGAGTAGTTTATGCCCAGTTCCCGAGCTTTGCTGGTTAGAATTATTAGTATCACTGGTCGAAAACATCTGGCGTGATTTTGGCACAAGTCCAGGAACTGAAGCTCTCAAAATTTCAGCTAGCTCGTCCTGCTCTGCCTTCAAATCAGAGGCGGTTTGATCTACTTCAGACATTTTGAAAAGTTTCTTATTATTTGATTAGCCTGGTGCTCTAAAGCCAGTAGAGCATGCACTGGGACTCACCTTTGTCTTATCACGCTTGACAGAAGACTGAGCGTATCCGTCATCTGCCGCTCTGGTGGTGGTTCTGAAAGACTCCGCTCCATCTGTAGAGAGATAATCATGAAGTAGAGATCGCATCTAAATAGTAATTAGAGCCATAGCTGCCCAATTGGTGTGGCTTATACATACCTCACTTTGATATAGCTTCCACAATTCCTGGAAGCTGCTTGTTAAGTGAATTTCATTTGGAAGTTTATCCCGTTTTACGATGCCATTGATAACTTCATACAAGACTCGGTGGCCTTCCGCAATCGTCTCAAATTTGGCATACAAATTCCACAGGAATTCAGATAAAAGAGGTCCCCGTTCTGATGTAGGATCAGGAACCGTACCCGGTATTCGCGCACCTTTCTGAATATCCGGATGTCTATTATTCACCTCGGCACCTGTTTTATCAACAACACTATATAGCTCAACTGGAAGACGTTGTTCAATCCGGTCAACTACAACATCCAAGTTTCCCATCTTATGAAGGGCTTCCAAGACAAGGTGGATATAATAAAATGTGTCAGACTCCGGGTTGCGGGATACATCTTCCACAAATGGCGTGGCAGCATCCAGCGACGCCAGGTATTGGTAAAACGGTTTCTCCCAGGAGGCAGTTGCAGCTCCGCCGGTTGACGGCCCATCTCTATCGGACAAGGGTTTCCACCGGTCACAACAGTATGGGGATTTCAAGTATAGATGATCATGCAGTTCTTCAACAAGGATATCAGTCAAGGATGTTTCCTGGTTGCTGAAATATGTCCGGAGGTCCCCAAGGGAGCCTATACCCGCAAGTTCAGGGCGACGAAGCAGCGCTGTCCCTTCTTTGAGTATATCAACTGCAGCAATGAATTTCTTGTCCGACATCCGCGCTTCAAGCTGCTCCGGAAGGGACTGAGCATGCTCAATAAGTTCAAAAAGCTGTAAAATTTCATCGTATGACTGTGATGCTATCGCCTGGTCCTTCAATTCCGGCTTCATCGTAAGCAATCCGGCCTTAGCTTCTAAAAGGGCGGCTTCAGAGCTCGAATCTGGTGCTGGGAGCTTTGCAAGTTCGTTTGGATGTTATGTACGTCCCGAGAAGACTGTGAAGCCATGGTGATGCTCTGCAAGATTGATCAGTATAGCTGCCTGATCAAAGATTCCATAGAAGGTACCACTCACCATTTACCACTGACCGCAACGCTTGCTGAATCCGCTGATATATCTGTATAAATTCCGGCTCCCTATCTGCGCGGCCAAGCGTGCTTGTGTCCATCAACTGTAAGCCAACCTGAACAGGGATGCATTCACTGTTCGCCATAAAGTCCCATTCGTCTTCGATGATTTGAACAACGCCTAGTAACCAAGTCGAAACCGGTAATTAGCAACCTATAATTTATTCTTCAAAATCTATCAAACAATTCATGGGGGGAATTACCATCGATCTCTTCAGCTCCCTTAATCTCTGGCCCTCGTCCGCTGCGACTGACACTCCTCTGCCTTGCATTCTCCTCCCGCCTCTGCCTTTCGCTGCTTCGAAACCGACTTTCGTCTCTATGGCCGCCCCATGAAGGTCCATCGTCTATATCCCGACCGCGAGACCGCATGGATACCTGGGGAGACAGCTGTTCCATTGAGTCACCGGGCGAGGGCGATTCCAGGTAGGAGGTCCCTCCGTACCCTCCCGCGCGCCCCTCGCGCGGCCGGCCATATCCATTTACAGACGAATTCATTGATCCATTATCCGATGCGCCGTAGTCGTGGTCGTGGGCTCGTCCGGAAGAATGTGAAGTCGTGAAATAGTCGTTAATGTTGCTTGCGTTGCTTGTGTTCATAGTGATGGTGTTAGTATAACTCGGAGAAAGCCACAACCATGCTAGCTAGTGGGCCAAGTCACAAAGGGATGAAAAGCCAACGGAATTATATACAGAGATAAATACTGACATATAGAGTAGACACTGCAGTAGACGATCATGAAGTAGAGCCGATATTTAAAAGTTATATGTTTCTTAGTTTAACATTTATATCTACCACGGAACTTCCGCCACTTCAGTTTGTAGATAAAACAAGGACTAGTTGCACATATTATAGTACAAGCATTCCGGGTGAGATAGAGCAGTATAACAAATGAGATATCCATCATTATATCGTATCAGGGCAGCAAGACGGCATGATCCAATGCTGCCTTTACAAATGGCCTCCCCGAAGCCATGAAGAGAGCCACATCCATAAAAGAAAGGGACAGTAATACACAAGAGAGCCGAATGGAAGACTGGAGCTTCTAATAATCTCTCAAGACAGCAACAAGTTCATCTAACCTTGCTACTTCACCCAGGAGCAAGGCCTCCTTGGCTTCCCATTCCTGTAAAGTAGCCATATCAGAAGCAGATAGATACCGTTCCATATTGCGCTTCACATCAGAGCGTTCGGCCTTTTCAATCAGTGCTTTTAGCTTGCCTCGCTCGTAGGCAAGGCGCTGGAGGCATCGTGCCATGCATTTATATGCGTCCTCAACAAGCATCATGACCACTCGATCAGCGTCGTAGAACCAAAGGTATATTGTTCTAGAAGGCTGACGCTGGGCATCACGGGGCACTTCTTGCAGGTCTATAAACCCGCCAGACTGTAGCCGTGCTAATATCTGTCTTAGGTCCTTTGATGGCATGAGACTTATTTCTTGTAGTCGTTTCTCATCCAATCTCCCCTTATCCGCCAAGACACGGAGAACACGCACTGCAACGGTACCATACCGTGCTTCAACCAGCCGTTCAATCTCAAGATGTCGAAGTTGCCGAACAAGGTGTCTAAATTCAACCGCCCATGTGATGATTCCCGACTCCATTCTCCGCGTCGAAAAGTGGTAGGGTTCTGATGAGAGTAGAGAAAGATGCTGCACCACTTGGAAAACACGGCTTTGAGCCTTGGCCTGGGGACTATCTTCCCCATCTTCGTCGTCAAAGTCATCTTCATCCTCGTCTTCATCCTCGCCATGACCGGTTCCTAGGCCATTCTGTTTTGGCTTTGCTGAAGATATCCCAGCAACGCTGCCGACAAGATCCAGATTAGGGTCGAGATCATCGACTATAGTATGCAGCGGAATAGGGGCAGAGTAGTGTTGGCCTTCCTCGCCTTCCAGTACAGGCTCCTCCTGCTGACGGCACTTTCGAGTCTTAAGCTCAATCCGAGAGAGCAGCGTTTCGTAAACCTGTGAAGTCACACGCGAGGTTACTTGATCAGCCAACTTGATCAATCTCTGGTTGCGGAGGGCAACATTGAACTGTTCGTAATTGATACGAATAACCATATTACTCTATCCGTCATCTTGGGTTAGTTTATAAATTTCAACGTCAGTATGTATGGAATAAATTATACTCACATCCAATGTTACATCACCATCGTCGTCATAACCATCGTCGTCAGAAAAGTCGTCACCGTTTGTTTCAATTCCTACCATTCCGGCATTATCGTTAAGCCTTGCCCGCTTGCGTGGACCTTCGAAACTCCCGTTTGCTGTCTGTCTTTTTATACCTCGGGTGATATTCCGAGGGACCAGGCCATAGGCTATAGTCCCGTCAGCCCACTCCTCTATCATAACATCCGCCTTCTCTTCAATTTTTTCTTCGAGTTTCTTCCCCTTTAATCCCTCTGTCTGACCGCTTGCTTTGACCGCTCTCCTTGCCGCTTCACGTAGATCCGATGGCGATTGGAAATGGACGTCCTTCACACGCATAATGTAGCCATATGCGGCAAGCTCTCGAAGAGTTGGGCCGAGTCGGGAAGCACCATACCCTTTCACACTCTTGTGAGAGTTGACAAGTATGTCATCTCCGCTCACGCCATCCTCCACTCCATCCTCCATGGCTTCCCCGTTCTCCAGCGAGTGGTCACCGTTGACACCATCCGGACCATGGGTGCCATTGCGCAAAGGAGCAGGCTGGAGTTCCGGGATGGTCTCTAGATGGCTTATTTTGGCATGTCCCAGAGAAATGATCGTAGACACCACTTTTGCAGCATAGTCTCCCAGCCGTTCCCTTGTCAACTGCAATATGTTTCCTGACCGGGCCAGCAGGTAGGCCCGCCGCCAATTCGCCTGATAGTGTGAGACTCCATCATCGAAGCCGGTGAAGTGGAAGACGAGTTGCTGCTGGATGAGGATTGCCAGGCCATGTTTCACTTGTCGAGGCGTAAGGTGTGTATTCTGAACTATTCTCATGAGCGGTTGCCGTCCATGGTGGACGAGATAGGAGAATATCAACTATACAGCATATCATCAGTCATCGACAAACTCCCCTCGCATAGAGCAAAACCCAGGCGCATACCGAGTATAGCTCCCCGAAATTATCTGCGATCAGAAGCGTACATAGTTCTGCAGCATACTATTATCCTCGTCAGTGCTCACACACTCATCTTCTTAAATGAGGAAGAAATTAAAGAGCTTCTCCTACCTGCGACATCTTTTTATATGACTATGACTTCTAGAGAGATGCCACTCTAGAAGCGTGCAAAGGTCACGAAGAAATAGTCATCAGCATCCCACGCACAACCCAGTACCAACAGCGCTCTCTTATCTCTCCTTTTTCTCCTTTTCCCTCTTCTTCTTCTTCTTCTTCCTCTTTTTCTATTCCTTTTCATGTAAAAATAATTAAGCGGGACGACGTTCACGTGACACGAAAAGAGCCCACCACGTGACTATGAGGTTGGTCGTCAAGCTGACCAATCAGAAAGTCCGCATTCGTGACTTACCGGAAGCTTTTTTTAGGCAAATCGAAAGGTTGAAAGTTGAACGTCGAACGAAAGAAACACTTTGGACTTTCGACAATATCAAGTCAAACCACCTTCTCCAGCCACTCTCTCCGGCTCCAGTCCGCCCATCACTCTCTCTCGGTTGTATTCCTCGTCGACACAGAAGGCAATGTTGCTTCCGCGAGCTTCCCTTGGCCGGAATGCCGTGCGCGTCTGGCGCAATGGCTCCTATAAACAGGTCGCCCAGCGAGGCATGGCATCGCACGCTGGCCTTGAGTTTGAGGCGAGCGAGGCCGCTGGCGTGAAGATTGCCAGCAGGGAGGTGTCAGGACCAACTACCACGCTCACCGTCGTTGCAAAGGCCGGTTCCAGATACGAGCCATTGCCTGGCTACTCCGAGGTCTTGGAGAAATTTGCATTCAAGGTGAGCCCTTCCAACGACCACATTCGTTGTCTCATCAATCAGATGGGCTATGGAACGCGGAAACCGCTGTGGAGGCATTGGCTGATATGGTTTGGGTCTCAATTGTAGTCCACCCTCAAGCGTTCCGCTCTACGAATCACCCGTGAGAACGAACTGCTCGGAGGACAGCTCTCCTGCTACCGATCAAGAGAGAATCTCGTTCTCTCTGCCCGCTTCCTCAACAACGACCTCCCATACTACGCCGAACTGTTGGGAGAAGTTGTCTCGCAGACCAAGTATTGCAGTAAGAGCGCCCAATTGCTCCTTGCTGTCCGTTTCAGAAATGGATACTAAGATTGATATATATCAGCCAACGAACTCAACGAGCTGGTCTTCAACCTCGTTAAATTCTCCCAGAACGCCATTGCCGCATCTCCATCTGCCCAGGCTCTCGATGCTGCACACACCCTTGCATTCCACCAGGGACTCGGAAACCCACTCACCATCCCAGCCTCTGCCCCATTGAAGAAGTATGTCTCTGCTGAGGGCGTCGCCGATTTTGCCCAAGGTGTCTACACCAAGCCATCCATCGCCGTTGTCTCCAGCGGCTCCAACTCGGCCGAGCTATCCAAGTGGATTGGCCAGTTCTTCACCGAGCTTCCCACCACCACCGCTTCCGGCAAGTTCGCCCCCGCTACCAGCCAACAGACCAAATACTATGGAGGAGAGCAGCGAATCTCCAGCCAGGCCGGAAACGCCGTTGTCATTGCCTTCCCCGGTTCCAGCGCCTACGGCACCTCTGGATACAAGCCGGAGCTCGCCGTTCTTGCTACCCTCTTAGGCGGAGAGTCCAGCATAAAATGGTCTACCGGATCCTCCATCCTCGCCAAGGCCACCGAGGCATTCCCTGGCGTCCATGTTTCTACCACCAGGGAGCCTATACCGATGCTGGATTGTTCCACATCACCGTCTCTGGCCAAACTGCTGACCGTGTCTCCCAGGCCGCCAAGGCTGTCGTTGAGGCCCTGAACAATGTCGCTGCTGGCAACGTTGCCGCCGAGGATGTCAAGAAGGCCATTGCTCTCGCTAGATTCCGTGTCCTCGACGTCGGATCTAGCTTGACTGCTGGAAGTGAGGCTACTGGCTCTGCCCTCATCCATGGTGGCAAGTCATTCAGCATTGCTGCCAACGCCCAAGATCTTGAGAAGGTCACCGAAGCTCAGGTCAAGGCTGTAAGTTAAAAAAGAATAACCCCTATCTATACATTAATAAACAACTAACGACCATCCAATAGGCTGCTAAATCCCTCCTAAGCAACAAAGCTTCCGTCGCAATCGTCGGCGAGCTGTTCACTCTTCCATACGCCTCTGACCTCGGTCTTACCGTGTAAATATACCCCCAAGGAACAGGAACCTTTCAACCACAATCGCTGAATCCCCCCTAAAAAAACACATCCCACATAGATCCAATGCACTGTTTTGACGTTACTATACTAGTTGACATAGTTGAAGAGAAAGAAAGAGGGGTTAGATAGGTGGCTTTTTTCCCTCTTGCTCTCTTCCCTGCCCTCTATCTCTCCGTTACTCTCCAATTTTGCTCTCTTTTGTTTGTTTTATCTAGTAAATGTACTTATAAAGAATCCAAGTGTTTTTTCATACATAATATTTCCCTTTATATCTTCTTTACTCGATTTTTATCGCTGTATCGCGTCCGGGTTCGGAGAAATCAGACTCGAACATAGTACATATTCCCCAAATTAAATAAAATAGATGAACAAAAAACACACAAGCGAAAGAAATGAACAGAGTTATTTTTCCCACCTCGGCAAGACGACCGTCAACAGCAGATCAATGGCTTCGTTGGACATGGTGTTATTGTATATAACAGGCAATGACATGAAAAGAAAAGCGAGAAAAAGAAGAAATACTTCTATAAAGCTAGTAGAACAGACATGGGCGAATAAAACGAAAAGAATGAAAATTAGAAAATGGTAGGAAAAGAGAATAATTTTTAATATAGCATCATGACTGGAGCCGCTTTAGTGCTTAGCAGTGACTTTTTCTCCTGTTAGCTTCTCAACAGCTTCTTTGGCCCTGTTAAACAAATTGTGTGTTAGTATATGTTAAATTGACCACGAACTGAGGAATGAGAGGAACGTACATGTCTCCAAGGGCAACCATGCAGACGGTCTGCCAGATACCAAGACCAATACGAGGAGTCACACCCCTGTAGAGACCCTTGATTCCGTTCTGACTATAAATATAGTTCAAGGTCTTGCCGACAGTCAAGTTCTTAGGACGGTTCGGGTCCACGGTCTTGCTCTGCATCTCGACACGGATAACCTCAATAGGCTGGTTCCAGGCCGACAATCCACCACCGATGGTACTGGCCGCAATCTTCTCCAGGCTGTTGAGTTTCTGGCCCTCTTCCTTCCCGGTGGCCTTTCGGATACCGATCTCAGCGAGACGGGATAGACCGAATCGGGAACCCCAGTTAGTGGTCTGTCGAATGGCGACAGCATTGACACCCTTGTTGATTCCACGAATACCTTCACGGCGATAGATGTCCATGAAAGTAGCGAATGTGCTTGGTGGCTTAACGCCTGCGGCAGCCATCTTGGACTTGGTGATCTCGACTGTTTTCATGCATGTGCAGAAGCCCATGGTAGCGTAGGCCTGGGCAATACCACCAGCCATACCGCCGCTAATTCCACCAACAAAGTCATTTGCGCCAAAGGTTTTGGCATAGTACTCGGCTTCTGACGCAACGAAAAGAAGAACAGCACCTTTGGTGGAGGCCTCAATCCAAGCCCAAGGAATGAGACCTTGGTAGTCTAGATTTCAAGCAGAGTCAGAATTTACATTCAATTGACCAGGGGAATAATAAGAAAAAGAAAGAGCAATTCTTACATCCTAGGATGCCACCACGACCCCAGATCCGACCCATGGCTCCAGCAAAGGTATCCGACCGATTAGCGGCCATGGTTGTCTTGATAACTTCCAATGGCTGACCAAGGGAGGTAACCCTGTTCCAATCAACCGTTCGTTAGCACCGCCCATCGAGACACATAAATGAGCAGACAGAGTAGGAAAAAAGAGAAAAGACGTACTCGAAGAGGTTCAGGCCAGCGCCAACTAAAAACCTCAAACCATCAGCATCGACGCACACAGAGTATTAAATGTTTACTTTTCTCTCCACCGCGGACGGCACCTACGTAGCAAATTGCTGAACTTGACGGGCTTCTTCTCGACCGTCTTGTTGGAAGTGGACATCTTGGATACTGGGGAAGCTGAAGGGGCCCTGACCAAGGGAAAAGAGGTATCGGGGGGCGGATGAGGCCTTATTTAAGTATCTGACGGCGACTAGCTGGAGCTGACGGAGTGTACCCGTGAAGCCTTAGCCGGATAGGTATATATCGGAGCGAAGGAATCTATAAGCAGGAAGGCTGCCCCTTTGTTCTTCTAGAGCAATGGCTGTCTGGTCGTTTCGTCTTCTAGGCGTATAACTCAAAGGATCCCTAGTTATCAGCCAACAGCGCATTAGTCGACACAAGCTCTTGAACCGTTGGTATCTTCACAAGCCACTATGATGCCCTTTCTACAGCGGCGGGATATGCTCCGTTGCGGACAGGGGCCAGTGGATCGCGATGAGCACCGAGCATCGGCCATGGAACGAGGAGCCCCGAGAGAGATATAAGACAAAACACTTACCGTAGATGTTTTCTTCTGCTTCGTCTGGTTATAACCGAGAGAATGATCAATTGTAAAGAGTTGAAAGAGAGAGAAAGATGAAGGAAGAAGAAAAGCAGCCGAATACTCGGACCTTTTTTTATGCTTTGCTCCTTTTTTAGGAAATAAAAAAAAGACCGCGGCCTTGCCTGTGATGAGCTTACATAAGCCATACAAGTCACAGTTTAGCGGGCCTGGTTGGGGGGTTTTAGCGTTAGCAGCCCAACAAATCCGCGCTGAAGCCGCGATAAACGGAGCATTTCATCCTCAACATCTATTAAAAGGACTCGCTATTACTCTATAAATACTTCATTGCTATATAGAAGATTTGAAATCAGTCGAAATTACCCGGAATATACTATGCAAGGGACAATGATATATATATTAACCATCATGTTAACCATGGATTCTTTTTAAGCTTAAAGGGAGGAACCTGTATAGAGTCATTAGAGTCTACCATGGAATAGATAGACACCCCCGTTTATGACAGTCAGACTATTTTATGCAGACTATAGAGGATCTTTTTACGTTGTAAAAGGGGCCAGGAAGGGATGCTCGGTAAATAGAAACAAATTGATAGACTTAATTGAGTAGAGGCTTAGTATTGACGGAGAGATTTGTTGCGTAGAGACTCAACTTCATCAGGCATAGATGCTGTTTCGGGGACCTCCAGGATAGTAGTTGGCCCGGATGTTACCTCACGTTTCGGCATTATAGCTGGTTTGTGTCTCTCGTTTGCAGCCCTGATAAACTCATCCCTCTGTTCTTTCGCCCAGTCTCTCGCGTTTCGATATGCTGTTGCCCCTTGACGGAAGCTATCTAGGCTATCCGCCATTGCGAAAGATCTAAGCGAAGTCATTATATATTCCGGACGACCTTTGCTGTTAGGCCGGGGCGCGGTGGGGTGGATTGTATAGAGCTTCAGTGCGCCACCATAGTAGATTGATATGATAGTGTAGGCATTATTATCGTAGGTAGGCTCCTTTTGCCTGTACGTCTGGAGTTTGTATATTCCTCGAGCACCCAGTGACCCGTGGTAACAGGCCTATCGTATAGCAACAGCAAGAGACGTATCTGGACCTTTGGCTTCAAGAAAGAAATTCGGAAGCATTGGAAGATTAGCCTGCGTCGATGGGATAATATATTCACTAAGCTCATCGCGGATTTCAGGCTCTAGATACTTTGGGAGAGAACCAAAGAAGTGACCCGGCTTTGCAATTGCTAGTGTACTATCTGTTAGAGGAGCAAGATTTCCAAATAGATAACCTCCTCCTACACACTGGGTATTACCAACATCACCATCAATAGTTGGGACTATGTAAGTTGTCACTGGCCTTTCCTTTGATGCTCTTGCGTCCTTTTGTTTAAATTCTCGAAACTTGCTTTCAGGGAAGTTTGTTGGTGAAAGGGAACGCCGTGGCTGGGCTAATCTCTGAATTATTTCATCCATGTTATTTGGTGTCGCTGGCGGTTGGCCATCGGAATGATCATATCCATCGAGGTATATATCGCGGTCAACTAGCTTCTGCTCGAAATTCCGATTATAGGCGGCAGTAACTGTAGTAGTTCTTTTGTAGCTGCTCTCGCCTGGAGGAGGAGAATTTGCACGCCTCTTCCGGCAGCCCAAGTTTGTGTCCATTGGCTGGTAAAGTGGGATCTAGGGATCTGGGAACTGGGGAGTACTCTCAACGCGTTAGCATGGGTGCCGGCATCTATTACAAGAATTACATACACCCCTGAGGTCCGATAGGTCAGGTCCACCTCTTCTAGACAATCTCTTAATCTCCCTCAGAGCCTTGGGGCTGCAGGAACCTGAAGGGTCAGAAGCAAGTGTCTGATATCGACGCTTCAGAGCAGCCTGGAACTATCGAGTGAGTGGCCGAGAAGGGGAAGGATGAGGTAGCTCTAGTAATCTGCGAGAAGCTCTATTTCGTCGATTGAGCTCCTGAAGAGCATCCCTCGTTAGCCAGATCTTTGATAGAGTATCCCAATACGCTGGAGTGGGTTGGTTGATCTTTGGTCCATTCGGCTGAGGCGGTGGTTTGGAGGTCGAAGTAGTCATCATCGGTCTTCTGCTGTTTATGAGATTGTTCCAGAGGGTATAGAAAAGCCATGGTGTGTAGATGCCGTAGATGCCTTTATTTAAACGTGTGATGTGAGCGGATGGTTATTCATTTATCAAAGGAGTCCTTGGATGAGTGAAGTAGCTTTGACGTTGAGGTCTCAAACGACGGTTTCTTTCACTTGCCATCATTGTTTCAACGTGAACAAAGAGCTGACTGGGTATATTATTATTAAAATTTCTGGTCCCTATACGTAGGGGAGTTCAGGCGCCCTCGATTTTTGGGGCTGGATAAATGAGTATGAAGCGAGATCTGCCAATAAAGACGGGAGTTGGAAGACTTGACACTGCATGTATAAGCCGAGGTATGAACCGCATATCCAAGCTGCCTCACACTAAAAGATCCTCGCCATATGCGAACAAGGAGATTAAAGGAATCGACTGAACGCTGAGACATAGGTATCTAGCAAGAAACAGAAAATATTAGCAGCTTCATAGGCGATATTTACTAATTATACTAACCATCAAGCAGAAACACCTACATTGGATAAAGCAACCCTATTGCGATAGGGGATAAGGGTAGTCACTAGAGTATAAAGAGTATAAAATACAAATTGATAGTTTCATATAGATACACACTTGAATCAACAAAAGAAAAGAGGTTGGTGGAGGTTGCCAGCACGCTGTTGTAGACAGCCGGATTCAACAGTCTATAACTTTTTGGGTAGTTCGCTTAACGCTTGCGAATATATAACTTATAGCTTGGCTCCAACGAGCTTGGCGTAGCCTTCAGTGCTGAAACTCTTTGGTCGCTCGATGGGGGAGCCGAGAGCACGGTCGATGATGAGTTGAGGAAGGACACCGAGGGCACGGGAGACACCGAAGAGGACGGTGTAGTAGCTGGCCTCGGTCAGGCCGTAGTACTGGAGGAGGACACCAGAGTGCTAGGTCATGTCAGCTTATGTTTTACCTTGATGACTAGATATGTAAAACTTACAGCATCAACGTTGGGGTAGGGGTTCTTGGTCTTTCCATGCTCGGTCAGGACACCTGGGGCGATCTTGTAAACCTGGCTGACGAGCTTGAAGAGAGGGTCATCAGGGAGATGGCGGAGGGCGAATTCACGCTGGGACACGTAGCGGGGGTCGGTCTTGCGGAGGACGGCATGGCCGTATCCGGGCACGACCTGGCCGGCGTTCAGGGTGGACCAAAGGTAGTCCTTGATGGCTTCGTCGCTCAGGTCGTTGCCAATAGCCTTCTGCATCTTTTGAAGCCAGTTCAAAACTTCCTGGTTGGCCCTGTAGACAAGTTAGGATATGTGACGCCGGCTCGAGTTAAAGCTAGTAGAACTTACAATCCGTGAAGTGGACCGGCGAGACCGTTGAGACCAGCAGCGAGAGAGAGCATGGGAGAGCTCAATGCGGAACCAACCAAGTGGGTCGTGTGAGCACTGACATTACCACCCTCATGGTCGGAGTGAATGGTAAGGTAGAGGCGCATCAGCTCAACGAAGTCAGCGTTGTCTCCGTAGCCGAGCTGGTTAGCCAAGTTGAAACCGTAATCCTTGTCCTTCTGGACGGGGGCGACCTTTCCATCCTTGAAGACGTTGCGGTAGATACGGGCAGCAATAGTGGGCAACTTGGCAATCAAGTCCATGGAATCCTCAAAGGTGTACTGCCAGTAGTCCTTCTTGTTGATACCCTTAGCGTAGGCCTTGGCGAAGGCGGATTCATGCTCAAGGGCGGTAACGGCGAGGGAGAACTGGGCCATTGGGTGGAGGTCAGATGGGCAGCGGTCGATGAGCTCCTCAATGAACTTGGGGACATCAGAACGGGCGGCCCATTCGGCGGAGAGGTCGCGAACTTGTTGCTCGGTTGGAACCTCGCCGGTAAGCAAGAGCCAGAAGAGACCTGTTAACCCGTTAGACCCCGTGCCTCACGCACATTTCTTTTTTTTTCTTTTTTTTTAAGTGTTTTAACTCTGTACGCACCTTCTGGGAGCGGCTCCTGGCCGCCTGGGGCCTTTGGAAGGAGTTTCTGGCACTCGGGAATCTAGTCACCCCAATTAGCGAATGATCGAGAGAAGCTGTTTATTGGTAACTCACGGTCTTTCCACGGAAGCGGATACCTTCCTCAGAGTCGAGAATAGATCCCTAAAATGCAATGTTAGTCTCAATTGCCGTACAATGCCAGCTCAGACATTCTGCTTACCTCCCAGACGAGGGACTTGATTCCACGGGCACCACCGTAGACCTGGTCTAGGGTAACCTCACCGAGGACCTTGTGTCCATGCTCTCTATAAGCCGTAAAAAGGCACTTGTCAGCCTTGTCCTCACCCAGGCTATTGATGATTCAATGCCGTGGTTATGCAAACCAAACAACGTACTTTCGGAGCTTCTTGACCTGCTCTATCTTCTCTGGAATCTGGGCGGCGAAAGTTTCCTTGAGAGACTACAGCCAAGCAATTGCCTGTTAGCACAAATATCTACCTTCATCTCCGGGGATTGAGTACGTACGGGAGCTTTGGCCGAAGAGTAATGCCGGAGAGCATTGTAACCAGCAGCCTGGAGAACTGGCTTGGAAGCCATGGATGAGGATCGGAGAGCAGCGCTCCCTAGTCTGAGAGAAGAAGCCATACCAGCGGCTGATGAGAGATAGTGTACAGGGGAAATATTAAAGGTACAACGGTGAAGAGTAAGAAGAGGAGTGCGGTGGATGGAAGAGAAAGAGAAGAAGAAGTTGAAGTTGTTGAAGTTTCGAAAGATATTTTGGCTCTCATGAGGGTATTGTCGGGACAGAAAAACGTGATCAGATGTAACTTTCAAGGGCAGATCTAGCACTCCCTGTCTGTCACGTATGGTAACGAGGCCTCCCGGTATTTTGTTGGGCCTCTTTTTTTTTCGTCGCTTTATTTCTCTCCTTTTTTTCTCCCCCCAGCCTTCTTTTGCGCCGATAACAACATGGGAATGGAGCATTCAGAGGCTGGACTGAGGTGATTCGCCTGCATCTCAAGCCATATTGAGCCATGGGCTGCCTCGGAGCCTGCTTAAGGAGAGCTTCAGTTTGTATCGCATAGTTTGGTGGCAACAACTGTGCCGAGGCTCAAATATAGAGTTATGCAACATATGCAAGTTTTATATGGAGAAATATTATATCATAGCAAAGATGTGATCTAATAGTAATATGTGTCTTAGATTGAATCCATCTACGGAGTAGTGATGTGCATGGAATTATGCTCCTGTATCCTAGTCCGAAGAAAACTTGAAACGGTATCAAATTCTAGGCCGTCACTACCTCAATAATCCGAATACTGTACGGAGTATACCAGCCAATTCATCATCTGTTAGGCCCTTCTCCTTGGCGAGTATTGCTCTTCGCTCCAGATATGCCTTTGGTGCCTCTGGGTATCGTCTTTGCCTCATGCTCCCAAACTTCAAACTGATCCATAAACCCCTTCTTAGGCCTAACCTTTCGTTTGTTTTTTCCCCACGTCAGCTAGCACAGGCTTTATCGGGAGAAGACGTTAACTCGAATCTTGGAATTACTATACCCTACATATAAGCTTATGCACTGGCTTCAATGGTTGCTGAATCTTAGTATCGGTATTTAGACCTAACGAGGAGCTCAACCCCGGTATTAACATTGAGTTAAACGGAATGAATGAATGTAGTCTCCGCTCTACACAGTTTTGTGATAGCAAGCGCCGCTAAGGCCCTGTTGGGCAATTTCTAGGCTCATCTACCGTAGGATTGAAGTATTGGAGAACAATATTAATATAGCATCGTTGGTGGATATCTTTGCTTCATGCTGATTTGAATGTTATTATTTATCTCGCTCTACTTTTCTATAGTTAGTTGATTCTTACATTTTAACAGTCTTAAATCTCTGTATCTGCGTACTTAATTTTATTTATTTCCATTCTTTCGAGAGGTTCAGCTTTAATATAAGTATTTCTCTTTATTTTAATCTAGCAACGTTTAAATGCATACTATGTATAAACTTATCTGCAAGTTTGTTGGGCATCCATAGGGATAGTCACGTGACTATAAGTGAGTATTATCACGTGAGTTTTGCTGCCTATTTGGGTTAGAACAATAATTTTCTTTCCTTTCTCTCCTTAAAACTCTTTAGAAAGGGAAAAAAAATTCCTCCTCGCGCAACCTCCTTCAACTCCATCCTCTTATTCTCCTCTTTTATCACTTTCATCATCTAACGTTAGCTGAGAGCCTGTTTTATTCCTTGTATCTGGCTTGCTTGGACTTTTTCATCTCCTTTTTTGAGACTGATAGTGGAACACGGCTGTAGGCCCATCCTCTGAGCCTGTCGCTTAGCTGGGACTGTAGTGACAAGATCACCCATCAAACATCAAATAGAGATATCATCTACTGGATCACGGATAGCTTTCCAACTCTTCAGTAGATACAAGATACAGCATAGTGTGGATTATTCCGCCCTAAAAACCAGCAGATACCAGCACAACCAGCCATCTTTGCAAGTATTAGCTTTCATATCTCGTTCACATAATCGGTAGCAGCTTCTATCAGCCATGTCGTCTGCAGTAGCAGAGCTGGATGGCTATCTCCATTCCATGCTTTCCTTGAAACCTCCTGGTGTATCGGGATCCAAGATTAATGGCATCACCTCACTATGCACTGCCAACATTCAGGTTAGTAATGATGGTTTTACTTCTTTCTCTATATTCATACCATAACTCGGGTTCTTTTGCTAACGTGTATCTTCTTCTCATATAGTCCGAATCAGTCTTGATACAAAAGATCTATACCCACTTTAAGCGAGCACCAGGGACACACAAATTGGGCGTACTCTATGTCGTAGACTCTGTAACTCGACAATGGGTAGACTTAGCACGCAAGGCTGGCCAGCAGATTGGCGGCAGTGCTCCAGATGGGACATATGCTGCAGGCGTTAATCGAGTGACCGAGCTTCTGCCAGTCCTCATGACTGATATCATAAACAATGCTCCTGAAGACCAAAAGGTACGCGTACTCTTAGACATGAATGAAACTCAATATCTCCTGCAAAGTGGAAGAAAAAAACCCTGCAGTGCAGCATATCATAGTACTGGGCATCTGCCAGCATGGTGTGTTGCCTTAGACACCTAAAACCACCGTATCACAATTCCTACCCCCTTATACTACGACTTTATATCCTCTGCCCTTAACCATAGGTTATCTATGATGCTGTGGCTGAATAATTCCCACTTACGTATATCCCTTTTCTTAATATAGGACAAAATCAAAAAATTGGTGGACATCTGGGAGAGAGGATATACATTTCCTGCGCCTATGCTCCAATCTTTCAAAGACAAGCTAAATGCTCCAGTATCTCAAAGTAAGAAAACCCCCTTGAATATGCATTCGAGTCCTCCGCCTTGATTTGGGAGAGACCCTAAAAAACACCATACCCGGGAGACTCGAAAGGCAGTAGGAGAGAAAATGGGAAGATTTTCTAATGTACGTTCAATTTTCTTAGATGTGGAATCTACAACACCAGAAGGATCACCAGCACCAAATTCCTTCCTATTGGGCGGACCTGCTCAGCAGCAGCAACAGCCGGCTGGTTCAGCTGCAGTGCCTGATACTTCCAGCATTTTGAAAGCGCTCGCGGAAATGGCGAAGCAAAATACAGCCGCCCCAGCCGCGCCGGCCATCCCAGCACAGACTAGTTCCAGTAATGTATTAAACGCGCAGCCTGCAGTCCCGCAAACAAATGCACCGTCTGTAGACCAGACTGCGCTACAATCTAACGGGCAGTCCGTAAATCCTTATGCTGGAAATCTTGCCGCCCAATTCCCTGGTCTGGCCAATACCGCCCAAAATATGTTCCAAAATCAACCTCAAGGTCAGGCTGCAGGTGCAGCTGCATATCCTGGTCAGAACCCGCTTGCCCAGTTAATGCAGCAACAGCAACAGCCAGCACCTACTGCCGTTACTCCTGATCCCCTCCAGCAACTAAATCTGATCCAGCTCCTTGCTGCACAGGGTATTCCGCAGGAACAGTGGGCAACTGCTCTGCAAATCTTAAATCTTTCAAATGCAGCAAATGCTGGTGGTTTGGGTAATATGAATCCTCCTGCAATGCCAGGCTTTGGTCAAATGCCCGCAGCGAATCAAAATGCTTGGGGATCAAATGCACAGGATAACTCGTCACGTGACAGAGACCGGGACCAGGACTATACGCGCTCTCCTCCAGGCCAGTATCGACGTCGTTCACGATCTCCAGGGTGGGATAGACGACGCGATAGCTCCCCTCCTCGTCGTCGCGATAGTCCAGTATACGGTGAATATCATGGTGACTCTCCCGGCCGTAACCGCGGCGACCATGGCAGAGGAGGCCGTCGTGGGGATGGATACCGCCAGCGTAGCCCGCCTGGTCGACGCCGCCGAAGCCCAAGTCCTCGCAAGGATACCACGCTGCCTCCACCAGGGCCAAAGTTCATTGACTACGATTATTCTATTGGAGACGGCAACATCAAAGGTTCGTTTGTAGTATCCTTATATCTTAACTGTGTTTATATGATACAGGAGCTAACATGATAATATATATAGTTTTAAGTCGAACGCTGTTTGTTGGTGGTGTAACGTAAGTACTTTTGGAACACTAGCTGATAATGCGACGATGATTTCCTAACTTTTTGTGGATAGATCTTCTGAATCCCACCTTCGTTCGCTTTTCTCCCGTTACGGCACAGTTCAGACATGCATTGTCAACAATGACAAACGACATGCGTTTGTCAAGATGGTCAACCGGCGCGATGCCGTAACTGCCCGCGAAGGGATGGAGCAGTATAAATCCGGAGACATGCAGCTCAGGGTAAGCAAGAAAAACCGTTTGTCCCTATCCCAGCCTAGTAGCTTCATTATTGGTCTAACTTAAAAACGAATATAGACACGCTGGGGAGTTGGATTTGGGCCCCGTGACTGCAGTGACTACCATACAGGTGTCAGTATCATTCCTGTTGACCGGTTGACTGAAGCCGACCGCAAATGGTTGCTCACCGCAGAATATGGTGGCACTGGCGGTAAGCCCATCGAGAACGGAATGGTTGTCGAGGAGCCTGATATCGAGATTGGTGCCGGTGTGTCTTCTAAGGGTATGTGTACAAAGCCTAGAACTCCGTTTGTAACTTCGTACAAGCTTACTGACCGCACGAACAGCCATCAGCCGTCGCATGGCTACCGATCAAGGCGGCAAGCGTGGGCCACAGTCCAGCCGCTACAGCCACGAGCGCTTCCGCCGCAACGAACGTGGCGGTGATGACGGGCACAACAACAGCAGCGGTGACCATGACCGTGATGCAGCCTCTGGCCCGAACGCCAACGCCATTGGTGTCCCTCCCGCCGTACCAGGTTTTGGATTCTCATTCCCAGGCATGCCAATGTTCCCACCCGGGTTCATACTGCCTGGCACTCAGCCATCCACTACTGGAGCACCATCGCAACCACCCGCCCAGGGCCAGTGATAGACGTTCGAAACGGCCTCGATCCATCATGCATGAATTGGTATTATTCTCCGGCGTTCTTGAAGAGTCATTTTTTTCGGTCAAGGATATTTTTTAAGAGGCGACTTCGCGGTGTATCAGTCACGAGCCAGCGGTCAAGCTCGAAGCACTACATAATAATACCCTTTCGTCAGTTCCTTTCCTATACTCATTATTCTCATCCTCAGTGCCAGATTGGCGTTTGAACCTTGTGTATCTCCCTTTTTGTTTCCTGTACTTGATCCTTCTTGTCATTTCTGTTTTTCTGGTTTTCTGGCCTGCCTGCGCGCCGGAGTGGTCGGCTTTGTTTGTGTGATGTTTCTCTCTTCTTTCAGATTCAAGCTTGTACAGTACTTTTTTTTTTTTTTCTATTCGACTACCTTGGCCATATAATGCAATCCCTCCCATCCATTGTCACTTTTCGCATATCCTCCGACGTAGACCGTAACTTCCATATAAGCTTAGCTAAGTATAATAATCACGTGTAGGACCCAACCTCCCAAGGTGTTTTTTATGCAACTCGTCGATGCAACTTTCTGTCTCCTCATCGATGAACATCCGGAGTATACGCGAACGTCATGGGATCAAAAGTGGGAACGTCGCCACGCCTCACGAAAGTGCTTGTCCATTGCTTATATGTAGGACGAAGAATCTATCGATGAGTGTGCTATCTCTTTTCTTTTTCATCCTCTTTCCTCTTTGTTTCTTTTTTTTCCTTCACCCACTCCGACAATTCCTTCAGCGAGAGAAGGTAAGCTTGTTTTTGTTTACTCTGTTATGCGAAATGTTATTGTTTTGCTGATCTCGGACGTATGTAACTAGCTCCAGCATCCCCTTGATAAAGCAATATGCGGCCCAGCGCAAGTGAGCCAATGAGAAGACGATAAAACGCGATGGTGGCAGTTTCAATTCATTTCGACCCATGTCTCCACTGACCAACCCACGTCGACGTCTGCAGCATGACGAGGGAACAGCTTGGGGCAAGCTTCCCTCCTCCCTTTCTGCCAATGCTTGCGCCGAGCGAGATCAGCAAATAATACTTGGGATAAAGGGGTTCAATTAGCACATCAATTGGGCGGATAAAGGGGTCAATGGTATGCTGGGCGGTTTGTCCAGCTTCAGCGACGGTCTGCTGGGTGCTGGGCAGGTGCTTGGGTGTAGCTTGGAGCTATCCTTCGTCTGCTCCTCTCCCCCTTGTCCTTTCGTCCTGCTCTTCCTTGACCACGGCAAGCTAGTCCCGTCCCGCAGGTTACATACCATACAAGGTATGTAACTCGTACAGTACATACATACAGTATATACATACCATACTGACTGACTGACTGACTGACTGACTGACTGACTGGGAGAGATACGAGGCATACTTGACCTTACGATACCGCTAAGGGTGCTATAATTACCGTCTTGGATATTCCTGGTTCATAATGCGGTCATACTGTCGGAAATGGCGCCTGCTCCCCAGAAAAAAAGAAAGCTGTGAGGGAGAAGGTGAAGGACCAGGGAGGGGAGAGGAGGATACACTGGTCAATCAGAGAGGAGGGCTGGTCCCCCCCCAAGGCATACTAGCTATGCGATGATTTGCATGCATCGATGACACCTGGGCATGGACCACCCCAAGAATAAGTCCGTTACGATGGCAACAACAGCTATAGCAAGGGACATCCTATAACCGACGACGAAGTTACCGTCTCATAATTATTATCGCTTGCAACAGTTACAGTGGAAGAGGTTGGGCTAGAGGGATAAAAAAAGAAAGAAACGGGTGCCGAAACAGGACTACACGGGATGCAAAGAGGAATAATATAACCGATGCAGCATTATCATGCTGCGTGAATTAATAAAACAAAAGTGCAGCAAAGGGCAAGCTTTTCTAGAAGACGCGAAGAAGTAAGAGGGAAAAAGTGCAAGGCGAAAGTGAATGAAGAAGCTTGGGTGAAAACTTTGATTCTTCTGCGACCTTTGAGGCATTTTCGTGATTCGTGATATTTTTTCTCTAGGAGCCCGCGGAAATCCTTCCTGACCCGCCCCGTCCCATCATCCCATCCAGAGTTGAGCTAAGGCTAACAATCGCTTCACCAGGAGGAGAACCGACCCATTGCACCGTCCCTAGCGAGTCCCCAACACCGTTAGTGTAGGGCTTTCCCATTGTGATATTCTTCATGGGCAAAACGCTGGTTACATACTTAAATTATGGGGAGCGCAGGAGAAGAGGGTCTTGTCTTGCTCGTCTACCCGGCTTGGCGATTCTACTGCCTTCTAAAGCGCTGATGTGCATAATCATAGCATACATAGGATGTATCAGAGCAGCTGTCTCTGGTCGAAGCCGTATGGCTCCGCGACGACGGGCCGAGTGAGATAAGACAAAACAATGCGTGATATATGCTCCGTATAGCCTGTAACTATGCAAAACGTCCTCGACATCCCGCGCCAGCCGGAGACAGAGCCGGAGGACCGTTGAGAAAGAGTGACGCTTTGAACCTCGACCAGGGGCAATTATATCATTCGAAGGAAGAAGAAACCATCCAGTCCGGTGACTTGACGGCGTACCGACCGATATAACATGCATGTCCAGAGGTACACACACACACACACACCCACACCCACGCAGCTGCCTGCGTGGCAGGCATGGCAACCCGGGCATGGCTTGCAAACTCATCCAACACTTCAGCCCACCCCCATGCCCAACGCACAGGCGAAAGAGGCAAAGATAGCTGCTATGTATAGTAAGGAAAAGCAAGGAAAGGGCCAAAAAAAAAAAAAAAAAAAGAACCCATACATATTAATTCCCCAGTATACGGCAAGTTGCCGTCTCGATTAAGTTGAGCAGGCAGTCGTGTGAGCTTCGATATTATGCGGTCTGCACAGTCCAACGCCCGTGAAAGTCCCCGACCTTTTCCTCCCCATCAATCAAATCGCAGAGATCAGCCCTTATTCACCGTTTTACGCTTCCTTCGTCTCTGCCGCTATCCTTCCGTTCGGTACATGGCGCCCTCTCGTCTCTCCCGGGTTTTTTTGATCTGATCAACCTTCCCCCGCCATGCCCTCGTATACCCGTGCCCAGCATGGCATATAGCTAGGTATATAGCTAGGTATATCTCTGTATATATATAGACATCCGTACAGCAAGGAGAAAAAAAAAAGAAGCCAAAGTTGCAATTGGCCAATGGCGGCAGAGGTGTTAAAAGCCCGCCATCACCTGACAGTTTATTATACTCCGGCAAGTTAATCGCCTAAAAAGAGAGAGGCCTAAAGAGAGAAGAGAGGGAGAGGCCTGCTTCTTCCCGTCATAAACTCCCGTCGCTATCGTCGGGCCCTTACTGACGGTGTTAAATATGGGGCATTTGCACTAACCATCACACTTTTTTTTTATGCCAAAAAGAAGACTCTTCCTCGGGACAGACCCAGCAGTTACGTAGTGATGGAAGATTTTTTTTTTCGTTTCGTTTCTTTTTCTTGCCAAACGACCATTTAGTTCCGAAGTCGACGAGTTTGCCGAACTTGCCGAAGGGCTTAAAAAAAAAGGCCCTTGGGAGGAAAAGTTAGCCTGTGAGGCCAGGCAAGGGAAAGGGAAAAAAGAAAAGAGAGAGAGAGAGAAAGCACTCCGATTTGGCGAGTGGCCTTGATTTTCTTGCTTTTCTTTCTTTGGAGGGAAAACGGCAGATGGGAAGATAAGCATGACAAGCAATTGATCGGTTGCAGGAGAGGGCGGGAAGGCAGAAGAAGAAACAAAGTACTCCGTACACGGTATGCCAATTCACTCGGTGCATTCCGGCTGTTATTTTCACTCGTTGTACAGTAACTTACGAGGCAGACCTGGGAGAGAGAGAGAAAAGATGAGAGGCTTCCCGCCAAGGGGCCTGCGGTGGTGACTATGAGTCTACCATCGCACATCGTTCTTGGTGTTTCTTAGGCGCCCTTCTTGGATGGGCCTCCTCCCTACGATCTTCCCGTCTGCCAAAACAACGCCCAGCCTGTAGATGGCATGGTCGGGGGGGTTTCGATTGATTCCTCCCTTGGCATTATCTATCAGACGTACAGAGAGGACAGGATCAAGAGTTCGTCAAGAAACGAGCACCCGATCTGCGACATGGATGAAGACCTACACATAGTACTATGGTAACACCTCTCTGACTTGGCGAGGGCAGCCCAGCCCTTGTCCCAGGGCCCGACTTCGTACGGCGGAGGGCAGGGCGGTTTTACATACATGAACTTCTTGTGTCCTGCCGCGCCCCATGGGGAAGGATACGATGTCTGCATGTCGTCTCTTCACAGCGACGACGTCGGGCCCTCCGTCAAGCTTTTCACCTGCGAGGAGAAGAAAACGAGGCGAGCCCGGTTCCTGAGTTGGAGGAGGAGGAGGAGGAGGAGGAGAGAGTGGAAAATTTTCCTTCTCTCTCCACCGAGGGACCACCAGCCGGTGTGACTTTTGTGTACTCCGTAACTCTGCTACATAAGGCCTTTCGACGAGATGACCCTGCTATTGGCTCGGGAGGGAGGCCGGTCGGTGAGGTCGGTGTCGGTTCAGGCCCGTCGAGCCGGAGGGTGTGCTTTTTTTATTCATCCTCGTCTGACCTTTTTTTCTTTTCTGTGTTCAGGCCGTTTGGAGAGAAGAAGGAAGAGAGATAAGAGGCGTTGGGAATGACGTAGAGATGTCTGATTATCGGCCGATGCGATGGGAGCGCGGAAGACTTCTCCTGGGTAGCCCTGCCGCCGTCCTACCCGGCCTCTTCTCTCTCTCTCTCTTCTCTTACTCTTCTCTTACTCTTACTCTTCTCTTACTCTTCTCTTACTACTCCTACTATGTACTTACATCTGCTGCTTCTCTGCTTCTTCCACGTAACAGACGGTAAGGGGAAAAGTGACAGTACGTGACGGTACGTGACAAGACGAAAGAGGAAGAGGGCGAAATTGGAGACCTTATCAGCGCTAGTCCCGATCGGGCTGTACCGCGGATACATGTTTTGCAGCCATCAAATACCATCGATACCAAAGATACGCCGCGGTACGAGGAAGGCAGCTTCTTCTTTGTTTTTTTTTTCCTTCGGTAAGGGCAATACAAGGTCTTTTTTTCTTTCGAACCGTAACCGTAAACCGGGGGTGGTTTTTTTTTTTTTTTTTTCAACCTTCGCGGCACCCACTTTTCATTTCAACTTCTTATATCTTCTTCCTCTTCTCCCTCTTCTCGCTCTTCTCTTCTTCTTCTTCCTCTCTTCTAACCTCCCCATCCCTCCTCCTCTTCTTCCCCCCTGTGCGCGTCTCTGTGTCTTCTTCTCTCTCCCCTCTCTCCGCTCTTCACCAGCTCCAGTCTTGCGACTGTGACTGCGCTCTGTTCGATGAGCTCGTAGGAGAAATAAAAAAAAAAAAGCCCGGAAGAAACCCTCAAGCGAATAGACGAAGAAAATAAAAACGTCCCCTTGATCGTCATAAAAGAGAAAAACAAAGACCCCGATAATGGCAGACCACTCAGCCCAGGGACAGGGGCAGCCCGTCCCCCCAAACCACCTCGGCACGGCCGTCCCCAGCGGCCAGTTCGGCGAGAACAAGGAGGAGGTCCAGCAGCACCACCACCAGCAGCAGGCCGCCGCCTTCGACGAGAAGAAGGGACCCATGCCAGAGGACGACGAGGAGGAAGAGGACATGGACCAGCTCATCGCCGACCTCGAGTCCCAGGACGGCCACATCGATGAGATCGACGACGAGGAAGACGACCAGCCCGGTGGTGAGCGTCCCGTGCCGGAGGAGCTCCTCCAGACCGACACCCGCACCGGTCTCACCGACGCGGAGGTCCTCACCCGCCGCAAGAAGTACGGTCTCAACCAGATGAAGGAGGAGAAGGAGAACCTCCTTCTCAAGTTCCTCTCCTACTTTGTTGGCCCCATCCAGTTCGTCATGGAGGTGAGTTTCGCTTTTGCGTCTTCAATTGATGTCGGATGTAGCTGACGAGGGATAGGCCGCCGCTATTCTTGCTGCTGGTTTGAGGGATTGGGTTGACTTTGGTGTCATCTGCGCCCTTCTGCTGCTCAACGCCTGTGTTGGTTTCATCCAGGAGTTCCAGGCCGGTTCTATCGTCGATGAATTGAAGAAGACTCTCGCTCTCAAGGCTGTCGTTCTCCGCAACGGCCGTCTCGTCGAGGTCGAAGCCCCAGAGGTCGTTCCCGGTGACATCCTCCAGATCGAGGAGGTGAGTTGTCTGAGTGTCAAAAGAACGGAAGAGAGGATGAGCTAACGAGAGTAGGGTACCATCATCCCAGCTGACGGCCGTGTCGTCACCGAAGATGCTTTCCTCCAGGTCGACCAGTCCGCCATCACCGGTGAGTCTCTCGCCGTGGACAAGCACAAGGGAGACCACTGCTACGCCTCCTCCTCCATCAAGCGTGGTGAGGCCTTCATGGTCGTCACCTCCACCGGTGACAACACCTTCGTCGGTCGTGCCGCCGCCCTCGTCAACGCCGCCTCCGCCGGAACCGGTCACTTCACCGAGGTCCTCAACGGTATCGGTACTGTCTTGCTCATTCTCGTCATCTTCACCCTGCTCGTTGCCTGGGTCGCCTCCTTCTACCGCTCCAACGGCATCGTCACCATCCTCGAGTTCACCCTGGCCATCACCATCATCGGTGTCCCGGTCGGTCTGCCCGCCGTCGTCACCACCACCATGGCCGTCGGTGCTGCTTATCTCGCCAAGAAGAAGGCCATCGTCCAGAAGCTCTCTGCCATCGAGTCCCTCGCCGGTGTCGAGATTCTCTGCTCGGACAAGACCGGTACCCTGACCAAGAACAAGCTCTCTCTCGCTGAGCCATACTGTGTCTCCGGCGTCGACCCAGAGGACCTCATGCTCACTGCCTGTCTCGCTGCCTCCCGCAAGAAGAAGGGTATCGATGCCATCGACAAGGCTTTCCTCAAGTCCCTCCGCTACTACCCCCGTGCCAAGTCCGTCCTCACCCAGTACAAGGTCCTCCAGTTCCACCCCTTCGACCCCGTCTCCAAGAAGGTCTCTGCCGTCGTCGAATCCCCCCAGGGCGAGCGCATCATCTGCGTCAAGGGAGCTCCTCTCTTCGTCCTCAAGACCGTCGAGGAAGACCACCCCATCCCGGAAGACATCGACGCCGCCTACAAGAACAAGGTCGCCGAATTCGCTACCCGTGGCTTCCGTTCTCTCGGTGTTGCTCGCAAGCGCGGTGAGGGTTCCTGGGAGATCCTCGGTATCATGCCTTGCTCCGATCCTCCACGTCACGATACCGCAAAGACCGTCAACGAAGCCAAGACTCTCGGTCTCTCCATCAAGATGTTGACTGGTGACGCCGTCGGTATTGCCCGTGAAACTTCCCGTCAGCTCGGCCTCGGAACCAACATCTACAACGCTGAGCGTCTCGGTCTCGGTGGTGGCGGTACCATGCCCGGATCTGACATCTACGATTTCGTCGAAGCCGCTGACGGCTTCGCCGAGGTCTTCCCCCAGCACAAGTACAACGTCGTCGAGATTCTCCAACAGCGTGGCTACCTCGTTGCCATGACTGGTGACGGTGTCAACGACGCTCCGTCCCTCAAGAAGGCCGACACTGGTATCGCCGTCGAAGGTGCTTCCGATGCCGCCCGATCTGCCGCCGATATCGTCTTCCTTGCCCCCGGTCTCTCCGCCATCATCGACGCCCTCAAGACCTCTCGCCAGATTTTCCACCGTATGTACGCCTACGTCGTCTACCGTATCGCCCTGTCTCTCCACCTCGAGATCTTCCTTGGCCTCTGGATCGCCATCCTCAACACCTCCCTCAACCTCCAGCTTGTCGTCTTCATCGCCATTTTCGCCGATATCGCTACCCTGGCCATTGCCTACGACAACGCCCCCTTCTCCAAGACCCCCGTCAAGTGGAACCTGCCCAAGCTCTGGGGTATGTCCGTCCTCCTCGGTGTCATCCTCGCCATCGGTACCTGGATCACCCTCACCACCCTCCTTGTCGGCGGTCACGATGGCGGTATCGTCCAGAACTTCGGTCAGATCGACCCTGTCCTCTTCTTGGAAATCTCCCTCACTGAGAACTGGCTCATCTTCATCACCCGTGCCAACGGTCCTTTCTGGTCCTCCATCCCATCGTGGCAGCTGGCCGGTGCCATCCTTGTCGTCGATATCATCGCTACTCTCTTCACCATCTTCGGTTGGTTCGTTGGCGGCCAGACCTCCATCGTCGCCGTCGTCCGTATCTGGGTCTTCTCCTTCGGTGTCTTCTGTGTTCTCGGTGGTATCTACTACCTCCTCCAGGGTTCCACTGGATTCGACAACATGATGCACGGAAAGAGCCCCAAGAAGAGCCAAAAGCAGAGATCCCTCGAAGATTTCGGTAAGCTCAAAACACCCCCTTGTCTCAGCTTCTGCTATATAAGCCATGTACTAACCTCTCTCCAGTCGTCTCCCTTCAACGTGTCTCCACCCAGCACGAGAAGAGCGCATAAACCTGAACATAAATATAAACATAAATCCCCCTGCGCTCCCCGGCTATTTTAATTCGGAGGCTTCATTCATTTCCTTGCTTTTCCAAATATCTTTCTTGTTCTTTTGTCACCCCCTTGCTTGTCCTTCAATTAGACAGCTGCCAGTCAAACCTGGTATGGCACGACATGACTTGGTCAACAACATATAGTCCTATAGCCAGCGCTATGACTATGGCCAAACAGTCAAACAGTTTAGAGCGGAAATAAACAAAAAATTCAAAACAAATCAAACCCCAAAACTCGCCCGCGCAGACAAGCACCACCAAAAGGAAAGAATACAACTGACATGGCATCAGTGGGACTGATCGGATGGAGCCAACGTAGTATGATGGTACGGCAGCGTGGAATAATAGAGCTCTAATACAAAAAGCAAGAAACAACAAAAAAAAAGCAGTGGGATTCATTTTTTGTTTATTGGATACTCCCAAAAGATTGCGCTGTACTAACTAAATTGGCTGCATTCTGGCCTTTTTTTTTGCCCTGCGTTGTTACATCTTGGTTCTCTCTTGTTGTACTTCTTCTTTTCCCTTTCTGGCTGGTCTGGCCTTGTACTGTTTAATTATGTTGTTATACTAGCTGTGTGCCTTTAATTATTAGACTGTATTCCTTTTTACTCCCTTTCCATTGGGTGTTTTATTTTAATAGCCAGGATTCTCTATACGAAGAAGATATTACTTCTTTCGGCAGAAGCAAGGCTGATTAGGTAATAACATCTTCAACCTCCAACTTCTCGCCACAGATACAAAGGCTTGAAGATATCTACCTTAGACGACCTTACACATCTCGGCCTGGCTACAGGTACAAGAGCTCAAGAACTTGTATCCATCCATGTCCGGCCAGGTCAAGCCAAGTCAAGCTACAACAAGAATGATACCCCGTCTGACCAACTTGTTGACATCACCAACCCGCTATTCTCGCATTCATCTACTTGCTACATGTACCATGTACATCGAGCTACTTCTATAGCCTTTACAGCTATCCTCTATCGGACATTGATATGAGGTTATTGGTGGGAGGCTGTGACGCAACCGCCCTCGCTCCTTGCTTCTACTTAAAATGCCTCCAACTGCCTGCCTCGGACAGTCAACGAATAACTATTCAGCCTCCTAGCTATCGTTGGCGAGACCGATAACATAGTTACTTACTATACATATCTACAAGATGTTAACGCAGCACCCACCTGGTTCCCCTAGCCACGCGAAATTCTCACCACATCTAGCCGATGTCGTGGACGCAGTGACTTCTCAGAACCGAATGTTCCAGCGCCGAACATCGGTATATCAGAAATACCATCTCTTAGAAAACATTCGGAAGAAATCATGGCTTGGGCCGCCGTCAGAGGTACGCTATACACCTAATACCTAACAATCTAACCATGCAAGCCCGGCCAGGCCAGGCTCTGGATGGATGGGTGCCTTGACTAAAGTCTCCAGACGATCTACGGGGGTATATCCTTCTCCCTCGAAAACGACGGCAAAGACATCGGCATTGCCCTCGCGATCCGAGATACAGTCTACTTTCTTGATTTCTGCGAACACCACTTCTCCATCGGCAAGGATGAGTCCGGATCCGAGAAAATAACGCAGTTCATCATCGACCAGCTGCGTACGTATGAACAGGATCATCTGGAGAAATTCTTTGGAATCGCGATGCCTTCGCTGCTGTTGGAGAAATGTCCGCGGCTTTGTTCGCGGATGTGGGCGGAGCTAGATATCGTGCCGTTCATACTTAATCCCAGAGGAGCGCATAATGTCGAGTGGATTAATATGGGGCTGTGGCAGTCGAAGACGTTGGACGAGAGGGCGGAATCTATTGCTAGGAAGTGTATCTCGTGGGTTTACTCTTTCTCTCCTTCCTTGCTTTTCGTGGGTAGATGCTGATATCGAGTAGATACTTTGGCCCTAATCAAGCACCCCTGTTACAAGTTGGTTTCCGAGGTCTGGTTGATGTCGATGCAGGTTCTACAGCTGTGCTTACTACTCTCTCGGACTATGAGAAGACCGTGGGAGAAAGGACGTGGAAGGCAGTGATGAAGTATGCCGCGGACATGAAGGACCGGAATGTGAAAATCGCTTTCTTCAGCAGTACGCCGCAGGGAGGCGGTGTTGCTTTGATGAGGCATGCTTTGGTCAGGTTTTCAAACGCCCTCGGGACAAATATCAAGTGGTTCGTCCCGCGGCCCCGGCCAGGCGTATTCCGCATCACCAAGAACAATCATAACATCCTTCAGGGTGTAGCTGCGCCTGACCAACGTCTGACTGAACAGCACAAACGAGATCTGACCGACTGGATCTTTGCAAATGCAAACAGATACTGGTTTACTAAAGGTGGTCCACTCGAGCCTCCTGAGAAGGGAGGAGCGGATATAATTATCATCGATGATCCACAGATGCCAGGCTTGATACCTCTGATCAAGAAAGTAACGCCAAATCGTCCTGTTATTTACCGAAGCCATATACAGATCAGGAGCGATCTGATTGATGACCCGAATTCTCCGCAGGCTGAGTGCTGGCAGTATTTCTGGGAGAGTATTCGTCACGCTGACCTCTTTATCAGCCATCCTGTTGAGGCGTTTGTTCCGAGTACCGTATCTCGGGAGTCTGTTGGGTATCTCCCTGCTTCAACTGATTGGTGAGTAGATACGTTACTTGGATCGTATAGGAATTTCACTGATACGTTGTTCTAGGCTTGATGGCCTGAATAAGACCATGGACGATTGGGACGTCGGCTACTACGGCCGTGTATTCAACAACAAATGCAGAGAGATAGGCATGACCACAATCGATTACCCCCAAGGTAAAAGCCCATAGCCTAAGCTTCACTCCTTGCCGTGCTACAACTAACCAATATGAATATAGACGACTACATCGTTCAAGTAGCTCGCTTCGACCCGTCCAAAGGCATCTTTGACGTTCTCAAGTCCTACGCTAAGTTCCACGACCTCATCAAAAACACACCCCACGTCAGCATCCCTAAGCTCCTCATCTGCGGACACGGCTCAGTAGATGATCCAGACGGTGCTCTCATCTACGACGCTGTCATCGAATACCTAGCAAAACACCTCTCGCATCTAAAATCAAAAATATGCGTCATCCATATCCCGCCCTCCGACCAGATTCTTAATGCCGTCCTATCCAAAGCCAGAATCGCCCTGCAGCTATCCACCCGCGAAGGCTTCGAGGTCAAAGTCTCAGAGGCCTTACATAAGGGAAAACCAGTCATCGCTACCAAGGCAGGCGGTATACCCTTGCAAGTACAACATGGCAAAAACGGCTATTTAGTCGAAGTTGGCGACACCGATGCCGTTGCCGGACATCTCTACGACCTGTGGACGAACGATGATCTGTACGATTGCATGAGTTCGTATGCGTTGCATAGTGTGAGTGACGAGGTTTCGACCGTTGGTAACATCCTGTCCTGGCTTTATCTGGCGAGTGCCATGTCCAAGGGCCATAAGTGCAAGCCACACGGTAGGTGGATTAACGATATGGCTAGAGAAACGGCAAATGAGCCTTATGTACCCGGTGAGAATAGGCTGCAGCGTTCGGTGGACGTCAAGCCGTCTGGCTGTTAATTTTGATGTATTCTGATCTCTCTCTCGGTTGTTGTTACTTGCTTGGCCAGAATCTTTTCTTGAAATATCTAATGATTTTTTTGTCTATTTTTATGTATGATATCTCTCTACTCAAATCTGTTAGGTTAATCGTTTGTTGGAATTAAATCTTTTCGGGACGCATTTCGAGAAACGCTGTAGTTACTCCAAGTCGAAATGTTTGACGTTAAACGCGCTTAGTAGACGCCGAAATAGTTATTCGAAGCTTCTTGATTGCCACCAACATCTTATTTACTGTGAAGCAGCCAGATAATTATCAATATCTACTCCACAAAATTACATACTATTTTCTAGTTGAATTGGTTAATTTCTAAATTAACTGCCGTTTCTTGCTGGGAAATTGATAACTACAATTCACAAATGACGTCCATCTCTCCAACATGAGGTCTATCCCGGGATACCATTACGGTATGTCAAGCTGTTTGTGTGCCCTTTCTGCCCTCAATAGAATGGAATGCAAAATCAACATATGCGGATTCACTACTCCTTTGCCGTGGAAGGATGGGTTAGCCTGTCATTCAGCTATAATTTATACAAACCTCAGCCATATACAGCCCTGTACTTCCGATGTGTCGGTGGATATAGCAGTCTATTCTAACTGAACCTTTAGATCCGGAAAAGAAGAAATATTTTAAAATTCAGCCTGGACATACAGCACAAAGTGGGTCGAAATATTCGGAAGCTGAGGTCAAGAGACGAGAGAAGCAGTTCACAGTAAGCCCGTATGATCTCTACTTTTAGCCACTTAAATGCTCACATTCTGGGCAGAAAAGGAAGCAGAAAGATGTATACCATGAACGCACGCGGCTTGAAAGAGTTGAAAGAGCGAAAATACTCGGCCTCCCCATCATTGGTTCTCTTGGAGTTGAATTGGAAACGGGGCGCCGCAAGGCACCAAGTAGAGATACCCTCAACCAAAGAACTATAGCTTGTGCCAGTCTTATGGAACCCCGCCAGCTTGTCAATCTTGGCTATAGAGGAAAACACTACTGCCATCAGTTTGCACGAGATCCAAGGACTGGAATAATTCTCACGGGTATGTGGGCTTCATTAAACCCCTACTAAAGGATTGGAGTGATGCTAACTGATGATGTGTTGTATATTCAAAGCCCTCAAGCCAACAAGTACATCCAATTTTAGGTATATTATTACCTCCAATCTTCTTGTCTACGGATATTATTCTTATTCTCAACTCACACAGCGCATTTCGACCCATATCGCCGGACAGACCATGGAAATATGATGAACATGTCGATAAGGGCATAATTGAACTCAACCATCGTGAATGGGTAAGCATTTCTGAGAATTAATCTCCACTTCAGTTTATTGATTCAGTAAATAGATTATTGCTCTTTCAATAAACCACACGGGACATGTGCTGTACGTACCAGAGCTATAACTGGGATATCTTCGCACTTTTAGCTAAGTGACTCAACAGTATAGTGTCACAAGACCTTTTCTCTGGGGAGGGTGCCCATTTAGCTGTGGGCAAACTTATAGAGCCGAGTGATGCCTACGGGAAGAGTAGCAGGTGTGCTTTCGAAAGTAATAGGTTACCTGCCCGCAATATACCCTCTCTTGCTTCTTTCTTACTGACCCATGTGGCTTGAAATGCAGATCTCTCGATATCATTTAAAAGGAAAAACTATTGCTTTTCTTCGGCTGCTACATGCCCTTTTAGAAAATCATGCTTATTCGCAGTTGGATGTTCTAATGAGTTGTTAGCTATAAACGCTTTAGATTCACAGGCTTCAGTCCAGCGGCTGGGTAAATTCCATGCCAATATATCTGGGCTCGACTGGTTAAATCAGGACGTGGTCATTGTCGGCCTCCAAAACTCAACCGTTGCGTTATATGATATGCGGTGTAAAAAGTCAGCCTCACGTTTGACGCATTCCCATGGTGTGCAAAGGCTAAAAATGGTGAATGAATCGGGGATACTTGTCGCTGGAGTTGATAATACGGTGAGCTTTTCCCTTTATTTTGATAACCCAAAAATATCCCTATACTCTGTCTTTGGACCGCGTCTGATATAGTTGCATTTCATTAGCTCGATATGTATGACTTACGGTTCATTAAAACACCTGCCAAAGAACAGCCCAATCCGAATAAACGGAATCACCAACCTACGACACCATATCTTAGATTCGGCGAGCTCAATTATCGTACACTCAATGATATGGATGTATCCCCTCATCTGGGTCTTGTGGCTTGTGGTTTGTCTCTCATGCACTGGAGGCCCCTTTCCACCATAAGTGGTCAAAGTTCATTCTAACTATAATGCTACATAGCAACGGACCTGCCGAGAGTTCAGCTCTTCTCTTTGCACACTGGAAAATTACTCGAACCACCAACAATACCACTAGAAAGCTCCCGACGTTCAACAGATATCTTGTTTAGAGATTATATGAATCCAATTGACTGCGTGCGATTCGAATCAATAACTGAACCGTACGAGTATGGAAACTCAATAGTAACTACTGACGACCGCAATTCTGCCAGCAGTGTTAGTTTATTGGTTGGCTCTGGTAAGATTATTGAAGAGTGGGCTCTGTAGCAACTACCAAGTATTACTTAGTAGCCCTTGATATATATGGAATGAGAATTATGTTACATGTATCCCATTTCTTAGCATAGGACTGGAAACCAAAAGAACAATGAATATAATAATATTAGACAATCAGCGCACAATCTCTATCCTCAATTCTAAATACATATTATGAAATTTGAACAAATAAAAATCTTTCAGGCAATACAACAGATTTCATCAGCTAGACACTATACCCAATCCCATTGTCCGCCAAGGAAATATGGAGGAGGAATTTGAAGCAGGTCTTGGGTTTACTCGCAGAGGTGGAAGTTCCCGGCATTTGGGTTGTCACCCTCTCCGTCGTGGGAAATAACGCCGCAGTAGAGTCTGGTCTCAGCGGTAGCAATGACACGGAATGGGCCTGGGTCATCCTTGGGGCGGGAGTCGAAGTTGTAGAGAGCACCCTCAGCCTGGAAGACGGGGTACTCGCGAAGGCGCTCGTTTCTGCAACCCTTGGGGAACTTGATGTTCTGGAAGTTCTGGAAGTCGTGAGGGTAGCCAGATCTGCCGGTGTCAATTGGAGAGGCACCAAGCTGGCGCTGAACGTTGTCAACGCTAAGCTTCTGGTCGCTGCCTTTGAGAGCCTTGTTGTTGCATTTGACGTGCTGGGAGGTAATAGTCAGTTTGGCTCCTTGTATATGAAAGGTTGAAGGGAGAAAGCATCTTACGTTGTTGCGGTTTTCAATGGGGTTTGCAACAGCAGCACCAACCAGGGCGAAGGCAAGGATTGCTTTGATGGAAACCATTTTGAATGATGAACGTTGTTTTGTGGTGTATGTTTTGTATGCTAGGTTGAGTTCTGTAATTGTCTTTGTGCTTTCCATGCAATTGTTGTTGTTGATGATGAGAAGAAGAAGCGAGTATTAACCGGGGAAGATAATCTCTTATATAGACATTCTTCCCCCCATCTCGTCCATGATAGAACGGTTGGTTTTTTAAGAACGGTCCTTGATCGATAATAAGGCAAGTGAGTCATTGGTTCAAGAAGCAATCTCGCATCTGGAGATTGATGCAAATGGGTCTCCTGCAAGCTCCCCGTGAACATGATCATAGTATACTGTTTCCTCCATTTCGAGATCGAAAAAGGAAAAAGATATCAAAGATGAAACGGATTGGCTTTGAAGGATGGTGCCTTTCCCAGCGATCGCGGGGGAAACACGTTATAGCCACAGCAGATCGAGACCCTGAACCGTCGCCTTGTCCGAAATTCAAAGGACTTATTCGTACATGGCGTAGCTAGATGCTTCAAGCCGCCATCGTTTGGTAGACATATGCACGATACCCCACAGTCCTACATGCAGCCTTGCAGAAACGGAGAGAAACTGAAGCAGAAAAATTTCCCCCACAGGGTTCCCAGCTTTAATGCCTATACCAATGAGATGTGAAGCTGGTATTTTGTAAATGGCCGCAGGATTTGCTGTTAGTCGCCTTCGAATATATCCATTCTCGCGACGATGATATGTTACCAGAGCGGCTTGTAGGCTGTATCAACGCTGTTCAGGTGCATCTTGAGGACAACAAGCGGATAACCCTATCATTCGTATTTCCATCCTCTTTCTTAGCCAGCAAACAGCCTTGCTAGGTGTCATAATTTGATATCGTCAACTTTGATGTCACTTTTATGTTTCTTTTTTTCATGGAACCTTTTTTTATGGTTATTTTTCTCCCAAACCCTAAAATATCTTCATTCTACTTGGATATATGAAAGAAAGGGGCTTGTTGTATATTTTCATCTACTATGTAGAGAACAATGGCAATACTATGTAAGTTGAAACAACGGTAAGAAGACTCTATAATATGGACACATTAACGTCATGTCATGGAGACGGTATCGACCCTGGTGAGCCTGCCATGCCATCGTCCTCCCTTGCAGCCAGTCGACTTCAGCGGCTGAGAACGAGCGGCAAATTCCACAGCCAATACGTCACTGTCAGCTCCACTGAAGCGAGGGGTAAAAACGTACGAAGATCCAAGGCTCCAGGATTACAAGGGTTACAATGAGACGCAGAAGAAAACGGAGAAGAAGAAGAAGATAAAAGGCGATCCTCGAGGCTGGAAGAGAGAAATATTCCGCAGCTCGCTTCATCAAACCATCCTTCATCAAAAGTAATAGTAATATCTCTATAACATCAGAAAATGGCGACTCTATCACTCCGTCTTCCATCCCTCGAAGATGGCGATCCTTGGATTGTCCACCAGAAGCTGTTCGGCATCCTCAGTGAATACCTGCAGCCTGCTAGCAGCACAGCTCCGTCTGCTGCGGCGAAAGAAATAGATAGCCTGACGCCAAAGAAACGACAAGGCTTAGACGCTTCGGACGACGCCAAACCAAAGGAAGACTATGAGAGCTTTCTTCTCGAGATATGGAACTCTCTTATCGAGGTAGCTAGGCAGATCCCAAGCGATCACGCCTCGCAGGACCGCTTGGTAGAGCTGGTAAAGGCTCTGCGCGAGCTTCCATCAACCAATGCAGAGATCTGGGGTGTAAGTTCACTCCAGTATAGACGGATAGAAGAGAGAGGTGGTATAATATCGCCGGCGTATATGCTGATTTGAAAGCATTTAAGAACACTGTCAGAGTATGGACTGATTTACCTCTCCTCGGGCCTGCGATGAGAGAAGCTTGGATAGGTAAAAGAAGTCCCTAAACATAGTCATTTCGCCTAGCTTATGCTGTCTACCAGGACCACCCAGCGGCAATGCGCATAGCTCCAACGATGCCCAGAGATGGGTAAACCAGAATGCGTTTGCAGCCCGTCTCTTGAACCTTGACCAGATCTTCTGGTCCAACTTTGCTGTCTGGAGCCTCCGATCCGCCCTCGAAGAACCACCAGCGGCAAATGCTGAAAGCCATAGGTGCAACGTTGAAGCGGCAGCCCAGTGGATGGTGTATAGCGGCCCTTATTTGCTGAAAGAGGCGAATGAAGATCCTGCTAGAGAGGCTGAGGAGCAAGAAGCGGCAAAGACTGAAGCCCAGCCGAACAGGGGCCAACCTCTGGCAGCCGGAAAGTATATAAAGCCGAGCGGAGACTTTGCACCGAACGCTGGCAATTCTGGAAACAGCAGTTTGGAGATATCAGTCAACAGGATATTAAGAGTGTTGCTGCGCTGGCAAAGCAGAAGATGGAATCTGTCGAGTAATAGGATAGAAGCAGCATTTCTTAAAGAGTTACGATGGAATAGAGAAGTAATGCTTTCGTCCGCTTGTGATTGATAATTTTTATCATGCATTAATATACACTCTGAACAGGCCGTAATTTTGTGCTATCTATCTCGTTTTTCCCAAGTAAATCAACCCCATGTATATGCAAATCATAACAATACAAAAAAGTTGCAAGGAAAAGTCGTGTTACATCCCTCGATCTTCAGGGAATTCGTCCTGCAGCCTCAATCGAGCCACAACATTCATGCTGAAGAGCTCCTGCACAAGCAGCTTCGCGGCATAGGGTATCACCATCTTCACTACTCCTGCTGAGGTCTTGCAGCGCTGACACCAGCCAGAGTATCCCATAAATCCGCAGCCTTCACACACATCTACTTCATGCCGATCGGAAGATATCATTAATCGTTCGAGGAGAAGTTGACTCGTGCCGTATGCAATCAGACAGTCACGTTCCATCTCTCCCAGACGTAGACCACCATCGCGAGAACGACCCTCGGTTGGCTGACGGGTAAGTGTGGCTCGGGGTCCACGGGCTCGTGAGTGCATCTTATCTTGCACCATGTGCTTGAGTTTTTGATAGTAGATCGGTCCAGTGAAGACGTAATATGTAAGTGGTTCGCCTGTGATGCCTGATGTCAAATAGTCCTTTCCACCATAGCTGAACCCGTGGTCCACAAGAATAGCGGACATCTCTTCGACAGGGCTACCGCCAAAGGGTGTGCCATAGCCAAACTGGCCGGAGATAATGCCAGCCTTACCCGCGACAAGTTCCAACATCTTACCAACAGTCATACGCGACGGGAAACCATGTGGGTTCATTATAATGTCAGGGACCAAGCCTGTGTCTGTAAATGGCATGTCGGCCTGTTCCGCAATAATTCCAACGACACCCTTCTGCCCGTGGCGAGAAGAAAACTTGTCGCCAACTTCCGGTCGTCGGGTTTGTCGGGTTTGGACCTTGATCAGCTGGCTCTCTCCTTCAGTAGTTGATATCATCACTTTGTCGATATAACTATAATCGGGGAGTTTGTAGGTCTGGGGAGTTGGGTTATATTTCACAGGTAAACCTGCATCGGAGCCAGTAATTCCAGACGAAAGTGCATTGTCTGGTGTCTCTTTATTTATATATACTTCTCCAGGGCTGACTTTCTCCCCAACAGCAGCTAAACCATCATTGTCAAGGAGACCATGTTTTCTAATCGAAACGCCGTTCTCCCTTGTCGGGCCGACTAGCCTATCCTTTGTTCCGTTGGAATAGCTCTTGAGATTTGCCGAATACTTCCTGAAGACTTGACAACGACCGAACCCACGGTCAACTGATCCTTTGTTGAGCACGAGGGCATCCTCGATATCGTATCCGGAATAACTCATCACAGCAACCATAGCATTTTGGCCTGCCGGGAGCTTGTCGTAGTTTGTCAATTCTATTGTTCGAGTCTTTACCATTGGCTTTTGAGGATATACCATAGCATAGAGTAAGGAATCGATACGGAGGAATTGGTTATTGGCAATTGCACCTATAGCTTGTTTACCCATAGCACATTGATAGGTATTTCGGGGAGATTGGTTATGATGAGGGTAAGGTATAAGGCCCGCGACGGCCCCCAGTACTGTAAACGGCTCTATCTCCAGATGGGTCGTGTTTGCGTCTATCTCTCTTTCGTACACGGCAATGTTTGCATCGTTTTCCTCGTTAACATCGACATATTCCACAAGCCCATTAGATAGGAAGTCGTCAAAATCCATTGTGCCACTGCGCAGAGCACTTAAATGTCGCGCTGTAACCTTGGACCGCTTCTTTTCAACAATGATCAAAGGGCGACATATACGCCCATCATCCGTGGAAACATGGACGCTTTTCTGGTTATGGTTGATGAACACACTGACGAATTCTGAGATCCTGCCCATCCGTCGCAAGCGCCGGAAGGCATTGAGGAAATACTTCGGCCGCCTGGTCAGCGCAATAGGAGATCCATTCATAAATACAATATAAGCACCCTGACCGAAGCATTCTCTGCCTCCTACAGTCTGGATATCCTCTGCACCAAGAGTGAATACAAGTTTCTGTACTGGCTCTTCTTCGTCGTTTGTGGTGATATGTGTCATGAGTGCAAGATTCTTCACAAGGCCACAGGCTTCACCTTCAGGGGTATCTGAGGTACAAAGCATACCGAATTGCGACGGCTGAAGGGCACGAGGACCAGAGACTTTCCGTGTCTTTTCGAACTGACTGCTTATCCGTGTCATCATACCAAGAGCAGCAATGTAGCTCAACCTGCTTAGAACATGTGTGACACCGGCCCTCTCCATTCGGAAACGTTTTAAACTCCAGTTCCCAGTTGCAATTGCGCGGTTCATTCCTTGGGTGATATGGTTGCCATGAATGGCAACAACAGGGTAGGCATCAAAGGCCTCTGTTCGTACGGGCTTCTTCAAGACCTTATCTATGTTCATTTTGATATCAAAGCAGAACTTTTTGAACAGATCTTCAAACAATAACGCTAGGAGCTGACCAGCTAATTCCAATCGCTTATTACCAACGTAATCACGATCGTCCACCAAACTTGGGTCGAGCTTTGCCATTAACACACGTCGAGCCATGTAGGTGACGTATAGGGCTTTGGGTCGAAAATTCATATCCTGAACTTGCACATGAGATATTATGACAGAAGATATGGCCTCAATGGCTTCTGCAACATAGTTTCGACGAGCGGGTCCAAACCCTGAGGCTTTTCGATTAATCTTGATGCGCGCACCCAAGTACTCAAGAGCTTGTTGCTGTGTGAATATACCCAGTTTGATAGCTTCCTCGAAGTTGATCGCAAAGTCTTCTTGATATTCCAGGTCAACTCCTGCTACCAATAGCAACATTTCTTTATCAGATTGTATTCCCATGGCCTTTAACAGAATAACAATCGGAATGTCATCGTTTAAAACGTTGTGTCGAAGGTAAATGCGTCCCTTTTTCATAATGATATAACTTTTCGATTTCCGCTCATGTGAAGAACTGTGATTTAACGTTATTAGCAACGAAGGGTAGAGATGTACAAGATTCCGGGTCTTTAAACCTACCTAGTCACAGAAGCCTGTACAATCTCCTTTTTAGAGTCTGTTTCGACAATGACTCTGTTTTTGCTTAACTGTTCTTGCACTAAGATGACCTTCTCCGTTCCGTTTACAATAAAGTATCCTCCTGGGTCGAGAGGACATTCATGTAAGGTGTACATCTCTCGTGCTGATTTATTTGACAATACACATTTGGAGCTCCGGAGCATGACAGGCATACGGCCGATGGCAGTTCCATTCCGCTTGACTCGCTGGCGGCCACGAACATATTCGAAATCTACTAGAATAGGTGCCGCATATGTCATATCTCGAAGTCGACATTCGTTTGGAGTGATCGTGGAATCGACCTTGATACCTGACTGCTCTTCATCGGTTCGCCGGGGTGTTCCAAGGTAGATGTCATGAAACCTATAATTGAGAGGATTAAATGGTTAGTTTTGGGTAACCACTTGGGCGCAAAAATCGGCCTACTTTATATAAAACTTTGGGTCGATATCACTGCGAATTTCCGCACTAGACTGTACAATCTTTTTGAGCTGGACTTCGACAAAATAGTTGTATGAGTCGATATGTTGTTTAACGAGACCTTTGACTTTGAGAAATGCTGGCAATAGGTTCCATTTGTCTCTTTCGGTGTTGATTGGGTCGGTCAGATGTTTATCGTAGTAGAATGGTTCGAGCAGTGCCTCAAAGTCCTGTATTATGTCTCCAGTTAGAATAACCTGAATGCCTTCAGTAGAATAGCAAAAGCAGTCGTACATCAGATCGTTTGCCCTTTTGCGAATTCGAGGTATGACTCTTTCTGCGAGCTCCCGGGTTATGCGAATCGTCTGTGAACTTCGCAGCAGCAGCATTTCCTACGGATCTTCTCTGAGTGCCCGATGAAGCTGTAGACTATACTAAATGGTTAATACTTTGCTTATAAACTTGCAAGTATGGACAATCATCGCACATACATTGCCCGCCGCACCTCCAACATTTGGGCCTACTGTCTTCTTCCGAGAAGCCATGATTCCGCGATATTAACCCTGGGAGCGCAAAAACTAAAGGATAATCAAAACAGCCGCTATGAATTGTGTCAAGTCATCATCATGGCGAGGTTATATTGTATCAGTTCATCAGCGCATGTTTCTCTATATTTTTTTTTCGAAGATAGAGGGTTGGAGGGGAACCTTATTTGGAGCTCTGCGGACTTTTATTTTTCCGACCGGCTCTTCCGGCCGTTTTGAGATATCAACCAAGGTTGGAAGTTGGAAGAATCATCAATTCATTTGCATTCCACAAGGAATAGTACGACCGGTTATTATTGAACTTATAGGCTGGTGGGCACTACAATTTATCAAGCCGTACTCTATGGATTCTCTGTTGACGAGAGAATTCGTGGCCAATGCGCGCAGCCGAGGATACGATAGCTTGTATGGAGTCGACGGTTGATTGGGGCGATTCGAGGAAGGGGATGGAAAGACACAGCATTCTAAGAGACCCCTAGCTTGGGGGATGAGATTTGAATTCTTTATAATTTCAGCTAACTCATACAACCTGAAAGCAGCAGTTAGTGTTTATTCCGTGTCGCAGGAAACCCGAGGACGTGGGTTATGAGGTGCACAATCCCATCTACGGGGTAGATAATGGCGAAACTATGGGGCACAGCGAATTCTTCCACGGAATGCTGTCGTCGATGATACCTTTTCACCCATGTCAGGTTTTTTAACGACATGGGTGTTATTGCAAAAGCCACCGCCCCTTCTCAACCACCCAACCCTCAACGAAGAAAAGTCTCCTTTTGCGCAACCATAACGTGAAGAGGTTGCGAATTCAGTTGGAGTTATATATTATCTCTAAAATATACATCCAAGTCGCGAGGGATCTCGTCTTACCATGACATCTCGTCGGTTTCGATATCAAGGGCTCCCTTGATGAACGGGGTGAATATATTGTTGAGAATTGATTGATCATCGATGCAAATGTCCATAGCATTGAATGAGAGCAAACCTTAAATCGGCATGATTTTCTCCAGCCCACAAAGTTGAATTGTTAAGCGAAGATGGTGAAAATTGGCCATCGTTCTCAAGGGAGTGTAGCATCAGATACTATTAGGTATCATTGCTTGCCGTCAGTTGCGGCCTCACCGACTCGGTACCTAACCAGTGAGGTGGTGCGTACCTAAAGTACCCTTGACTTCATGATGATGTGCGGCTATCAACATCAAACATCGTGAAGTGGGGGAGATTGACAACAAGTTTCATTTGGGTTGTACAGCAGCCTGCACCATCCCCGGTCAACATACTGTAGACCAACGCATTGCCGCAGATATTTCACGATCTAAATATCCCATATATATAATGATGCGTATATACACCTATTATATATATAGTATGTTCAACAGCAGAATTTCGAGTGCGGCTACAGGGCGGAGGCCAAGCGAAACGTGTGGGTGGTAGATACTACATAGACGGTAAAAAGGACCACGATAGAGATGAATCAACCTCATTCCTGCCAGCCATGTGCAGAACTAGCTTCTCCAGGGCGTCTAGGATGAAGCTCGATGCGCTGACAACAAATTACACTGACCGACTATCCCGCACAATGATGGGCCCTATTGAAGTGACCTGCCAATCGCTGCATACCTTGCTGACAAGGCTCCTGGAGTGTGGACTTGGCAGTAAACCTGGGGAAATCAACTTGGTTGGGCCGGAAGACTTGTTGAGACTTCGGTATATATACGCTAGGTGAAAGTAGATGCTACTAAAAGATGAGTGACCCTGGCGATATGATTGGAGTTTTATGTCCTAATCTCTGGTCGTGGGCTGCGGGAACGAAGGGCGGAGACAACCTTCTACGGAGAGGTACATATATGGAGTACCGTGCTATGCATATCCTTCTTAAACGGCTGGGCCTGTGACGGTGCATCGTGGCAAGCTTGCATGCTTCGAAACCTAGCGGCCGCTTCTGTGCTTGTGCTGGCATTTCCACCGCTCATTCGAGTTCGGGTGTGTACGTACAGAAGTACTCTGCCCTGTGACTGCCGGGTGCTGGCTTCATGCCACACTTTACAAAAATAGTATACTCTGTATGTTGAGGGAAAAGTGCGAGATTCACTCCCTCCCATCCCAAAAATTAAGACTGGTGTCAAGGGTGCCTGGAAGACAACAACCCGCATTCAAAGAGAGAGAGAAAAAGCAATGACGTCGAACAACTCCATATTTTGGCTGTGCGACCTTTCCATCTTCAGAGAAGAGAGAGAGAGAGAGTACCAAATACGGGGCAGGTATAAAAGGAGACCAAGCCTATCTCCGCATCCATCTCCCGTACTTTGTACGCACGGCTGTAATTACTGACAGAACGAGAATTCTGTGCCTAGTGGGGAGTATGACGAGAAAACACATTGAAACTTCGTCTGTGTGTTTGGGGATGCTCGTTTCTTTTTCTTCACACAGGTTCAAGGCGGCAGCGGTGATCAGAGTTCCCCGTATGCATTCATTGGACTCGAGAGTTAGATCAGCGTTCATGACCATCTTTTCTGAATCTCTCGTGGGCAGCAAGAAGGCGAGAGACAGGGTGCGTGTTTGCTCTATCCCTCCCAGTTCTGGCACAGTTGATAATGGACAATGAACAGACCCTACGGCTGCACGCCGTGCAGGGCGCACAGGTTCTGGGCCTTGTGCCAGTGAGCGACTGAGAAGTTTGAGACTCCGGGCTTGTTTGATTGGGCCGTATATCGGGTGCTGGAGGGTTCTCCACCCACGTCGTCGTGCATGCGTCGATATCTACTATATGTATATATGCACCTAAGAAATGGCACCATGTACCTTGCAATCTGATGCGTCGTCGAGATGCACAAAACACTAATCTCGTTAGCCGACAGCTTGCTTACTCTGAACGCCTTCCCTCCGTCCTGTTGTGCCCTCTGTCTCATGGGACCAGCCAAAAGGGTCACTGTCCCTTCCATCTCCCCGTGTAAGAACAGTTCCAGCCTCCGTGACGCTGTTATGGCCAGGCTTCCAGGGACCCTTTCCTTCTCCCCCCACCCATTTCCGCGAGTTCGTCTTGAGGAGTGGTGTCGGTTCAGGTCACTGGTACTGGCTCGCGAACGAGGATGCAGCGCCAAAGAGAGCGAGTTGTTGGGCAAGGACGAAGTAGCGGTGACCCCTCAGTGGGCCCCCAGGGATAGCGGGTAGCCCTGCCTGACGCAACCCTATTTGTTTAGAATTTCGAGGGTTTCTGCAAGATGAATTCCAATCAGAAAATAGATATCGGCGAATATTTAGGCGTTGTGGAATATCCAGGGGGGTTTTGAGGGCCGGTCATTCGTCCAGAGCGGGTGCTATCTTGTACACTTAGGGTCGCCTTCCATTGCTGAAAATATGCTTGAGCTGCTGCAAGCCATTGAACTTGAATCCCCGCTGTCAATCACATAATATTTGGTCCCTCTTCCCCTTCTTCATATCTCCCTCTCTCTCCCTCTCTCTCCTCTCTCTCCCCTTCTCTTCGCCCTTTTTCCTTTCCCCGGGCTTTCTCCTGCTCGCTCTGCTGGCCCTCTCTTCGCTTCTCAAGTCTCACAGGGACTTCCCACGCTCTGTACAACAACCGATCTTTCCTGATTTCTCTCGTTCCATGACCAGCTCTTTCTTTTCTTCCCGCCCTGTCAACATTCCTGGTTTTGAAGAGATCCTGTATGTATATTAAACCACTCCAAAGCAGTTTTTGTTCCTGCGAACGCATCCTTACGAATCCTCATCGATCTCTGAGATGACCTTGCTCACTCCTCCTTTGCCAGACATCTTCGGGTTGACCCCATAGACCTGCCGCCAATTGACCCGCCCTAGTCGTGTCTCATAAATTGGAATATCCAGCCTTACCCCGCCAAAATTAAGAGGAGCGTAAATTCCGCCGTAAAACAGAAAGAGACAGTCGAGCCTTGGTTTTCTGGTTTGACAGCGGCAGAGCGGTTGAAGAACCAGCGTCCAGGGCGAACGGGATCTGCCGCCACCGAATTCAACCCTTGACTTCCTCTTTCTCCCTCACTTATCTTCCCTGTTAAAAAGTCTTTGCCGTAAGTTCAGGCTCGCCTCTTTGCCTCATCCTTTTTGCCTCTTCTCTCTTTCCGTTTTGCCCTTTGGTCTGTCTGTCTGTGGTTTGCGGGTTTGACTTCCCGGCATCCCCAACTTCTTCCAATTTTTTTTTTGTTTTTTTTTCCCCTTTGGCAGAAAGCGTGACGCGGAAAGCTCACCGCTTTTGGGCCTCCCCTGAAATATCCCAGACGTCGAAAAGCGAGAGAGAGAGAGGAAAATAACCACCGAAAGGTCTTCCCTCTCAACGTCTGCACTGCGTCTGGCTGGTATCATTTGTTGTCGCCGCGGCGGGCTGCGTTAAGGATGCTGTTGATTTGAGGATTTTTTATTTTCCTGCGCGTATATATATATATATACTTTGCCATCATGTCTGACAATGTTTGCGAGTTTTCGAGAACAGATGCCCGGGAATATGACCTTTAGAAACAGTTTCAGCGGGAAGCTCGACGACTTCGTTGGCCCGTCTCAGTCTCCTCCTTCGGAATCACCATTCTCTGCGTTCCCGTCGCCTCAGGGAAGCCAGAAGGGCTTCGTGCCCAGCATCAACCAGCAGACGAACGAGGTCCGATCCACCATGCAGCGTCGTTTTACCACCGAGTCCGCCGTGCTGCCACAGTGGAATGGCTTCAATCAGCAGCCATTGAAGCAGGCAGAACAGCTGGATATATTGTCATCAGTGAGTTGAACGGCCCTTTGTCTCTGGCTCAGATGGCGTGATCAAGTTGTTTTGCCAGTTCGGTTGAAGTGAAGTTGAATATGACAGGCCCGTCTACATGTTACTGCGGGCATGGCGTGGTTGGCTTGCTTCACTTTGATATTGTCTTGTTATTCACTTTAGACTAACAGAGCAATTCTTTTGAATAGGCCACTCACCTCCATAAATCTCAGCTTGTGAGCAGAGACCCTCTCCTCCCTTCTCCCTCTTTTCTCTGTCCTCTCTCCTAGCAACACTTTACCTACCTACTTAAACCCCTCCCCTCTCAACTTCTCTCCGCCCTTCTACAACTTCTCAAACCTGAACATAGGTGGTTTCTACCAGACTGCTTGTATCATCAGGAGCCCGACAAGTTAGCCGCTACTGCTGCTTACAGTCCTTACTCCCCCGCATAAGCCTTTGTGTCTCCCTCTCTTTCACAGAATCTCTCTCCCTATTTGACTTCTCCCTGGTCCAGGTTTCTTTTAACCAGGTTTTAAGTTGGAGAAGAAACGGCAGCATATTGAATATATGCGTGAACAGAAGCGTCGATTTGAAGCAGATTTGAAAATCCTTGATCTCCAGCAGGAGAAAGAGAGACAGGAGATGGACCAGATTGCCCGAGACCTGCTCAGGTTGGCCTCAGTGGCCCAGTCAGTGAACCAACGACCCCGCCGGAATACTATCGAGACAGTGGCTTTCCTACTGCTCTTTCTCGCCCAGCTCGATTCTCCATTTCAAATGGACAACCGTTGTCTCCATTCGGGAGTGTGTTTTCACCTACCTCTCAAGTGACATCTCCCACCAACAACCAGTCCTCGAACCAGGACTTCGCCAACCGTACTGGTATGGGAATGGGCCTACGTAGAAACTCTGAACAAACCTACGGAGCTGCCTTTACAGGATTTAGAGCCGGTCATGCGTAGGTCCACCTCAAAAACCAACCTATCTACCTACTTTCAGTGACCATCTATATACTAACTTTCACTAAATTTATTAGAAGCCGTTACTCTCTGTCAAACAATGTGTTTGGTTCAGCCCTCCCACCAGTTTCCTCGCGTGGTAACGGGTTCAGTAACCATATGGGATTCGGCTCACTTTTCTCCTCTAAGAACCCTCTTGAGGCCGAGGAGGATAAATCCAAACATGAAGATCGCGTATCTACTCCAGATGTGAAGAGCTACCTTCGCATGACTGATCCGGATGACAAGTTTCCTACTTTGGTTCGCCGGGATGATAACCCTTCAGTCGTAAGTTCATTGTTCTATTTCTTCTTCTTTATTTCTTCTATACACTACTGACCCACTATCTTTATTTAACCTTAAATAGCTATCTGCCAACTCTGCAGCTGTCGACTTTGCAAACTCTCGTACTCCCGTTCCTGAGAACTATAATAGCAACGGTCGTCATCATGCAGTACACCACAGCATGCCTCAGAACACATTGTCGTGGTTGTCTGATAATTCAACCGAAAAAATTCACCAATCTAGTGCCGCCAATGGAAATAACACCGGTAATTTCCATACCGGCCGCCATGTGAACCGTCTTTCTTTGGGAAATGACCTCTCTGCCCTAGGCGCCCTTAGCACCGCTGCTCACCAGCCAAACCACACGACTGGGCATCATAGACCAACCTCTCTACAGCTGTCCTATTCTACAAGTGATATCCCTACTGCTCACAATGGGTTCTTTGCCGATTCCACCGCCAGAACTCAAGCCGAACTGACCCTCAACAACTTTCAGACTCATAGCCGGATGCAGTCTCGCAGCAATGGTGGTTCTGCAAACACCACCCCACCAACCCCACAATCCACCTCGGACCGTGAGGAGCCTGGTCCCAGCATCCCGTCTTTCCAATCATCTTTCCAGCCCAACGCCGTGTCTCACGCTCTGGTCTTGACTTCTCCCACCACGATCGCTCCCAGTGCAAACGGATCCACTACTCCGACTCCTAGTACATTCGCAACGCCAGTTTATGGATATGGCATGCAAGCATACGCTCCAGCCCCTCTGCAACTCAATGGAAACTATCATACTGCGGTTCAGGGCCATCCGATGTTCGGAGCATATGGAGTACCACCCCAGCCACCACAGGCAAGCAATTACGGTCGATTCATGGAGAGTCCTCGTGCTGCCACCCAAGGCCGCCGCAATGGAGAGGCTGAAAATCCACTGAACCGTTTTGGCAATGTTCCTCTTGAGAGCTACTCTGGCGAGATATATGGGATGTGCAAGGACCAACATGGCTGCCGTTACCTTCAACGAAAACTTGAAGAAGGCATTCCCGAGCATGTTCAGATCATCTTCCGTGAAACTCAAATGCATGTCGTCGAGCTGATGACTGGTACGATAAACCTTCCCAAGTTTTTTTTTTACTTTGCAATCCATTAACAACCCTGTTTAGATCCTTTTGGAAACTATCTTTGCCAAAAACTGCTTGAATTCACCAATGACGAGCAGCGTACTGGTCTTATTAACATCGCTGCACCCCATTTGGTGCAAATTGCTTTGAACCAGCATGGAACTCGAGCTCTTCAAAAGATGATTGAGTTTATTTCTACTCCTGAGCAGGTAAAATAACTTTATTGAGCTATGCTTCTTGTACCTGACTAATCATTCTTGATATAGATCCAAACTGTCATTAATGCGCTTAGTGGTCAGGTGGTTGAGCTTGTCCAAGATTTGAATGGAAATCATGTGATTCAAAAGTGCCTGAATCGGCTCTCAGCCCCAGATGCTCAGGTACATACTCTTTTCCTTAGTATGATTTATCTCAACAGTCGACTTACTTTACATAGTTCATTTATGACGCTGTTGGTAAAGAGTGTGTTGCTGTTGGAACTCACCGCCATGGCTGCTGTGTGCTTCAGAGATGCATTGACCATGCATCTGGAGATCAGCGCGCGAAACTGATCGAGCAAATTACCAAGAGCTCTTACTCTCTCGTCCAGGATCCATTTGGCAATTATGTCATTCAATACATCTGTACGTTTGCATCCCTCCTCTTATCATATATTATAATACTAACAGGAATAGTGGACCTTGGAGAACCACTCTTCACCGGACCACTTTGTGCAACTTTCCAAGGAAGCATTCCTGCTCTCTCAAAGCAAAAATTCAGCTCTAATGTTATCGAGAAATGCATCCGTACTTCTGACTTCAATATGCGCAGAGCCTTCATTAAAGAGATGTTGTTGCCGCACGAACTTCCCAACATGCTCCGTGATTCGTTTGCAAACTACGTTATCCAGACCGCCATGGACTTTGCGGATCCTGAGTCTCGCAATACTCTGATTGAGGCCGTTCGTCCATTGTTGCCAGGCATCCGTTCGCAGCCACATGGACGCCGCATTGCAGGAAAGATCATGACTCTAGATTCTCACTCACGAAGTAATGGCACAAACGGACCAGCTCCAGGAGCCCCCTTGGCGCTCGATGAAATACGAGGTGGCTTCCAGCAGCCTTATACCCTTCCTGCTAACCAGTACAGCTCTCAGTTTAACTCCTCCGAGGCTTCAACCAATGCCCCATCTGCTGCTGTCTCTGAGTCTGAGTTTGCTGAAGCTCGCTCTCCCCATAGCGAGAGTGGAACCACCACCATCTTTAGCCCCGTTCCTCAACACACCAGCAACGCTATTAACGGCATTAACAACATGAATGGCATCAATGGTATTAATGGGCTTAATGGTTCGAGCCCTCGCGGTTTCAACATGTTCTAACTCGGATGAGAGCAGAATTGTATCAACATCTCCTTGCGTGGAGCTCAACATACTGACTGCGCAATGTTTTCATTTCTCAAACCTGTAACACCAGCATGATATGATGCCACGACTCACGACTTTACGGATCTGATTTTAAAGAATATAAATTCTTACCGCGACAAGAACAGCATTATCGGCAAGACTTGAACAACAGATACACCCAGCCATCCTTTTCCACTTTCCGACTGCATACCGTTAAGAAGCATCTTCTTGGAATCTTTGACGATGCCATATTTCCCACATATGACGATTTTGATATACGTCCTTTCTCCAGTTCCCTGGATCACCTTTGACTCACCCTAACGAATCCGCTTAGCCCGGCATTGTCCCAATCGACTTGGCATATTCAATCTTCCGAGTGGAGGATGTGGATAATATCACTTTATTTCTTGTTATGCTCACCTTTTGCCATAATGCTAACGCACGACATGGCCTTTACATACTTCCCGCCCACCTTCAAATTCCTCTCTTTCTCCTTCATTTGCATTCCCTATCCTTGAGGGATTTCCTGCTTTACTTTGTTTCTTTACCTTCTTTTCCACCTTTTTCCTTTGTCCATTCTTGTTTTAACCGTATTCAAATCATTTCTTCTTCCCACGGGCATTCGATATTTTCTGATCACAGCCCTTTCTCAAGCAACCTTCAACGTACAAGGTCTTGGCTGTCTCATACGGTTTTCCCGAGCTCAAGTGCACACAAGCAGAGCAAGCTACACTGTTTGGTTTGGCTTCTCAAGTTGACACATCGAGGAACAACCATGTCCGTATTGGTCTTGTGATTTATGTATTTTCTGTTCTGCTTTCCACATTTTGTCTTCATTTCCTGGCCCTTGCATATTCATGCCACTGGACATCATCTCTCAAGCTCAATTCAAGGGTGCCGTCGGACCAGCTCCTTAGATGTTGACTAACCTTGATTTGGCTGGTTACCACGCAGAGGACAGTGGCATGAGAATCCTTTCAGCATTTGCTTTCAATGGTTTCTCTCCTTTTAACTTACCTTTATTTTCTTGATTTACATTCTACCCTGATATGCCCATGCAAGCAAATCATGTACCATCAGTTGTGTTCTGCAATGTTCTGCATTCATGTATCTATATGAGCCTCCATTTACTGGATACTCAATGTCATCAAGATGTTGTTTTTTAACCCTTGAGCCCATACCTAGCTTCCGGCATTCACGACCATTTTACCCATCTTGAATCATTTGTTGTTCACCTTTGCAAGTTAAGTTTTGTTTTTATATCAGTTTGCAAGTTAGTTAGCAAGTTTCGCAAGTACAATTTAAGACTATCCTTCGGTTTAGCTCTAGGTACCATATTATGCTTAAACTTAGTGTCCGCCGCGTATCATACTCGTCGTAATGAAAAGACGGGAATGATTAAGCCTCGCCTTGTGCATGCAGAAGCATGGGATGCGATTTAGAGGCTAGAGATCCATGCCACCAAAAGTCTGATAACGCCCAGGGGGTGCAAGTGAATAACCTTAAATTGAAGCGCGCGTCAAACCCAAACTTTAATCTTAGCTCAATTAAACGCGCCAAGCTCAGCAAACATCGTTCGGGGTCGTGAAGTGCAGCAGAAGACAGAATTAACCCGCCATGCCCCTTTTTCTCCATTGGTTTGATGCAGTCTCGCTGAAGTACTTCCCCAATGTTGCCTCACGAGCTTGTTCTCTCTGTTTCTCGACAATGGCCTTGTAGAGAACTGCAGACGAGGCAGTTAGCTCATCTATTATGCGTTCGTAAAAAGATTCCCTCACCCTCAATTTGGATAGCTCTATCAGCATTTAGTAGCTTCTTATTACGCTAACTACTTTGTACTATTACTCAAATAGACTTCTTCCCTCCCTTCTCCTCCATCAGTAATAGTTCATGGACCCAAAGGTTCTGGGAAATCAACTGTTCTCAGAGCCTTGCTGCAAGCTTATGTTGACAGCCACAGACATAAAAATGGGAAAGAAAACAGCAGTCCTCAAGTGGCATCCGGAGCAGAAAGGGGAAAGCTCTCTGATAACTCTGGTGATGATTTGGGAGCACGCCGTTTTTGCTATGCAATAGTGAATGTTGCTGAATGTATATCGGCAAATCACTTATTTATGAAGATTATATCAAACACAATTGATGCTATGCAACGAGATACCGCTGGGGGGTCAGGCGATGAGTGGATGCAAGGTATTGGCAGTATACGGTGTGAGCATGTGAGCTCGCTTCCAGGTTTACTTGGGAACATCCTAAGTAAAGCCGATTGTCGGCAATTTGTGCTGTTGCTGGATGGTGTAGACGAGCTACGAGAAGGTGGACAAATGTTACTTGCAGCATTGTATCGAGTTGGTGAGATGGTATGTGAAACCCACCGTCTTCCTTGAGACTTACACACCAGTACGTGATACTTGAACATAAGTAAAGCTAATCTGGCCTAAATTAACCTCTTAGCTATCTAATGTGACGGTGATATTCACATTAAAGTTCTCCCCTCGCCCTCTCCTACTCCATGCCGCTGGTGTACCCCATATATATTTCCCTCCTTACACGCGTGCCGAAAGTATAGCGATCCTTACCAATCTACCTCCCCCGACCTTGCCCCTATTATCAGAAGCTACCGCTGCCAAGTTATATCCTCCATTCCTAACGACGTTATATGATGCATTGATTGGCCCAACAGCGGGGACGGTTCCTCATTTTCAGTCTGCGTGCGAGAAACTTTGGCCGCGGTTTGTTGCACCCATAATAAATGGCGAGACGCCACCAGGAGGGGACATAGCGGAATGGGACTTTCCCCGGCTCCTGGTGAAGAATAGATCATTATATCAACACCAGGGAGAGCTGCTACTAAGCCACCGAATTGTTTCCGATGACTACACGGCGAACCCTACTGCTTCAGGCTTAACCACAAAACGACCTGCCTTCACCCTACCTTCCCTTCCCTATTTACCAACTCTCGTACTTACTGCTGCTTTTCTTGCAGCACATATACCCCCTCGCCTTGATTTAGCCCTATTTTCAAAGTTCACGCCGTCGATTAAACGCCGTAGAAGGCGTTTGAATACCACTGCCCAGCCAAAAGTATCTACTCAACCCGGTGAGGACCATCCCGAAAGCACGCCTAAAAAAGGAAGAGAAGCCAGTAACCCGGCCAAGGGACCTAAACGGGCAACCAACTCCAACTCTGTTCCAGGAGGTACGCGTGGCAGTCGAAGTGGTTACTTCGTTAATCCGCACCCCTTTACACTCGAACGTCTTCTGGCCGTGTTCCGCGCCATAGATCCCAATCCCCCGTTGGCAACGGACATATCTTTGGCAGATACTATATACCCAGAGCTTGCCACATTACAGCGGCTGCGTCTACTCGTTCCCGCTTCTGCTGTCGCGGCGGCCGCTGGAGGAATTGTGGACGGTGCTGAGAAATGGTGCCTGAACGTCAATGCAATTGTTAGCTCTGGAAATTCCATTAGTGACGAATGGGTTGTAGAGATGGCACACGGGATAGGAGTGGAGGTTGAAGAGTACTTAGGGCTGGGCTAATCTCAATTTCGGCGAACCAAATATATATAAGTTGGCCAATAATATTCTCTATATATATTGTGTAGTTCTCTAACCAGGGAATGCTGCTTATAACCAATCCAACCCATAACAGCCAGGCCTAAAGGCTCATGAAACTAGAAATAGTTCCTAAACTATATTGCACTGGGTGATTGATATATAGAGAGAATACCACGCTACCAGTGCCTGTTACTGTGAACGATCAAATAATCAAGTTACAAACTAGAGCCAGCTTTTACAGCAATTCTTAGTTCGTGATAAACCACGATAAATATAAAAAAAAAACGGTGATGGCCTCGTGAATACTGGCAGATAGATTAGCCGTTCCTGCGATTAGTACTTTAATTTGAAGGATCTAGATAGCCACATATTTTCCATCAAATACTTCCAAGTTAGCCATACCCCTCTCTATAAATCATAGGATTGTCCGTAGCCTCTCACTAACGTCTATATTGAGGGCCAAAATGCGACGTATAAAGGGTGGACTAATAATAATGAGATCGAGATCTAGTCCGTAGCTTCTTTTGGGCCTCTTAAGGGTATGGCTTCCGATACCTGCGGAACTGCCCACCAATCATGCCACCGGGGCTGTGACCCAACCTCAGGGACCTCAACGGAGAGATTGAGAGGTTTGGAAGGATCTTTAGATAAGATAGCTTTTTTGACGGTGTCAATAGCTATGCTGGTTGCAATACATGCCCGAAGCATGTTTTTTGCATTTTTAATCCAATCACTCTCCAGGCCAGACATCTTTGACGGCTTCTCCTTTGGCGTCAGATAAGGGCCGTCCGCCAAATACCTCTCAAGGCCCTTCTTTGCCTCAGCTGTGGCTCGCACAGCTCTATTCAAAACTGCCCTGTCACTCTCGCCGTCAAGGGTGGCTTCACGTTCATAAATTTCAAAGGGGGCCACCTCAGGTAAGGAAATCGGGAGGAATGGCTTCATACGAAGCTCATAACGAAGCCTTGAGGCGGAATAGCCTGGTGATGATGAGCAGTTCAAACTGATCAAACCATGGCGTGAAAGAAGGGTATAAAGCGCATGCAATGCTATGGAGAATGCGTCTGTAACACCAAGTTCCGTGGATATGCGATCAAGGAGGTTAAGGGTGCGATCACGGGCCTTTATGCGAGTTTCCATGTCTACGCGTGATTGTTCACTACGCCTAGATAATGCTCTCTGGCTTTCGGTGATCACGCAAGCTCTTATACGATCGAGATGAACGAGGTGAGTTGAACATAGGTGTGATAAATACCAGTACATGCCCTGGAATTCGCCAGATGAATACACCGATAGCTCAAATCCTAGCTGGATTACGAGGCGCATTTGTTGGAGCTTATAATGGTACGTCCAGCTGCTTAACGGGTAGGTGTAGGTTGGTTCATCCCCGTGTATATATATAGGGGCTTCCAAGGTCCATGTGCGAAGTTGAGTATCACATTCCTCGGCCTTCGGAGTAGGTAGTTATATTAGCAACACTGCCTTAAACAATCTGGATTAATATATCTTACCTCGGCTTGCAACCGATCCCAATCAACAATATTATGACAGAGTGTGCGTCGTATTCGGCAGCGATTCAAACATATGGTGCGATAGGAGTCGATGAAAGGCTTTGAACGTCAATAAGAGCCCTTTAGGGAATACATGATCAACCTTACCTGTGCCATCCGTTGTATGAAGACATCCATTTGCTTAGCTATTTGAAATTTGGGGCTTGAAGGAGCTTCCACCTCGTCATTACTGGGGTCAAAGAGTGGACTAAATGGAAGAACAAGATCTTTCATGCTACCACAACAGAACTTCTTTGCGGGCAGGATGCCAAGGACCTGGCCATTCAGAAGTAGGAGTGATTGCGCCAAAGACCGGATATAGACACTTGGTTGTGGTTTGCGAGATTGTAAGGTCCATAGTAGGTTCTTTTAAAGCGTCAGCGTCGGCAAAATTAGAGAGCTTGTCGCTGAAATTGGAATTGACACCTACATATAAGCTAAATGCGCTACATGAGTCAAGTATTTCCTGCAAGTCGATAGCGTCCTGACAAAACCGTTTTAAATATGATATAGCGTTTTGTGATTCAATTTTGATTATCGGCCGAGGAGGAACGGTACTCGCGAGCCGTCGTTGGAGCTTTTCGCTAAAGGCATCTTCAACAGATTTTCCTAACTGGATTGACTTCTGTATGAGACTTATCTGGTCCAACATGGAAGTCAGACTTTTAGTGGATCGTGACTGTGTCAGAACAAGATCCATGGCCAGATAATCTAGCAAATGACGCCGAAAAATGAGTCGATCGAGAAGCGCGGCCTTAACTGCTTCATCCATTTGTTTTGTCTCCTGATTGAGCCATTCAATGGCATTATCAAGAACTGCTATAATTTTATCAATTTTGACGTCGGGAAGAAGTTTCCTGCTATATAGTTGTGTGCTAAAATCTTCTTCCTATTTGATATAGGTTAGCTAAATAGTTATGTCCAGACAGGGAGCAAGGCTTCAAACCTCGTAATAAAATTCTGATGCAACTCTTTCATGAACAAATCCGCATGCTTTGATTAAAGCAAGACAATATGCTCTCAACACAACAGTTACCATACCTCCTACGTTTTCGTCCCCATTAGCAGGACCAGGTGTAGCCCTTTTTCCATTGAATACTGCATCATCAAGAGATTTAGGGACGGGCCAGAGTAAATGGTCAAGATAGATTGATGTAAATAGTGTCTGTGAGAGTGGATGACCCATATGCCACGCTACCTATTGATTCTCAAATATATTGGGAAGAGTTAACTATCAGGCTTTTGCGTTTGAACGATAATGCAAGAGCACGCTGGGGATAACATTTACCTCGTAGCACAAGAGCTGGTCCATTATCCCTAAAACCTCCTCTGGAAGAAGCTCCCTCATCACATCATAATTATGGTCAAGTGTCTCTCCAGGAGCAAGATAGCCGCTATCCATCTTCGAATCCATAATCTGCACCGTAGCAAATGCTGTAAGCTATACATCCGAATATGGCGAACATGACTTTGTTGTGAGAAGAATGAGTGATGTTGGTGCATGTATCTGACCTCCAGGGCTCCCACAGCTTCGAATAACGTGAAGTATTCATCTTTAACAAGTTCGCCGGTGACGAGCGCTATGTATTCCAGAAAACGTTAGGCACACTTCAACATGAGTAAAAAGGGACTCTCTCGAACAGACCTGATGCCGCCCTTGTAAACTTCTCTGTAATATCGCAACTCATCCTGTCACAGCTATATCTCGTAGTGACAGCAGCTGTCTGTTCGGCGGGGCAAAGGAGGTCAAAAAAAAAAGTCGCAGCGATTCAAGATGGCGGTCTAAGCAAGAAAGGAAATCAGGCACACAGCAGAGCGAACATCGTCACAGCACACTAAGAGGCAGTCAGCTCTAAGTGGTACGTCTGTGTTGAAATCAGGCTGTGGAGATAAAACCTACGACTCCAAGGTGCAATCATATGTGGTGTTGGTTATGGTTTAAAATTAAGGATCACGATGCTGAGTCAAGGAACGGCACTTCATGACGATTTCTTTTTTTGCTCTGGTGAAGTGCATTCACAATTGAGGCAGCAGGACGAGTATCGAACAGTTTGAATTCTTCTATAGAATTGATACAGAGTATAATTATCCCTCCGTCTGCAATCTATCACCTAATGTTGTACAGACCTTCCCGCGCACTTCTCCTGCTTCATCGCACAGAATGCTCAAGCAGCTTATCTTTCTCCCACCATCAATCGTTTATTTGGAGGCCTGGTTTACACCCTGGTTCATTTGGGCGGCCAGGTCAACGACTTCGCCTTGCTTGCCGTTCTACATCAATCCAGGGTCCTTGGTTAGTCAAGTCCGAGCAAAACCAGTAAAACCATCATCAATCGACACAGGAGTCAGATTGCCAGGCACTAACCTTCCAGTGGGCATATTTGAGCTCGCTTGGAGTTTGGGACTCGACCTTAACACGGAGTTCTGGCTTGAGAGAGCGGCGGACTGCCTGAGCAGCAACAGACAGGTAGCGGTTGTAGCTGAAGGGATCACCGAGTCAGCAATTGAAGCGGAATGGACGGAAAACGGAGTGCGAGGCATGTACATACGTCAAACCGGCGGCTTTCCACGCGAAGGTCATGGTGAATGATGTGGTGTTCGAGTTTCTTCTCTTTGCCTGCTCGAAAGTGGTTGTTTCATTTGACGTTTCTTTTCGCTGGTTTGTCCGATTTTGGTCTAATAGTTATATCACGTGATAGAGGCTGACCTCGCCTACTTTCAACGTCAAAACGCTTGAACTGCACTAAGTTGTTTTTCCCGGCCAGAACATGCAAATGGACGATATGATGGCTAACATATGGAGTCTAGGGCGAAGTTAGCCCGGGGACGTATTTATATAGTGACGTACGGGGTATACGGGCGGCCCTTCGAAGTCGAGAAGCACATAACATAAGTGCTTTAAGAAGGCAAGCTGCGTCCTACTACGGATTATTTCTTCTACCACACTGAACATTCCTCACGCAGAGAGTTTATGAAACCCCAAGACCGCCACTCCATGGCCAGAGTCCGCCACCGTATGTAAAATGAAAGAAAGGTGGAAGCTGGTTGGATTTAAAAGCTGGCAGCCTTCATCGTCCGGCTCCCAAACTAAGCCACGTATGGATAGCAACCATTCAGCTGGGGCTCCCGTCTATGCTAGCCTAGCAATCAACATATGTACGCTAAAGCGAACATATGAACTGCCCTGGTACCTCACCTGACGGACCAATTAGTCCACAGCTAACCATATACTCCTGGCGATGATCCACCCTCCTGTCATTGTTTATAATATATCCCGGACTCAGACGAAAGGGTTCTAGTGATATAATGAACAATGCTAGTCTATTCACCTTTTTGCCTTAACATCACATAAAGGGCCCTAATATCCAGGGTAGAAATGCTGTATATATCAGCACCTTTACTCACCATTCCTATCCCATTGATAAAGTGCACTGTGATTGATTATGAAGGCAAATTATAAAAAGACAGTTCCGGAAAAAGAAATCACCTCTATCCATCTATACTAGAAGGAGGAAACAACAATTGGAAGTGAGGTTTTATTCTCTGTCGGCCATGTTACCAAGATTATCAACCCAGTAGTCACTTTATGCTCCTTGTTCCGGAATCCCTCTTCGCGCAACGATGGAACCTTCTTCAATATAAGTCTAAACAGGCGGGTCTTGATAGATAACCTTCTTTTGTTTAAGTCTAACCGGGCGTTCGGGGCCATTCTTAACGAGAAAACAACTCCTTGTCCGCCTGGTAGCCTTGCAAGACACCTTCTCCTTTGAGCATCCACCTTCTAGTACAGGGGACTTGCACCATCAGCCACCGGTTTTGAGGGTTAAACCGCATTCGGATAAAGGGTTGCACATCCACCTAGGTGTCTGCATACAGGAGAATCCAGCGGGATGGTATCGGATGCAGAAGTCGACCGTCCCGCTCCCAGTCCATGGCACTGGGGCATGATTTCTTTTTCGTTCTCCTAGAAGTTGATCCCGGCTCTGCATGAGCGGTGAGACGCCATCAGCCGCATATACTTTCACTAGCAGTAGTTACAAGGCCAAAGTTGAAATGCCTTCAAGGAAAGGGGGGGGGAGTATCTACCTTGGGCGTGTGGGTATGGAAACAACATGAGAACCCCGTCAGAGACCCTGATTCGGTTAGATAATTAGTCAAACGCATTCTCTAACGGCCGGGGAAGGACGATGAATATATAGACTAGTAATTTTGTAAAGGGGATATAGTATCGTTGGTAGCACCCTCATAGTAGAAAATTCAAGATGGTTTGGTTCGTTACCCGGTGGGCTGGGACGGTCGTGCATGGAAACAATGTATTGTGCTTCACGCCAGCTCCTCAGGGAAAAAAACAACAACATGAAGCATATACACACAAATACCGCTTCACGTTGACTAGCAACACAAAAGCTTCGAGGCTCGCAGAACAACAGACTGAAGCCTGATTACCACATAGAGGTAAGCTATCAATTTCTCTTCAGAGCATAACTGGGGGACTGGATAGGTCTCAAGTCCTTCTCACTTGCTCAATATCAGATTCTTCGTGTTCCTGTCTCTTGATTCCTCAATATCAGTCCTATCAACTGATCACACTGCCGCGGACCAAGAGACTGGTACTGAAGACAGCCCCCTCCAGCTAGCCCTCACCTTCTTCTTCTTCTTCTTCTTCTGCTACTTCTTCCCCCCCTCTTCCTTACCAACCACTAACCTCTCTACCACCCTCTCTAGCAAACAGAGAAGCCACCCGCTGTATCGTGACAGCTCGTTACCAGAGAGATCGACGCTTGCTAGGAAATAACTGAGCATCTCAGAGCTCACTCGGTGACAGAAACAAGCAGTAAGTTATATTTGGCCCCAAAGGGGAGCTCACCTCTAGCTCATAATTCATCTAGTAGAGAGGGAAATTCATGGGACTAGAAGCTGGTTCGTCCCATGGATTTGCTCTAGAGACCTGGTAGCTAACCTTAGTCACTTCTAGGACAAGACAGCCGAGATAGAAATGACCAGCACCAAGAAGGGAAAGGCAGTGAATGCCACTAAGGAGGGGCCGAAGCTCAAGGTCTTGAACCGCCCTCCAACGAGAACCATCGTTCGTTGGAATGGTATGTATATAAATGATCCCAAAGTCAAGAAATGAGGTGAAAGGGTAGACCCATGCTAACATTGATCAGACGAACTGGACAAGAAGCTGCTTCTTGCAATTCAATCCGCCTGCAACAAACATGGAGTCCGCGTTCCATGGGGCGAAGTTGCAAACATGATGCAAAACAACATCACGGACGGTGCAATTGTACAGCATTTGGCAAAGTTACGCACACGAATGGTGGAAGCTGGCATGGAAGTCCCACCACCACTCCGTCGCGCAGCTGGTTCACTTCCAAAGTCCCCTGAGGTTGTTGAAGATCTCCCGGCACCTAACCCTGTCGCCGGTGGGAAGACCAACATCCGCAAAAAGGGAGCGAAGAGGTCTTTATATGATTCTGGTGATGAAAGCTTCGATGACGGCAAAAAGTCCAATAAAAAGTCCAACAAAAAGTCCAAAGCGATAAAGGAAAAGGACAACTCAGACAATGATAAAGGCAAGACAAATAATATCCCCATCAAATCTGAAGATGAGACCGAAGATAGCGGAGTGTATGGACTTCAGGTCACCAGCGAGACTGAGTCCGTCAACGAGAAAGCAGACCAGGATTTCGTCGCTACTGGTGAAGAATATGCAAACTTCAAGTATGCAAAGTCTGCGTCCGTAGGCACACCTTCCGGCAGCGAGCCATCCAACCAAGGTGAACCTGGTTTTATTCATGAAGCCAGCAATGATGAGAATGCAGCCCTCCCAATCCAAAATTCACCAGAAGAGGTCGCAGTTCTGCGGTATCTCGGTAACACCGGACAGCATGCCATCCAGCCGGGCGAGATTCAGGCACCTTCTGCAACGGAAGCTGTAATGAACGGCCTGCAGGGAGTCCCAATGGGTATCGACCAGGCTGTTCCCCCTGAATTCACTCCGCATCACAATCTGCATGACTTCACTACGCCACCTCCCTGGCTGGAAGACCCCACAGATGGCAACCGTCTCGAGATGCCAGCCCAGTTCGAGTTGAGAGACTTTGGCTTTATTCATGGTGCAACCGATCAAAACGTAGCATTTGTTCGGGGTTTCCAGCCCTCTTCAGCCCGGGATCAGTTCCAGCACGGCTCTTATGCTCCACATCCCCTTTATCCCAATGCACTCCGGCGTTAATGGGCTCTGTTCCCTATTGAGGTCCTTTCCATGAGATCTATTCCAATGGATTTCATGAACTCGGGCACTTCACTGACCCCATCGACGATGGGAGCCCAGCGAGGGCTACCAGACCCCGGCTTCGGTTTGTCATTTGACTCCGGAGATAGAAACCCAAACTGCTTTGACGAGCTCGTTCAACAATTGTCCAACTAGTCGGAAGAATGCTTATTCCGATTTCTCAGAGAAATATCACACTGCCCTCAGTTAAGGCTTACATCAAAACATCAAAAGTTCATCTTGGGTTCAATCATTCAAGGGTATTTCGGAATCTTGGAGGTTTGAACTGCTGGTTAGCTAGATAAAAAAAACTCTGACTTTCTCTCCCTGTTTTCATTCCATTTGTGTATTTATTTTCCCTTTCTTTATTCAAGTCAAGTTGGTTCAGACCTATGGTCAAAGATTGATAACCCACATCAATGACGATACCCCCTATTGCCTATCTCTCCGGACATACGGGTTTGGCGTTGGCTGGCTGGCCAAGGAAGGTATTTCCTCCTGCCATCAGGGCGTATGGCAGACTGCAGCAATTTGCATATCTTCCTGGTAATAAATGATGGTTTTATAGAATGTTTATCCTCTAAAAAAGCGGCTTCGAAGTTGACCTTAAGTGAAACAAAAAAGAGCTAACAGTAATGGTTCTTCCCGGCAGCATTGCCTTACTATACAAAGAAAAATAAAATCAGATTATCTTCCATTCACCATAAGTTGGGTTGAAGTGAATTCCTCGTATATTTTCACTCGGGGTTTTTATTCATCATATGTCGTTGGATTACCCAAAGGGGAAACCAGCTGTTCATATCACGTGACATGTTTTAAGTGCCAAGACTTCTCCAGAACTTGCTCGAAACATCAATTTTTTTTTCTTTCCCTTCTTGAACTTCTTCATCTTTTTCATCTCTTCACTCTCCAACGTCTTGACACAGCTTCAATCCCTCTTGTCTTCTATACCCTTCTTTAATTAGGAGTTTGTTTTTTTTTTGGGTTCTTTGTGGGCTAATTTCGCACCCCTTCCATCCCCTGTTTTTATTAATTTTCAAAAATGCAGCGAGCTCTCTCTACTTCTTCCAGGGCTTCGGTCCTCGCATCTGCTGCTGCTACCAGAAGCCAGGTCTCTCAATTCCGACCAGCTCTTGCTGCTGGTGTCAGCCTTCAGCAGCAGCGGTTTGCTCACAAGGTAAGGGACTGCTCGACCTCCTCAAAAATAACACTCAATTGGAGTCGTTTGTTCGCATGGGCATGGGCTAAAAAGCTATTTCATTTAGGAGATTAAATTCGGTGTTGAGGGCCGCGCCTCACTCCTGAAGGGTATTGATACTCTCGCTAAGGCTGTCACCGCCACACTGGGTCCCAAGGGACGAAATGTTTTAATAGAGTCCCCCTACGGCTCCCCAAAGATAACAAAGGGTAGGTTCATAGCTCTTGATTCTGCTTTTTCCTGCTCTTTTTCTTTACTTAGATAGTGCTAACTTGAATAAATCTATAGATGGTGTCACCGTTGCTAAAGCTGTTTCTTTGGAAGATAAGTTTGAAAACTTGGGAGCCCGGCTTCTCCAGGATGTAGCTTCCAAGACCAACGAGGTTGCTGGTGATGGAACTACTACTGCTACCGTTCTCGCCCGTGCCATCTTCTCTGAAACTGTTAAGAACGTTGCCGCTGGTTGCAACCCAATGGATCTTCGTAGGGGCATCCAGGCTGCTGTTCAGTCCGTTGTCGAATACCTACAGGCCAACAAGAGAGACATCACCACCACTGAAGAAATCGCCCAAGTTGCTACCATCTCTGCTAATGGAGACCTCTTAGTTGGCAAGCTTATCTCTAACGCTATGGAGAAGGTTGGCAAGGAGGGTGTTATCACTGTCAAGGATGGAAAGACCATTGAGGACGAACTCGAGGTTACCGAGGGTATGCGATTCGACCGAGGCTACACCTCCCCATACTTCATCACCGATCCCAAGACCCAGAAGGTCGAGTTCGAGAAGCCACTTATCCTTCTCTCTGAAAAGAAGATCTCTGCTGTCCAAGACATCCTTCCAGCTCTAGAGGCTTCTACCACCCTCCGTCGACCATTGGTCATCATTGCTGAAGATATCGATGGCGAGGCCCTCGCTGTCTGTATCCTCAACAAGCTCCGTGGCCAGCTCCAGGTTGCTGCTGTCAAGGCACCCGGATTCGGTGACAACCGCAAGAGCATCCTTGGTGATATCGGAATCCTCACCAACGCCACTGTGTTCACTGATGAGCTCGACATGAAACTCGATAAGGCTACCCCCGATATGCTCGGATCCACCGGCTCCATTACCATCACCAAGGAGGACACCATTATCCTTAACGGTGAGGGCAGCAAGGATGCCATTGCTCAACGCTGTGAGCAGATCCGTGGTGTCATTGCTGACCCTGCCACCTCTGACTACGAGAAGGAGAAGCTCCAGGAACGTTTGGCTAAGCTCTCCGGCGGTGTTGCGGTCATCAAGGTCGGCGGTGCTTCTGAAGTCGAGGTCGGAGAGAAGAAGGACCGTGTCGTTGATGCCCTCAACGCCACCCGTGCTGCCGTCGAGGAGGGTATCCTCCCCGGTGGTGGTACCGCTCTTCTTAAGGCCGCAGCTAACGGCCTCGCTGATGTCAAGCCAACCAACTTTGACCAGCAGCTCGGTGTCAGCATCGTGAAGAGCGCCATCACACGCCCAGCCCGCACTATCGTCGAGAACGCTGGCCTCGAGGGAAGCGTTGTTGTTGGTAAGCTTACCGACGAGTTTGCCAGCGACTTCAACCGTGGTTTCGACAGCTCCAAGGGAGAGTACGTTGACATGATTGCCTCCGGTATTGTCGACCCCCTCAAGGTTGTCCGAACTGCTCTTGTTGATGCCAGTGGTGTTGCCTCACTCCTTGGAACCACCGAGGTTGCCATCGTCGACGCCCCTGAGCCCAAGTCTGCCCCTGCTCCTGGCGGTATGCCCGGGATGGGCGGCATGGGTGGAATGGGCGGTATGTACTAAAAAGAATAACGTGTTTAATGCGTCCCTGCTTCCATGTTTTTCCCCCCCCTACCATTTCTCCCTCTATGTCTTAAAATGCTCTGTTTGGCGTGCTGCATTGTTTTTATGTAATCCTATATTTGTTTCCATCTCGTCTGTTATTTTACCTCCTCCCCCTAAACTCCAAGACCTGTACCATAACCACCTTCCTACAACTCCAACTTGACCGATGATAAGTATATCTCCACTCTTGTCCTCTTGTCATTTCATCTTATGCGTTTGTTATCCCTTCTGAGATAGAGAAAAGCCGCAGCTGAAGAGATCAAGAGCGGTAGCAGGGAATATGGGCCATGAACATTGGGGCTTTGGCCAATGTCTTCAAGGTCGTGTACTTATATAATATGAATTCTAAGAAACTGTTCAATATTTAGTTGTAGTATCTTTCTTCCATCGATCCTACAAACAGTCTTTAACATAAAACTCAAGGGCCCAAGGCAGACTTGTTAGTAGGAAACGATCACACGATCAAAACCCACAACAGGCTCCTACATATATTCTATTAAAATTGGCACCTGTGCTTCCGATATGTCTGCTGCTTACGCATGTCTAAGTGGCTGTAGATAAATACTCCTAGGCTGCTGTTTTCTTTTTGAATGGGCGTATCGCGGTAGTTAAATACGTGTAAAGAACTTTCCCACCCCACCAACACCAACAGGGTAAAACTAAGGAAACGTCTCAGCCCCGCCATTCACTCTGTTGCCTCCATCACCAAAACAACAACCCGTTTGCCAACAACTAATTATTCCCTTGTCACTGCGAACTCCTTATTAGTCTTACTCCGTCCTCGTCTTCATAGAGCGGCATTTCTCCTTCGAACTGTGAGTTGACGTTGTTCGGACCCCCTCGCCACCAGCTTCAACTGCGCTATCAGCTACAGCTTCACCCCTTTTTCCACCCGGAAGACACACTGTGTGCATCAATCCCACTAACATACATACGTTCACCGGTTCACAGGCATACACATATTATAAGAAGTTCCGGCTACTGAATTCCAACGCGCAATCATGTCGGTATGTTCATTACTTTCTCGTTCTACTATCCAAGTCCAAATTGCCCCTTACCGTGGCTAACATCTTCCTTATACAGATGGCATCTGGGTACGCCCTTTCATCCCTTATCTCCCTACGCTGCTGTAAATATATATAACCAACAGGAAAGGATCCTGAGGGCCAATGTGGAGAATGATCCTGGTGTTGATCGCATGGATTTATGATGAAAGATATTGGTTCTCCGGCTAATGACATACGCACAACAGAGTTACGATACACCCTGATTGTATCAACGCATACGAGAAGCTACGGCTTGGAAAGGGAGCTGGCAGAACAAAATACATCATCTTCAAGATCTCTGACAACAAGAAAGAGGTTGTGGTCGATGAAACCTCCACCAACGACGACTACGAAGCCTTCCGTGAGAAACTAGTTTCCTCCAAGGACTCCAATGGAAGACCTGCCCCAAGATATGCCGCATACGATGTTGAGTTCCAGCTTGAGGCAGGTGAAGGATGGCGGTATGCCTCATCTAGATATATCCGAGCCACAATGTCGAGCGGTGGTGTCTTCGAGCTTTTTTGACTGATTCATCAACACAGACAGAAGATTGTTTTCATTTCCTGGGTCCCCCGTGAAACCCCAGTCCTGGTAAGAGCCCTATATATCAAGATATCAAACTGCAAAGAAGTCCTAACCAACCTCTGCCTAGTGGTCCATGATCTACGCTACCACTAGACAAACGCTCAAGGATGCTCTTCACCCACACGTCAGTATCCAGGCTGACGACCCATCTGAAGTCGAATGGGCTCATGTCCTGGCCGAGGCTGGCGGCAAGAATGCTACTTCCAAGTAGGATAGTATGAATATTCATGGAAAACGCAGCAAAGGACCTCTGACACCGTCACACAAATAGCATTTTGCCAGTGTTTTGATATCTTGTGTGATCATATAGCGTGCCGGTGGCTAATATGTTTCTATCCCTTCCTCTTTCACTTCTGACCATATCAATAATGCAAATATGACAACCAAGCATCAGGTACGAATTCGTTTCCTTACAGCTATGAACCCAGGTCTTGTGTGTAGATATCCGGTTATTTATAGAGCTTGTCGACGCTGTTCATTCGTGCCAGTAACACTTTGTTCTGTTAGTCGTTGGCTCAAATACCTCGTAGCTGCAAAGTCACGCCATATCGTTCTCTGCCACCCATGGAGAATCGGTAGGGATTGGACGCATGCTGTCGTAGGGCGTATCCTATACTGTATGCTTGCGAATACCCGCTGCCTGAGCACATCAAAATGTTAGTTATAAATGCCCATTTCAAGGTTATGGATGTACTTTTTATTTCAATATATGACGCTTTGCAGCAAGAAATCATCCTTATATCTACGTATCTGCTTCACCGTTTTGGGTGTGGGTACCGTAACCAATCACAGCATAGCAATTAATACGCTGAGTCAGCACCACGGAAACTTTCGCAGCCCATAATCATCAAACCTCACAACATCCCAACTTCGTCTCTTCAAAACGGTGATTTCAGGTCTTCGACGCTCTTCTTTGGCCCAGAAATCAGTTTCCATCTACGCCTTCCCCCCTCTCTCAATCCGTCGTTTCCCAATCAACTCACTATGTCCTTCCGAGCCACCCCACGGGCCGTCGCAGGCACCGTCCGCTCTGTCTCGACTACATGCTCAAAAACTGCTGTACGAAGCAATGTTTCATCAATTGGCTGCCTCAATGCCCGTGTGCCTGTCAACAACCAGCCTGCGTCTCTCTCCAAACAGCAGATCCGCTCTGCCTCTTCTGAACACGCCATTGCCAACCCTGTCCTCGCCGGAATTGAGAAGCGCTGGGAAGCCATGCCTCCTCAAGATCAGGCCGAACTGTGGATGAAGCTGAGAGACAGAATGAAGGTTGACTGGAAGGAGATGACTCTACAAGAGAAGCGAGCTGGTAGGTCATATTTTTGTAGCCATTGAACTCCATAGAAACAGTTCTCGCGTCGGTTTTGGGTTATGGGTGCTTGAGAGCAGAACTGCCATCCCCCCTATCAGATGTTGCACACTTCATTGTACCACTACATTGCGCCGAAGGAGCGACATATATTCGTTTTAGTGAGAAAATTGTTTATGCTAACTCGTTTTTTGTCTCGACAGCTTACTGGATTGCCTTCGGACCCCATGGACCCCGTGCTGAGACCCCCAAGGGTGAGGGTGCGAAGATCTTCATCCAGGTAATGAAGTATGTCGTTATTTCCGCAGGCCTTTTCTACGCTACTCGTCTCCTCGCTGGTGCTCCACCAAAGACCATGACCAAGGAATGGCAAGAAGCCACGAACGAATACGCCCGGGTAGGATACCTTCATTTTTTTCTCCTCCCCTTTTCATCAAGATATTACTCTCCTTTGATGGCTTGTGAATGACTATTAATGCGTTATCTCCCTAATAGAAAGAGAAGCTTGACCCCATCTACGGTATCAGCAGCGAAGGATACTCTGGAAAGGGTTTCGTACAAAGCCCACCAGCTGGCAAATAGATTCGATAACCTAATACGAAGATCCGCGGAGCAAATGGAATGCCTTCCAAGACGTAAAGATGAAGGCTTCTCTTTCACAGCATTTCGTTATTTTGTCAGTGTGCCCTGGGGTTTTTATATACCCAGATCTCGCATTCCAGATCTACCCAACTTGTGCAATATCAAAGAAAAAACAATTAAAACTGTATTAATGGAATTGGAGAACTGTATAGCCTATTCTTTTCCTTCTCTTTTTTTTACCCCCATTTCCTTCTCCGTCTGTCAGAAAGGAGGATTGCATTGCCCACTCTCCCAACCTCTTTACAGCTGTGCATATATCGATGCTGGACACGGTCAAAGATGGAGGGCATGGAGCTTTATCTTTTCTCCTGAATGATATATATCCCCTCGATCAACCGTCCATCCTCTCGATTTCCTTTGTTCTGTCTGTACTTCATGTTATATATAAAGCAGTCTTAGTTTCTTACGTTGGTCTGCCTCCTGTCAGCTCCCTTAAGTCTCGTTCAAGCTCTATAGATTTCATGATACCAGCTTTCAATATGGAATAGGGGCACTGTTAGGTAGCCACGGCAATACGTGTGGGGTGATAATATCGTACGATTCTATGAAACTAACAATTTTTAACCAACAGGAACTTTGGCGAACAGGAGCCCTTCAGCCAGTTCTCTTGTCTTCCGTATAATGCCGTTCTGTACAGCTTCGTCTTCCCTTATTTATTCAACTGGACTGATCCTGCATATATATTCATCTTTACGTATCTCCACCAGAAAAATCGCTCATACATAACGAACAACCAAGGACATCCAATCATCAATTAATTAGCCTGTTTTAAATGTACTATCCGCATAACTCAAGTGGTTGGAATTTATATATACCCACGCCTCTTTGCATATTGACTGGGCGATAAACATAGAAAACAAGATTTCATGCTTTAGCGATGACGTTCTGGCTTGAACAGGGCAAGGGGGAGAGAAAGGGTGTAACCGTTGTGCCGCCCTCCCTCTCAACTATTAATATGGAGTTTCGAGAGAAGAAAAGGGATATCAAACAGCCAGTAACCAGTTAGTGATAAAATTAGTGGCCCGAGTTCTGGTTTCACAGCAGAAGTTGTTCCCTTACTTGCCACTCTTGCTGAGCAACGCGTCCTCCAGTCGTACCCCCTCCTTGGGAGCTATTTATTGTCCCTCTTTGTTTGCTCAAGCTGCGGAACCGATAACTACACTTCTCAGCCAACTGGTTTACGGGCTTCTTCTCAAGAGACTTCATCACCATTCAGTTCTGTGTAGGTAGAAAAAGGGCCGAGATACCAGTATATACTTATCAGCCTCCCAAATCATGGCTGTAAAGATTCCGGATGGCACAGGTCAGTAGCTGGAATATACTTTCTAACTGTGTCTTCAGTCTATGCTATCGACCCGGTTGCCAGCTTAAATAACATTTTATTAGGTGTCATCGATTTGGATCCGTGGCTGGAGCCGTTCAAGGACGGTCTGAAACATAGATATCAACTTACTGCCGAATGGATCCGGAAGATTGACGAGACTGAGGGCGGGCTTGACAAGTTTAGCAAGGTATGTATGCTTTACTTTCTCTTCCTTACATTATGTCAGGAATTACCATTCGACGAGATAAATGCTTATTTATATGTATAGGGCTATGAGAAGTTTGGTTTCAATGTTGCCGACAACGGTGATATCACGTACAGAGAATGGGCCCCAAACGCGGTTACGGCCCACCTCATTGGCGATTTCAGTACGTTAGCTTCACCTTTTGATAATGAACCATGCATTGAACTTATCTATAACTAAAGACAAATGGGACCCGACTGCAACGCCATTAAAGAAGAATGACTTTGGTGTGTGGGAAGGCACCCTTCCAGCAAATGATGGAGACCTTGCTATACCGCATAACAGTAAGGTCAAGGTACGACTGCAGCCTATGCCTAATTCACTGTATTTGTATTAGAAAAGACGGTCCTAATTGCCATGTCAGATTACCATGACCACTCCATCCGGAGAGCGAATCGATAGGATACCAGCCTGGACAAAAAGAGTTACCCAGGATCTCAGCGTTTCTCCACTGTACGAGAACGTGTTCTGGCACCCACCCATGGAGGAGCAGTACCAGTTCAAGCACGCTGCTCCCCAAAAGCCAGAGTCACTTCGCATCTATGAGGCACATGTGGGGATATCATCACCCAAGACTGAAGTTGCGACATATAAAAACTTCACTAAGGTGATGCTTCCCCGTATCAAACACCTGGGTTATAACGCTATCCAACTCATGGCGATCATGGAGCATGCCTATTATGCCAGCTTCGGATACCAGGTTAATAGCTTTTTCGCAGCAAGCAGCCGCTACGGCACCCCAGAAGACCTGAAGGAGTTGATAGACACAGCTCACAGTATGGGTCTCATCATTCTTCTTGACGTGGTACACAGCCATGCGTCCAAGAATGTGCTGGATGGTCTTAACATGTTTGACGGGACCGATCATCTGTACTTCCATTCAGGTGGGAAGGGTAACCATGATCTCTGGGATAGCCGCCTCTTTAATTATGGTAACCATGAGGTGCTGAGATTCCTCCTTAGCAACTTGAGATTCTGGATGGAAGAATATCGATTTGATGGCTTCCGATTTGATGGAGTGACAAGCATGTTATACATTCACCATGGAATCGGAACGTAAGTGTCATTCTCTTCAATAATGATATACGGTATCTTCTGACATGGATAATAAGTGGATTTTCTGGCGGATATCATGAATATTTCGGCCATTCTGTAGATGATGAAGGGATCACATATCTGGCGCTGGCAAACGAGATGTTGCATCAAATATACCCGAATTGCATCACAGTTGCAGAGGATGTTTCTGGTATGCCTGCGCTGTGCCTACCTCTATCACTGGGAGGCGTGGGCTTCGATTACCGTCTAGCTATGGCAATCCCAGACATGTACATCAAACTGTTGAAGGAGAAGAAGGATGAAGAGTGGGACATCGCGAATATAGCATCTACGCTTACCAACCGTAGGCATGGCGAAAAAGCGATTGCCTACGCTGAGAGCCACGACCAAGCGTATGTATTTCAAATATTGCTTTCCCCCATAGCTCCCCTAGAGATGGCTAACAGTGAATGACAGACTCGTCGGCGACAAGACATTGATGATGTGGCTCTGTGACAAGGAGATGTACACGAACATGTCTGTCTTGACCGAGCTGACCCCCACGATTGAACGCGGTATGAGCCTGCATAAGATGATCCGCTTGGTCACACATGGCCTTGGGGGAGAAGGCTACCTCAACTTCGAAGGCAACGAGTTTGGTCACCCCGAATGGCTCGATTTCCCTCGCGAGGGCAACAACAACAGCTTCTGGTATGCTAGAAGACAGCTGAATTTGACTGAAGATGACCTCCTCAGATACAAATTCCTGAACGAGTTCGACAGAAAGATGCAACTCACTGAGGAGAAATACGGATGGCTTCACTCCAGGCAGGCATATATCGGCCTCAAGAACGAAGAGGACAAAGTCCTGGTGTTCGAGAGGGCTGGGCTGCTATGGGCGTTCAATTTCCATCCTACTAACAGCTTCACCGCGTACCGTGTGGGAGTAGAGCAAGCAGGAACCTACCGGATTGTCATTGACACCGACGACAGCGAGTTTGGAGGCTTCGATCGTAATGCCAAAGGAACGAGGTTCTTTACAACAGACTTGGAATGGAACGGACGGAAAAATTATGTAGAACTGTACCTTCCAACGAGAACGGCCCTGGTGAGTTCAGCCTTTACGTTGATCCATTATGAAACGGTTCCAAATGCTGACTGCGCCGTGTATAGGTTCTCGCGCTCGAGGACACCCTGTGAGAAGTAGGGTGGGAGCAACTTAGACACATATTTTCTATCATGTTAGGGACCCAAATAACTGTCACTACCCTATAATCAAAGCCTGGTTCTAAACGCCCTCGATAGTAGAATAATATGTATATGCATCTCATCTCCTGTTTGATATAATTATGCTTGGCGCAGGTGGACACGGCAACAGACGGACGTGTAATTTTTCTACCACACAAAAGGTCAGATTTGGCTACACGGAAGGGTATCTTACGAGGTGTATCTGTAATACATAATACGACGATGTTACATGAAAGAGTGGCGGTACAAGGGGAAGTCCACGTTAAATAGGTAGTGTACCCGGAATTATCCATGCTGTATTTATCCCTGTATTTACGTACTGTGACCACTAGCCGTATCTCAAAACAGCGACCACACCCGAACAGCTTTCTCGCTCTTTCTTCCGTTTTGCTTCAACCTCACCTCTTCATCTCTCTCCATCCACCCTCCACTCTTCACGCATCTCACCATGTTCAAGAGGTAAGATACAGGCTCAATGCACTCGATAGACCACCTCCATCATCCAGGCTGTGTTTGTTGACCTTTTTCCCTTCTCTTTAGCGGCATTTCCCGGACCCTCGGAAGGTCTGCATTTGCACGACCTTCCTCCTCTGTCCTCTCTTCCGCCCGACCAGCCTTCAAGAACAATGCTCTCCAAGCTCTCACAGCCAGATATGCTAGCACGAATGCTGCCAACATCGGCAGAATCCATCAGGTCATCGGTGCCGTCGTTGACGGTACGTTTCAGCCTCTTAAACACGGTCGAGAAGAAATTTCACCATCTCGTCCGGACGCCATTGACATCAATTGAGCACTTCAGCTCGAGCTCAATGCCATTGGCGATGAATCTACTATGTTCTTGATGATGAAACTGATGAAAATTTCGTGCAGTAAAATTCGATACCGAAACCCTTCCCTCCATTCTCAACGGTTTGGAGACCGACAATGGCGGCCAAAAGCTGGTCCTCGAGGTTGCTGTAAGTTTTTCATACGTCAGATACAGTAGACATTTAGATGTTGTTGATGGCTAAGTCGATGGTTTAGCAACATTTGGGTGAAAGAGTTGTGCGAACAATTGCTATGGACGGTACGTGGTTGATATCTCTCTCAAGTCTTGGCGCCAGCCCAGTTTAACAAACCCGATGCTAACTCTGTCTTTAAACTATAGGTACCGAAGGTCTTGTTCGTGGTGCTAAGGTCACCGACACTGGTCTTCCCATCCAAATCCCTGTCGGCCCTGGCACCCTTGGCCGTATCATGAACGTCACTGGTGACCCAATTGACGAGCGCGGCCCAATCAAGGGTGTCAAGATGGCCCCTATCCACGCCGAAGCCCCAGAGTTCGTTGAGCAGTCCACCTCTGCTGAGGTTCTCGTCACCGGTATCAAGGTCGTCGATCTCCTTGCCCCATACGCTCGTGGTGGTAAGATTGGTCTCTTCGGCGGTGCTGGTGTCGGTAAGACTGTGTTTATCCAGGAGTTGATTGTAAGTGATTATATTCCCCTAGAAAGAAAAGTTTTGAACAAAAGTCTCGAATTGGAAAATTCTTTTCAGCTACTAATTTACTATAGAACAACATTGCCAAGGCTCACGGTGGTTACTCCGTCTTCACCGGTGTCGGAGAGCGAACCCGTGAAGGAAACGATCTGTACCATGAAATGCAGGAAACTCGTGTCATCCAACTTGATGGCGAGTCCAAGGTCGCCCTGGTCTTCGGTCAGATGAACGAGCCCCCAGGTGCCCGTGCCCGTGTTGCTCTTACTGGTTTGACCATTGCTGAGTACTTCCGTGATGAGGAAGGTCAAGACGGTATGTTCTTTAAATTAGATATCTTCTGGAGAAACAGCGTCTAACAAATTCTTCCAGTGCTTCTCTTCATCGACAACATTTTCCGTTTCACTCAGGCTGGTTCCGAAGTGTCTGCCCTGCTTGGTCGTATTCCATCTGCCGTCGGTTACCAACCCACTCTTGCCGTCGACATGGGTGGTATGCAGGAACGTATTACCACCACCAAGAAGGGATCCATTACCTCCGTCCAGGCCGTCTACGTCCCTGCTGACGATTTGACTGATCCTGCTCCTGCCACCACCTTCGCCCATTTGGACGCCACCACTGTCTTGTCCCGTGGTATCTCTGAGTTGGGTATCTACCCAGCTGTCGACCCTCTCGACTCCAAATCCCGTATGCTTGACCCACGTATCGTCGGTGAGGACCACTACAACACTGCCACCCGTGTCCAGCAGATGTTGCAAGAGTACAAGTCCCTCCAGGATATCATTGCTATTTTGGGTATGGACGAACTATCGGAAGCTGACAAGCTTACTGTCGAGCGTGCCCGTAAAATGCAACGTTTCCTTTCCCAACCCTTCACTGTTGCTCAGGTCTTCACCGGTATCGAGGGTGCCCTTGTCGACTTGAAGGACACCATCCGAAGCTTCAAGGCCATCATCAACGGTGAATGTGATGATCTCCCAGAAGGTATGCTTTCTTTCCTATCCTCCGTCTTCTCCTTGCTTTGTAGTAAAAAGTGATTGCTAACTTTTCTTATACAGCCGCGTTCTACATGGTTGGAGACATTGAGTCCGCCCGTGCCAAGGGAGAGAAGATCTTGGCTGAGCTTGAAAAACAATAGATGTGTGAAGATATGTAGATTAAATAAACCACTCACCTTGTATCCCAAGCCTTGATTCCTGTTCCTTTTAATTTAGTCTTCCCAGGAAACCTATTTCATTTGTCGAAAGAAATGTATTTTTTTTTGTAAGTTGAGAGAGTATGGACGGGGCATCACTTGATATTTCCATGATCGAGAACTGTTTTATAGATATCATACAAGGTCAGAATGTCCTTTTGCTATGTGCGTACTCCTAGTCCCTTTACCCTCCATTTTGACTGTTTTTGATCGATGGTCGTATTTATCCCTTGTCCAAGATTTTGAGTCACCATCGCCACTCCATCTTACGTATGGATGTCGCCTCAGCCATGGTAACCCTCCCTAATTAACAATGGTCTCTATCAACATTGAGACGCATTCTACTACACGGTAGATCACTTAGCGCTGGCGTCTGCTCCATACAAAGAGTAACCCGTTGGCTGTGAAATTTGAACTCCCACTTTCTCCTTTCCATCTCGACAGGCCATCTTCGTGTTTGGGCGTAAGACGAGAAGATAAAATATATCAAACAGCGAGCTGAGCCACCTCGATGACTAGCACGAGGGAATACGACACATTTGCCTAATGAATACTTCTGGTCCGGCGCACTGCTGGCTGCCTCGGAACCTCCCTCTTTGTTTTTTTCTGTGGAACCGTCCTTTGGGCTGAGCTTCATCGTACGGCTCCCTTCACATGTTGAGGTCGGCTCAGGGAGGTGCCGAAAGACAGGATACGAGCCCGCGAGCTCCCGGGCAAAGCAAGTCAAGGCGCTGGAGACTTAACTTTGCTAGTTAGCTGGCCGGGGGAAGAAGAGACGGAGAAGCTGACCGTCGATTACGATTTACCCCCGATTGAGTGCCTACTATGTATCATGGGCTATGGGCTCTTGGAGGGAGGACTATAAAGGAGTCGAGCTGATGCTGGCTGTGCAGTTCGAGGCGTTTACTGGTGCGCCTGATGGGGAAATAGAGTCGTATATCTTCCTTCGCCGGCTCGATCTTCTTCGTCCCGATGCGGTAAGGATTGCGTTTGACGGCCAGGTCGACCAGGGTTGAACTATCATCATTCGGCCAAATTGACAGCTGTGAGTGGGCTGTGGAGAAGAGAAGAGACTTTTCATCATCTCGGAAGCGACATAAACACCAGCTCCCCAGCCCGGCCTGGTGTGGGGAACTATATACTATATATGTATATATATATACACCTACCCCAGGTCCAGACATATCATAGAATTTTCCTTTTCTCCCCTGCCTGCAGGATAAAGTGCTGAGAAGGGCCGTTGCTTTGGATTTCCCCTATTTGAGACCATCTGGAAGAAACACACATATATTAGGAGACATACCATGAGAAGCACAACATGCCTGGCGGCTTTACTGCCGCTTCTCGGAGCAACATATGCAGCACCGGAGGGCCCTCGATGTCGATGCACACCCGATCAGTCTTGCTGGCCGTCGCCAGGCCTATGGCAGACATTGAATAGGACGCTATCGGGAAACCTTGTCGCCGTCAAGCCTGTGGGAGCCGTCTGTCATGACCCAACCTACAACGGAGGTCTCTGTGAGGATGTGATGAGCATGCAGACGAACTCTGCCTGGAGATCCGCAGAGCCAGGTGCGGTCCAGAGCATCAACTGGGAGACATGGCCGGAAAAGAACGAGTCATGCTATATTGACGGCCTTCGACAGGCTCCCTGTGGCCAGGGCAGGATACCACTGTACTCTGCTGTCGTCCACTCGCCGTCAGATGTCCAGAAAGCAGTCCGGTTCGCCGGCAAGTATAACCTTCGTCTGGTAATAAAGAATACTGGACATGACTTCCTCGGCCGTTCAACTGGACCGCAATCTATGCAGATATTGACCCATAACATGAAAAATATCAACTTCACCGATAACTTCGTGCCGGAGGGTAAGCCGGGCGGCAGAGGTGTAGGCCAGGCAGTCACCATTGCGGCTGGAGTTCAGCTTTATGAGCTATACGACGCGGCCGGCAAGAGAGGTCTCACTCAGGTCATTGGCCTGTCAACCACGGTTGGAGCAGCTGGCGGATATATCCAGGGCGGTGGCCATTCGCCCTTAGGTCCGTGGAAGGGCATGTCGACCGACCATGTACTGGAGTACAAGCTTGTCACTGCCAGTGTGAGTATATATCGACACCCCCAGACAAGTTAAGCAATACGGCCTGACTGACCGCTTCTCCAGGCCAAATTTGTGACTGCGAACGAGTATCAGAACCCAGACCTGTTCTGGGCTCTAAGAGGCGGTGGTGGAGGGACTTTCGGTGTCGTCACCAGCGTCACCCTCCGCACTTTCAAGGATGTTCCAACCATCGTATCTCAAGTCAACATCACGATGGGCAGCAGGGCGAATGAATCGTACTGGACCGCAGTTGAGAAATTCCAAGCATATCTGCCAACTCTAAGCGACGCAGGTTGTTCAGGGTATTATTATATCGTTCCAAACGTCACTATCGGTGCTCAGAGTGTAGCCGCATTCATTGCTTCGCTCTACTTCCCCAACCAGACAGACAAGTCATACGTTGACAACCTCTACAAGCCTCTGTTTGCGGACCTATCGACCATACCAGGAATCAACGTGGCCAGCGCTAATGTCGCAGCGTCATCCTCAACCGAGGCCTTCAGGCCAGTATTCGGCAACACACCACCACAAGATGGCGGTGGAGTAAACATCCTAGGATCCAGACTGTTCTCCAGGAAACTCCTCGAGACTCCGGGAGGCGCAGCAAATCTCACCACGGCTATTTCCAAGCTGGGTTTTAACAGCCTGCAGCCCGTCATCGGACACCTCGTCGCTGGCGGACAGGTTGCTAAGAACAAAGATGTTCAAAGCGCTCTCAATCCGTCATGGAGAAAGGCATTGGTTCACCTTGTGATTTCCCGTGACTGGAGTATCAATGCCACGTTTGCGGAGCAGGAAAGAGTCTCGACCAAGCTCACCGAGGTCGATGTGCCATTATTAGCTGCCGTGGAGCCAGATATGGGTGCTTATACCAACGAGGCTGATGTAAACGAGCCAAAATTCCAGCAGACGTTCTGGGGCTCGAATTACAACATGCTCCTCCGTATCAAGAAGAGATGGGATCCAAGCGGCCTCTTCTTCGTTCGCTCAGGAGTAGGAAGTGAAGCTTGGGATAAACAGGGCTTGTGCCGGGCCTAATAGTGTATAAGCTCCGGCGAAATACCTGATCTGAACTCCTGGCTCTCGTCTGGCTTATTTTATGACATTTAATTAATACAGTCTAATTCAGTAATGTGTTAAATCTCCAACTACATTTGCTCAAGATGAAGATATGAACTTGACTTTCGATAACAAATTAAGGTCATGAAACAATCACGCCGCCAATACAAAAATGAAATGTAAAAAAGTAACATAGTAAGAGAAAAGTATCACCGGTCAAACGCCAAGTTTTGTCGAGTGCAACCAATTTAAGCTGCTACGGAGGACAGTCACTGTAGCTTGCTGTTTTCCCACAGGGTCTGGCTGCCGCCCATCCCAGAACAGACTTCATCCTCTTATCCTGTTCTTTGGGGGGAACCTGTTCGGACATCACGATAGGTTCACCATAATTCACATGAAAGTGCTTGCCATCTTCGTATGCCTCAATAATCACAATCTGATAAGGACGGAAGGAGATTAAGAGAACCTAATTATTAATAATGTTAGTAAATTGGTGTTTCCTTAATAAAATATAGGAGGGGGCGCGAGTCATACGGGGAAAATTTGATGAGAAACAGCTTCAGGCCTCCGTGACTTCATCACCATAAGCCTGAGGAGGGCCATCAATTCGCTTTGTAGAATATATTTCTCTGTGCCGTCCTCCTTGACTTGATGAATTGACGTGACAACAATATTGGAAGCATCCCTGTATTCGTAGATTGCAGGTGTGTACCACTGATATTGGCGGTTACGTTCTCCGCAATGAGCGTACTCCGCCATCATTGGATACTCGCCTTTGCGGTCTCTGCGAATTAGAAATATGAGTATCGAGAAGAAATCAAATAATGATTATAATGGGATAAGGGTTCTGTTATCAGACCTGAGATATTGTAGACCCAGTCGGTCTGCTAGTGTCCCCTTTAGTCCCACGCCAACCTTCGCAAATAGTTCCTTAAAGTCCAACAGAAGTCCATAAACGGAATCAAAGTTGCCTGGGGGCATTGTGCCATCCCCAGAATGAGACTTGATATAGTACGTTGGAAGATCACAACCCTTTACTAGTTCTTGCTCGCTCGTCTGCTGGAAGAATTTTGGGCTAGCCCCCTTGTGGATGATAATATCCGATGGGATGGCGTTCGGAGTCAAATATGGAATTTCGAAGGCATCCACGGTATCATAGATCTTCATGAGACGGTCACTCATGCGGGCTCTGGCTATTATAGGCTCGGCTTCTTCTGGCTTCGTGCCTTTTTTCATCAGTATCTCTGCGACTTTGGCGGCGTCACGCTTGGGTTTCTTGTTCAAGATTGGCCGCATGGCTGATGACAGTCGATTGACTCTGGAAGGTTATGGGAGGTAGTGATTCTGTAAGAGCGTAGGATGAGGGAGTGAAATGTGTATGAGTTGTTAAAAGAGCGAGAAGGAATAGAGTGCAGGTCAGGGAATATATGTAGACATCGTCTTTATCCAGGTGATTGCTGTTAGTTAGCCAAAGTTTGTTTTGAGGCTCTCTTACATAATAAGTAAAGTTCCGTTAAGCGCTAAGTTTATTTATGCACCAACTCCGAAGCGGCGCTTCGAGGTTGCTGTTGTTCTGGCAAATAGGAAGAGACCACAGGGGGGTTTACCGTTGGAAGTGTGTGATCCGTGATGCAGCTTCGTCACGTCGCATTCATCAACAAACGAATAAGAGGCCGTCAACCTATTTCAACAACCTGCGAGAGCCACACCTCCAGTTCGTGGGCTACATGGAGTTCATGGGTCCAGGCGGTTTGACCCTCTCGCTCCTGGCCCCCATTGTAAGACATCAACGTTTTATTGTTGGCTTCCAATGATATTTATTTATTCCTACCTCCAACATTGTTGGTATGGATCCTAACCTGCCTCCCCGAGCGCTAAATAAAACGAACCCCGGCCTGCATTGCATAGTCTCCAACATAATATGTATAGATTCATAAAGAACCTCGACCCTTGTACATTCGGGGGCTATAAGCATAGCAAATGAAGAGCCATCTTACCCTGATCTTGTAATAAAAATTTAGCCGCCAGGGGGATAACATATCTTGTGCCACATAGTTTTGTGTTAATAAAGAGGCTCGGCGCTTAACTAGTTAACTAACCAACTAGTTAGTGGAACTTATGAATGGTGTTTATCCTCGGCGTGTGTTGATGCTTTGCTCTTTGAGTAGTTATAAATACAGGTTCCCATTCATGTAGTTATGAAATTCCTCTACGGTTATATCATACTCCCAGATCTCAATCCCCTTTGATACTTCCTCTACCCAAGCCACCTTATCATGGAGCCTCCCACCAGTCGTTTGGAATGGAAGAAACTGGCCGATACATATGGCTCCCCGTTTCAAACTATTCACCAGCTTGATAGCCTTAAATCTGGATCTAAAATCGGACAGCAGCAGTTCCTCGCCCTTCGCGTCATTTGGAAAAATAAAAAAGCGTTTGACGTCAAGTACGGCCGCGACTGGGGTTTGCCCCTAGGGGGCGCCATGTCAAACTTGATGGCTGTGCGGGGATGGAGGGAATACTGTCAAACTGTACAAACTTCAGGGCTTGGGGACAAGCCGGAGTTTGGCAGATTCGATCTGCTATGGTCTTTTCAGAAGCAGGTGAATCGGATAACCCATTCTTCGCCCGGCTCAGACAAGATATCATCACCCCCTATTTCTTCGAGAACGAGGCAGGGCATTGCTTCGAGACCGAACATATCTGCCGACCAGCCATCCTCCAGTACGAACCCCTTTAGCACTCCGGGGCCCACCACTGGCACGCGACAGCCCTTCAAAATCTCGTCTAGACTTGACGCGTTTCCCATACCAAGTCCATCTCAGATGCCACAGACTCCGACTAAAGCAACGATACCAAGCAGCGGATGGGATGAATTGAGCGATGAAGATGACGACGGTAGCCCCATGGATGGTGTCGTCACGGATAGACTGTCTCCAGCGTCGGCTTCTGAAAGTTACCAGTATCCTCCTGCAGATGATGAGCAAACGGTCAACACAGCTCTCATCCTAGCCCTGAATGCAGTTTGCCTTAGCCAACATGACCTTATAGGTTTCCCATGGTCTCTGGAGCGTAAAGCATTCACGTTTAAAACCACGGAAAAGCTCTACGAAGCTAGGACTGACGGTCACCTCAGATTCCAAAAGGGCAAAATGAATATCTCTTTGGCTATATTGGAAGTCAAGGCAGGTTTACGATCGATTACACTACCTCACGCGCAAGAAAGTGCTCAGATGGCAGCATGGATACATGCGGAGCCTGATGTGAAACGAACAAGAGACGGTATTTATAGGTAAGATCTCACTGGGATATCCACATAAGAGCCAAGAAAACTGATTTCCTTAGGCGATTGATGATTTCCCAGGATCGTCATGAAGTATATATCATCATTGCTGAGTATGATGATGAATACGTGCACTACTTGAACACCGGGATATATAACGACAAAGTATTCATGACCATGCATGAGCTGGGTCCATTTGGACCGGAAGATGATGGCCATATGGATATATTGGGTTCGTGTCTTCAATCGTTTACATCAAAACTGTTAGAGAATGCGCATCAGGGCAACCCATTCCGATGGTGAGGGTGGGAGGTTTGCCATTGCTGGATGTCACATATTTTTCAAAGTGTCTTTGGTGAAGCTTTTGTCGTCATTTTTTATGGTAGAGAGGATGTAATCAAGGTTATTTCAGTTTATCTTGCTCTTATTATCGAGATGCACCAAAGAATGAATATTATTATTATGCTGCAAGTGTTGAAGTTCGCGGTTTTATTACATAACCGTTAGTTAACTAGTTAACTAGCGTGTTATCTGATCTAATCACGTGGAGATAAGATGGGCTGCGGGGAGTCACATGGTCTTACCCCAGCCCATCTCAGTCTCAGGAGCTCCTCGCTCTTGACAACAAGTAACTATTAACAACTCTCTGTATACACGCCTCCAGAGCCCAACTCTCATGAGGCTCTTTTATCCGTATCGTCCTCTGCTTATACGGCCGGAGATGATGACCGCGACGACGTCTGCCGCCCACTCCCGGGCTCGGCTCTCTTACCTTGCGCTTTACTCCGTTCGACGTAGCTTCTCAGCTTCGGCTACGAAGTCTACGCAGTTCCATAGATCCGATTTCACCAACCAGCCATATACGAGCAGTTATGAGACCGGTATACCCACACCGGGCCCATTGGGTTCAACGCCGTCGTTCGGTGTGCCGCGAGTCACGCCCAAGGTGCTGAAGCAGCACTTGGATAACTTCGTCGTTGGGCAGGACCGTGCTAAGAGAGTGTTAAGTGTGGCCGTCTATAATCACTACCAGAGGGTTCAGGAACTACAGAGGAGGCTCGAAGAACATGAAGAGCTCCTCGCTCAGAGAGCACGAAGAGAGTCGATGGAGAGTCATCCGGTAGAAGGTATGGATGAAGCTCAGATCGGAGATTCTGTATAGAGATTGATCATCCCGGTCCCTGTTTGACGGCTGACTGACTTTGTAGGTATAGATGAATTTCCAGGTCAGCAGCGGACTATACATCTTTCCGCCCCAAGGAGATACTATGATGACAATTTACCTTCAGAACAAGACCCTCTTGTTGACTCGTCCATTAATATGCTGGAGAAATCCAACATACTTCTCCTAGGTCCTTCAGGTGTGGGGAAGACATTGATGGCAAAGACACTCGCCCGTGTCCTCTCGGTTCCTTTCAGCATGTCGGACTGTACACCATTCACGCAAGCTGGTTATATCGGGGAAGATGCAGATGTATGTGTACACCGGCTCCTTGCAGCTGCAAACTACGATGTCGAACAAGCTGAAAGAGGTATCATTTGCCTTGATGAAATTGACAAAATTGCTACGGCAAAAGTGAGCCATGGCAAAGATGTAAGTGGAGAAGGAGTCCAGCAGGCACTGCTGAAAATAATCGAGGGTACAACTATACAAATCCAAGCCAAACCCGAACGAAACGCCTCGCGTCCTAGCTCTGGAGGAAACAGTTCTCCGGGTGGATCTTCGTATAATCCAACGTCGAATTCATCTGGGAAAGCAGAAGTATACAACATTCGCACAGACAACATACTTTTCATATTCTCTGGAGCGTTCGTTGGCTTGCAAAAAGTTATCATGGACAGAATATCCCGTGGATCGATTGGATTTGGACAACCAATACGAGCCTCGTCTTTCCACAATGATTCAACGCCGACAAAAATGAACGCGCCGATTCCTATTCTTCCCGGCTCTCACGAGGAAGCTCTGTACAAACAATACCTCCCTTTCTTTACACCAACACAAACGCCCACAGCACCAGATGAAGAACCTGTATATTTTAATCCTCTCGATTTAGTTACACCCAGCGACCTCCAAGCATACGGCTTTATACCGGAACTAATCGGTCGTATCCCCATCACGTCTGCTTTATCCCCATTATCCCACTCTCTTCTACTTCGAATTCTCACCGAACCACGCAATTCTCTAGTAAACCAATACACAACTCTCTTTGCACTCTCAGGAATAGAACTACGATTTACCACCGCCGCTCTCCACAAAGTTGCGGCTAATGCATTCGCCATGTCCACTGGAGCTCGCGCCCTACGAACAGAAATGGAATCCATTTTAGCTGATGCAATGTTCGAAGCACCAGGATCAAGTGTGAAATTTGTCCTAGTCACCGAAGCTGTTGCTGCACGAAAGGAGAAAGCTATTTACCTTTCTCGTGGTCAAAGCGGGAAGTTCCACGCCTTGATTGCCACGGAAGAGGGGGAGTGGGAGGAACGGATGAAGCGGGAGAAAGGAGACGGATCGAAGGGAGGTCAGCGTCAAAACCAGCCGCATAGCTTCGAAGAATGGAGGTCACGCTCAACTGCTGGGTCGGTTGCTGGGGGAGCCTCCTAACAAGAGATGGACTCCCATTTTAGCATTAGAATTTGTACATAGTAGGAGTATGGGTACGATTTCATATTCTATGAACGATAGTGACCAAGACATTATTATGATCATTATTTCTGCTTCATTTAATACTAAAAACGTCAAGAAGACCGTTGTATACAAAAATAATGACCGATACGCCAAGACCATGCATAGCTTGAAAAAGAAACCTAACACCGTGCAATCCCATGTGATTCCCTGCCAATATCGGGGATATAGATATGTTCAAACACCATTTTATGTACTGGGTTTGCTATCAACGATCATAGGTCGACGTTGGCCATTCTGATTTGGGTGGGCTCAGCAGCGGCTTCAATATCGGCCTTCATGTACCTGGAATAGAACTCCGTGTAATTAAATACTTCAACCTACCAAAGTCTTAGTATGTGTCTAGTATGACAAGTTCGATGGGAAATGACTTACATGGCTCCAGTTTTTCCATCGAGGTTGGAGTACACGATGGGTTAGCACAGGGAAATATCTGAAATTTTCGACATTCGTGATCGCCCAGCCTGCGAAATATTCAACTAGGTGATCGATGTTTCGCTCCTCTTGCGTCAAGCCCTTGGGTATATTTGGATGGTCTTGTTCTGATCTGGAACCATAACCAGGTAAATGACAGGTAGAGATGATGACATGATGTTGGCCTTCGTCATCAGTTTCGCCATCTAAGCTCTCCGGAGACGCTTCTCTATATGTACTGTACTGCCCACCGGTAGAGTCGGGTATGAGAGCATTGACGAAGCAAGAGAAATGATACAGACTACATAAAATGGGGTTAGTTAGCTTATCACGCTCAAAAAAGTATATAATTGTGATAGTTTACTTCTCATCATGCCATGTTGGCCATAGCTCATGTAGCCAATCCCGTATATTTGGGCGAAAAAATAGCTTTGGGCCATGCTTGACATTATTATCCCAAAAATTGGAATAAATCCATTCCACCACCTTTAACGCATTCTTGCAGTCATGAAGGATGAAATCTTCCGTCATAAGAATCACGCAGCCATCAGGGAATAAGCGTAAAATATGAGGATTATCATCTACCCATTTAATTGGGCGCGCTAATGATATTGAGAACATAATTGCTTGATGGTGAAGGAGTATTTGAAGCTTAGGCATACAGTCATAGGCTTTGAACTTTTGGTGAGACTATAATCATGATAATGTTTTAGTAGAATGACTCTTTCGAAGAAGATGGACTTTGTAGTACTTACAAGTATTACACCTTGCGTTTCTTCCGTTGGTTCGGTCACTTCCTTTACAAACCTGTCCCAGTCTCCCCGGGTCTCATGGGAATAAGGTAGTATTCTGTTCAAGCGTAAGAAATTCTGAACTAGCTCACGTTCCTCCGCCATTTCTGAAGGAAATAGAAGATAAAACACGTGTTTAATGTTTTTGTGTTTCTGTGTAAGAGTTAATTGCTCAAAAGAGATCCCATAGTGATTTTTAAAATAGGCTACAACATCTAAATCACGGGTTCTCTTGGGTAATGGTTTTGGAGTGGCTTCTTGTGATGAGGATGATGCTTGCAATGGAAGCGATTCATGTGATGTAAGTGGTATTCCACGAGGAGGTTCACGTAAAGGAAGCAAATTTGGCGTATCGGTAGCAGTGCTGGTGGCTATCTGTGGGCGCACTCCACCAATTAGAAATTCTACTGTGTCCTTGGTCGACCGTTCAACTAAAGGTACTGCATTTGGAAGAGTAGGCGGAGGGGGCGGAGGGGGCGGAGGGAGTAGTGGTGGTAGTGGATGTGGTTTCCCAGAATTTGGGATTTTAAAAAGACTTGTAACGACAAGCCGAAGATGGGCGGACAAGGGACAAGAACGGTTTGCATTAAGGAACCTCCATTCACGAGCTTCAGATGGGTAGACAACTATGTTACGGCTGTAGCCTGAGATTGGAGAATTCCAGACTGCAGCCGATCGTTTGTTGAATAAATACTCTGCCAAGTTATCCACTTCACTAGATGTATCCTCGAAGGGCAAGATATGCCCATAGTCAAATAAAGTAGGCCTCTGCAGTAATAACAAGTTAGAAGATGATTACATAAAAGTACGAAAGAGTTAATTACCTACCAGCTGGTGATACTGATCCGGGGAGCAAACTTGTCCAAGATTGATAATAACTTGTTTGTCCTTTTTGAGTGAAAGGAGCGCATGCTTAGTTGCACTAGGAAGACCGACAATGCGTACATCTCCAATAGACATTGCTTGTACACTAAACACAAGATGGACCATAACATCCCCATTGTCCCATGAGCGCTTATATCCAGTGAGGGGTGATATACCGGTAATCCTATTGCCCTGGAACTCATGGGTAGAATCCTGTAAGGGTGCATTTCTTGAGTTTCTCGTATCCACATTTCGCATATTGGACTGGGGGAGCTCAGAAGTACGTGAATCGTCGCCATATTCACCCATACGAGGTGAGATTCCATGCGAATCAATTCGATAAAGCACTGGTAAAGGGGGCTTCTTGGGTGACTCTGAGAATGCTGAAACTCGCTGCTGCTGCGGCTGCGCTGATACTGACTTAGGGTGGATCTTTGGAATCTGAGCTGTATGTAGTTCTGGAGACTTTACAGGTCCTTGTAGAGTAGGCTTGGGGGTGCCGGTGTTATTTGAATCCTTGGGAGGCTCAGCAGCCGAGAGATTCGAAGTAGAATTCTGGTCATCGTCTTGCACAACAAATAAGTCTTCTACCCGTGGTGACAGTGAGGGTGATCTGGGGCGTTTTCTAGCCATTAGTCTTTCCGGGAGGGTTGACCTCCCTGTAGCTGTCAGCCATTCGCTGGGAGGCCGAAGGTCAAGTTGAGATATATCGGGGGCCCTTTCGGCCCGAGACATCTTGTAGTGTTTCCGCTGCGTGGAAATGGTTCGAAAGCGCCCGTCACTAGGTGGCTTCTGGGACTCTCGCCTCCCCGTAGCCACCGCGGTAGGCCCACCTCTACGAGCAGTTGAGCGAGCAAAAGGAAATGCTGACTTTTTCGGAGGCATGCTGATGGGTGAGTTTTGTGTTGATGACTGCACTGCTTGTTCCCCGTTCTGTGGAGGCTCAATATGGGTAGGAGGATTCCTGATAGGAAGCCTATGGCCAACTTTCACGGGGACCTTTATAGGCGGAGGTGCCGTCTGGGGTAATTTTGGCGCAGACGAAGGGGGTATTTTCAATTGCTTTGCGGGTTGAGATGCCTTGCGCAGCGCTGTCTTGAATGTTCGACCGTTACCTGCATCCAAGTTACTCGTTGCACCCACTGATGACTTCCGAGCAGGCGTAGATTTCTCCTTTGGCAGGAGCCTAGCTCGTTCCTTTCTAGAGGCAGGAGAGCTGTCCTTGGTAGACTCATCGCTACTGCTACTGCTGCAATCATTTCTGACACCATCTGCTGTCTTGCGGTGCTTTACGCTAGCATCTTCAGATTCATTTCCACAAGCCAGTCCAAGACGCATCCGCTTCAGTCTTCGTTTCCGCTTCCTGCGTAGGGTGGCCGTCTCTACCTCTACGAGAAGCTTTTCAAAGGCAACAAGGTCGAATTTGGGCTCAGTCCCTTTTTTGATAGCCTCTTTCTTCTCGTTCCATTCTTTCAATGTGGTTTCGGGATCTCCGAAATTCTCAGCTGGCTCCCAGGATGACCTATGGATTGGGTAGTTTTCCCAACTGACAAGGTATTCAAGTTCTCCATTGTCAGCTATCCTCTCCGCAAGCACTCCCGTGATATTATACTCTTCCCGTGGCTCACTAGCTGCTGTGGATGTGACTGAGATGTCATCTTCGCCGTCCTCATCCCTATCTATGGCAAGTTGAGACGCCATCTGGATGTCATCAAGTTAAATAGAGAAAACAGAATTATTGACCAGGCGATCAATACACAATGGCTGGAGCAAAACTGTCATTCTTCTTAGCTAGGTTAGCTGTTGTGAGAAGTACAGATGTAAGCTGTAGGTTAGCTTGTAGCTAGAATGAGCCGCGTATCAAGTTCTTCCACGCGTTTCTTCTGGTCTTTGAGAGACCTCAGACTCCACTACCATCCGTCACTAACAGGCCATTCTGCCCTGAAGAAGAAGAAGAGAAAGAGGGCTCCCCTTGGCCTCTCAACCGCCCTGCTTGCTTCCTGTTGCTTCCTCTCTCTTCGAGTATTTCAACTTCTTATGAACCAGAAATTCTGATATTGCGCTAAACCCTTTTTGGGTCAATCAATGACATAACCAGTCTTTATTAATCAGCAGGTCAGGTGAAAGTTACTGATACTTCTATTTTGGTGGTAAAACACATATAAACTAAAGTATCATCTACTTTTGCCTCAAGTTCTACTCCAGAAAAAGCACAACAACCTCCCGTTCAAATCCTCAGGGGACATTCTGTTCTAGCTAAATCTCTCTGCCTGATTAAAGATTACTATATTACAACGGACAGCTGGCTTCTACGAGAAGTTATACTTACCTCGTCTTTAAGTTAACAGTGTTCTACTCTCCTACGCCTGTGTGGCCTCTGCTTAACAACTCCTTTCCCTCCTACTCTCGCAGCCAGGAGAAGCCCTGTTGCCTGGTAATATATATCAGCAGCCGTCCTCATGGCTAACGACGAATATGATGTGAGTTATGTTGTAGCTGGTCGGCTTCCGATTCCTGTGGTCTAACGTGTATTTCAAAATGTAGTTCCTTTTTAAGGGTTTGTCGCCTCCCCCCGCACACCTGGCCGTATATGCCACCAACACTTAGCAGAAGGACAACCCCCTTCCCTCTGTGGTATCAAGGGATAGAGCAAGATAGCTAATAGCATTTCATCTGTCCAGTGGTGCTCATTGGAGACTCTGGAGTTGGAAAATCCAACCTGCTCAGCCGATTCACGCGCAATGAATTTAACCTCGATTCCAAGTCCACCATTGGCGTAGAGTTCGCTACTCGATCTATTCAAGTTGATTCGAAGACCATCAAGTCTCAGATCTGGGATACTGCTGGGCAGGAAAGATACCGCGCTATAACCTCTGCTTACTATCGCGGCGCTGTTGGTGCGCTCCTTGTTTACGACGTCAGCAAACACCAGACATACGAGAATGTTACTCGGTGGTTAAAGGAGCTACGGGACCACGCCGACTCAAATATTGTCATCATGTTGGTCGGAAACAAGAGTGATCTTAGGCACTTACGGGCTGTGCCTACTGATGAGGCCAAGCAGTTTGCGAGTACGTTGCTCCCTTTCCCGGGGGCCAATATGTTGGAACAACGTTCAATGGTTGACTCTGGTGGTAATAGGTGAAAACAACTTGTCGTTCATTGAGACCTCCGCCTTGGACGCAAGCAATGTCGAACTTGCTTTCCAGAATATTCTTACTGGTAAGTGTGACTTCGCCAGTATGTCGGCGCTCTACCAGGGATTCTTTTGGCTGACCAAAGATCTATTTGCAGAAATCTTCCGCATTGTATCAAGTAAGGCTCTTGAGAGTGGCGATTCTTCTGCAAACCAGCTCGGCGACCGTAAGGTTGTGGAAATCACTAAGACCCCAGACTCTGAGAAGAAGCCAGGGTGCTGCTGACCGAGTCCTGTCCTGTTTCTACGTGTTTACGTTGGATGTCATTTAATGTGCAAAACAACTATGAAGGGTACTGGTGGCTGGAGCTTCATATCCTGGTTTTCTTTTGTGCTGCGTTTACTCTTTACATTTCTGTTATCTTCCATTTGCCTTCGTCCCCTTCTCATCCGGCTAAGGATATGATCGGTTTTCATTCTTTTCAATCCAATTCTACAACGAACTTTTTTCTTTGTTAGGAGATGCCTTCTTTTTTTCACCCTTCCCTTTTTACATCCTAATTACTTTTCCGACCGACTCCCTTCTTGTATCCTCAGGGTATATCCCGTGGGCTTGATCCTGACCACCGGCAGCTTTCTCTACTATGTACAACTCCTGCCCATATTGATATCTAAGAATGCGTTCCCTATCCAGCCCATCCCACAAGCCATCTTTTCGACAAATCAGAAACTTAAAACACCAAAATCTGAAAATCTGCATGATAATGGCATATGCGGAGAATCGGAGTAAGTACTGCGGGAGGTGTTCGATGCGCGACTTGTCTCGTTTCACCAGTGTTCCATAATGTATAATATTAACATTTCGATCTCAGCTGTAGGTGGTTCATGCGGGAAATATCTATTATATTGATAAGAATTGGGCTTTGAACCAAGTTGAGTAGCGGTCGTAAGAATTCAAGAAGACCTAATACTAGGACGCACGTCGCAGGTCTTAAAATGAAGGATAAAAAGCAGAATCATAGATTAATACTTTATAAAAGGCCATATGCGCAAGAACAAAATCCGTACGAAGCGAAGGAAGGGAAAACACAAGCATAACATATCACAATTGGCGTGGACGGATGATAGATGGCCAGCGGTAAGCATTCAAAATCAAACCATCAGAAACCCGTTTTTGCAACTCCCAATTCCTGGTCACAAATAGCATCTTTGAAAGCATCTAGGTCTTCGCCGCGCTCATTAAGAACCCACTCAAGAGTCTGACCAAAAGTCTCACCGTTATTCTCAAACCATTCTCCGATGGACTTGACGTATCGTTCCACTTGCTCCTTGAGTCGCGCATTCTCCCTTAGCCAGATGACCTGTCCCGGATCTAGTTTCAACATATCCTCTACCACATAGTAATGAGGAATTTCATCGCCCCAGCCTTCTGCACCTGGGTCATGATATAGATCCGAGCGGAATTTAGTGGCGTATTTGTTTGTGGAATTGAAAAGATGGCTCGTGCCAAAACGATCATTTTTTGAGTGGTCGAGGAAAAAAGTTTCCTGGTCGTGCGGTGTGGGAGTATGCGAACGATAAGGATCCGCAAAGTGAAAATCGGATGAACCGAGCGAGGGAGGGTAGTTCAAGTGAATGTTGAACGAGAGGGACTGAGTGTTCTCAGGGAAACGTTTGTGAAACTTCCGTTGGATGGTACCGTTACTGGGGCAAATGTGATTTTGCACCACTTCCCGAATCACCAGGCGCGTGTCTTCTATTTCAGCTAACTCGCTTGTTGACCAATTATGTAGTAACTCAGCCCGCTCGCGAACCACTGCAGGAACAGCTCGCGACGCACGTGGATAGTGAGGGCCATGAAATGCCCTAGAATACAGCCATAATCGGTAAATGGCACGGCGGAGGGTGTAACGTTCGTAATCTGTCAATAACCGTCTGTCTTCAAAGTCGATCTTCCACTTCTTGACGGGATAAATCTCTTCCCACTTTTTAGCCACACGTCCGACCGCAACAATCTGTTGGAGGAGATTGATCGAGAGAGGTGCTTCTCGGATCGCGTGCGCTGGCTGGCTGGAGTTCTGAGTCACCAGTTGTACAATGTCCTTCAATGGCCCGTACTCGGCTTCTGCGGCATAGGCAAGAAGTGGTAATTTCTGAGATGATGAGAAAATGCGGTGGAAACGGCGACATGTAAGGGCTAGATTTAAAACGTCGGCTATCGACGTGCAGGATTGGAATATCTGGAGCAGAAGCTCGGTTGGGAATAGATATGGTAACATTCTGGCAGTAGAGATACAATTCCTGGTAATTACACAAGTGTTAGCTCGGTCCTCGATATTTTCACTAACGTAAAGGAACAGTTACACACATTCGCAATTTGAATCTGACTCTTCAACTTCGGGTATGGTCTAAACGTCTGAGCGTGATAGGATCTCGAACCAGCTTGACTTTGATCGGTTTGGCGGTAAAAGGAGAATAAAAATGAACAGTATTAAGGAGGGAAAGAAAAATTAGGGTGATGATAAAGCAATACGACACGGACAAATGCTTGATTAATCTGTTTGCTAGGCAAAAGGTCTCAAGCAGCCTCTCCGTGCACCGTCCCGTGAGGTTCAACAGGCGACCACCCCTCCGTCCCGGGGGGCTATAGAAAGGGCGATCACATCTTCATGATCAATGACTAATGGTATATTCGTACTAAGAAAGTCACGGTGCCGCAAGGGGCTGGAGCTGGTAGGAAGCGCCATAATGTCGTAGGTGGTCGTTGGAAAGGAAGAATAAAAGGAAGAAAGCTTTGAGGAAGCCGAAAAGTCGTTTTGATATGGTGATTACATAATAATTTTAGATCTGGGCTTGGCGTTTATAAGGACGTTTTGATATAGAGGATGAATTAGATAGATGGATCATATACTCCTATTTACACCGGCCAGCTTTTTTTTAAGAACCTCACAGACATTGGAAAAGCAAAGGATACAGTTTCCAACCCAAGTCCCAGAAAGTAAACGAAAAAGGAAACTCAAAAAAAGGATATCAACTATGCAAACAAGACTCTCGAATCAAGCTCGTCTACCTTCTTCTCCTTTGAGCTTTCAGTATTTAATCCCAATTCCGTCTTTTTGACGTTCCTATCAATCTGCCCCGTCCTTCTGGCAGTATACCGAGTCGCCTTCTTCATCCGAATCTCACGTCGAACCTGGTTGGGACTCACGTATTCGCGATTCTCATAAATAACCGGCCCGCCAAAGCTTCCCTCCAGTATCACGATTGGCGTAAGGACAAATCGCGGTCCAATTTCAACCAGTGAGATTTCAGGCCCGCCCTTGCTTGCGCTAGTGCCCTTTGATTTCTTCTTCTTTGCTGCGTTTTCAAGCTCTTCCTCCGCTTTCTTGGTGGCGGTAGCCACGTCCGTTTCCCTGATCTCGTAAACACGAACCCATATCTTCCCATCCACCGCGAAGATACCAATCACTCGATCGACAAACGGCTTCATCCCTCTAACACCTCGCTTGGGTACACTGAACACGCTTCGTAGCATTTCCCTAACCAATCCTCTCCATTCATTCCCCCGTTGTAATACGACATTGTCATCGAAGGAAGGGTCAAAAACAACGATTCCTCGGCCGCCCTTGAGACAGTTTCCTGCAAATCCGGTGCCTAATTCGCCCATGGTATGTAAATTAGTCACGCTGAACTTGAGGGTGGGGCCATTCGGCGGTCTTGAGAGCCACAGATACAGATCTTGACCCTGTTTGCGCGCCTCGAGGAAGAACACAACATTGCAAGAATGGAGGTCGGCCAATGAGTTGAGGAGGAAGTTGTATCCTTGGGATTTCTTGGTGTCGAGCTTGCTCTCTTTGTATGTATGTGGTAGAAGGGCAGTAAGGTCAGTGACAAGGTGACGGTGTCTATTGAGTAGTTAGCATAATGTCAGTAGTCTATGATAGTTCCTTTTTAAAAGAAGAGCGCAAACACACCTGTACGAAACGCCTCTTGAGGTAAGCACAAGAACTCTAGTTTTTGGCATAAATGAGGGATTCTTTTGCGACTGTGGGCTCTTCTTCGGCGTCAGATTTATATCTCCGTCTTCCTCTTCACCATCGTCAGAACCGTCTTCTAAACCATCTTCTGATGTTTCCTTATCTCCATCCTCATCGCTGCTGTCGTCGTCGTCAAATTGTTCCATGTCCATGTCAATATCCTCATCGTCGGCATTATCTTTAGCAGCATCTTTCTTTTTCCTCTTTGAAAGAGATTTATAAACAGACGCCATTTTAATTGCAGCAATCGAATATATTCCTGCGCAAGTTCAAGCTATCAAGCATAATTTTTTTTAAAAAAAAAAAGATATTAAAAATACTGCCAAACTCTACCGCCTTAATATCACGTGGATGTCGAAGTTTAAATCCCAAGCTTATTTTTTGCCTTTTTTATATTGCAGCCGCCATATAAATACGAAAAGGGGAGAAAGCAGAAAAGCTACATAGAAAGATGTAAATAATAGATAATTTCACCCTTGCCTTTTACCTAAATTTATCAAACAAGTGTATCGCTACGGAAACAGCTCACGAAGCGCAAATCATCATGTCATAAGGTTGTCAAATTACAAATTCGAAGAACGAGTATGAAAAGAGGTAAATTCCCATTCTTCTGTCTCGTCGGGTTGTGCCGTTTTCAAGGCAGGTTTATCTTCCCCAGTTGCCGGGGTATCCTCCGACGTCTCCTCCGTAATGCTGTTGCGGTGGTGGCACATAGTCAGCGCGAGGCGGCATACCGGATTGATATCCGCCATAGTGGGGTGGAGGTGGTGGCTGCTGCCATGATGGCCCATTTCCAGGGCTACCATGTTGTCTTGAAGTTGCATATTGGCCACCGGATGGCCCTGGGATCGGTTCCTGATATATAGGTCTGCCCTGGTCTATATGGGGGTCATAGATGGGGTTTGAACCGAAGCCGGCCGGTGGCGGTGGGATATTCCTTGGCAGGCTTTCTGGCTCTCTATATCTGTGGTCATAGTTCCCTGTGGGAGGGCCCCGAGAGGGGTACGGCTGGCCTGCCGGCCCAGCCTGGTACTTTGCGTACGACTCTTGTCTTTCCGACTGTCTTTTCCTCTGCGCTTCACGGTGAGAGACGGGGAAGATAGGAGGGGCGTTGGGGTCTTGGTTGAGAAGGGTGATCCCATGTTCCTGGTGTCGTTGGTTGTGCACTGGAGAAACGCGGGGAGGGAATTTTCCAGGTGTCACTGGAATGGGCTGGTTTGCGAAACGGGGGTCTCCCGGCTGTGGAGGGCCGCTAAACGAGCGCGGGTTGGGGTCATGCATCTGGCCTCCATAGAACTGGCCTGGCGGGCTCGGGTTCATCGGTATGCTGTTTACATGTTGCGGTTGTCCCATGGGAACACCGCTGCTCTGGATGGGGTTTTCATTGTAGGACTGGGGCTGCGGAGGAAAGTGTTGTTGCAGTTGTTGGTTGGCTGGCGAGCCCGACGTGGCATGAAAGCCTTGCGCCTGGCCAGGTAGAGATATGGGCTGTTGGGGTGTATTGCTTCCAACGCGCGAATGGCTTGCCTGTTTAAAAGCGGTCAGCCGTCATTTTCTTCCTTGGATGTTTTTGGGGAGAGTCGGGACATACGCTATTGTGCTGGGTCACCATCTCGTCTTGGCCGGCTAGGGCAGAGAGATCGGGTATGACATGGACAGGCGTGCTTTGCGCTGAGGAGCGTGAGTGCTGGATCACATCGCCGGCAACCGGGGTTCTTTGAGACCTTGGAGAAGTGCTCTGAGGCGATAACTGTTGTGTAGCCTATGACGGACACAAGAACAGAAGATCAGCCACCCTTCAACCGCTGAGTAACCAGAAAGAGAGAGAAGGCCGTTGACATGAAAACAGAAATCCTGAGTCGAGATCGTTCCACATACCGCGAAGTTGCCGTTTCCACCCCACTTCCCGTTCCTTACTTCCATCAATTCTCTTGTAGCTTCGGATTCGGGCGACGTGGAGCTCATGGTGAGAGGGGACGGATACGGACCAGGACTGGCGGCCGAGTGAGGAGTCGAAGACGTCGATGCAATGAACGGTTCAGTCGGGATCTCCCATTGGGATTTCCTGGTGACGGGTTGGACATAATACCATCGCTGCTGTCGTCCGTCCCACTGGGCGAGCCTAGATGCAGCAGAGCTTGTCAACCATACGACCGTTTCTCAACATAACGAGACGAGAGTAACAAGAGAGAGACAACGACTGGGACCTACCATCCTTCAGGGAGAACCGGAGGAGACGACGAGGGGCCAGCAGCATCTGGGCTCATCACCCTCGAAGACTGTGGGCTCATCGTGGCTTTCTACCGTTAAGAAGGACAACTTTCAACCACCAACGGTATCAAGACCGAGGCTTTGTTTGAATAAGGCCGGGATAGGGCGAGGACAGCGTTTATATCTAACCGCCGATGTCGAGCCAGCAACAAACGGCCAAACCTCGAGGTGGGAGGGTATTAGATGGCTGTACGGAGTACTTCGTATAGATATATAGTTATAGCATATATATATCCCCCCGTGCAAGGTGTATCAAAGATCAGGCCAGCCCAGCGATCGATAGACAATTAAGAGCATAAAAAAAGAAGACGAAGACGACGACGACCAAGAGAAGCAGAATATGGATGCTATTGAGTTTGCATGGTGATGTGATTAGTCGTAGATCGGTTTAAGATGTCGATTTGTGATAAGGGGAAAAATCTGGTCTATCAGGTTGGGGGCTTTTTTTTTTCTCTTTCCTCTCCTTTCCTTTTCCCCTTTACTGTACAAGAAGTAAAAAAGAAAGCAAAACAGCGACGACGGGGAGGAGAAGGAGAAGAAGAAGAAGAAGAGCAAGGTGTACTTTTTTCCTCCTCTGGTGGGGATAAATAAAGTAATATGGGAGATGCAAAGGTCGTATCGCCCAATACAAGATAAAATACACAGCGTCGTCTTTGCTTTTTCTTCTGCTTCCTTTTGACCTGCTCTCGTGCCTAACAGTCAGGTATGAACGGACGAGCTAACGAGGAGTCTTAAGCGCAGGCAGGGCAGGGCATATGGGATGGTTGCATGGGCAAGGAGAGGAGAAGAAGAAGAAGAAGCCTGTCCCTGTCCGTCCCTGTTTTTTTTTTCCTGTCTCCTCTTTTTTTTTTTTTTTTGATGCCCAACGGCGAATACAAGGAGAGAAACTTGGACTTTTGGGCATGAGAGAGAGAAGTCTACATGGTACGTAAGAGCCTGGTAAAAAAGAAAAGAAGACACTTTATGGTTCTTTCGTCTGTCCTTTTAACCCTAGCTAGGCCACCCAAGTATAGGTACGGGCTCGCTTGAAGCTGCGGTTGTTGGTCTGTACCTGCAAGGGTTCCATCCTATACCTAGTAGTATATCGTGTAGGAGGCCTAAGGGGAAGAAGAGCATGCGAGTGTCATCTTCCCGATCGACGTCTTGTTGGTAAGGAAACTGGTATTTGAATATAGATATAGAGATATGGACCGCCTGCTGAGTACCTGGTTTCCCCCCTTTCCCATAGATGCATATATGCCCACCCTATTGTTTTTTTTTTTTCTGTTGTAAGTAACTCCGAGAAAGCCTCCGTTTTGCCTCCATGGCGATGCAGTTGAAAAGTATCATCGGTGTAAAGAATACAAAACTCCCCAAAAAATAAAAAAAAGCTTTCGGCCCGCAGAACCAAGATCTAGAGGTCCTGGATGCGTCATGGTTATATTATTCGTCACTTTCGTCTCCGGTTCCTTCACCAGGCGTAGCTGTCGTTGTTAAAGTCAAGGTCGTCTCCGTTCCAGTCGTCGTCTCCACTGGCTTCACCGTCGCTGAGATTCTCTGCCGGCAGGATAACGTCTGCAGGACGAAGATTGTCAATTCGGATCTTGACCACGTTGCACATTCCTTGATGTTGCTCTCTCGCTGAAGGCATCATGTTTCGACTGCTGGATGCTCCGTCGCTAGAGCGTTCGCTATCATCACTGTTGTTTTGAGACCTGCGCTCTGCCAGACGCCGGCTTTTTCTTCTCGGCGCCTGACCTTCCGTGGTATCATCCCGGACGGGTTGGGAAGCGCTAGAAGCATCTGATCTAGGCGATGGCTTGATATCCGGCACGGACAGCTTCGCTGCTCCGCCAGAAGCACCTCTTGGAGATGCACTTTTTCTGAGAAAGGTTCGTTCCAGGGTTCGTGCCCATTCTTCCCTGAACTGAGCACGATCACGCCAGTCGGTCTTGAGGATGGCGGTAAGGGTGAGCGTGCGCAGATATGTCAAGCGTGGAGCTGCTTCGATCAACGACTTAAACACCACCTCTGCCGTTGTGATATCCCATTTACGGAGGCGCTCGAGCTCAAGGGTTTCCAGGCTAGACGGCCAGGTTGGGACCTGACCGGGATGAAGGAGGAGGTCAAAGTGAGGTTCAACGTCGTGAGCCAACGTATAGTAGCCAGAGCTAAAGTTTAGATCCATCCTGAAGACCCGCAGGAGAGGGCAGGATGCCCGCAGTCCCACGGTGAATGACATGTTCACCTCCTTGTTATGGGCCAGGTTGAGGACCTCCATCTTCCGTCCATGTTCGAACAGGAAACTCGCAAGGCCTTCCGAGTCCACGTTCTCACACTGGTCGAGTGATAGGACCCGCAAGTCGACTGGCAACAGGAAAAGAAAATCATCAGGAAGCTGGCATTGGCTAAATTCCAATACCGAAAGATTAGGAAGAGCAACAAGTGATGAAACTAGATGCTGAGCCGCCGACAGCTGCTTTTCGCCATCTAGAGACTGCCGGGTCTCCGGTGGCTCATACGGCCAGACTCTGTAGAATCTCAGTGCTCTGAGCTGCTGGAACATTGGATGGAGATGAAGGTCTTTCAATCTCGACAACTGCACCCTGGCACTCCATTCCCAACTGTGAAGCTGGATATGCTCTGGTGGCATCAGGTCAAACCACCGTTCAAGAAAGGAGAACTGAAACGGTTTTGACAGCTTCCTGGGGGTATCACTCGGATCACGGATCCGGAGATGCTTTATTTGCGGTGTAACGCATAGGAGTCTACGTAGCGACTGGCTGTCGATATTGTACGTATGGCCATAGATATCCAGACATTTTACCTTGCTACGGTAATTAGTTGCCAGCATGCTCTGGTCTCTGTCTAGCAGCTTTCTCATCTTTTCCAGCCGATCCAAGGAGAAGGTGGGCGGAGAATAATACAGCGCTGCAATGGCCGGCTCGAAGAAGGGTTTGCAAAGCCGAGAGATGCCTAGCAGCCACTTTACTGACTTCCATGTCTCTGTGATATTGGTCCCGTTGCCCATCGGCGCAGCATTCAGGAAGATATCAAAAAGAACATGATACGGAAGGGTCTGCCATGGCGGAATTTTGGCAGACTCTATAGGAGATGGCATTTCTAGCTCGGCCTCGTCTTCCGGCCCGAATTGTTTGGGGGAGGTAGTAAGGGCCTTGCGAGAGGCTTGAAGGAAGAGAGCTCGCTTCTTACGGTTCGAGGACGATCTTGTTATGCGTTCAGCGAGAGACTTTCTGCTCTGAGGTGAAGTTTGTTCAGGCTGAGGTTCGTCTGAAGGGCGCAAGTCAGAGTATATCAACGGCCGGCGGCGGACAGTCACTGGGGAGCCATCTGAGCTCTCGTCGTGGACGTCAGCCTCATCTGAGTCTGAGCTATCCTCACGGTAAGACTTCACCCGAGTTCTAATTAAGCGGAGAGGCCGACTTGAATGTCTTGGAGGGTTAGCTGGTAGAGGACGAAGACTTGGAGCCATGCTGCAGCCAAGGGCGAGTGCATCTTCGAAGGTCAGAGATCGGTGAGGTGATCGAGAAAGAGAAAAGATATAATAGTCAGAGGAGATTTTAAAAAAAAAAAAAAAGAAAAAGGTATTCAGGACACCTCTGTCCCCTATCTCTTTTGTCTTTTTGTCTTTTAGCTCATTCACATATACATTTTCTCTTCTATATTATGATTGATGTCAATAAACAGCTTCATTTCATGTTTCTTATTGAAGTTTCCAAGAATGCACCAGGCTGGTCCCGTGACCTTACGTCTCGGGATATAGTTGATCCGATTGATAAGATAACGAATATAAGCTTTTAACAATATATAAGTTCGGCTTTTCTCCTTTTAAGCGCCGGCATCGCCTAATGTAGAACTTCCCATCCCCCCGTTCAACCTCGAGGATAGACGCCAAAAAGCGGTGGCATCCAATATGATGAAGTCCATAACCTGATGCCATAACACAGTAAGTGACTGAAAGAGCTCCATCGGGGCCAAAAAAGCAAAGCACCATCACATGACACCTGCTATTTGATGACCGTGCATAAATTAATTTGTCTTAGTATGGAGATGTTTCTATTTATATCAAGCCAGCAAGGTGAAACAGCTACAACTTGCCCCGAATTATTATGAATGTGGGATGCTGGGGAGCTTTCGTCGTATATCCAACGTTCCCAAAGGACGGCTCAGGGCCTCTCCGTATACGACCGCGAATTGACTCCCGAATAGCCATATGGCAGCCTCCCGTTCCGCCGACAGTACCTCGTGAATGCGTATATCCGGCGTCCTAGGCTATCTCTCCCCTCCCGCCCAAAGGAAATGCAATTCGCTTGCACAAGGCTGAAGACAAGCCAGTATGGATGGGTTGTCCAAACCAGGAGCTGAGGATGTGGTCCATGGGCGGTCGCAGCCCTCTGGCAATATCGAGACCGAGCAGCCGTATACTAAATATCCTGACACCCCAGAGCCACAGCACCAACAGCATCAGCAGGTAATATCGCAGTCCAACAACAGCCATAGCCCCCAGCTAGCCAGCGGTACCGGCAGCAGCGCGCATAACGGTGGTAGTAGTGGTAGATATGCCATGTCGCAGATAAATCGTGACGTTGTACCCGGCGGCCTTCAACCGTCTCCCAGAGATCCCCGGTCCACAATCTTGTCCAGACGCTCGCCGTCTGCCGCGTCCATGTCACCCCCAGCGTCTGTCTTGTCGCAGGAGCGCCAGAATGAACGCCTCTCATCCGTTGAACCGCGGTCTCTACCGTCGCGTGATATCACCGATACCAACTTCGATGATGCGTACGTTGAATTCATCATGTACTGCAATCCAACTATACCAAGCTCGTCCAGCACTGCGGAGCTTCGTCGTATGTTCAGGTCGCCCCCTCGCAGTGAAGGGAAGAATTTTTGCACGTATACGCTATGGGAGTTGATACAGAAGCTTGACCGCAAGGAATTGAAGACCTGGATTCAGCTAGCCATAGAGCTTGGAGTAGAACCGCCATCCGTGGAGAAGAAGCAGAGTACGCAAAAGGTTCAACAGTATGCCGTACGCTTAAAGGTTAGAAACTTGGCGATATGATTTTTTTGTTCTCCTCTATTGTATCTCTGATTCCTGACTTCTTTCTAGCGCTGGATGCGTGCAATGCACATAGATGCCTTTTTTGAATTCTGCCTAGGACACCAACATCCTTACTACACAAAGGTGCATTTACTGACTGAACAAGAGGAGGAGTGTCGTGATGGTGTACCGAGAGAGGAAGATCTGGCCTTGCGGGCTCTTGTGCCAGAATGGAAGCCCAAACGAGGTCGCAAAAGGGTTGACGAAGTTGGCGCTGATCCCAAACAACAGAAAAGATCTCGTCTATATACACCGAACTCCGTGGTAGAGGGCGGATATAACACCGACGAGACGCCTCAGAGCTCTATGCCTTGGAGCGCCTACCCTGATTCTGCTGAACATCCGCCTGGCAGCTGGCCGACAGGTCCAACAGCACATCTGGACAGCGCAAAGAACTCACACCGCATGGCAACTCCAGAAAGGCCGATAGACAGCCAAGCGGTCACCTCACGATGGAGCTTCCCCATACATAGATCGCCGCCTTTTCAATACCCACAGTCAGCTATCACTCCACGGCATCGTGACCTGGATGCGTTATTCTCCAATGAGCCGCAATCCGCCATCACTCCGTCTTCCACAGAGAGAGTGAGTTCGAAACGGAGAGGACGGCTAACAGTCTCTTCAGCCTGGCTTGGAAATAGCCCGTCCGCCGGAAAGACTAGAGGCCGTCCTATGCAGGTAGCAGGAGCTGACGCACCACCCTCGTCTCTCTCAACAACTGTTATTATTGACCCCGATACTCGTCCCGATGATTCTATACCCACTGAAGCCACCAACCCTACGCCACCTAACAACAATGAGACAGCTGCGGGTGCTGGTGCTGCCCAATCTCCCCGAGATTATGCTCCATCCAGACCTACCAAGTTACATCTCCAAGTCCCAAAATCTACTGGCACGCCCATTCGTCTCGCAACTCCACCCTTGCTATTAGTTAACGGCCAGAATGGCTCTGCTGGAAACGAAGATGCAGCCCGTAACCTTGCCAGAGATGTTCTTCCAAGTGCCAGTGAGGTGTCCGCTCCCTTCGGCCTAACGCTTGAACAAGTTGACAACGCTCTATCTCTGGAAATACAGGGTGCTACCCTATTCGGAAGAACAACGCCTCTCAGTGTTGCTGAATCCCGAGCCATTGCCCACTCAACCATCCAGCAAGTTAGATCCCAATGCCATCCCGACACCCCTCCAACCGTTGTCGCTAGCTACTGCGCCTTCTCACTCGGTCTCGGTCATAGGCTTGGCCTAACCTGCAAGGCTCCAGATCAAATGAAGATTAGAATCGAGCCGGGAATATCTGACAACCGGATTCGCGTGCATTGCCCACCTGATGATCCCACGAAAAATAGTCCAACCCCCACCCTTTCCATCAGTTATACACTTTCTTATGACTTTTCTCCTACCCCTGGTGCAATGTCCCAGGTATCAATACGGGGCAGCGCTCCTTTGCAAATGACGCTGGGTGACGACAGAACAGCTCGATATGCTCATCATAGACATGCGGAACAGCGTGCAACTATTGGACTTGAAGAAGGCTTATCTGATGAGGAGGATAACATCGAGTTTGGCATGACTGCAAGGGACTGGAAACAGCGATACTTACTTCTACGGCAACAGACCAAAAAGAAAGACGCCGCCCTTTTGAAGTATAAGAAACAAATCCTTGAAGCTGTCATGACTGATCCATGATGATCATTTACGTCAGTTATCCCTATTTATCTTTATATATTTGTTATTTCTATTCAATATTTTTTTCCCCTGTCTGTTTGGACTTGATACCCAGCGCTGAACGCTTTTGAATTTTCGGTTTGGGATTCCGAGCTATATTATACCCCGTTTTTAAATATCTAACGCACTGTATTATTATTGTTATTTATTTAATATCAGCTTTCCATATTTCATTTTCGACTAGCCCTACTTGCCTGACATATATCACCATTATTTTTTTGGGCAGATACCAGGCGTATCCATTGAGTGGACTGTCAAAACTGAGGTATGTCCTTGTTGCTTTCCTATAGTACCTCTCTAGCTATCAAGCATACTGTCCGCCTTGCCTCCCATAAAAAAGCAACCTGTTAAGAAATACAGGAGGGTAATTGCATGATGAAAAAAAGCAACAGCCTAAATACTTGCATACTGTTTGCATTCCCCCCTTTCCGAGAAAGTTATTCAAATTGGACCTGACCCTGTGCAAGGCTTGAGCCTGTTCAATGAAGGCAATAAGCGCATAAGCAGGACTCCCCCTAGACGACCTGGTTTTCAATTTGTCCATCTTCACCCTTGATCTCCACGCCAGTGTTGCAAAACTCCTCGAACATGGCTTGTTCTGCTTCTTTATCCATAACAGGCGATGGCAAGAAAGGGTCGTTGTCCGTACGCAGTGGAAGCTCACCATCCATATCATCGCCGTCAGCCTTGTCGGACACGTCAGAGTCCAAACCCTTTTCTTCGGACTTGATCTTTTTGGTAGGACTTTCGCTGCTCGCTCCCTTGGTCTTGCGCTTGGTAGGCGTCTTGGCCACTCCAGCGGGCTTGGACTTGGTTGGAGTCTTGCGAGGAGTCTTGGGCTTAGATGCTCCACCCTTTTTGGGAGTAAGGCTTGAGCATCCGGACGAAGCATCATCCTCTCCACCTTCGCTAGACGATGGATGGATGCCGTTTCCTTTCAGGATGCGCTCGTAGCGCTTTGCGCTGAAGTGACTCTTGTATCAGCATACGCCGAGCAATGATTATGGGCCAAACTCACGCTGCTCCCTTGCTAACTATGCCGCATTCCTCGGCAACAGCAGCGAAGTCAACCTATATACAACATTAGCTTGGGATACGCGTGATGGGCGAATCTTTCTGTTGCCATATGCGCCATATACAATGTTTGCTTACCTTTCCATTGTTGGAGTACTTGATACACTTGATCAAGAAAACATTGGTCTCTTCGGGCGTAATGCGAGACATTTTGACAGGCGATTATTGGATATTCTTGAAGGCCGGTTGGCTTTCTGTCTGCTGTATGGAGATACTAGCTGCTTGTTGAGTATCGAGTTCGGTGACAGAAGAAGATATCTGAGAGAGGAAACCCGGCAGCTTGAAAGGAGGAAGGAGAGAAGGAAGAAAAAGAAGGTTAACTTGAGGCCAGAGAAACAAAAATGAAGAGTATAAGAAAAGGGGTTATGATTTGAAAGTGAGGTTGATAATTTGGCAGTCTTGACTATGACTTGGTATCGGGCGGACTCACTATCAGCTTGGAGGACTACCAAAGTGTGTCTATATGTGTAAAGTAGAGAGTGCAATCAGGAGCCTAGAAAGTGCAAGTTTCCCCTGGCTTTCCTGTTGTTAATACCAAATGATATAGAGAAGGGACAACTGTTGAGTAGATAGTTTGAGAAGAAAGGATAACAGACCTTGCTTTCTGATAAATTGAATGCTTTCCTGCAAGAAGATGAAGGGTGTCAAGATGCCTTTAAGAAAGAGGAGAAAGGAGAAAGGAAGGTCTTTTATAGTGGTGAGGTATCAACAACAATGAAGCGCGCTCTAAGAGTTCAAAAGGGGCTCAGGTAAGAGACGCGTTGCATAGCAACAAGTGAGATATCCCTTCAGAGTGAGAGGTCCTTAAGCACCCTCGTAGGATGTTTGCCTATTTATTCCACCCTTGAGCCTAGCCTGGCAATTTGACCTAATGGTTTTATGTAGCTATGTAGAAAGAAAAAGCAGTAGTGTTACAGTAATGAATCTCAATTGATTAGATATTGGTAGCATAAGTACATCAAATCCAACCCGTATTTGCCTCAAGAATGGTCCCAAGCTCAGAAATTGAAGTATGTCTTTGAGGCCATAGCAACTATAGGAAAAAAATCCCCTTCAAGATTGGGCAGGAAATTCAAAATTAGTAGACACATGATGGGGGTACTTTGAGGCAGGGTAGGAACGGGGGAATGCCAGGGAGTAGAGCTGCCTTGTTAAAGAGCAGGATGGTATTAACAATCTCCCAATAGCAGCAGCCCCTCGGATGGATAGCCGATGAAAAGAAAAATCTAGAAAACTTGGTTTGTGGTTGCATGAAGAACTCGCATTGTAGTGGGCAAGACTGAACTAGTCGTATACGGGTTCTAAGGCAATATTAGGAATTAATGTCAGGCATAAGCAGAGGGTAAATGGAAAAGAGAAGGTGATACCTTGATAGCAACGGAATGCCGGCTAAACAACGGTCTCTTCAGCATCATCATCTGCGTCTTTTGCCGTCACTTCCGTTTCAGCCTTAATCTCAGCTTCGTTCGCTTTGTCTTCTGTGGCGGGATCGACGTTCTCCTTTTCGTCGGCCGTGGCGTTGGCTGCCTTACGCTTGCGCCCGCTGTTGGCAGCAGGCTTCCTACCACGCTTTGCGGGGCTTCCATTAGCCTTTGCTTCTTCGCCATCGGTTTCAGCCTTGGCTTTAACAGGGCCGCGAGCTGCTTTGGCTCCTTTGCGAGGGGTCTTTGGGGTAGTGGCTGTGGGGGTGCCTTCAGAGCCAGCTTCAGCACCATCGCCGGTGCCGATGCCCCATTTCTTCTTGATTGCGCGTAAACGGTTTCCAACAGAGTTATGGTTTTTATAGCCCAGTGCCTCGGCCATAGCAGGCAGGTCAACCTAGAAAACGGAAGATGATAAGTGACCAGAATTAGAATCTGTTGATATCTATCATTAACTTACGTTGAATGGTCCCTGTAAATGCTTGAAACATTCAGCCATGAAGGCAATGTCACTTGTTTGCTTGCTGGGGGCCTCTCCAGAGTTTTCAACAGTGGTATCAGCCATTTTGCTGAATGTTCAAGGGAAATATCTTGGTTTTCAAAGTGTACTGGTAGAGGGAAGTAATGCTTTGGAGCTGTATCAGAGGAAGATGTAGGTGATGGTCAGCTTGGTGGAAGAGAAGAAGAAGAAGAAGAGAAAAGAAAAGGGGGGGGTTGTGGGTTTTATAGTGAGAAATCTCTGAGCAGAAATTAAAACGGAACTTATCCTAGGGCTAGCATACACTGTGTTCCGTGTGACCAAGATATAGCCGAGCCCGGTTCATAGAGTAGTAATAAAGAAGCGAGCAAACGAACACTTGATATCCGTCGAGATTGCGAGGTCAGCTGTCCTTCAAGCTGAGGAATTGAGAGCCAAAACACCTTCAGACCAGGACAGTAATGTAGACAAGCCGGATGTATCTAAAACTTCACATTCATTGTCTTTCTGTATAGAGGCGTCTGTTCCAAACATGATTGTACTGGTAATAGAGGCCCCTGAGGGTGAAAACTGCGTGTCATGTTAGATATCAACTATAGGACATGGAAAAGAAGCAGGCTATCTGATGCTTGTGATTATCACCCAGGACTAAAGTCTCTAGCTCGTTTATATCATCAGTAGCCCAGAATAGGGGTATCGTTATGCCATCATCAAAAGGGCATATTGATATGGAGCTGTTGCTAGTATTCATGCTACACAGCTAGTTGTCGTAAAGACAGCTAACCATCTCCCCACGGAAAAGAATCCAGGATATATTTGTGAGGCAGAATCACAGGCTTATTCTCATTTTGAGGGATTAAACATATACACAGTGTATCTGGCGTCCTTCATGACCATCACAGAGCAAGTCAGAAACATGAAGTCGAAAAAAAGCTCCTTTTTAAATAGTCAAATGTGCCATCCACGTGACTCCCACTTTGTGCATCAAAAGAAAAGAAACAGAAGAACACTAGAACATGTCAAAGTAATTACATATTTGGCTCTGACTTGATGAAGAGATCCTGCATCTCAACTTCACCGTCTGCCCTTTCAGCCTTGACTGGGATCCAATTCTCCCCAAATGGTGGCGCCGAATAACCGATTACAGGCTCAGGGACAAAAGAAGGCACGGTCAGGTCTGCTGGAGACACGGTCGAGAAGTCGTAAAACGGAGTATTATTCTGGACGGGCGTATTTTCAAGGCTCCTGGGGACAGCTGCCGCGCCTTGCGGATAGAAATACTGAGGTGGTGCTCCGGCCCCAAATGCTGGCTCAGCCTTTACTGCTAGCTCCTGTTTGACAGGAGGACTGGATCTCTCGGTGGGAGAGTGCTCTTTGCCCCGTGCCAGATCCTCAAACATGGCCTTTTTCGACTTTGCAGTTTCTGCCTTGGACTTCTTAGCACGAGGTGTACGAGCGGTTGTCGTGTTTCCTTCCATGTGCTGTCGAAATCGTGAGAATCGCATCCGGGCAGCGTGACCGTTGGTAATCTCCAGTTGAGATGCAACCAGGCTCCAGTCAATCTAGTGACAATTATTATCCACTCCTCTAGTTTAGAGTCGACCCATAGCTTCTGATCAAACCTACTGATTTCAAGTCCAGCTGCTTCAAGATCGTGTATAAGAATTTTGTTGTTTGGCCATCAGCTGGCATGGTTTTGCTTCGCTTGACGGCTGCCATGGTATCGATCAGATATGCTTCCAAAAAAGAAAACGGCCCCAAGAGACTAGTGAATATGAAAATTTTGGTCAGGTTGAGATTGAGATAGCTTGAAGGTCTGCCGTGAGTATCGCTGTGGTAAGATTCTATCTTGATGCGGACAGGTTACTGAGATGAACACTGATGAACAGATGTGTAATGTCAGGGAGGAAGATATAGGGTAAATATGTCTTCTCACATTGCGGCCTGTGTTGCTCTATGGTTCCATATTCCCTGATATCAAGAATGATTCAGCAATACTGAAAGCTTAGAATTCATAGATCCAAGCTTTGTGAGAGTTCCTTTCATGCTGAGATATGGTGTGTATACCCAATTATAACAAGAACATAGCCCTTTGTGTTTCTACGCCAACATTGATAATCTCTTCTCTCTCAATAATATCTCCTGTTTGATACTCCTGAGAAGGTTAAGCTTCAATGAAGTATAAGAGACAAAATTGCATACTTCTTGTTCCCCCAGCTTGTACTAGGCATACCACTTTTCCATCTATGAGGGCCTCCTTTTCTAGAAGCATCCTATATGGAGAACTATTTACCCTTGGATACGCTCGACTATGATGGAAATAGAAACTCAATGTTGGATGTGTTTTATCAGTTCCTTTCTAACCCCCCATACAATTACATGGACCTGGTTCTCCCGCGCTCTCGATAACAATCTTGCCCAAAACGGGATGCTCTGCTGTGCTATGGCTGTAACCAGACATTAGAGAAACACGGAGCGAGAGCTATCAGTTGCTGTCCTCCGATTCCTTCTGGTCATCTTGCTTCACTTTCTTAGTATCACTATCATTCCCCGAGGCTTCCTCCGCAACACGCTTCTTAGTGGCCTTGCCAGCCTTGTATTTGGGGGTTGTGGCTGGTGAGGATGTGTTGCCGTCAGGAACCACCTTAGATTTTATTCGGGACAGGCGACGTTGAATCGCAATCGGGGTGCATCCTAATATCCAGGTCAGACATTTGTTTCTTTGGACGCCCTCAGATGTAAAGAGGGTACGGTGGTAGACCTACCGTTTCCCATGATTTCTGCAACTGCCTTATAATCAACTTTTGCGTTTGAAGTTGATATGATGGCGAAAAGCAACTGGTCCCGGTGATTTGATTAGTATAAAGCAGTATTTCGAAGCCATATTCTGAGCCAGTTGAGAATAAACATAGGCTGACCTTCGCATTGGCGGCATCATTCCACACAATGTTTTTTCCCATGCTTATAGCTTGCTTTGGTAGGTAAAATTCCTTCTGGTTTCTTTATTGATATGTTTTGATAAGACAACTCTGCAAGTTGTTAGATAAACAAGGAGACCACTTGGTTGTTTGTGAAAGCAAGAAGATGGAGAGAATAAATTATCTGCCGTGAAGAAATACATTACTATTATTCTATAGTACATCATCGCCATGGTAACAACCAAGCATAGGACTTTCATCTCTCGGCAACACAGTCAGTCACCAAAAAGAATGGACATTAATTATGAAAGAAAGCTCTTCCTTGTAATTGACTTATAAGCAAGCAACAGTTATGTCTGGTATTGAGGGACTTCTCACCCCAAGCCATTCCGTATTATACCGAATCCCATTAATATTGTACAGATAGAAAATTATTTATTTCTTTCCTAGTATTATATGCTGTTATATAAAAATTAAACATAGAAGAGAAAATCTGTAAATTCTAGTCTCTTAGCCGTTTCGATGCAGGTTCAAGGAAAGTGAGAGGCAGCTATTGCTTGGATCCTTTTGAGCGATTGTGAGTATACATCTCATCTTGAGAAGTGTGGTAGTCGTGTTCGTTTAGTGAGTATATTCTATAAAAATTCCTTGGATTGCGTCTAAAACCGACGCAGAGATTGTCTGCACTATCCATCTGGGTATAATAAATGTACGGTGAGCTATGCTGACACAAAACCGATATATGGCGAAAGGAAAAGAAGTATGTCAGCCGTAATTGATGGGCAATGGGGTGGTATATGGAAACCGCCATACGGTTGAATTCTGCTGATTAGGATAAATAATTATGAATAGGTCTTGGTACTGATATCATCGCGCCCTTCACTCCTTCTGCCGAGTAACATCCATTTCCCAAACTTGGGAAGTATCAGGTAGCTCGGCCATGGGTGGATGTTGGTTTCCATACCCAGCCGTCCTGGCCTTTTCAGGCTCCAGTATGGTCGGTATCGAAGCGGGAGGTGCATATGGTGGCCCTGTTGCAGGCGACATTGGTAGAGAATCAAGTTCTTGGAATCCGTTCTTTGGTGGGCGTGAAAAGAATAGATCAGGAGATGGGCCCAGAGGGGATGCTGCTTTTGCCTTGCGTAAACGATATATAAAGTAGCCAAAGAATGCCAGCCCCCCTACACCGACTATTGATGCAATCACTGCTCCAGCAATTACACCTCCAGATACAGGTGTCTCGGTATGGGGGTGTTTTGGCCGATGTGTTGGTCGCTCAGTTTCAATTGGCATGTCCATTGTGGTATGGGCTGTAGGCATACTCGTGATATCAGTTGATGTGGACGATGTTTCCGATGTGGAAGTGGTAAAGCTAGACTCTGTAGAGGATTCTGTGGAGTCTGTAGATGATGATGTGGTCGAAATGCGGGTTGTGCTTGACTCGTGGTTTGTGCTGGTACGGGTTGTAGATGCAGACTTCTCTGATGTTGACGACGACGGCTCTGGAAGTTCGTCGCCTTCCATATTAACTAAAAACGACTTAACCCAAGGTTGGCCGAGTTTCCGTGGCCCCCAAACTGGACATGACCATCCGTTCCGATCGTCACAATTGTCGTCCGCGAACAAGTTGATACAGTATCGGCCTGTCGATTTAGGGTCCCAGCTATAAATTTTGCCCTTATCCATATTTATCTTTTTGCATGAATGCTTCCCAGATCCAGTCTCGATATGGGCGTCATTCTCTGTATCATGCCATACGAACGACCATGCGTTCGTTGCGCTTATTAACAAAAAGATTCCTAGGACCAAATGGCAAAGAAGCGTCGTTCGAAAAGCCATGCCGACTGTTGCATCACCGTTGGAGACGAGTAGTCATCAACGAAAGGGAAATAATATTTTATTCAGATACAGGCTGAATTATTTTCTGCTTCCAAGGGGGAAAATAGAAGAAATAGATGCAGTTATGGATCTTCCACACAGAGCCGCAAATAGCTATCTTCCACGACAATAAGTCAGGTACGAGCTGCAGGGGAAACAGCATCGTAATATGAAATTTGATCAACACACAAAATTCGAGCATCCCTTGGGGCTCAGTCAATGGGGGTTGCTCCACCTTGAAGACACGCCCTCGGCCTACGCTCTGGTATGCTTCTCTGGACGGGGAAGCTCGTATTCTTGAATTAGAGATCCACAGAATCTCCTGGGAAGGGCCATCTTTTACTTCAATCAGCCTAGAGCCAAGGATATCCTGCACTGTTGACACGAGACGCGATTTGAGCATTTAACAATCATGGAGGTGCATTTCCGAGATCCGTTCACAGCGAAATCAGCAAGCCGTCCAAGCTCAGCAGAGCGCGAAGCAGCAGGAGTTAGGCTGTCCATATCAATACAGAATCTGACTGAGAACACCAAAGCTGATGGGTATGAAAAGTGATATATATCATCTGCCGCTATATGAATGATTATATCGAAACAAACCCTTGCTGTTGACGTCGTAAAGTCGCAAACCTTTTCTTTCACAGGTAAATGAGACTATTCCTGCTTATTAAGCAGGTTTGGTGTTTCCTTAAATAGAAACCAACTCGGTTCTCTGTCTAGTTTTGAGGAATCCGTTCGACACCCTGAAGCTCGCCATGGCTGAATATCGCATAATGGACATTCAGCTGGGGAACACTTGGATAAAAGCCCATCTCATCGCTGATAGAATGTCCGAAAGTCGGTCTCAGGTAATGATATTTTATCGAAGGACAATAGGATGAAAGTGACCAGTCTGTTCGATAGTGATCCACTATGCTATGTTTTTCCGATCTACTATGTAGGGCCACATCTAGCTATTTCTGCTACATGGAGACTGACAAGCTTGGTCAGGGATTGAAAATGCCGTTATGCTATTTCAGTTCATTTAACTAAGAAAACTGTGCCCTTATTGTTGTGGGAAATCGAAGCACCTCTGCATGTCATATCGCAAATGCAAAGAGGTATTAGGCAATAGAGAGGAAACATTCAAAATAGAAAAAAGAGAAATCAAGAAGTCCATCGCATCAACCATGTTCCGCCCGAATATGATACCCTTGATTCCGCTCTGGATATGTTTTGAAAATTATATCCGGCTGTGAGCGTGAGCGAGCTTTAATAGGCTTCTTCCTTGACCATCCCGTCCATAAATTCATCGTCATCCTTGTCATCATCATCCGCTGGTGCAAATTCGCTGATGCTGCTTTCGTACTTCATACCATCTTCATCGTCAGTATCTTTTTCATATTTAACCATCCCTAGAGGGAGGGCAGGGGTAGTCCTCACGCGTTTACCCAAAGGTTCCCACGCAAGAAAAACATCTTCTAACTGTCCGTTAGAAATCAAGTTTCCATCATTGGCTTCATCTTTGACTGGCCCTCCATTGTTTGCTGGAGTTGGAGTTCCGGGAGAATCCTTTTCGCCATTCATGCCCTTCTTCTTCAAGCCACCAGTGCGAGAACGCTTGGAGCTAGGCTTTGATCCTCCGGTTCCAGCTCCACGCTTGCGAGAAGCAGGAGTTGCGGGAGTCGGAGTGCCGTTCTTGGCAGCAGCAGCTTTTGCGAGGCTTCGAATCTTATGGATTCGTTCAGTGATGGCTCGAGGAGTAGGACGGTTCTCCTCATTCTCAGCTGCTGTTGGAGAAGTCAAACAAGCATTCACATCTTCGGGGTCATTATACACAAGCTGTTTACTTACGCCAGGCATCAGAGATCTTCTTCGTGTCGACGCTGATTTCATGGGTCTCAATGAATTTGATCAGCAACTACTCATGAATTAAATGGGTTAGCAAGTTCTAATTAAAGAATACCGAAGCAAAGGGTAGCTAGGGCTCCAGTTTCGAAGGTAATGGATATGGAGAAAATAGAATTATGTCAAGGCAATGGTAGCGACACGCTGGAGGGATAAAATCAGAGTATCTTTTACATAGAAGGCAAGGTATAAAAAGAGCCAAGGGGGCGCAAAGGGATAATACCATCTGATCATTTTCGCTTGTCCATCGGACGGGCATCTTGCTGGTTGTAAACGTGGCTTTGTGAAACCGAAGCTGAAACTCGCAGGGCAAGAAAGTTGGTATTGGCGATTTGAAGATGAAGATGGTGAGTGGCCGAGGTGTAGAAGAAGTAAAGGAGCTAATATTGAAGCTGGTATGTAGTCAAGATTGAGTAGAGCTGAGGGTAAGCAAAAGAAAAGACTTGAACTCTTAGTGAGCATGAGCGTAGAGAAGAGTCAGAAGAAGAAGGTGACGGGAGAGAGAAAGGAAGAAAGAGATTTTAAATGTGTGGTTACCGGGGCGATTCAGCTAAACACAAGCCCAGAGTGAGAGACAGATGACGGCTGATCCGTGTTGCTAACTAATGGGCTAGAAAAAGTAGAGTAAGAAGTAACTAACACAGCCTATAAGTAGAGGGGTTTTGTGCCACATATAACTAGGCGCTGTTTAAAGAGAGAGGTGAGTTATAGTAGGACTTGAGTATTACCAGTGCTTAAAATAAGGTATTGTGTCCTTTTAAGGCAACTAAGGAAGACATTGTAATCACCCTTTTAGAAGGATTAAATACACCAGGCATGCTAGTGTAGTTTCTATATCAAGCCTTAAGCCCTATTTAAGTACCAAATTACCTAGAAAACTGTTGTCTGTTATGCCCGAAAAGTAGATAGTGAGGTTGCAAATTATCAGCTTTACACAATAGTTTAAGGAAGCTCAGACCTTTCAAGTATATAACCAGGGGCGGAAAGCTTATTTAGCTAAGGTGTAACAGCGGAAACTTTAAATGAACTCCCAACCTCACTTCTCTTGGCAACATCTAACCTCCATTTATATTGTCCGGGTGTAACGTCCAAGGCTTGCTGTTTTTTTCACTTACATACCATTGAATATAAGTAGTTACGTTATGTTTCAATTGCCTGACGTCATGGAAGATGAATCTATTCCATGGGCTACCTAATCTGACTCTCGAGACGGCACCACCAGCCATGTCGGCTCAGTCTCTTGACCCCGCCTTTGGACAGTGTTCCCCTCCAACGGTACAACTTTTGTTGTATAGCAACTCCTGGCTGCGCCGACTAGCCTTCATACCTCTTTGTTTTTCTTTCCCTTCGTATACCAAGCTTCTGTATTTTTGCTATATACCACAGAAAAAGTCCATGAAGTGATGCTTTTTCTACTCTATTGTAACTGGTACATCTTGTCAATATTTCCTCATACTCGTTAGCCCAGGGAGTACTAGGCTAAATGGAACACCTCTACACTAGAAATGGTATCATCTAGTATTGGGATTTAGTTCCGCTTGCGACTTCTCTCAATATATAGTTCCCTATATGTTACAGTTACTCTGGAGTTGGAAGCTGTGTTCTCGATGTACATTAGCCATTGATGCAGCATTTACGATTCCTAAAGGCACTAAGATTGCATTTAGACTTATGACAAGTATTAATATAGGCTGGCCTTTGTTTTTCAGCTTGTTTTAACGTGTTCAGAGCCTGTCAACACCTAGTATTTAGGTGTATATGGATCCTTGCACAATTATCGCTCGACAAACAATCCTCACCGAGGTTATATGCTTGACGTAGCCTCGTTTGTCAAGCCTGACGCTTTGTAATAACACACTAACGAGCCCCGGGTTTTACACACAGGTAATTACCGACTCCTAGCCCACATCTGGCTTTAAATGCACTAACCCACCAACTTCTTACTCACAACAGTTAAAAACCTTCCAGGATCGTCATATCTACACTTGCATTCCCTCAATTTCTATTCCTTACATCCGCTATTTCGACTATCGACGGCTATTCGATGATTGCAATATGGTTATAGCTTGGAACAAAGACAATATTGAGAGGGTGATTGCAGCACTGCTTGCAGCTCATCCTGGAATTAGTGTATAGCCCCTTGCTTCTTCTGCTTGTTCTTGTTGCATATGAACGCAAAGAGTCGGGCTATTTCTTTATATATAAACTACGACACCCCTGTTCGAGGTGCTTTGCTTTCTCAGATATCGAGTATCTCATGCTAACGACTGTGCTTTTTCAGCCCGATTATGGGACCATGGCTACCTACTTCGGCCAAGGGGCGTCTTACGATTCCCTGCAAAACCAATTTCGGAAATACCGTCGGATGGCAGACACGATGAAAGGTTCTACAGAACAGGCAGCCCCCTTCACTCCAAACCGCCGGAGGAACGGGGGGGTTCCGACGACTCCACGCAGTGGCAGAGTTACGAAGTCGACATCTGCCAAAAAATCGACAAATTTTATGAAAGCTAGCCTTGAGACACCAACCAAAGCGGGAATCGTTACAAAGAAAAACAACATAGATGATCCCATTATTCTTGATGATGATGAAGACGAAGATATCCCCACCATCAAGCACGAAAACAGCAACATGACTACAGCTGTAAAGGAGGAGATAAAGCCTGAATCCGTCGTCCACATGGCAGATATGTTTTCTGCACTTGCCCATCATGGAGTTGAAACACCCAAACGCGAACCTACTGCACATACCGAAGACTCGGAGACCCAATATGCCCAACCGCAGCTCCTGCCTAACTCTACACTAGGACATTTCGCTATGCCACAACCTAATCATCTACCATCGTACAACAATGACTCGGATGATGACATTATTGTTTGATTGAGAACTTGGTGGGCAGAAAAATGGACAAGTTTGGTGACATGGAGTTTGGAGGAAGTAGGAAGGAGTAGATTGTGATCTTTGTCTACTTTTTGTCGGGTGCTACAATCAATGCCAATGAATGATCTGTGATGTTTTAGTGCACCCCTGCTAGCAGTGATTCCCAAGTATGTTCTATTCTAAATGTCTCTATTTCCGTCAAATAGTATAATGTTTGCAAGTCGGCCAAGGTGAAAAAAGTCATAATGTAAGCCGTTACAATTACTCCACTGCAATCTTCAAATAATAGGTCACAATACCCCAGTAGCGACGATAGTCATGTCTCATATGACCGACGTGAGGCGACCCGTGAAATTTCTCTCTTATAACGCGGTAGCCTTTGCTCTCTGCTTCATATGAATGTTCCTCGACGCCTTTCCAAGAAATCAAGTCATCCAGTTCTGAATAAATGTAACATCGTTTCACCCGGCTATCGATCAGTTCAGGGTCAATCGACGCTTTCCAAGCCAGTTCGGCAGGAAACTCCCGCCTGAACACACGGTAGTAGGTAAATGCCAATAGTAATGCAACCCAGACCGCCATTCCTGCAAAGAAGCGAGGGAGTGAAGACTTTGGAAGTCCATATGATACTGCCCTATAGGCTCCAGAGAATGTAGACTTTCCAGGGCAGCTGTCCATTATAAGTGAATTTAGAGGAAGCGGCTTTTTTGTTACTTTTTGATAAGCGAGGGCGATGCTTCGGAGAGTAACTGATCCGCCGTTCGAGAACAGGTGAAGATATAGCTGGTCGTTGGAAGACAGCCCAGGGGACGTTGCAGGGGCTGCAGAGAACAGCAAGACATCCACAGCTGGTTGTACCCGCCGTGTTTGAGCGGCTTCAGAGGTTTTCAGGAATAAATCAGCAGAGGAGGTGAGGACAAACAATATCCGCGCATTTGGGGCGAGCTTGGTATATTCCGAGATGTATTTGTTTGCATAGCGGAGACGAGCATCCATCCAGAAAAGAATAACGATGGTAAGGCGAGATGAAGCCGTGACGGCCAACTGGGCGACTTCATCGCTTTCTGCTCTGTCACTCGGATTGGGGAAATCACGAAGCCAGATCGAAGGGCCAATTTTGACAAACGACGAATCTATCAACGGCGGCAGCTTTTCCAATGGAGGAGCCATTTTGATGGAGACTATAGGTAGCTGTTTGTCCCCTTTTTATTTTAATATGCGGTTACTTCTCGAGGCTGGCTACTTATACTGGGCCGGGTGGGCCGGGTACCAGTAAATGCGATAGACTAACAGCGACATAAACATAACGCGGTTCAACGTCGCTAATCTACAGTTAAATGGAGATAATATAGAGGAGACACTGAATGCAGCATATCACATATCATTGACACAGAAACACACGACGGGCAACAAGCACCGGTTCCTGAGTGGAAGATGGTAGGTTCAAATTCAAAACCAAAATATGGCTTGGTATATTTCTCTCATTCCTAGTTTTACTTCGGGCGATTTGATCTTCCTCCCAATGTTCGGCCTTTATCCTTCTTTTCTGTGTCACTGCCAGAGGCTGGAGCGGACGGTTCAGCAAGCCCTGACCCTTTCTTCTTCCCCCGTAAAGTCTGGCCGGTGCCCAAGAATTTAGGCTGTGCTTCCGTTTCAGCGGATGCATCGCTGGATTCTTTCTTCTTGACCGGGGTGATTGCATACCCAAAGAATAATTTCCCCGGCGGTAGCCTTAGTGGCTGCGGGCCGTTTGATCTTCGCGTAGGGGGTGCAGGCGGTGGGTTGCTGGATTTTCCAGATGCAGGGGTTGTAGACTTAGGGGTAGATGATTTACTTCCCTTCTTCATGTTGAGTCGTTGGCCGCTACCGTGAAAATTAGACGATGCTGCATTGGCTGCTCTCACGGCATCATTCGACCCTGGGGCTATCGCTGCATAATTGATCGACTGCGCCATTGTCCCGTGAGAATGAAGAGTTCCTCCAGAAGGTAACGAACCACTGACAACACTACTTGATGGAGTACTGGCCCCGCTTACTCGCTTCGGTTCTTCGTATCCCACTGGGGGCGCAAAGTCGACCTCTAAATCAGTCTCTAGTACAGACAGAGCGTTTTGGCTTGTCTCTGGCTTTGTCTCCAGTACAGCCATCTCATATATCTGATCATTGTAAGAAAATGTAAAGACATCGCCTTTAGTTAGGCAGGAAAAATTTCGAAAGGCGTTCTCGAGCACGGCTTTAGGATCACTGATGTCAAGGAATGATGTTGACTGGGCCTGGAGTTTTATTCTAGAGCCTGGGGGAAGATCAGTCGATTTTATCTGTACCAAATCTCCAGGTTCTAGCAGAAGCGTTTGCATAATCTATTGTCCATCAGTAGTATTAGTAACGGACGGTCTCCACGGGGGCCACATATATCGGACTGCTTCACGCACCCAAAACGGTAGGTATATTTTGCCCTCCTCTGCAATAAATTCCAGTACACCGGCGTGGGTCATCCGTTGTTTAGCCCCGTTATGAAGCTCAAAAAGCATAGGGTAGGTAATATGCAATCGAGTGAGCTTATCCAAAGCGCTAGGCGGCATGATCACCTTGCCTCCATGGTTCACGTTCTCACGTTCCGGGCCTGGAAGCATCGCTACGGGATAACATCGATAGTATTCATCAAATCGTCGAGAGGCATGTGTCGTATGGTGCATCATGGAAGGATGAAGGATCCCGTCCATAGGGTCATCGTTGTAGTACCCGGCCTACAGAATAGAACCATCCGGTCAACAAATCGGTAGAGTAGGGCAATTATCTGGAATCATACCATCATGAAGCTCTACCCCCGAGCTATCACCTTTCTAGGGATAGCCGTTTTGTCAGAGTAGAGGTTGGCGGTGATATCACGCCCAGACAGGAGCCTAGTTGAAATATAAACCAGTATCACGATATGAGCCACTGATTAATCGATGGAGAGTATACTGTCCTAACACCTTTGAGAAGAGCTTGTCTTTGGCCTTGAGCGTTGATGTTGACGTTGATGCCTTGTTGTTAATTAATCGGTTTATCGAGAGCTTTATCACTTGGTGGGAGTGACGCAAAGAAGGCAAACAGTGCAAACAAGCAACTTCTGAAGCTTTCAGTATCCTTCTACAAGTTTGGATACGAAGGTGAATATGTCCTTCATGATATGAATACCAGATACATTCAAGTTTGCTTCTAGCTGCTGTCTATCTTCCGTATAACACATGTCGTCTTCATTCACAAGACCGAAGCGAGGAGGTGAGGACGACGACTCAGACGGCGTACCGCAATCTTCGTCGAAAAAACCACGTTTTGATGTCCGCAACCCCTCTGCGCTCGCACCAGATGCCCTAGAGGAGGATGCGGTACTGGATGCAGATGAGATTGGCCACCGAGGCCAAAGAGTCCGTCGCAATGCTGTGAAGGTTGAGGGATTCGAGTCGGATAGTGAAAATGAAGGCTTCGACGCCCGTGCCGAAGCTAGATCGAAGGCTAAAAAACGAGAAAATCGCGCCGCCGATGACGATGATATGTTTGCCGAGCTTGAAGAAGATTTTGGAGAAGATGACGACGAGGAGAATAGAGACCGGCTGAGAGATAAGAAACAGGTTCGGTTTCTGGAAACGGACGAGATAGAGGGACAAGTTAATTCCTCGCGAGCGGGACGGAAAGTTACCCTAGATACCCGTTCTGCAAGCGGAAAAGGAAAAGGGCGAGCTGTCGATGAAGAAGATGACGACGATAGCGGGAGTGACGTCGGTGATGAGGTCCGCGCCGCGCTTCCAGCGGATGTGGACAAGGAGCTTGGAGCAGGTGGTAAAAAGCAACATGCGCCTCTTCTTGATGCGTTTAACATGCGAGCAGAACACGAGGATGGTCGCTTTGATGATGCTGGAAACTATGTTCGAAAAGCAATGGATCCAGACGCAATTCACGACTCATGGCTGGAAGGTGTTTCCAAAAAGGACATGCGAAAAGCAAGAGAAGCAGCTGAAAAACGAGAAGAGGAGAGACGCAAACAGTCCCTTGCCGCTGACAAGGTACTTACCAGCGACATCCTGAAGACCTTGATCCAGCACCTTGATCGAGGGGAGACCATCCTCGAAGCTCTAGGTAGGCTAGGCAAGGGGCTAAAAAACCGGCCCAAATGGCAGAGCAAAAATAAAAGGAACCATAAAAAGCCGAACGGAACTACCGAGGACGTGGAAATGCAAGAAAAGGATCCGGCAGAAGCACAGAAGAGGCGTGCCGTCGAAGAAATCACTGAGGCTGCGGATCTATTACTTAGCCGTGGTCAGACGGATATCTATGACACTGAGCGCGAGCTTCTTACTCGGCTGTATCAACGAGAGACTGGGGAGCAGTGGGTGGATCCTCCGCGCCCCGAGATGGTGGTAGACGATGGTGGTGGGAGTAATGAGACATGGGAGTTCCGCTGGTCGGATGCTCGTGACGGTGGGATAATACATGGGCCTTATGACAGGGCAACTATGCAGTCATGGAGCAGTGCTGGATATTTTGCTGGAGGTGGAGCAGAGTTCAAAATCACCGGAAGCTCAGATCCTTGGAAACCAGGAGATCCATTTTCATGACGTTAAATGGAGAGTTTGGCCTCCCTTTTTGTATAATTATATGTTCAGTTTTGTGGGCATACCAAATTCTCTTGTTGCAGGCGCAAGAACTATAAGCGGGCTTTAATTCTATTACGATGATTGGAAGTAGATATTACCACCTAAAATCCCGCCGAAAGGGAGGGATATCGACGCCATATTTCATATTGAACAGCCTATTATCACAGTTTTGTTTCCCCCTGCAAGCCCATGGCGCCAAACTCGTACAATGTAGTCATAAAAAGAAAGGAACCAAAAAGTCCATCAAGAGACCTCCATGGGATCACCGCCGTTAGCAGCAGCTGTGGAAAAACTGACATTCCCCGAGTCGCTAATGAACCGTTTCTCAAACTCGTTCACAAACTTAACACTTCGTGCAGGGTCATAGAAAAGACTATAGCTGCGTTGTATGTCTTCAATTCCCACTTCTTTCGATTTCCGCTTCTGGCTGAGAAGGGTTGAGGTTGCTATAATGTTACTAGCATAGCGAAGGCCAGACTCCTGTCCGATCTTAGTTAAGAGAGCGAGTGCATCCGGGCTAAGATCGATCTCCTCTTCTTGTGCGCGAATGGCGAGGATCTCCTGGATATCTTCCTTGCCATAAGGCTGGGTGCTGACGATGACAACTCTGTCGAGGAAGTCCAATGGCAAGCCGTGAGGGGATTGATAGGTTGTGCCTCGTATCCTTGTGTTGCCTCTGTTGCTAGCCATGATGACGATGGGCGCCAGCTCTGCCTCTAGTGCACGATTGATATATGAGAAGCACTCGATGTCAAGCATATGTACTTCATCAATGAAAAGGACGCCAGGGATAATTTCCGCCTTCCCTTCCTCCTTCCATTCGCCTACTTTTGAGTTAATCTGGTCGCGGACTTCGCTTCGTATCTCTCCAGTATCTCCAGAAAAGAGAGCTAGGAATCCTTGGCTTCTCGAATTTATCACATCGATTTCATGAAGACTGACGGTGTGCACAACCTCCTTCCGGACCTGCAGCTCACCTTCAGGACACTGGACAAACTTGGTATCTGGACCCATGGCATCGTAGTCTCGCGATCTGGCAAAGGATCGACCCAGCTTCGTTATCTTCCCGGCTGCCTTGTCAATGGAGATGACATCTCCTGCCATCACACGCTCCTTGGTCATAGAATCAATCATCTTTGTTCCCATGTCGTAAACGGTTTCCATGTCCGTCGTTTTAATAGTTAATTTCCCTTGTTTGTTGCTCTACCAAGGACCAGTAAGCATCCAGTTTTTGACTTAAAGATAAAAGGCATGACAAGCTCACCCCCGTAACGCTTCGATCTATCTGGATCTCAACGACTTCACCCTCAATAATCTCGCTCTCCTCCTTTATCCTCACGCCAATCGACTTTCGGAAAGCCTGAGTAAGAGCTTCGGTCTTGGACATCTCCAAAGAGAATATCTCTGAGGAAGCAAGCATTGTAAATGGAACATCCGGGCCCAGCGACTGGGCCATTCCCATGGCGATGGCAGTCTTTCCGGTGCTAGGTGGTCCCGCAACAAGCACCGCCCGCCCTGCAATCTTACCCTCCTTGACCATCTGCAATATGACCGCAGCAGCCTTACGTGCCTTTTGCTGTCCGACGAGCCCTTGTGAGGTAGCGCGAGTCTGGAGAGTATCCGGATCGACACCAAGTCCCCGGATATGTGAATGCGCTGCGACCAGATTGAGGCCCCGTAGGTCTCTACCTTCTGAGACGGTGGTGATGGGCTAGATGGGAGCCGTTAGCGATCTTCATGGTGTGGTGTCTTCCGGAAACCTGGTGAGAGACTTACCGCCGCCATTGTGTAGCTTGTCACAAATACTGACTTTCCGACTTCCTAAAAAAAAAACCTGCCGTCAAGCTGTGCTGTTGATATGTTTTTCTTCTTCTCAAGCTTCAACTTCAACTTTCAAAAAAGCAACGTCGGCGGATTTTTGTTTTGCCGAGACGAGGCTTTTTTTTATTTATTTTCCTATTTTTTCTAACATTTAAATATTTTATTCTTCGTTATATTCTAACCGAGATATTGAATGCATAAGACGGTATGATAAGAGTGTATTCATACTTATCTGCGTTGAAAGCTCCTCAGATTTTATTACTATAGCAACGAAGTGAGCCAGCGCTTACAGTTAAAACCGGCCTGAAGTAAAACGCGACTTGTCATTGAGAAGCAGCACAAAAGTAAACATGACTTATATATCTCTCTTTTATCTAGCTGGCATGGCTATCATGACGTTTAGATCTGTTCATAGGTGTTGTAGATAGCTCGACGTACATAGTAGAATGCCCCAAGGGTGACGCTAGTAGATAGTTAACTAAAGCTTGGTTGGAGAGAAAATCTACCAACACTTAACACTGTACATCACTTTACTATAAACACCAACTTCTCAAGGACTGACTCTCTTCCAGGCTACGGGGTATGGAGTATATTCTTCTGAGGCTACCTGTTCGTTTCTTTTGGGAATAAAAAGGTAAATGACTGTGAAGACATATCTCCATCCTCAGTGTCACAGTTTGAAACCTCACCGCGGCTCCAAGCCTTTTTCTTTCTCTTTTTTTATCTCGAATTCTTTTATCTTCTCCTTACCAAGCAGGCAATTTGAGATCTTCAGGTACCGTTATTTTCTTTTCTCGATATTTTAATTGTGAGACTAACATATTTTTTAAGCTCTATAGACCGTGGGTTTGAACCATCGACCATCTCTATACCACAACATAACGAAGCTATCGGAAAGTAGGGCAAGACTGGAATTCATTCGCTACTGTTGCGTTGAACCATCTGGTTGAGGATGCTAAGGTGGACACCCAAAGCCAACCGCGTCTGACCAACATGGCTGCTCAGTGGGCCCAAGAGGATTCCAATCCCGCTAGGCCTCACGCGTTACTATCTGACGCATCTCGAGATCCTCGGCGTATATCCCGCAATGGGCCCCTGCCGCAGAATCAGCCCCCTACTCAGGATGTACAAGACACTGTGCAAGTCCTTAGGCAGCTTACGACTGAGATGGGCGAACTCACTCATATGACAAGCACAAGGGATCGTGCTATAAGAAAACGTAAAGCTGAGGATCTGGCTCTCAAGAAAGCCAAAGAACGGGCATTTAACTACCCATCTTTACTACAAAGCTTGGGTTCGAGGAGAAATGATCGAGATAAAGAGCTGAAAAGTATTGAAGACCGGCTTAACACGCACACCGCGAATAAAGAGAAGATTATTCTTACCTTAGCAAATATAATCCACACGCCCCCTAGTCAGGGATCGCGGCGGGTTCAAGTAACGAAGGATCTTCAGAAAATAGAAGACGAAATGCATCTCATAAGGAAGGAGTATGAATCGGATATCTCCACTGTGTTTACACGCCTTGATACCCTGTTTCAGAGGAATATTGATTTCAGAAATGATATGATTGATTTCTCGGACTCCATAAAAGAGATCAAAAATGGCCCTTCAAACAATAGGTTACACTCAGCTCAGGATGATACTGACCGAAGGCTCAGGATGCTTTCTGATACCGTCAACACCCTCAAATGTACCTTAATAAAGGAAAACTGTAGCGGAGACAACACTTGGGAATCTTTGAACCAGAAAATCAAGGACATCACAGAAAGTCTAGCCGCAACTAAAGCTGAACAACAGAATTATTCAAAACGAGCCGAAAAAAATCTCCAGTCCGCTACTGAATCTCTCGCGGATAAGACTAGTGCAATGGTTGATGCCTCCAAGAATCTGGCTTTGCGCATGAACGAAGGGTTTGAAAACAAAATTTCCAACTTGACGAGAACTGTCGATGATTTGGTAATGGAGAAAATACCGGCTCTCCAAACTCAGGTCAATGAAAAATTTAAAGTCATTGTCGAAAAACAATCTGAACTTACCAGCGTGTCATCACCATCAACACCCGTCTCTAAGAGCATGATGGAAAGCATGATGGAAGACATGCGCAATCTGTCAGAACAAATAAGGAACTTTCAAAAGATTCAAGAAGGCAAGAATGAAACTCTGTCAAAGGCCGTCGACGAGGCCTCCCAGGCAGCGTCTAACGTCCAAGGTGCTATTGGTAAATTAAACCAGGACCTCGTTGACTTACACAAGGCTGTTGCATCCGTTGATATCCAGGCTATCAATCAGAGATTTGCCCAATTTAACAACCAATGTGGAAGTAGCATAAATTCTCTTCACAGCCAGCTTGCAGCTACTCATTCAGCAGTCCACTCCTTAGAATCTCGATATAGCCAAATAATCACAGAACCAATCGTCCGTCAAATGATATTACGCATGCAAGATATGTACCCCCATGCAAGCAGAGTCCAATCCGAGATTGAGCGTTTACTTAAAACCGTAGGTGAGCATCTTACGCACATTACCTCCCACAGGGCCAAGATTACTGCTTTGGAAGAAGCCCAGGGACATACAAAAACAGCCAACGAATCCCTCATCGCGTTTCTTCATACCGAGAAGAACGAAATAACTGGAAAAATGAAAAATATCCAGTCAAAAGTAGACGAATTAGAGGAGAACGTTCTGCAAACCCTTGCCGAGCATGGGGCGGACCTTAGGGGCACTATGGAAGATGTCAAGGAGATGAAAGCTCAAGCTCAGCCCATAACTGCAGAAAGGCCTTTCCCGTCTGTTCAGCGGTTTCAAACGCCTACCGAGACGACTGTAAACCCTACGTCCTCTGGAGAGCAGGATATACAGTCTTATAGCCTGCCGACAACTCAAACGAATTCGGATCAACATAGACACAAAAAAAGGAAGCTGGAGGAAGAGACACCCAGCAGTTTTGAGCCTAGCAACGAAGGTCAAGGGGGTAGATGAAGCTCATTTCTATGGCCACTCGTTTGGTGTATCAGTCAGCCTTCTCTTTTTTGTATATGTATTTTTCTTCAAAACCGATTCCCATCTCGACTTTGTTTCAGTTTTGCCTAGAGGAGTTTAGCTAGATGTTATTACAGCAAGATACCCCAAAAGTAAAAGGGAGCGACTGGATTAATGTTCCTTTACAAGAATTGCATAGATCATAAGTGATTCTTATCATTAAACTCCAGGATCTCTATACCACAAGATTATAGGTCAGTAAAAACAAGCTTCCCTCCAAAACACAGAAAAGAAGAGGCTTCAAATTCATTCTGAAGACATCACACAGACCTAGCTCAAAGAGCGCCGGTTTCTTTGGCTACCTCTCGTATCTGAGAAACAACAGCATCGACATCGTTGAATTTAATCGGCAGTCGGTGGTCGCCATCCCATTCCACCAATCGCGTACTGCTCTTCACGAAGTAGGACTCTCGCAGGTTTCTGTGAAGATTTAAGCCCGGGTCTCGACGTCCATGAACATGCACTGTGGGTATCTGTAGAAGTTCACTGGCAGGCGCAGCATCTTCTGATCGCCCCGTAGCGGAAGAAGCAGAACTCCCAGGGACACTGTTATCGCTTCCAACGTCTAGGCCTAATTCCAGGAATGGCCCCCGTCCATTCATTATCACGCCGAATTTAAAGTCGAACGAATTTTCATCTCGTATGTTCAGCTCCGTTTGGACTTGCTGCTTCATCAAGATGCTTGCGCTCGTCTTTGCGCCTTGGCTGAAACCCAATATACCAACCCATTTTCCCGTAGCTCCTCTCGAATCATCTTCGGCCATTGCTTCCCGGAGTATCTTCTCCACGTAATTCAGCGTCTGTCCACCAAAGTCTTCTGTAATGCCGGGTTTCCAGTTATGCCAGCAGTAGAATGGCGCATAGTCTTCGTACACGGACTCGATGCCAGGTCCCGCGGGGCTAGAAAACGGCGCATCAACAAAACACAGTCTGAAGCTGGACTTGAGATGAGCTCTCATGACACGGCACTGGGTATGGAAGATTCTCGCGTTCGAGCCGCCGCCATGGAGACAGAGGATTCGAGGCAGGTGGAGGGTCTCTATATCGGCCGTCACGTCTAGCCCCGGCATGGTAAACGTCCCTTAGCAAGTGGTTCAGGCCCCGAGGCTGATTATGAATGCCAACAACAGGCTTGCAGGAGAGATTGTAGATCGAGTGCCGGAGTTCAATTGACAGTAGTATATAGGCAGTTATAGCATGTACTCGGGTCCGCGTTACACCAAACGACGTCAACAAAGACTGCCCTGGCCGCTTTGCTTGGAGATGTTCGTTCAACGAAATGATTTGAGGGTTTGGAAGTTGACCAGCTATAAATAGTAAAACATTCGGTGTACGAGGCTGGCTTCAGGGTAAGAAAAACAACTATCCGAGGGAGTATTCGGAGGGTTTTGTTCTTTATTTTTGGAGTCTGTTTTCTTCGGACAAGCTGTCAAGGGCTGTCAAATAACTATATAAAGGAGCAGCTTTGGCTGGAATATATACACATCATCAGAATCGTTCTTCTATCTCAGCTGAACGCAGAGTTGCCGCATTCCCACGGAGGAATCCTCCCCATCTCCATCGGATGGAGGAAACTTCATACATTTATTTAGTCCGGGCTTATACGTTTGAGGTACGACGGCTGGCATGTCATTGTTTATATACTTGAACAACTTTGCTTAATTCAATATAGACCAAGGCAGCTGTCTGCTTCAATAAACAGAATTTAAGAACAAGCTGCTGGGATGTCTGCTTCAGCGTGTTCAGTCTACAGCCTGTTTGATTCTTTACGTACTTTTGGATAAAATACCGACTTAAATAGTTTACACCCCTGGCAAGCCCTGCACCCGGCTTAACTAGTTATGTACTAATTTAAGCAAAAATATTCAGGCTCGCAGTGCGTCGCAAAGACGGGAAGCAATTATTGCATTTGAGCCATTTTCCCCCCTTGATAACTCAGGATCGATCGGCTGATTGCCGAGCTGGCGAGCGCCCTGCTGCAGTGAGACCGGGGACCCTCGGAGCTGGACGGCTTGTATATATGGAATGCAGAGGACAGCTACATAGAAAGAGAGCTCTTCCATGTCAACTTCCCAGCAAAAAGGCACACCATCATCTGCAGTATAGATAAAGATCTAGACAAAACATGACGGATACCTCCATTGTAGGCAAATGGTATAACCAGAATGCCTCCCTTGAACACAACAGACTTGTGAACTCTCGCATCGAGTACTCTATAACGATGAGAGCGATTAAGCAGTGCCTCGACGAGCTTGCAACCACGTCTCGCAATCAAATCCGTATTCTGGACCTCGGTGGCGGAACTGGAAGATATGGTCTGGCGTTCATCTCTTTTTCTTCACTTGTGCGAGGGGTTAAGATCAAGAGTGATTAATATATTCTATAGCCGTTGAGCTGGCCAAACTGGGCCATTTGGTAACTCTCTCAGATATTTCACAGTCGGAGCTAGAATATGCGGCGAGATTTGCCAACGAAAGCGGAGTAATTCTCGGAAACATTGTCCAAGCAGATGCCCTACAGGTCAGAAACAACGAGCTGCTCTTCCGAAGGGGTCACTACGACCTTGTCCTTTGCATGGGCCCAATGTACCATCTACTAGAAGAGTCAGAGAGGCTGTCTTTGCTGGAATCATGCACCCTGATGACAAGGCCTGAAGGCTTCGTTATAACCGCATTCGTCACAAAATACGCACATCTTCGTGATATTGCTCAGAGGGACCCAAAGCGTCTGAAAGGCGAGGCCGAGTTTTATGCCCGGTATCTGTCAACAGGGAAATACACTCGCAATTTAACAAATATCGTCTCCCATCACATCGATGTCAGTGAAATACGGGGTCTTTTTGACAAGCTGCAACACAATGGGCTGGCAAATATTCGTCTTGAAAGCCTCGTCGGATGCGAAGGATTTCTAGGTGGTGGTTTGGGAGCGAATATTGATGTCAATGATAGGGAGACATATGAAGCGTGGGTGGACATTCTGGCAAAATATTCAACAGATCCTCACGTTCTGGGTGCATCTGATCACATTGCTGCAGTAGCCCGGCGTGTCATGTAGGGATGGGGTATTTTCGTAGCTCTGCTCCATTTCAATGAAACATTTTAAGACGCTACCAAGAACATAGCTATGCAGTCTCTTCTATATAGCGTACTGAACAATTATGATGAGAAAATGATTCTCTCTGACCCTGCAATATTCATACTGCACCCCACTTCTATTTTACAATCCTAACTTTAACAGTAGGTGTGAAGTTGTTATCACCATATAAATCTCCCGAATCTCTACTAACAATCAACTCCCAACCAGCTATACGCATATTCCAGTCGTAGCGTATAAAGTGGGGAGTGAGGGAGATTCTTGGCTCCAAGTGTCAAATAAATATATTTACCAATATATGTATCCAACCGGGAATATAGCTCCTTATAGGTTTTCCGAACGGGCCGGAAATGCACCCAAATTAATTTAGTAGCCTCCTAATGTGATTTGACATGCTTGGGACTTGTATTCAGCTAGAGGTTGGTATCTGAGGCTTCTCCACAGCCAAACTGTTAGTCCATGGTTATTGATAATGATCACTGGGATGGGTGCCAGCAGAGCGGTATAGTGATGACGAAGTGCTGGGGGTAGTGCATGCAGAATTATATTATAGAGTTGGAGATGTGAGAGACAAGCGTATAGCTTTTTTTTTCGGGGATGTAGACATAATTCCCAACGGAATATGCTGACCCTTATAAGATGTCCATTCGGCACCATAAGTGAAGGACAATACAGTCCATCGATGTGATATACCCAGATACCTTTCAGCTCCTATCTATGCCAGGGATGCTGCTGTACCTACATAGGATAAGATATCTGGTCAAACTACAAGGAAATACCCTGTATCAGAGAGAAACACATCACATGCACGTACCAAGGGAGCATACTATTATCTACAGCCTGCAGATCCCACTGTAGTAACTGTTTAGTGGCCATACCCGTGTCCCCGCATTTATCCACTGATGCATTATTAGCTGAAACGCTGACAACAAGACGGCGAACATAGTAAGTGGTGGGGATACGTATTAACATAGAGGGAAAGCCTTTTTGATAACAGATAAATTCCTGATTATCTAAGTATGTCACGTGAATAACCGAGTCACCTGATATCAAACGGCGAAAGTTTTGTTTCTTCGCTTTCTTGAGATTGAAACGCGCTTGGTTAATATTATATTGCCATCTGCAGTTCAAGACTTTACTAGAAGAACGTTACAGGACTGGCAAGTAAGATTACCAGGCTAACTCAGTTAGGGCAGTGTGAATTCTCTAGCTAAATAATATCACAAATACGATGCTGGCCCCCTGGTAGCCGCATCATCACTATGGGGAACTCGCTTGAGCCGTGTCAAACAACCAATTGCTACCAAGACCTATAAACCCTGGTTCATGATACCCCAAGTTCTTCAATGCACTCGTGATAGACAAGGTATCTTACTTTGCCGCCACTTGCCCTTGCTAGCCAGATGAATTTTGCAGCAAACCATTCAATGATTCATTTATATGGCCGACGATGATAGTTTTACTATAAATATGGCCATCTATACCCCGCATATATGCCAAAGATGCCTCTGAGTCTTCCAAACCTATGCATTTGCATCCTTTCCATATTTTACCCCAGCTCCTGCAAGACAAGACCCCTGACAATGCAACCCAACAGCAGCCCTGTCGCGTTCTTATATTTTATACTTTCTTAGTATAGAGAAACAAACATGCCGGTGTATACAAATCGTGGGTGTGGGTTATCTTCGGGAATCTCCTGATGGAATGTTCTTCTTATCGGATACAAGGTACTTAAAACACCGGGAAATATAAATATGGACGTGGAGAATGTCAATCTCCCGAGAGCTGGATGTGAAGTTCCAACCCATTTTGTTTTGGCTTCAGGTGTACCCTTCCTTTTGGTAGACACCACCTACCAAGATGCGTTCAGTTTTGTCGTTTGCGCTGCTTGCGGCCAATGTGGTCTCTGCCGCTGTGCTCGCCCCCTTTGATTATTCTGGATACAAGGTTGTCCGTGTCCCTACTCAGAAGGGGAACGTCAAGGAGGTGCAGAGGATCATTACCGACCTGAACCTTGATACCTGGAAATACCCCAAGGCTGAAGGTCAGAATGCCGATATTGTAATCCCACCAAGCCAGATCCCTTCCTTTATGGAGCGTATTTCAGGAATGGATCGGGAAATCATGCACGAAGATCTCGGGATGTCCATTAGCAACGAGACTACCTTTGAGGCCTACTCTGGTGAGCCGGATTCCATTTGTTCCCAGCCATTATCAACCAGATAGCTGCCAATTCACAAAGCTGACATGTTGATCACTAGCTGGTTATGCCCCTGATATCAATTGGTTCAAGTCGTACCATAGCTACCAGGACCATCTTTCCTATTTGCAAGACCTGCAGGGCCTCTTCCGCACTCGGTCAGAGTATGTTGACGCGGGTAAGAGTCACGAGGGTCGCACAATCCCCGCCCTGCATCTCTGGGGTAAGGGTGGAAAGAACTCGAAGCCAGCCATCATCTTCCATGGAACCATCCACGCCCGTGAATGGATCACCACCATGGTATGCTAGTTTGCTCTGATCCGATATTCCGGTAATAGCTTCCTGCTAACCAGCCGCAACAGGTTACTGAATACATGGCTTGGTCTTTCCTTTCTGAATATAACAAGAATGCTGATATCACATCCATTGTCGACAATTTTGATATCTGGATCTTCCCAATTGTTAACCCAGATGGTATGTCCCCATCAATCGTCAGGTCTATTTCAGAAGATCCTGCTGATTAAACCGTTTTTCAGGATTTGCCTATACCCAAACCAGCAACCGTTTGTGGCGCAAGAATCGTCAGCCCAACCCTGGTGCTAGGTGCCCTGGACGTGACCTCAATCGCAACTACCCATACCAGTGGGTTGGGCCTGGATCGTCTTCCAACCCTTGCTCTGATATATACAGAGGTTTGACTCCTTATAATCCGTTTAGTTGAAAATTCCAGTAGAGTTATCTAACTTGCTCCAGGTGCCGAAGCTGGTGATGGAACCGAAATCAAGGTCCATATCGCCAACATGAAGAAGATTGCAGCCTATAAGGGCATTGCCATGTTCGTTGATTGGCATTCTTATGGCCAACTCTTCATGTCACGTAAGTTGACTATTTCTGCCGTTTCATTGCGGTTTTTGTAGGCCAAAATGAGCTAATATAATAATCTTTCATAGCATACGGATATTCCTGCACTGCTCGCCCACCTACTGACGCCAGACACCAGGAACTTTCCAGGATCTTTGCTCAAGCGCTGAAGGCCGTGCATGGAACTCCATACAAGACCGGACCTATCTGCAGCACCATCTATCAAGTCAACGGTGACAGCGTCGACTGGGCTCTTGAAGTTCTGAAGGTGAAATTGTCTTTGACCGCCGAACTCCGTGACACAGGTGCCCGTGGGTTTGTCCTCCCGGCTGACCAGATCCTCCCAAGCGGTGAGGAGACCCTCGCCGGCACTGTTGCCATGCTGAAGGCTGTGATTAAGGGTTAAATGGAGCTTGAAATTGACGAGTATACGAGTAAATGGATGTATATAGTTGAACGACCGTCAGTACATATTCATGACTTCTGCCTTATATCTGATATCATTTTCGGTGTTATTGCTTGAGAAACCTCAGCCTCCGTGCTCTCAGGCCAGTTTCGGGGGAGCCATAAGCACCATGCTAGCGGATCGTTGATATAAGGTATCATTTAACTCATTGCTGGCTGTCGATCGAATCAGGGCGGGAGATTATCCAGGATTATCACAAGGGGTATCTCTGTAATTCCGATCCATTGATTACGTCGATGTGACGATCAATTGGGTGTATCCTGCAGATCCTGTTCCAGGAAGAAGACATTAAATCAACGACAATTTCTTCCATAGGGGATCATGACGGAAGACATACAAGCCTTGTGAGAAGACACTGTCGAGTCCTGGATATAGATGTAGATTGTTTGGGAGATTTTTATATCCAGATCGACCCCGCCATTGGTTGATCCAAGAACTAAACTTCAAGTTGACAAAAAATCTCCCTCGAGTATTTTAACTTCAACCGCAATTGATCAAATTACAACGACTATGGCTACTGACGAAAAATATCGAAAAAGAGATGGAGAAGAAGAGGATGAAGAAGATCTCCTTGCTGCCCTCGAAGCGGAAGAAGATGACCCTAACTACCGCGCCAATCGTATAAAACAGCTTCAATCTGAGCTATCCGACACCAAGTCCAGCGCCCAACACTCGAATAATACTGCATTTGATGTGGAAAACTCAGAAGAGACTTCATTATCTACTGGAACAGATGCAGTTGTAACGACAATGCTCAATAATTCTCTTTACCCAACGCTTCCGAACGATCAGTCACTCCTAGACTTCTCCACACAAATACACCGCTGCGTAATCCATTTCTTCCACCCTGATTTTGCGCGCTGCAGCATAATGGATAAACACATTACAACTCTTGCGGAGGCTCATAATAAACGGGGGAAAGATGACGCACGTTTTGCTCGAGTCGATGTGCGGAATGTACCCTTTATTGTCGAGAAATTGAAGATACGAGTCTTGCCTTGTGTCCTTGGATTTATAGACGGAGCTGTTGTGGAGAGAATTACGGGATTTGAGGGATTAGTTGACATGAATGCTTTGATGGGGAAAAAAGGCTCGGGCAAAAGCAAGGGTGAGGATTTCAAGACGAGTATGTTGGAGTTTAGACTTGTTCAGACTGGACTGTTGAAGAACGCGGTGCTATATGGAGATGATGTCGATGAGGACGATGATATAAATGATGATGAAGATAATGAGAGAACGGGAAAACGGAAAATCATACGGACAGGAAAGACGATGAAAAGGCGCGGTGATGCTGAAGAGGATGATCTAGATTGGGATTGAGCTGGAACAATATAACACTCCTTGGAATGGACTGACTACCTCGAGGCCTGATAGTGAGCTCGAACGGGTGGCCGAGCCCGGTATTTGCAGAGACAGGGCTCGTTTCTACACCAACTGACCCGTTGCTGGTCTCTGCTATATGCACAACGGGATGAATATGACAGACGCTAGAGAGGGAGAATAAACATGGCACCCGCTATATATCTCAAGGGGAAACCAGCCAGTTATGCAAACATGTAAACACGTCGCACATATACCCCTTAGAGCAGTTTATTGGAAGAAATGGCCATGAGTGAACATGTAGTCATACATAAAGCTTGATATCTTTTGATAGAATAGTCGTCAGCATAAAGGGTGATATAATAAAATCAAGCCAATAGGTAGTATTAATAGAGGTCTCTCTCCCTTATAAAAGTGAATGTATCCCGAGCACACGGATTTTAAGAGTCCATAAGCTGCAATACATTATACGGGGGTAGGAAAAGAGAACGGTAATTGTTATCAAAGTGGTTTTCAGTAATACCAATGAGCAAGACAGAAAACTGTAGAGATAGCGGTGCATAATGAGTAAGAGAGGAGTCAAATAAGATTAACCCATTGGGGAATCATTAGCCATAAATATTGCATGGAGGGGGAGGTTAGGTGAAAAAATTGGCTGGCAATACATTGAAAAGAACGTAATAATTCTAAGCTGGTTTCGAGAAAGTAAAATAAAAGAGAAAAGTGACAAGAGTAAGGGCTACATGGGGAATAGAAAAACCCAGCCTATGAATGCCGTTTAACATGTATAATAGAGAATCTGGAAAGCCTAGACGATTGGTTTAGCCGCTGCAAGAACAAGCAAAGTACATATTAAACAATGGCATGTTTGACTAGAAGGGGAAGAGAACACGAAAGGAGGGGGAAAAGAAGAACAATTAAGCCGGCCGTGTCCTGTTTATCATGATAAGGGGATGGGGAGTCTTTAAATTTCAACTGTTTTCATGTCGTCTAATGCGTCTGTGTCCATGCCTTTGGAGGTAGCAGATTTATTCTTATCGGGGGTGGAGGTATCGTCTTTAGGAGAAGCTTCACCGTTTGCTGTCTGTTCCGGAGCTGTCTCTATCTTTGTTTCGGGGGCGGGGAGGGGTTCTGCTGGCTGCTGTAGAACGGGAGAAGAGAGGTCAACCAGGTCATCTGATTTTCTTAATCTGCTTTGGATCTTCAGATCTAATTCTTTTTTATTATTTGAGTTGACCGGAGAGGAAGTTTCCTCTGTCACGCGTGCAAGCGGGCTCGAAACTCCCATTGCCGCTGCAGGGCTTCCAGTTGGCCCGCGAGATGGGAATCGGTGAGGGGATCTACCTCTATCTTCGCTGGGAGTCGGGCTACCGTATGGGGAATCCCTGGTCGTTTTTCCGTTGACATTTGTGTTGACTCCGAGTCCGTTAGACCGTCTCTTCGGCTGTCTCCTGCCATATTTCTGATCGGTTCGCCAACGGAGAATCTCTAGGTATGGAGGCTCATGCTGTCTGAATGGCTTCAATTTCAATTCACCACCTTCCTCGTCAACAAAAACGTGCGGTGAGTGGAGGTCGTCTGCTAGAGTTGCAAGGAACGAGGCCCAAGACCTGGAAATGACGTATTTGCAGTCATAGTCGCGGCCGAAGATAATAACCTGTCCCCATTTTCCAGCCGGTCCTGGGGCAAGGTCTATAGCAATGTTGTTGCCGCCCCAGTCTCTGGCAAGAGGAATCCATGCGGGGTGAGCATAGGCTTTCTGAATGGCTCGAGGAGGTTGAGAGTCTTGTCTGTCGAGTAGCTCCTGTCTCCACAAGGGATTTGATGCATTTTGCTGGGCCGGAGGAGGTGGTGCGGATGAAGACGAGGCAGTTGCGCCGCCGTAAGCCTTCAAGGGAAGCTGAGGATGAGCGACAGTTGAACCGCTGAGGAATTCTTCATTGACAATTCTCCAGTTCTTCCACTCTTGGACAATTTCTTCGCAGTCAAGAAGCATACATCCAAATATGATACCAGTGGGTAGACCACCACGCTCTTGTCCGTCGTGGACCTGCAACGACTCGCGTACTTCTAGCGGTAAGCTGCAGTCTAGCTCGTGTTCTAGCTCATTGACATCGTTCTGCGTACATCCTTCACAGAGCTGGTCAAAGAGTTCCTCGTAGTTTTTCTCGACCCATCGATCAATTTTCTTCCAGGAATGTGAGACAGGAGGGGGTGGAGGAGCGCCGTCGTGAAAGCTCTGCATCTGTATCTCTCCACCATCCGAGCTCTGATCGAGTTTTTGCGAAGATAGAGACCGCATTCCGGGGGAGTATGGTCTCGTGGGCGAGGTGATTGTGTTTTGTGAGGTTGAAGATCGACTGAGAGATGGTGGTTCGTCAAAGGAGTTTGAGAGGTCTGGCCGGGACTCAATGGCGCTGGTTGCCACTGAAGTAAGAGGAGCATCACGGCTCTGGCTGAGGGGAACATGTTGGCCGGTCCTATAAGGAGAATCGTGTGAGGCATGACGATCGTTGGACGTCATAGTATGCCAGAAGGAGCGCCATGTCGAGGAAAAACTACCAACCAGAAGAGTGTTAGCTATCTGTCCTAACATCCATCAAACAGGCTTGGTTGAGCCCAACTTACGAGGCTGCCATGGTATCTATTCAGAGAGAGGGCTCAAGTTGGAGAGAGAGTGTGTGGTTGTTGACCAAGATATTGGCTCCGGTTCCTGGTCTGGCCGAAATAAGTCCCTGGAGCTAGGGGGTCTTTTTTTTTTTTTTTTTTTTGGATGAGCTAATCTCAGGCTCAGGAGATAAAATATCTTAGAACGTATTGTACGTGGTTCGTAACGGTGCAATGTAGTCCGTATACTCGGGCTCTCCGTATATTATCTGTCTTCGACACGGCGGCTACCTCGAGCAGGATAGATGGTACAAGCCGCCAGTGGCTAGCGGGCGGCCTTTGTTCTTGGTAACACCAGGTGGGAGGGAGGGAAGCCAGCGCGGTTACTGGTCGGAAAAAAACAATAACAACAACAACGACAGGGAGACGAAGCTGTCGTGGCTGTCCGTCGAGAGAGAGGGATAGAGAGAGGGGCGAGAGACGGAGGCTGACAGAGAGAAAGACGAAGGTGAAGGTGAAAGAAGATGAAGTTGAAGTTGAAGTTGAAGTTGTTGACGAGGAAGAAGGGAGAGCGAAGATTACGGCATGTCCGTAACGGCCGGTAATGTGGCTCGTGCATGAAAGAAAAACGCCAATCAGGAGTGCTCAAGCCACGCTCAAGCCACAGAAACTGATGTGAAACACAGTGGAGATCCGCAGACAAGACCTTGTACCCATGGCCCGCGGTATTGGTATTACCAGCACCCTGTATTTATATATTGAAAACTTCCCTTTCCAGGGTTTTTTCCCTTTCTCTTCTCTTCTCTGCGCGCGGATATACGGATGTTGCATATATCAGGCACACACACACGGAGTATTAATAGAACACAAAAGAGAGACGATGGATCCAACATGATGGTTAAGTTAGGCCTGATAAACCCCCCCCCCCCCCCGAGATTGGAATAATATTAACACACCCGTTTTCTCGACCAGGGCTGGCAACGATGTGGTGGCAAATTGCGTAGATATCAAGATGCTCGAACAGTGGCAGCAAGATCCAATAAATGACGTGGTTTCATGCGATGTCGAACACATGCTCTCTCCTTTAACCTCCTTAAGAAGGGATACGGAGTGCATTCTGCATACGGAGTACATATGCAGCTATCAAACACCTTGAACCACTTGATAATTGATACATTATTCAATGCTTGTGGCGGGAGCTTTAGTTTCCTGTGGCCACCCCCTGAAAACCTTGTGGTGCTCGAATCAGGGTTTAAACGCCTTGCCAGGGAGCCTCTCATAGGACAATGCCAGGCTCAAGCAATGTGACCCGAGGTGCCATCAACACCTTTTTAAGTTGATGCCAATCCTGTGCTGGCTTGGGACGGCGGCAACAGGCCTTCTATCAAATGTCATTGGCCCCTTTTTCTAGATCGTAGATCTGGTTGCTTTACAGCGAAGAGATATATATGGATAAACGAGTGTATTAAGTGAAGAGAGCTAAACTTAGCCATCGATAGTGACGTATGAGCCGCCAAAGTCAAGAGGCGATTCTGTGACGTTGACGGAGTGAAAAAAAGAAAAAAGAGACAGAAAAACGAGTGTGACGATGCCTTTGGAGGCATCAATATCAAAACAGCAAAATAAAACCGAAATAAGGAACCATAGGGAAACTGAACGAGAGACGATGGTGGGAGAAATAGGAGAAATATAGATAATAATCAAAATGAAGACGATGATGCAAAAGGGGAAGGGGAAGAGAGAGGGATAAGGGTAAGATTAGTGCAAAGGAACAACTCCATCACCCCAGCACATGCATACTATAAACAATAGTTAGCGGCCAGCCGAATCATTCATCCAGGTTCCCCCTAACATCAGGAAAAAAAAGGCCCCAGGCATTAGGTATATCCCTTAGTAAAAAAAGTCATGAAAAGAACTTCCGTCATGTTTCTCCATCTGCCGAACCGAATAGAACAAACAGCCAAGCCAAGGTAATGTATAAGTCGTAGAAACATGTTGAAAAGAAGAAAGCGAGCGTGAACAGGAACAGACAAAACTCCAGAATATCCTCATCTGACGCCATGCTGTGCTGTGCTGTGCTGGAAAAGAAAAACGAAAGGGGTAAGAGGTTGTCTGGCTAATAGAGTAGAACGAAGACAACAAGACGTAGACTCCGGCCTTGAGAACCCGATTGAAACCCGTAACCGTAACAAACATGCTTCCATAGTTGACATCGCTGAAGACACTGGAAGGAGAGAAGGAGAAAAATGAAAGACGAGAAATTACGCCTAGTCTGACTTGGACACCCATGACGGTAGAGAGTGTGTGAAAATAAACAAAATAAAAGAAAAGGAAAATGTCGATAAAAAAGAGGGGTATAGATCGTACCAACAAGGGCAATTAGGGGATGATAAACCACTTTCTTATCGATGCTCAGAGCTGGGTAAGTAGATGGGGTAAATTGCACAAAGAAGCAAGGTAATGACCCCCGCCCATAGGTCATTCAGGCATAAGTCTGCTCCATGCTGCTGGGGCTACGGCCGTCGCCGACATTAAGCTTCAAAATGCGACGCAAGTCGTCTTCCATTCGTTTGGTTTCAGTCAAATCCTGTCTAGGCGGAGGCCCATTTCTGGGAGGGGGAGTGGCGGAGATTGGAAGCATTGTTCGGCTTGGAGTTGGTGAGACTAGCCCGCAAATTGAGCCATGATAGTTTGTATGATGTGCAGGAGGGGCGCTAGCAAGCTGGGAATATCTCGCGGATTGCTGGCGAGGCGGAGTGACTGGGCTGGTCGGAGAGACCATCGTTCGAAGGCTGGAAGACGGTGCGCGATGGGGTTGGGTGCACAGAGATGCCAGATATTGTTGTGGAACACTGTTGTCGGGGCTAAAGTCATTGCGAGCGCCTAGAGCCTTGCCGGTGTGGGCGAATGGCACTGGGGAGGTAGGACCAGAGGCATAGTGAGTGGGTTGCTGGTACATGGAATAGTCTCCCGACATTCTAAAATTATTGCCTTGGTGGTTCGATGGTTCAGCGAGTCTGGGTGACGCTGATGCTGCGCGTTGCGCGGTTGGGTTGAGAAGTAGATTCTTGAGAGCTTCGCTTTTGATCTTGGTGTCATTGCTCTCTTGTGTAATGGCGGCGTTTCCCTGTTTGCTGCCTGGGCTGGAAGCACGCAGGGCATTCATCCGATCTTTATAAGAGGTTGCGAACGAGGGTCCGATCACTGCGGTTCGTGCATCCGAGCCTTCTAACTCTAGAGGAAACACTCCGCTGCTGGCTGGACCCTCGCTTAGCCGCAGTCGCGATGCGTTTCTCGGCGGCGTGGATACATTAAACGGTCCTGAATCCTCGAGCTCGCTTAATGGATTGGCACTCCTTGCCTGCCTTGCAGCTTTAAAGAGAAAGTCGAGGGGAGAGGAGGTGCCGACATCTTGTTGAACTGGAATGGGGTTATTGGCCTTCGTTGGCGTGCTGTCTCCAGGGTCGGTGTCAGGTGAGTCATCCTGGAGGTCGTCCGAGGTAGGGTAATCAGTTTCCGGCACTGACTTTGAAAAGAACGACGGTATCGGGAGCGCAGATGGCGCCGGGGAAGCGTGGAAAGTTGGTCCGGCATAGTGAGCACTATCTCTGAAATTGGGTGATTTGATAGAAGGCTGCGAGGAGGTGTGGCGATGGCGATGGCTCCCTTGCTGCTGAGCTGGAGCCGGCGAGTTCTTTGTATTATCTTTGTTCTTCTTTGCGGAGCGGCCTTTCTTCGACTTTGCGGCGCTTTCGGGTGCTTGGTTTGCCTGGTCACTGGCAGCGTTCGTATCTCGAGCTGTCGGAGTGTGTGTCTTGCCATGATGTGAGGGGTCGGTGGTAGCGGCTTTCGACGAAGGCGTGCGCTTTTGGTTGCGTCGAGCATTTCGAGACGCCCTGGGCGTAGTAGGAACCGGCGTCGACATCTCCTCGCTGGTTTCGGGTATGTGGCTTAATAAATAGGCAGCCGTGGATAATATAAGGAAAATAATAAGAAGGGGAAGACGACGATATAATAAACAAGAGCAAAAAAGGGACGAACGCTCCAAGTAGAAAAACGGCAGGTTTAACAACACGCAGCAAAGCAGATCTATTGCGCTAAAATTCACTGGATAGATGGCAACGATAGCAAGCGCGGGTTAAAGAGCCCTCTGATGTAGTGTATTCACTTGTTATCGGCGTTCCTGGGGCGAGGACGGGGGATGTTGCTGGCTTATGGTGGCTGTGGAGAAGATGTGAGGAGCAAAAGAAAACAAGGGCGGTCCCCCTAACATATTCATAACGTATTGGGACGACGAGGCCAGAGCGGGTAGAGGAGACGCTTTTTTTTATATATATATTTTTTATTTTCTTGTATTTTATTGTATTCCACTTTTGACTGCGAGAGGCGACAAGGTCTGGGTTTTCTTTTCTTCCTGAGAAGCGACTTTGTTGGGCTAAAAAGATGCTCTCGATGTTGCTTTTTTTCTTTCTCTTCTTCCAGCTTCATGTGACTTTGCGGGCCTTCTTATCTCCGGCGGCTGTCTTGCCCTTAAGGTCGCCGTCTTGGTTATTTACTTAAGAAGAGCAGACGAGTTATGACGGCGTTGAGAGCTGTGTATATCTTGTGGACTAGCTGGAGCGTGACGGCTGGTATTGGAAACAGGACTGGGAGATACAAAAGGTACAGCCCCGTTATCGTTGGTTTGGCAGCGAGAAACAGTGAGAGAGACTAATAGAAGGCAACAGCCGCTTCCTGGCTCTAGCAACAACTTCCAACCGCCAGCACGATAGAAGAGAAGTCGACGGTGATAGCCGTGACCGGCGAGAGATCTTGTTTCTTCCCTTCGTACGGGACTGATGACCGTTTGCCCCGCACACATACACCATGGCAGACGTTGAGATGACAGATGCTGCCGGAGAGGCCAGCAAGGGAAAAGCCGTATCCAAGACGGCAAAGGGCGATGCAGCTGCTGAGGGCAAGAAGAGATTTGAGGTGAAAAAGGTGCGTGCAGCCGGCTGACTTCTCTTGTCCGCTGTTCTGTCCACATTTTATCAAGGCGCGCCTCCCCCGCTGACTTTGAGACCGGGGCCCGTTCAGTGGAATGCCGTTGCTCTATGGGCGTGGGACATCATCGTCGATAACTGTGCCATCTGTCGAAACCATATCATGGACCTGTGTTAGTTACCCCAAAGCTGCAAAAACGTAAACAGACCCCTCGACATCCAGTACCTCATTCTAACCCTGGCTGTAGGTATTGAGTGTCAGGCCAACCAGGGCTCGTCTACCACGGAGGAATGTACAGTTGCCTGGGGTATCTGCAATGTAAGTGTGCACACTGCTGGAGAGCTTCCTGGTTTGCTTACTCTTCCTAGCATGCGTTCCACTTTCATTGCATCTCGAGATGGCTCAGGACCCGACAAGTATGCCCACTTGACAACAGAGACTGGGAATTCCAAAAATACGGACGATAGATGCACTTGTGACCGTTTCCTCCCCCTCTTTTTTTTTGCTATTCTACCTTTTCATGCTCCGACCTTCATCACTACAACAAGAATATACGACCCCCATTACGACATTCAAACAAAGGCAAAGGTACCGGCGTATGTAGTTCATGGACTTTGAAGTTATGGGATACCAATAAAGACCCAGTTATTATTAGTGAAGGAGCTATAAAGCTCTCTGCTTAACCGCCTGCTCATAGGTAGAAACAGCCCATATGAAGAGAAATTCTCAGTGTCCTTCCTCATAACATGTTAACCAATGTATAAACCAAGCCAGTGCTGTAAATATAAATATTGCGCAACCAGATAACCTCTTCAAGAACAGAGTATATCGCCTCAACTCCCCGCTTTATCGATCACAATTCCACCCCTGCCTATCCCTCCAGCCCCAGTAACCAGCCATGATTCGGGATGTTGGTTATACATAGGCCACGGTGGAACGACAACCAGCATCGTCAATATAGTGCCAGCTGTCATCGTCCAGAGTGTCAAGAAGACATCTTCGAATACATATCCCACTATAAATGAGGCGGCCTAGAACGAAGCAATGTTATTATTCCTCCGTCCAACGAGAGCCTCCCACTTCTATAGCCAGGATGTGATATAACATATTCATGAAAGGGTATGCTCACGGCGAGTACGGTAAGAAGACCCGTGGTCAAGATGTCTGTTATTCGCTGGCCATGGAAGTCCTGCAATCGTAGCTATTAGCTGCTGGGTACTTTACGGAAGTTCAGGGACTGGCACTGACAATTGGGCCGTCAAGGGCTTCCCGGAGAGGCCCAAGAAGCTCATCCATGGTTTATATTCTGTCCTCCTGCGAGTCGATGTTATTTCCAGCTTTGCGCCTCCAAAATTGAACGATCTGGCAGTTGCATTGCTTAGTAATATGATCACGTGACGCACTGAGCCTGATTTTGGTTACTACAAGCTTTTGCTTGATCTCTTTCTCCAGCAATCCATCATCCTTCTTTGCGAGAGTATATAACATTAAGTATCTACTAATTCGACCCAGACGCCCTCATGGGGACGTACAAAACATTCTGACTGATAGCTATTCTCCAATGTCGGTTGGGCACTTTAGAAATGATTTACACAGCAGCCAGCCAGGAACAGGTCCAGGATTACCTATGAATGCTTGCCAGGTCAGCGTAGCTTTGGTTACGACAGCTTCACCTTAGCTGTCGTCATCTTTCTATATGTCTTCACCCAGTGTACAGAGTACCTACTACTATGCATGTACGATATCTTGGCCGGTAATCAGCAAGCTAAGCTTTCCGGGCCTTGGATTGGTTTAGCATATTCCGAGCTAGGAGAAGGGCACCTTCAGAGCGGGCCATAAATTTGCCATCTATATACAGCTAGCCAGCAGGACTCCTAGGACAGAACCAGGATAACAAAGGGATCCTAAACGTGGTCATCACCGTTGACACTATTAGATGTCTCTCAAGGAGTAGTTACTCGAGAATTATGGAGTATGTGTGGCGTTGTTCTCCACTCACAAAAGAACCCTGACAGTTGTGCTTCTAATTCTCTTTCTAAACATGGCTTCCTGTCTAATAGTTACTTCTTTTCCTTTATCATATAACTTGTTCATTTTCGAACATTTCGGCAAATATACCCTAGTATCCGTCCTTGTCCACTCCATTCTCCCGATATACCTGCAAACTATACCGTGCAAACTTACTGCGTGCCCGGATCCGCGGTCCATACCGGGAGAACAAGGGCGGAATGATGCAAAATACCGTGGCCAATGCCGCGAGAACAGACGTGGCTAGATTTGCCCCCAATCCATCGTACATGCGTCCGGCGAATAGTGGGAAAACGGCAGAGAGGATAGAACGTACGAGTGAAACAGCAGCAAACCCGCTCGCTGAATAGCTCAAGTAGCTGTCGGCGAGATATCCGGACAGGACTGCATCAAATTCATTTAATGCATAGCCGACCAGCACCAGGGACAGGGCAGATACAGCCCAGTGAACTCCTAGAACGCGCGGCGGAATAGTCCAAGCAAACCACCACATACCCACTGCCAGAACTGGAGCGCCGATTGAGAATCCAATAAGCTTATGTTCTGGCTGTAGCGTCTTTCCCTCTCTCTGGTACTTGACGACGGTTCTATGATCATAGATGCGGGTGAGCAACCCGCAGAGCAGGCCAATTCCAATAGCAAGGAATGGAAGTGACGATGTGGTGCTGGAAAACCCAAGGTCCTCGTATATTGGGGGTAAAGCCTCTGTGAAGAGATATATGAGTGCAAATGCCACAGCAGTCATCATAGCCACCATGAAAACAATGGGCTCTGTGCAGAACAGCTTAATAGGGCGGAAGAGGGCAATCCGGATGAATGCATTCATGTCTGGTGTGTGATCAGGATTCAAAGCCTTGAGAGTGCTAATACCCGTTGCTTTTCGCAATTTGGCCACCTCTCGGGCAAGCAGAAGTGATGGCCTAGATTCGCGAATTCCAAAAAGCAGAAGGGTGATAACGGCAGTGAAGATAGCCGACACATAAAAGACCCATCTCCTGGAATGAAACAGAAGTTAGCCAGAAAGGAAAGGCCCCACCGAAAGGTTTATCAGATCTCACCAATCCAAACGAGCAATAATATAGATGCTCATGATGGGCCCAAGGGTTAGTCCCATGTTAGCTACCATTACCCACATGAAGATCAACCATATGCGATCCTTGGAGTTGAACATATCTTCAATGCTCCCCGCCACTACAATAGTCGGGATGGCCGATAAGAACCCTGAGAAGAATCGGCCCACTATCGCTCCAGATATAGAGGGGACAACCCCAACTATAACGCAGAAAACACTGTACAACCCGGTGCTGACAATGTACAGCTTCTTGCGGCCAAATGACTCCGAATAAGGCGGGAATATGATCCCCCCGATCCCCTGACCTAGGAGATATCTAATTTTCAAAGTATATCATTAGGGAAAAAAAAGGTATATATCCACGCCAAAGAGTATGGGCTCAACATACACTGAGACAAATAGAAAGACAGCCAGGATAGGACTGATGCCAAACTCATGTCGTGCATGATCAGCGGCTGCGCTCTGCATGATATCTAGATTAGGATCACGTCATTATAGGCTATGATTGACGGCTGACTTACTCCTGCCGTGCTCACGGTCGTTCTTTATGCAAACAAATACCCGTCAGTAAGCAGAACAAATGCGAATATGAATCACACATTTCATACGTGAAAAGGTCCAAAAGAATGATCAAACCACTGTCATAGATCTTTCGTAACATGCCCCAATTCCGCGGGTGCTTCAGGTTAGAGGCTTGCCAACGTACGTGCTCGCCATCAGGGGTATATTCAAGTCCGTGTGCCTCTAGAAGAGCCTGTAGGTCGTCTTGCCCTGGCGTGGGAATAACCTCAGGCTTGGTCGCCGAGGGCTGGGAACCGGGCGTATCACTCGGAGAACTCATCTGAAAATGGCCACTCTCAGACATGTTACGTGCTAAAGAAAGGCGGAATAAAAATATGGATAATGAATGGATGAGTTGTAGGATGAGCTCCTAGATCTGTAGGCTTTGTAGACAAGAGAAGAACGGAGACTCTCTCACAATAAACGGCTAACTGAGGATATCAAAGGTGCCAGAGACGAAAATATCGGAGGGAATATTTTGCACAACAATCGAGCTGAAGCGGCCACAATGCCCTTGGCCTATCATGCAGGGTAGAAGACGTGATGTTGAGTGTTGTTGAAGGATCCGCGAACAGGGTCAAGCGAAGTAGTTAATTGGACGGGCCGCGAGGCTTTTCCTTCCGTTATCCTCGAAACTCACACTAGAACGGCCGCAAACTATACATGCATCGTGAATCCAAATAGTTTCTAAACCGTTATTAAGTTATGATCATCATCAGCTTCCTGTCGCCGTGGATCTGCCATATATTGTCCGCCTCGCTTGATGACTTATGATGGCATTTACCTGATCTTATCTTTTTGTCTCGTCTTGGATATATTGCTTGGCTGGTCCTCTTTCTAACACTGGATATATATGTTTTGCCGCTGCAGCCTGAAATCTTTTTATATTGGTTGATATTCACATACTCCGCATATATACACCCACTCGTCCGTAAGTCCTGTGAAATTGGTACTTCGAATCCACCACGGAATAAGGATAAATACACTAAGATCTTTTAAGAAAAAGGGACGCTGCTTTATTTTTGCTTAGAGATACCCTATGATTTAAAGGGGTTAACCCCTAGAAGCTATTAGATAAGGTCTTAGAGAAAAGAACTTTTCTCTCCTCTTAAATAACTTACCTTATTTATTCCTTTGTAACCTCTAGGTAATTTAAAGTAATAAATAGATAAGTAAATAGTATATCTTCTAATAAAGAGATCTCTCTATTCTTCCTTAATTTTTTAAATATTTTAAAAGGAAGAGTAATACTTTTCGGATTAAAATTCTTATTTCTTAAAACTAGGTAGTAAATTATATAGTAGGAGCTTAGTTAGGATTTCTCCCCTAAGAAAGGCCACCTTATTAGAGTTTGACTACTTGCTACACCCCTGTCTCTTGCAGGGATGGCTTATGTATTCTTTTTACATGACTTAGGCCTGTCACCTATAGCTTACGTAGCTGCGCTGGCTGTTGTTGACTGGATCAAGCCTTTTTTCGTTCACAGAAATTTAGACTATGGCCTAAACTAGTTTTAAGGTTCATCCTTGCATTGAACTGCTGAGTTCGGGTTCTTGACGAACCTTGGGAGGATTTCTAGAACGTCCCAATATCAATATACGCCCCCTGGTATATAGGCTGTCCTCAAAGGCAGGGCGTGATTAAGGAAACCCTGATGAGAACGTGCCGAATACCAGGATAGATAAATATTGTCCCGTGAATTGGATTGGATGCATGATAACTTCATCTTTCAGAAAGCAGGGATACCCGAACGAACGCCAGAACTTGATCGAAACTGCGCTGTGGTACTATGTATCGGGTCTGGAGGGACCTAAATCGTCGTCAGTGGGGAAATGGTGTCAGTTCTAAATCCTTCCTGATCTGAATATCTGGTGAAAGGGATCGTCGGTTCCGTTCGTAGTTCTATCTGCGTTTACGAAAAGGCTGAGTTGATGATAGAGGCTCTGGCAGCATGGTAAGGCCGTACTGATAAGATTGGATCGGGGCCACCGTACTTGGGCTGCAATGTCCTTCAAGAAACCCTACTGATATGCAATGCAATGCAATGCAAGGTAATATATAAATGGAATCGAGCGAACCCTGTATGGTTTCTTGAAGTAAGCTATCCATGAGAAACTTGGGTTAACACAAACGGACGCGGGCTTCGGAATTAGATTTATTGCAGAAAATTCCACAGCATGGCATCCAACCTGGCCACCTGGAGCTCTTCCTTCACCTTGAATGGTTCAGTCATATTTTTGAATATCCACACTCATGAAAAAACGGTTTGTTTGGCGGGCCCTGCTATACCCGATGTCTCCCGATATGCCTGTGATGCGAAATTGACACGGCAGTCAGA